ACAACAACAACAACAACAACAACAACAACAACAACAACAACAACAACAACAACAACAACAACAACAACAACAACAACAACAAACAGCAACGATTACAACCGCGACCCCTTTTGGACGGGCCTCTACTTTCACGGCCGATCTCCGACCACGAAAAAAGCAACTTGTGCACAAATATTCATGACTTCACGCATTACACACTAGCGAGGCGCTTGGGGGACACCAGGATTTTGGGGAGGCCAATTGTCATCACTATTAGCGACAGCATTACCAATTGAGGGGTTTGGTCAGGAGAAGGAGAAAGGAAACGGAAATGGGTCTTGGGAACCGGACGGTATCAACAGGACAAAGAAAGAAAGCGTGTACTTCTCTTCAACCCCCACAAAACAGCTGTACATATTTCTAGCACATGGATGAATTGATCGAAAACTGAAGAGATGACTTGAAAGATCCACTTCTCCCAATCGAGAGGCGCTGTACATCTTTGTTTCGACCAGCTCGATTCAGTAACTTGTGCTTTCCCAAAAAGAAACACAGCTTACTCGACGATGGAAGAGAAAACCGGTTCGTGCCTGGTGCCTACATCCGCTGCAGCTGGCAGAACGACCAAAACAAGCAGTACCATACCACACTTTGACGACCAGAAGAAAGAGTCACGGAATTGAGATTGACTTTTCGCTTCCAGTCCTCGCGTCCCAGAGGAACATGAAGGAAACTGGAATAGGTACTCACATACTTACGTACGTAATGCGCAAGCGATGCATCTCATCGGGAGGGGAGCTGATCGGTCGTTCCTGCCTACCTCTCCTTCCATATTGATTTGTAGCGAAGTACCGTTTCGCCGCTGAGAAACGACAGGTCGGTAGCGATTCCAGCCCCAGATCAACCAAATCTACAGAGGTACATGTACCTTGTGGATGTACTTGTTTGGCCCTTCGCTACCAAGCAAGCAGCACGGTGAAGAAAGAAGGGGAAAGTAGGCACGCGACCACCTGCTCAAAGAAGAAGATTCATGACTCGCGCGGTCTTGTTAGCAGGAGCCTGGGTGGAGGAGAAAAACAACCACATTGATCGACATCGGAACGGCCGCTGCCCGGTCGAGATTGAGTTTTTGGAACAGGGCAGAGGGCGAAAAGCTGCATGTCAGCTTGCAGTAAGCTCTTTTTTTCCACTTCCCGCTGGCCAATGTTAGGACGAGGGGGAGGTGCGAGGGGGTGGAGGTGTTTCAGATTATGAGGCGAATGTGAGTCGAGTGTTCGGGCCGTGGCAAAGGTGTATTGGGGGGTGAGGCGAAAGTTGGAGGTTTCAAGGTGATGTTGGATATTGTGGCAATGGCTGCGAGGGTTGTGGTGGTGGTGGGGGCGAAAAATACAGCTCTGTGACTGCAGGAAAGGAGCAGCTGACGATGAGGCGACGGATGCGAAATTCTCCGTAGGATTCAAGCCTCCAACAACGCTCGAAGGATTGAAATCCTTTCTTTCTTTCTTTCGTCTGAGTCGGAGTCTGATGAGTCTGACATGTGAGAGCAAATGATGAGCATGTTTAGAAAGAAGTAGCGACGATAACGACGACAAGGCCCCGCCTCAACCTCGGCAGTCGCAATTAGGGAATCGACTATTGATTGCAATACGAACAAGTACTACTAGTACTGATAATGAGAGAAGAGGCGTCGAGGATACGAGCGCGAAGGCGACTATTGACTTTTCACGTGCTAGGTCAACGCTTTGGTCTTGGTTTTGGGAAGAAGGACCGAATGGATAGATAGATGACGCATGCATTTGCACATGCACGAAGAAAGAAAGGCTTTGAGCGATGTACCTTCTCCTCTCCCTATGCTGTCGATACAGACATCACTGCATGCGCGTGTTCACGAGGTTACATCATTACATGTAGGAGACGAAAGACTGGTTTAGAAAGGGCATCGGAAATTTTCCATACTGCTCCCTACCTCCCACACCCCCGTGTACCGGGTACCTCATCATCCCCTTCCCGTCAGGCTCTACGGAAGGTTTCCAAAGGTCGACGAAACGTTCACTACCACTACCATACCCATCCTCTCCACCTCTACCCCCATCGACAAAAGACCGTTTTAGCATCGGAGGATTTCCAAACAAACCAACACGCCCGACCAGGTCCTTGATGAAAGATGCGCGGCTCTGGAACAGAGCTGCAACGTGCTCGTCGTGATTTCCCGTTGCCATCATCGTCAGCCATGAACAAAAATTCTCCTGACTTTCGCGACGGTTGAATAGCGCCCCGAGGGACGCGTGAGACAGATGATGGTGAGGATGAGGGCGGTGTCGTCGTGTCGTGTTGTGTTGTGTAAACAAAAGCCCCCCTTCCTCATCAAGGCCAAACGCGTCGAGATATCGCCCATCCATCCATCCATCCATCTCTCCTCCTCACCCGGCCTCCAGCGTGATGCATGTGACTAGACACACTGCAGCAACCTCCCCATCCACCCCCCACCGCGTCCCCCTCCCCTCCCAGTCGCGTCCTCGCACTTCCCACTGACGCCCCCAATAAAAAAAGCATCCACACAAGCACGCACTCCAAAAGCTTGGAAATAGTACCCGTCCCATCCCATCCCATCTCAAGCTCCTCACCTTCCCCACCCATGGCTCACAGCTCTTCAAACCAGTTTGGAAGACCTCTTTTGGGATGAGTGACCGACCACGAAAAACCTCCGTGGAAAGTATCGAGGAGGGGAGGGAGGGTAGGGAGGGTGTGGTACCAGGGACGGATGGGATGGATGGGTACTGGTACTGGTACTGGTACAGGCTGAACGGGATGGCGGTATGGTGGCATGGGATGGGAAGGAAAGGGTACCTACGGTACACCCCATACTCTATATCGTACAAGCAACGCAAGTCTCCCCTTTCTTCCGCAGTGGTTCTATTATGATAATACATTCGAATCTGGTATGCCGAGCGGGCGGCCGAGAAGCTCCCTGCAGGTTGACAAAAGAGTGACAGACGCCACACCCAGGTGCTGCTGCTGATGTGATGTACCTTGCATGATCGCAGAAGCAGGTACAAGCCCACAGCTAAACCAGACTTCTTTGCTTCCCTCGACCCAGCCAGCATCAGTAGCGTTTTCCCTTGTTTATGTGTGGTAAGAACGGTGATCAACACCCAGCATCAGCACACATTGCATCGCGCAGAGAACCGCAATTACCCGTCGTCTACCACTATTACTCGTATTGGATCTCCTCGTCCTCCTCGCCCGGTGCATCCGGATCGTCGTCTTCATCCTCTTTGGCATTTGCGCCTTCGGGGTGATCATCTTCATCGGCAGCACCTTCCTCGACGACAGCCTCATCTTGATTGTCATCCGTCGTCGCCGTAATCGCCACATCGCCTAGCTTGCTCCGCGTCCGGCGCAGAGCGCTCGCCGTGCCGCCATTGCTCGGGCTATGAGTATGGTGATTCGACGACGGCCGTGACCTCCGCGGCGTCATGCTATATGAGTTGCGATTGCTGCTTCTCCTCCCCACAGGCCGGCCGGGTCGTCTCTTTGTCGTTGACGGCATGCCAGGTACAGCCGGGAAGATTTCGAAGCGCGTGGGTGGGATAGGGCCCGCGGAGTACGGCTGCGATCCCGAGTGGAAAGACGCTGGGCTGGCTTCGCCGGAATCCATGCGATGCATGCCGCCATTCGGCGTCTTCCGAGGCGAGCGTCGGCTGGGTGATCCATTCGTGGGAGGGCGCTCTGTCAGTGAGGTTTGGGGCGTTAATGCCAGGGTTGGCGGAGTCTTCTTCCGGTTCTTGGGCGAGACTCCATTCACTTGAGGCAGCTCGGTTCTATCCGCGGCATCGGCTGGATTCTCCTCATTTGGCTTCTTTGCGTCTTCCTGTGCCTTGAGAGTCTGCTGCACACCCTCCTCAGGTTCAGGAGGAACTTCCACAGGCTCGTCTCTTGGCGCGACCGTCTGCAGGGGCTGATTTGTCTCCTCGCCCATGGCGAAAAGGTTGGTAGGTCGTCCCATCACGTACGGTGTCCACACGAGATGTTCGGGTTTGATCTTGATAGTCGCCTTCTTCTCATGCTTTTCCACATACTCCTTCATGTATTCGTAGTCGAGGCGTAGAGCATACGTCTTGGTGATGGGGTCTCGCACCAGAAATCGGAGAGCTTCAAGAGTTGAAATGATGTCGTCAGGTGTCATGCCGGTCTCTTTGGCTATTTGGACGATGGTGATGGGCTTGCTGTCGTTCGTCGTCGACTCTTGACCCTTGTAGCGGAGGAGCAGCTTGCAGAGGACGGTCCGCCAGTATGAGCGATAGGACACCAGACCCATATCAGAGAGCGGCTTTTCAGGAGATCCCGTCCTACCCTCGACCTTCGTCAAGAGATACGAAAACTCGATCAAGACCCGTCCAAAGCCACGGCGCATATGCACAGGCAGAACCAAAATACAAGACACGTTGTTTCCTGGATTGCTCAGTGCTGGATCGTTGGCAGTGCCGTCGAGTTGAGAGTCTGCAGCACCATTTGACTCTGCGTTTTTGCTGTCATCAAACGAGCTCCTAGGTTCGATAGGAGGTGGAGGACCACAGCCGCGCTTCTCTTTGGAGAAGTATCCCACAAAATGACAACCAAATTCGTCGTTCTCTGTCATGATGTAGAATAGGAAGGGTTCGACGTCGTAGTAGAGTGTCTTGGAGCCGAGGAAAAGCTTGGCAAGTAGGCACAGGTTTTGGCAGTAGAGAGGATTTCGACGACCATCAACCTCAAAGAAGGAGAGGGTTGTCTCGGCGCCAGTCTCAGGATTCTTGATGGCGTCACGGTAGATCTCATCGCCAGGTGGGTTCTTTGCAGCGCATTTGAGCTTGTGCCGCCAAGCGACGTAGTCGGAGCTCATGTATTTCAGACAGAATTCGCAGATGTAGAGGTGCTTGTTGCGGCTGTACTCTTCAGGGTAAGGGGCAGCGTGCCAGGTGTCGATCTCGTATTGACCAAAGTTGATACACTTGATCTTGCTGGGTTGACCGGCTTGTTTCGATCGCGCAGGCGTTTCGCCATTCGCATTGGCCATCTTCTCCTTCCATTGCTGCTCAGCCTTGTCGCGAGCGGCTTGGAAGGCCTGTCGATCGGCGTCTTGTGGGTACGTCTTTGATGTTTCGGCCTCAGCATCGGTCAGAATGCCACCATACGGTTTGCCCTTGTTCTCATCGACCTCGCGATCCTGGAATGGAAAGAATGGATTAGTGTACATGGATGTCTGCACGGTCGGGAAGTGGGCTGGCTCTTCTGGTTCAGCGGTGACAGTGCGACGGCTATTGCGAGCTCGTCTCTGGCGGTCACGCTCTCGCCGCTTCTGCTTTTTTTGCACGTCACGTTCGATCTGGTCCCACTGAGCCATAGTGACCGGTATCGATATGATGGCGCTTTTGGGATCGTCGGATTTCGACACGATGCGTGCACCACGCTTGCGGCCTTTAAGCTGTCGTTGAGGTCGACCTGCTCGACTTCTTGGTGATCCAGGCTCCTCGTCGTCATCAACATCATTAGCATTGTCGTCGTCTTCTTCCTCCTCTGGCTCGTCGACGACCACGTCCGGAATTTCCTGGTCTTCCTCAGGATTGGTGCGTCTGCGCTTCCGGATTGGAGGGCGAGGCGGTTCATCGATATCTTCTGAAGGTGTCTTTCGCTTCCTAAGCGATCTCGAGCCGTCCATGCCGTCGTCCGGGAGGATCAGAGTGTTGAAGACAGAGTGCGAACCAGGCTTGATACCTCCACGTGCTGAAGGTAGCAGATCTCTGGCCATCTTGGGAGCAGATGATCGTCGTCGGTTGGTGAGGAGGTTCGGGACATCTTTGAAGTCCTCCTCCAGGCCATTTTCGACGCACTCGCGACATCGCCATCGTTCGGCAACTGTGCAAGTGTGTCAGTACTGGTTGTTTGTGTTTGTCTTTGCTTGGCAGAGACATGCATGGGGGCTGAGGTGATCTGACGACGTACCTTCATTCTCAGCTAGCGAGCCTTCATTTCTGGCACATTGCCGGTGGGCTGCAGGAACGGAAGTCAGCGCGCTTGGACCCTGGAGCTTGATATCATTCTGTCGCTTTGCCGCAATTCTTCCACTTTCGACTTTCGAAACCAGAATCTGAGTGCTTTTGCGCTTCCCACACTTACCGTTGTCACCGCACACCGAGCACGCCAGATACTCTTCGAACTCTTCGCTGGGGTCATTTTCCTCGCTTTCGCCACAGAATCTGCAATACCCGTTAGCTTGGATGATCGACAGCTTTTCGACACCTTCGACCACATACACGCAGCGACTCGCATCAGGATTTCCTATCTTCTGGTCTTCGTCCGCATCGTCCGCAGCTTCCCAATCCTGTTCTTCGCCTTGGACACTGTCGGCATCTGAGTCGTCCTCGTCTAGGTCCTCGTCGATCTCGGCTTCGGATTCCTCGTCTTCAGTTGTCTTTCGAGCTTTCGACCGACTTGACCTCGTCTTCACGGCACCAACAATCTCCCCATCATCGTCGTCGTCTTCCTCAACCTCGCCCTCCGCATCGGCATCTGAGTCTGCCTCGCCCTCGGCGTCCGCATCCTCGTCAACCTCCTCTTCCTCCTCCTCGTCCTCCTCGATCTCCGCTACTGGTGCATCCTCGTCTTGGTCGTCAATCTCCATCTCGTGCCGCTTGGCTTGGGCTCTATAGCTCACGCCGCGGCCGCGCAGCCTCGTGGGCGTGACAGCGGCGCGGTTGAGGACTATAGTCGCCAGTTTGTCTTGTGGGCCTGTCACTAGCCCATGTGACCACTCCGCCAACTGCTTGCTCTTAACTTGTACTCCTGCACCGCGGCTTCTGAGAAGGTAGGCGCGGGTCGGCGGTCAGAGGCCTGATATGCCAAGACTCGCGATTTGAGGTGAAGTGACTATTTTCCCACGCGTAATCGGCGCTTTGAAGAGCTCCTGGGTGGTTTCCAGATCTCGTGAATGCGTGGTGGTGGTGATGTAGTCGTGTCTGAGGCGGGTGTCCGGTGACTAATCAGCGCGGCGGAGGATGTGATTGTCAAAGGGTTCTGGCTCGGTGAGGTAGGGACATGTGCGGGTCGACGGAGAGCGGCCGGTGATGCGACAGCGGTGATGGGCGTGAATGGGGAGGCGAGAGGGCGTGGGCGACGCTGCTGGCCCTGTTGCCCACCCCTTTGCTTTGGCGGAGTCGCTCGACTTGCGGGAGCCCCAGCTGAGCTGACGGCGTGTGCGAAAGTCGTGGACAGTCGCGATGCGGTCGCCAGGGAATCAGTATGTTAACGAGGATGGATGCGCGATGACTGTGGTATTGCAGGCGCGTGTAGAGGGTCTTGGTGATGAAGTGAATCGCTTGTCGTGAGGCGTGGAGGTGGTTGGGCGGCGGTGATTCAATTGTCTTTCTCGCTACCATAAGTTTTGCCCATGAGCCTGCGCCCTCCGACTGCATCCATCACCACCGCACGCTGCACCGAACAAACCCGCGCACGACCAGGCATCGCAACACCCATTGGGAACCACAATCACCATGTGAGTGGAAAGAAAGACACTGCCATTGAGAGATACCAGCTAATGACTATCGCGCAACAGGGGTGTCCCATTCGAAGCCCTCCTCCCCTACGCCATTTGCATCGCCGTAGGCCTTCCCTCTGCTCCTTGCGCTCCTGGATCAGACTGACGGTGGTTATCTAGTTCTTCGGTGTATCAGGTGCAGGTCTCTCCAAACTCAGAAACATGCAAAACGGTGGAAAGCGTGCGAGGCATTCAGTGGATCAGTGGGATAGACAAAGTACGTGAAAGATGAAGACGGGTGATACAGATGGGGGCGTATGCTAACCTGTCACTGCGCAGTGATGGACCGGGATAGGAGGCTTACGGGCTTCCTGAGAGGGCAGACAGATCAAGTTAAGGCGCCGGCAGGCTTTGAGTTGAGCAACCCATGGAGGGTGAGTATTACGCTTTGAGAATGTCACAAACCCGGAGACACATACTGACAGGCGAGCAGGTCGAGAAGGGCATCTCATAAACACTTCAACACGACAACACTTCATCTGTACATCACGAAACCAAAGACTCCAAATTCATTGAGTTTAGATTTCCTCATCTCGCCGGCGATTCGGTCAGCTCATCCAAAGTCTGGAACACCCGCTTCATCCCTTCCCTCAGTATCCGCCCATCCTGTGCAAACATGATGCGGAACCAGCCTGGCTCCTCACATCGCAACATACCTCCAGGAATGATCACAACTTTCGATTTCACAAATTTCTCGAACAGCCGCATCTCTGTCTCAAAGTCCTCCTTCCCCACACTCGACAGATATCGACTGAAGTCTGCCCACAGAAAGAAACCAGCACATGAGCCTTCATACCACCCAACATCTCTCTCCCTCAGAAGTTGCTTCGTCAACTTAAACCTGCTCTTCAATGTCTTCTTGGACTCTGCAAAGAACCCCTCCAACCACTCTTCATCCTCCAGAATCTCCGTTGCAACAATCCCATCAACAGCTCCACTCCACACGAACATCGTGATGGCGCTCATTGCCATCCAAAGTTCCTGATTGACCGTGTACAGACAACCGACTCTCAACCCGCCAGCCGCAAAGTCCTTGGACAAGCCATACATGACGTGGACGTACTGCGGCGCGATGTACTCGCTGCAGTCGAACGAAATCACACTGGTGAAGGTAGCCTCCTCCTCATACACCGACACAGCATACACCTCGTCCGCCACAAGATGCAACCCATACATGGCACAAAACCTCATCAGCGCCACGATCGTCTCTTTCGGATAACACCTCCCCAACGGATTGTGCGGATTACACAGCAACAACGCTCTCACCACCACCCCCTCCTCCTGCGCCTTCCGCAAAGCCTCCTCATAAACCCCCACACACTCGGGCGCAAACTGATCCACCCGCTCGGGAAACCCCACCCACACAGCCCTCACCCCCGCCCTGGTCCCAAATCCCTCCTCAAAAGACTGATAAATCGGCCGACCCATCAACAGCCCCTCCCCAGGATCAAACAGACAGAACCCCAGCATCTCGCACGTCGGGCCCACGCCGTTGGCGATCAGCAGCTCCCGCTCGGTGATGGGCATGTGCGGATGGAAATGCTTGTTCATGTGCCTCGCCGTAGCCGAGTTGGTCGGGCGTGAGGGTTCGGGCGGCTGCGGTGCGGTTTATGCGGGCGGCGAGGAGGGGCGCCATGGCGTAGTTTTCGGCGGGGGCGAGGTTGACCTATTCAATTTACCATTTAGGGTCACGCGTGGCATGTGGTTGGTGGGTTGGAGACTTACGATGCCGTCTGGGTTTTTGTCTGGATCATACTGATCGAGCATAATCTGCTCGAACATGGCGCGCATGGTCGACGCTGGACCCGTGGCGAGGCGGTGGCCTCGGGGGGACAGGGTGATGGGTTTGGGGTGGAAGACCATTGTGATTGTGCTGTGATCAACAACAACGTTGCAGTAGAGAGAAGACGACGAGTACTTGATGTATTTGAAGGGCAAATATCTACTGTAGCTGAAATCGAACTCAATCCTGGAGTTGGGGATCATATGATTGCGTAACGATAGGGTTAAAAGTGAGAACGTGTATGTAGTTCTATGTATCGGTATTTGCAAACTCGCATAATCCTCCCCTCATTCGTTCCTAGGGCCTTTTGGCGCGTTTCGGGCCCGTTCCAATCCCATTCCTCTATTCCTATTCACGCACGCAGATACAGCACATGAAATTCCACAGGAATTTCTTTTTCACCGACCAAGATTCCCCAAGGAGCTCGTCGCCGCAACATATTCCTTTAAAGGATCGAAGGAAGGAAGTGCAGGAGGATTTTGGGATTCATCGACCCAGACAGTCATTGGTAGTATATCTTATGCCCTGTCTCGTTGGGGGTTTCAAGCGTCGTGGAGAATGTGAGTTCATGGATGGATGGAGACCAGGAGATATAGTACCTGTCTTTGGACTCTAGACTCCTACGTATCAACCTGCAGAGGCATCTTTTGAGAAATGCCATGACGCCCACCGACTCCATCCCCTCACCGCATCCACAAACTCTCTCGCCACGATCCTCTCCACCTGCTCGCTGGGATGCACTTCATCCCACCACATGTAACTATCCGGACTAGCCCGCGGCGTACAAGTCCCATTGCTGCTGCACTGGTTGATATACGTTGTGACGTTCAAAGGAGCGGTCCCGTTGAGGTACTGCGATGGGTGGTTGTAGATGTCTGTTAACTTTTCTACTTGTTAGCTTGGAGAAGGCAAGTGATGTTTGGGGAGACTTTACCAGGCTGTGGACGTCGAGGAGTGTGACTTTACTCCCCTCCAACTCCCTCGCCACAGACTCAGCCTCGTACCTGAACACGGCATTGACAGAAACAACCTGCTTCTGCATCGCAAAACTCACAGCCGTCAGATTCGCCGGCTTGTTGTGCCAATACTGCGTTTCGCTCAATCCGCCTTTGTCCGGGAGCGCATACTGCGGCGCGAGATCCAGAGGCGCGACGTTCAGCAGCACGAACCTCCTCGCTCCGTGGGCGTATAACCTCCGGATCTGATCGAAGACACACTCGGTGTAATCTACAAGCGTCTTGCCGGGGAGTTGGGAGTCGGTGATGAAGGCATCGGGGCCGAGATCGTTGGTGCCGATCCAGAGGGCGAAGAGGGTGTTTGGGAGGTCTATACTCGTGAACTTGGTGCCGTTTGGGAGGCGGTAGTTGAGCTCGGCGAGGAAGGTGGGGACTTGGTACTCCGCGACGGAGGGGATCAGGACGTTGGGGTTGCCGAGCGATTTTGGGGTTATCTTATTGCTGCAGACGGCGCCTGCTACGGCGTAGTTGTGGACGTTGACGTTGGTGTATTGTTGGACGTAGCGGGGCCAGACGCGGCCGCCGTCGGAGGCGTGGAGGTTCTGGGGGTGTGTTGAGGGTGGTGTTCGATGGATTCTTTGGGATGATGTGAGGTGGAGTGCTTACAATAGGATTGGGGTATCCGACTGGTGGGTACTGGCCGTTGTGGGAGAAGACGTAGCTGAGGCGAGAGTCGTCTGTGTAGCTATCGCCAAATGTTACTAGGTCTTGGAATTCTCGCCAACCCAAGGGTGGTGATCTTGAACCTAGGGCGTTGGCTTGGATGGAAGCTACGAGCAAACATACGCATTTCAGGTACATGGTGATGAAGCCTCGAGACCAGATGGTTCGACCTGACGCTGGAACCCCATTCGATATATCTCGTGTTCCGACGTCGTACTCTCCATTCCTTCCAGCGGGGTATTCGAAGCATGGCTAATACTTGTGATCTCCAATGTCCCTGGTCGGCTCCTCGTGGTTCAAACATTGTACGACGCCTCTTTGGGCAATTTTGCCCGCGTTGTGCATCGAAGTTTGATCGGTTTTGTGACCAACTCAAAGACTTAGGCAGATCGGGGTTGTGAGACTCAAGAGCTGATGAGCAGCAATGCCATACAGTACTTCTTGATATGACTGAGCGATTCGCATGAACTCTGCTTACCATCCAACGAGATTTACAGATCAAGCCGCCACGCATTGTCAGAGTGTTCACATCCATCTCTGTTGCTGTGCAGCTGGGCAACATGCACCCAAGGATCTGTTCTCCTCCCTTGTTGCCACCGACGTGCCGCCAGACCTGGTCTTCTTAGCCCAATGTGCGATTTTCGCCGTCAACGAGTCTAGCGTCCTGGTACAGGCTTTGCTTCAATAGCAGTCACATGGCAAGTAGTGATGATCCAGGCGTCACGAAAACCCGATGCTAATGCAATCTGTGTCAAGATGAAGTCCAGACAAGGTTCCAAGGTTGCCATCCGCGTGGGCATCTGCCGGCAATCTCATTTGCATGAGCTGTACCACACATCTACAAGCCTCATCCAGATTCTGCACATTCCAGAATAGGGCATATCCGTCATACCAGAGGTCTTATATTGCATCGAGTCAACACGAAATTGGGAAGATGCCGAGCTCGTTTGCGAAATCGTTGCGGACCATGTGAAGGACATGAAGTTTTTCTGACAAGCCACTGACGAAGATAGAATTGGCCGTTGAAAGTTTGTCGCGTCACGAAACGGGGATTTGGGAAGTTGAGAGGTCGCGTAGAGCGGAAAGGGGGTTTTTTCGTTAGGGCGGTGGGCCAGGGGCAAGAGGCAGTCGAATTGACCAATCGAGCGCAGGCGACGACTCCGGAAGCTTAATCAATCGCTCCCCTATCGAGCTGAGGGCGTTGAAGAGCGAGGAGGTGCGTGCTCGTCGTTGTCTTTCTGTCTTTCGACTGTACATTTGCGATACAGAGGGTTGTTGTGGACCGCCGTCCAAAAACCACGACAGAAGCCAATCTCACGCCCAACGAGGTCACCCCTGCCGGATTGCCCACGATCAGATCCACCTCCGATCCCGCGCCGCGCAATTCGACGCACCTGTCCCCTTCGGCTCGTCTGGCTCTGGCTCCGACGGACACTTGGGCGGCTCCAACCACGAAAAGTCGCAGGGAGAACCTCTCGCTCGCTGCCCGCACGCGTCTTCCCTCGTTCTCGTCCGCACCACCACCGAGGATGCGCAGTGTTGTGAGGCTCACATTCCCATGCCAAGAGCGGCTGTGAGAGTGCAGGGAGCGCGAAACCAGACCCAGTGGAAGATCTCACGCGGAGAGCATCGCCAGCAGCACCACCACCGCCATAGCTACGACTCGCCGCCCGCCTACACGCCCGTCGACATGCAGAACCATGGCCATTACCACGCCGACCACGACCCGGCACTGCCCAGCTACGAGAGCTACGAGAGCTACGACGGAAGCGGCTATGGCTCTCCCGGCAGCAGTAGGACGAGCTCAGGTCAATACGCCCAGTACAACAGTAATCCTAATCCCAAGCAACCCACCGCCCAGGTGAACGGTCACTACAACGAGTTCGACTTCCGCCAGTCCTTCAACGACCAGCAGCGCGCGCATAATAGCACCACCCAGCCACTCACGAATGGCGGTCACTTTGATGACTTCAAATTCTCTGTTGACGACCAGGTCGCTAGCCACCACATCAGCCTTAATACCAACTTGCGCGAGCCCGGACAGGATGTCGTCGGCCGGCATCTGCTGTACGAGACCGCGCTGCTTGATACGCAATCTTTCGAGATCCTGGACATTAGCGAGGTGGACGAATTGAAGAAAGAGCATGTGCGCTTGAACCAGAGGATAGACGCCGCGAGCAGAAAACTTGCGCTTGAGAGCAAACTCAAGGATGCCGCACAGAATATTCAGCGGCTATACTCTGGCAAGAAGGACGGCAGACCCGACACTCCCCAAAGTCCGGAAAGTCCGCGCAAAGGCAGAAACAGTCTGCTGGGGAATAGAGGAAGAGCCAGCAGTGGTGGAGAAGGACTCCATCAGGCGGAAGATGAGTTGGCGCAAAGCATCAAGAAGGTGGATGACTTGAACGAACAGATAAAGAGTCTTTTGGATAGACGCCAGACTGTTGAAAGGAAGCTTCTACGACACACAGCTGCTGTACTCGCCGAGCAGGCGAATCAGCCTCCGGAACTTCGAACCGATGCGCTTTCGAGCAACCGCCAGGCGTACGACCGCGATGAGCTACATCTGCCTGGACCTGACGACTTCGATGGTATTCGAGATATCCTCCGCGGCAACCCTGCCCCATCAAGCAAACAGGATCTGGAGAAGATCAAGAGCGAACATGAACAACAGCTTTCTCAAATGCAAGGCAGATTAGAGCACCTGAATTCGCAACTTCGAGGCGTCATCACCGAAGCAAGCCAGACCCGAAGCCAGGCGCCACCGCCGGAACCGGCAATATCGCAATCGCTAAATCCCAGAGAGCGTCTGGACAGTACCGTCTCAATTATCGAAAGCAACATGCGCACGCTAGAGCAAGGGCAGGCTACGAACCTCTCTCAAAATGCCGTCGAAGACCAGCTTGAGGCGTTGAATGCGCAGCTGCACCGGACTCTACAGATCTCAGAAGCTGCAGAGCCGCTCAAAAGCCTTCCCTTACCGCCCCAATCAAATGGTCAAGGCTACCAGAACCAGCTTCAGTATCTTGAACAAAGTCTTGTGACTATCGACAAGTTACTTCGACACCACAATGACGAGTTGCAGAATGTGAAGCAAGCCAGCGGTACTGCGTCGCGAGAAATGGAAGATGCCATGTCAAAGGGCGAAAGCCACGCAAAGAAGGCAGCGGAATACGAGACTGTGCTCTCTGGTCTCTGGGAGATTGTGTCCGCAGAACCGAGCGGACTCACCCCACGCGGCAGTGTCGATGATGGATCCACCAGCGCAAGAAATTCAAGGGGAGACAGATCACCGCTGAAGGAAGACTTCTCACTTCAAGCCTTCAGCTCGCGGGTGCAGCATCTGTACGACGTAGCGAACGGCGCGAGGGAACAGCAAGACATCCTACGTCGGCAGATCCAGCAACAGCGTGATCTCAATGGCAAGTCCGACATGGAAAAAGAAGGACAAATCGCCGAAATGCAGAACCGATACGACAAGCTGCAACAGTCATATGACGCCACCCAACAAGATCTTGCCAAGGCAATGGCGAGCCACGAGCAAGCTGAGCGTGAGGCGACTGAAACTCGTAACGAGATGACCAACGTCATGAACGAGCTCGAGCAGTTCAAGCAAACCATCGACGATACTCAGGCCAAGCAGAGAGACGTCGATTCCCGCCACACACAGATTGTTGCTGAGAAGGACGAGATCGAGCAACGCCACACCGAGCTTCAGAAACAACTTGAGGATCAGGAGTCCGAAGTTGTTCGTCTGATGACCGAACTCACCATCGCGAGGGCCGAGTTGGAGGCTGCACATGGCACAAGGTCTGAAAGGCAGAAGGAAGCCGGCATGCAGGTCGGAGAGATGGACGCCCTGCAGAAGCTCAAAGACCAGGAGATTGAGGATTTGAAGAAGACTCAGGAGCAGCAAATCGAGACGCTTCGCCGTGAAAATGCCGAGCGCGCGAAGTTGCTGGAACAGGAGCTGCAAGACATGACGAATGAGTTCCAGGAAATGACACGGGAGAGTTTGGAGTTGGAGAAGGAGCGCGGACAACTGGATGGTTTGATAGATGGATTGAGGGATCGCTGTGACCAGTTGGAGGCGCAGCTCAACGATGAGAAGATCAAGTGGATGGGGATCAAGAGCCCTGGTGGAGCGCAGCAGGATGGTGCGCCGAGAGAGACGACGAGCGTGATGGTGCTGAGGCAGGAGTTCAAGAAGATGATGCGAGAGGCGAGAGCGGACGGTGTGCGGTTGTTGAGGGTGAGTCAAATTATATCCTAATTGTTGGTGTGAAGATATACTAACAGAGCAAACACCAGGCCGAGCAAGAAGAACGCCGCAAAATCGAAGCCCAACTCCGCGCCCTCCGTCAAGACAACGGGCCCATGGGCCGCCACAACCGACAACTCACCGCCCCCGCCGGCAGCAGCATCGCCTCCACCCACACCGCAACCGCAACAACAACAAACGGTGCCTCCACCACGATGAGCCCCACCACCAACGGCGGCGACACTTTGAGTCCCGCGAGCGCGGCGAACCCACCCCAGCAGGGAGGAGGTTGACAATCACCCATCCGCCCTTTAGATCCCGCGTTTATGAAAGTCCACGTTTTCGACGTCTTTGCTAGTTCGTTTTTGTCTTCTTAAAGAAGAAACACACCGCTTGTGGACCCTCCCGGCTGGTTGTATTTGTATTAGCAAGAGGGCTTGTGAGTGAGGGCTCTCTAGAGGGCTGTGCTTTCGTTTTGATCGTTTTGATGATACATGTTGTTGGTATGCTTCATGTATGACTTACTTTGGGGGGTGAGGAGGATTGGGGAGTTGAGGGGGGATCTTGTGAGTTTCGATTCTTGCTGTTCGTGCATATTTGGGCATACGTTCTTGGGTTTCGCGAAAAGACAAGCATTATTATCTTTGGAGAAAGTTTACGCGGTTTTGGAGCGGTTTGGCGACTAAAGACATTGGCGTTGGAGTTTGGGCATATGGGGAGATATCATTATGGCCTTCACGGGTCTTATTCTTTGGGAGGTTGGGTTTTGTTTCAAACAATGTACATGTAAGAAGGATCCTCGTACTCTTGGTTGAGAGGGAGGTGTAGAGATGTAGAGATGTAGACGAGGAAATGGCAATATGGATCTATGAGACTGGCACAAGAAGTCGTCTGCCTTCTTCTTTGAAGTCAAACATCGATTCTTATCGACCTACAAGCTATATGCATGCTCATTCCAACGAGAGTCTTCCTTCCACGATCCGAGTCCAGCAATCTCTCGCCGACATCGAGGGAGCTGCTTCACACTACCCTGCCATCGAACTCCAAAACGGACCCAGTCGTCGCGCTTCTTTCAAGCATAGTCCAGGGCATCGCTGGAAGCATCTAGGCTATGTGCACAGCGCTTCTCCGCAGGAAGCCCGTCGTCTGTGGTACGGTCTTCGCTGCTGGACCCCCGGTCGACATGTTCGTACGGGGGAGCGTCGGGATCCTGATAGCTATACCAGCGCTTGGCTTTCTTCTTCTTCTTCTTCGCTTGCACTGGGGCATGCCAGCCGTCGTCCTCCTCTTGCGCGGCGTCTTCCTCCATCGCTTCTGCCCAATGCCGTGAGCCATCCTCTTCGTGCTTGGCCTTTTTCACTACATGTGGTTGGTGCGGTGAGCCTTCGTCCTCGTCCTCGTCCTCATCCTTCGCCTTCCTCTTCATCACTGCTGCTGGGCGCTGCGAGCTATCGTCATCCTCGTACTTGACCTTCTTCCTCGTTTCTGCTGGGTACTGCGAGCTGACGGTATCGTTCTCTCGCTTACGTTTCGTAGCCTTGCCTCGCTTCCTCGATGCCTTTTCCCATTGGAAGATAAGACCCTCGTCCTCGAAAAACCTGATCAACCTCCGCAGAGGAGCCAGTCTAGCGTTGTTTTGGAGTGTAGGGAGGTTCTGCAAAGCCTTCAGGTCCCCGCAGAAAATGAGAAGCACCGAGGCTCTTGACGCGGCGAGAATCAGACGCTTAAGGTCTGTGGCGAAGTAGACATTATCGCTATTGATAACGCCGAGATCAATCCAGACGATGGCGTTAGTGTGGTTGTGAGACAAGTCGACTGCGTAGGTGGAAATGTTGGAGTCGTGGTCATCAAGCTCTGACACCATTTCTGAGACGACATGGCTATGCATGCTCATGAACGAAATGGTTCGTTCGTCGATGCATAGAGTGTTGGTGAAGAAATCGGCGGATTGTAAGAAAGCGGCGACCGCTTCCGGGTTGTGTCTGTTGGCAACATCTGGGTCTGCCTTGACGTTGACGAACATCACCGACTTATTCTCAAAATCCCATTTCGAGAGTCTCGCCAGAGCTGGTGAGCCTTCGCTCATGCCGATGCGAGACGTTCGGGCAGATGCGGCAAATGGATGGGTCTGCTGAGGCTGAGCGGAGACCAGGGGTGACTTGAAGGGTCGCCCGGAATTCAGCACATTCAGCAACTTGACCATAAGTTCGGTGTTGCGGTGATTTTGGTTTAATGTCAGGACTTGACCGTCCACGAACCTGGCGAAGCGCGAGTTGAAGATGGACTCCGAGAACAATTGGCCTGCCTCGTTCCGATCCATTGCCCTGGAGCGCGGGTGTGGCATGATTTGGTCGGGATCACCCGCCAGCACAACACGGTCATACTGAGAGCAAGGCGAAAAGATCGAGAGGAGCTGCGGCATGGTCAAGCGCGAGACTTGATCAACCAGGAGAATCTCCCCGCCACGATAGCCCTTGTCAAAGAGGGTGGCCAAGGTGTCCACGCTCGCGAAGACCACGCTGCACGTTTCCAGAATGTAGGTTTCCGCATCTTGCGCCACCGCCCTTGCTTTGTTCCAAAGCTCTCGTTGCTGTTTCTTTGCTTCGATAGGATCACCAACATCACAGCAGTGCTCCTTTAGATCTTCCAACGCCATCTTGTAAAGCTTTAGACATTCAGGCGAGCTATCATCTGCCTTCCAAGCATTGTGCCACGCTTGCTTGGCGAGAGATGCGTTGTAAATGCCGGACTCTAAACTTGCTGTGTCGGGGGCGTGGTCTGGCAGGAAATGCAGGTCATCCGCACCTACAGCCCATAACGACTCGCGGATCTTCTTTTCGTCGGGACTGGATAATCGACGGACGAGTGTCGGCTTCGTTGCCGACTCGATGGTGCTGAGCACGGAGGCGACTATGCCGAAAAGTTCGTCGACATTTCGGTCTGTTTCCGCAGAAACTGTAGCTGTTGAGCCATAGAGAATGCTTGTAGCGGCCATCACACAGAGACACAGCGATTTGCCGGTACCAGGCCCGCCACTAAGCAGAAGGAATCCTTCAACCATCTGTCGAAGGCTTCCGTGGACAGCCACAGATAGCTCCTTGCCCAGAGATGCTCTGCTAAGCATCTCCATAACGATATTCTGGCGTGCAGTAGCGTCGGAGTGTACACGCCAGATGTTATCCGACGGCTGAGTTCGTACTGACTGGGCAACAAAATTGTACGTATAAGCGGCGCCGGTCCCTGCCTCCCTGAACAAGTGCATGATGTCGAACTTTCCGGCGACATTCTCGCTGGTGCTAAGCGTGGCCAGAACTTGTTGCTGCTTGAAAAATGGCAAGCCCCTGTGTTTGGCCGTCTTCTTTGAGCCCGACGTTCGAACTTCCCATTCACGGAAATTGGCAATCATGAGCAACATCAGGTAGTCTGACGCATGAGCGATGAGATAGGTCTCCAGGCCTTTGACTTGGGAGCTTGAAAGATCTCGGATCTTATCAAGTGAGTCTCCGGTGAGGAGGTGACTGAGCGTGGACGGCACTTTGGCCGATGTCTCAAAGTCTTGCAGCATTACTTGGCGAAAGTCGAGCATGATGCTTTGGGTGTACTGCCGTCGGTATAGCGCGAACGTTGTGCCGCCTGAAACTGACATAGATAGCAGTTTACTGAACCAGTCCAGGGCTGCAATTGCCAGCGGGCGGTCGACAACGCAAATGAATTCAATTTGATGACTGGCCACCATGCTCAGCGCCTGTGCATTCGGTTTGCCGACGGATTCCACTTCTTGCATGTGCGGGCGCATGGTGTCACGCATTCGACAGAGTATGCGTACCGCGGATGGCTCGAGACCGCCACGCCGATCAACCTCTGCAAGCTTATCTTGTCCAGCTCTTACCAGTACATCTTGAAAAGACGCCAGTTCTTTCTCCCGGACCATCTGAATCTCGATGTGCGCTATGGATGGTGTGATGAGGACCACGCTTCGAGGGTTGCGAAAGCTGACCGTCAGTCCATGCAAAGAGGAGTTAAGAACCAGGCTGATATCCACATCTCGCTTTGCAGGAAGTGGAGGTGGTATCTGGGCGGCGTCCACAACAAGGGTTCCGTCGACGACGACTGCACATGGTTCTTTGTGCAGGTCGTATAGGCTGCCTCGGGATTTGTTGGCGTCTTCTGGCGATAAGAGGGGACAGTCTCCTTCAGTCGCCGTCTGAGTGAAGTGGCATGGGATCTCAGATGGAAGAGCGTCTGGGGTCGAAGGTTGCTCCTCGGCGATGGAGCCCACCGTACTCGCCATTGGAGTCTCGACGCGGTAGTATGATGCTGCCGGTGTGGGAAAACCTCGAGACAGGATGAGCTAGGTCGTGTTGACTAGTGCGTGGTGAAGGGCGGTTTGGGTTGACGGTCGCTCGACTCTGGAACGAGAGTGTGTTCATGCAGCTGTCGCCTGGTGAAGCCAGCGAAGGTGATCGTCGAAGGGTGAATGGAGTGTGTACGGATGAGGATGCTCGAGGTGCTACCTCAAGCCTGCAACCGGCGGCAAGATGTTGCTTGTGGTTGTGTGAGTGTTGTCGGTGCTGGAGTCGCCCACCGGACAGCCAGCTCTCAAGCGGGTCAACTTCGGACCAAATCTCGATTCCAGATTAAGGCATTATCATTCTATCCACACACGTCATCAGTACATATCACAGTACCAGTCACCAGATGAAGCGTGGCTGGTGCAGTGGTATGGTGGTTAACGGCAACCGTCACCACATCATTCGAAGCATCCAGATGAAGCGAGTTCGAATGGTGTAGGTGTAAACCGCCATCTCAGGATGTAAAATAAAAGTAGAATCAATCAGCTTGGTTTTCTCTAAGCCTTCCCAGGGGTTTCTCCCCGTTGCTTGTCAAGCGGGAAAGGAAAGTTCTTTTTGCCTTTTGTTTGCAGTTGTTATTCAGAATGGACGATCCCTTCCCTTGAAGTTTTCTAGGCGGTGGAATGACTCCTGGTTTCCTGAGCGGCGTCGGCCTTTTACATTTTGGAGGGGCCGCGAGTTCGATCATGGGCTACGGAAAGACGTTTTCGATTCGACGTCATTCTTGTGGAAATTGACGTTTGATGGAAGGACTTTCGCGATTTTCCTTTTTGCTTGCTGTTTCGATCAATGTGGGTTCGAGCCTGTTCGAGTCCATATTTCCATGCGCATATCTTCAATTGGCGGACCGATCAAATATTTTGCCTGGCATACTTGCGCTGCGACCCTCAGTCCACGGAATCATTCGCCTGTCCATTGGGAGGTGCGAGGAAGATTGCCACCTCCGAGGCCAATGAGATAATCTTCTCTCGGGTAGGTCGCAACATCATTTGAATGATGAGTCTAGAACACTATTAGTCAAGTGCATTCACGATGACTTGGAACGATCCTCACTTGACGACGTTCACAGGATACTCTCAATATCTCGACCTGCCGTCAGTGTCGCTTCTCATCATAATTCAACAGAAACCGTCACTTTACTTAGTCCGGAGTTGCAGCTAACGCACCTCCATCATACTCGTCGATTATCCCTCTCGCGATTTCCACGGAGACTGGGCCTGCGAGCCACGACGACCCTCCCTTGGCCCTCTCGACACTGCTTTGGCCGAATCGAAATTAATGCACGATTTCTGGCCGTCCCCAGAAGGCCATACAAACGTCCTTTCGTTCAGACGACAATGTATAGATGAGAGACAGTCACACATTGATGGAGAAGAGAGAGTACGTTGATTTTAAGTTACATGGGCACCCAGTTATTCTGCAAGGTACCGTTGGATGGCGTCGTGCACGGATCCGCCGCCCAGCCATTGCCCAGAATTTTACGCTTTGGCCACATCGTATCCTTCACGTCTACTTCAAAACGACTTGTTCTCTCATTACAACTCGAGCAACGTTCAACAGCATCCGAGGCCCAAGCTAGAGCTTGCGGCGCGTCACTGCCGCACTGATGAGGCATTCTAATGGCTTCAAGAGCACAACACTTCCGGAATCGGACCCTCGGCAGCAGCAGGAAAGAATGCACACATTGCACTCCTTGACGCATACGGCCGTCTGTCTGCCTACACATTGATAGAATCGACTCCATCCCGGTATTGGGATGCCTCGAAATCTCCAAGCAATTTAGTCCCGAATTTTCGGTCCCAGACAGTCGCCGGCAAGACATTTCCCAAAGTGTAGAGAAGAGCACTGGAATACAGAATTCTAGGCCGTACAGGACATGCAGAATTTCGACAGCAAGTACATTGAAAGACATCGTAAGCCTTGATCTGGTGTCACCAGCGACCTCAACACTGCAGAACCTCGAGACGATCGCTTCTCAAAGAGCAGTCTTCTCTGTCAAAGGAAACGAGCCTAGAGACGCAACACGGTGTTTGAGAGGTATGCCAATGGGTGCGACACGAAATGTTCGCAGTGCCGGGGATCCTTGGCCTCCTCTGGGGCATTCGATAGCTGATGCGAACGCTCACCTCTGCTACACCTCGAGCACACAGCAACCCAAAACTTGTGACTGGGCCACGACTGAAGTATTACATAACACTCATCCACCATTGCGCCTTCTTTCTTGTCTTCTGGGGATAGAAAGCGCCCCAGAGAGTACATTTTGCGATACGCCAGCGTTACATTTGGAAGCCGCTGCAGAAGAGTGCCGATCTTCAAAGGCAAGAATCTACAACACCCACGTCAGCGTCTTAAGCTTGTTTTGCTACAGTACTACCAATCAACGGCTATACCGGACGGAAAAGAAACGAAAGAGGCTTGCGATCTCCGCAACGCAGAAGACGCCATGCCGCGGTTCGGTACCTTCAAGCTTCTTCTTCGGTCTTTATAGAAAGCTTGACGGAGCTTACCGTTTGTTCGCAAAACTCAATGCGGCCGAAACAACGCCACAAGGCCGCAGCACACGACAATCTCCAGGATGATATACATCTGAAGTTACCTGTTCAGGAAACCGTACTGCATGGTGAGTCGCAAGCTTCCGAAGCCTTTGCACCATTCGCGGCAGCTGCACTACTGTATGTACTGTATGTACATGCGTGGAAACTGGACGATCTCTACATTCTCCTCGGTAGTGGTCGTGCGAGTACATATACACGTTCGGTAGGTCGCTGTGACATTCCTCCTCTCCCATTCAATCACTTTATTTCACACCTCCAACATGAAATCTGCTCTACTCTTATCGCTCAGCGCTTTTGCGCTCGCAGCACCTACCAAGGAAGCTGCTTCTGGCTCAAAGATCGCCTTTTCCCGCGCAAGGCATCAACACAAGCCAAGAGCCGACGGAACGGTTGACCTCGACCGGTTCTTGGGCACTCTCAAGTACACTGCGCTCAAGTACAACAAGGACTTCCCACTGCCAGATGTCCTCCAGGAGGCATCATTGGTCCTGAAGCGTGACACTGACGCGGAAGACCCATTGACCGATCAGGTTGAGGGCGATGAGGATGAGCTGTAAGTAGACACCAGATCTTGAAGATCGCAAATACTTCATAAAACAAGACCTGACAGAGGTTCGTAGATACTATGGCCCTGGCTACATCGGCGCCGCCAAGCAGCTATTCACATTCGACTTCGATACCGGTTCCAGCGACACCTTCGTCCCAGGACCCCAATGCGGCGCAGCACAAGGTTGCCCTCACACACAGAAATACAACCAACAAGGCACAGACGAGCACAATACGACTTCAATCACCTACGGTTCGGGTTCAGTCTCCGGAGAGAACTACTTCGACACCTTGACGGTTGCAGGCCTCACTGCCCAGAAGCAGAACATCGTCTCTCTCACACAAGCGGCCGGTTTCAATGACTCCAACGCCGACGGACTGCTGGGCCTCGCGTTCCAGAGCATCGCAGCCTCAAAGTCTACCCCCTACTTCTTCAACCTGGTCAACCAAGGCACCGTCAACCCCACCGAATTCTCCTTCTACCTAGGCCGCCAGAAGAGTGGCACCGCCCAAAACTCCGAGCTCACCCTTGGCGGCCGCGACGAAGCCAAGTACACCGGCGCCTTCACCAATGTCCCCGTCACAAGCCAAAACTACTGGCAAGTCGCCATCGGCGGCGCCAAAGTCGGCAGCGGCCTCAACCTCCCCACCCTCCCCACAACCGCCGGCCAAGCGGCTATCGATACTGGTACTACCTTGATCATCGCTCCAACCATCGCAGCCGCCTCCATCTTCGCCCAGATCCCCGGCTCCATCCCCCTCCCCCTCGGCGTCGGCGTCCCCCTCATGACCCTCTTCGCCTACCCCTGCGCCTCCAAGCCCAACGTCTCGCTCGTCTTCGCCGGAAAGAACTTCGCCGTCAACAACCTCGACTTCAACTTCGGCACGCTCAACGAGGGGCTTGGTCTGGGTCTTGCGAACAACACCATCGCGGGCCAGCTCGCGAACGGATACTGTTTGGCGGGTATCGCGGGTGCGGATCTCGATCCCACCCAGAATCTGTGGGTTGTGGGTGATACGTTTTTGAAGAATTGGTATTCGACGTATCATTACACTAGCCCTACGAGCGCTTATGTTGCTTTTGCCAAGGCTGTGTAGATGAGATGATGATGACGAATGATGATATGAGAGATTAACGATGAAGGAAGGAACAGGTACTGCAGTCACAGGAAGACATGCAACATGCGAGGATGCAGATTACGATCGATTCGAAAAGTTCAGACAATTATATGTCACCTTTTCCGTCCCAAAACTCCCGTCCACCCAGGATTCACCGTGTCAGTGCCATCAAACGCAACAGCGTAGTAGCATACCGCCGTAACGAGATTTAATATTGCAAACCAAACCTTCCCCGTCCCAGGATCGGCCTTCCTAGCAATCTTCCCGCAGAATCGATAATCGGCGAAACGTCGAAGATGTTGACCAGCATGAATCCGAGGAACCAGATCGTTTGCAGAGCGAAGAGCTTGAAGATGTGCCAGCTCAGCGATAGGCATGCGATGAATTTCGTGCGGAAAGGTCCGCGAGTCGTCTTCCATTGATGTCGCAGGGCGGCTGGGATTTTGGAGCGGAAGTTCCAGAAGGAGTAGCCAACGAGGAGCCAGTTCCAGTGTGTGTCGCTGATTCGATATCTAGATCTCGTCTTCTTTTGCGTCGGAGCAGTTGCTGGGCTCGGAGGGTTTGAATTTGAGGATGTATTCTGGTTCGGCAGGTGCGCATTCTGCTGCGATGGTGGATAGACAGTCTCAGTGACGGTGGTATTGTGCTGAGATAGCTCTGCTGCGCTGACTTGATTGTCCTTGTCGTCTTTTGTATCGACATAGCGGCGTAAAGGCAACAAGAGAGTGATTGAGCCAGTTTGTAGGAGATCCTAGGAGATCCTCTACAGGATTGAGATTCGAATTCTCTTGAGCATCGCGAGGCTTAGCACCGCCTTCATCAGGGTTCGGTTGCGATGATGGCTGATTGGTGATCTGAGACTGTGGCTCACTTTCTGGGGAAGACTGGATCTCATCGGCATGAGCCTTGGTCAAAATGTTCTTCACACGAACAAGTGCGGCTGCCAGAACATAACTTCCAGACGTGGTGAGCAGAATGAGCGGCGCGGTGTGCCAGACCATAGATATTAACGTAGTCTCATTCTTCCGTCCCTTTTCCGCGTTGTCCCCTGCTTCCAGTAGCATTCTCGGGTAGGAAATGACCAGCAGAAATGGTAAAGAAGCCATTATCGGCGAGACAAGGATCTTGAACCATCGCACAAAGGCCATGGGCGCAAGGAGAATGCCCAAGATCCAGACGAGTGTGAGTGTTACACTGAGGAAGACCGAGATGGCGCCAACGAAGAGACCAAGCTCGACCAAGACAATGCCAGGTGTGTCACGATGCAGCTCAAGTTTGTTGGAGACCATGTTCCACGCTGTTGCGGCTGTGATACCATGAGCCAAGAATACAGATGCGCGAATCAAGTCCGATTTTCGGCGGTTTTCGCGCAGCCATGAAGAGATGGCCTTCTTCTCTACCTCAGCTCGTTCTGATAGGAGTTCAGAGACCGTCGCGAGAATGGTACTGGCCAGGAATATGGCAGACAGCGTCTGCGTCGTTGGAATGCCGCGCATACCAGCGATCTTGACAGCCTGGGGTAAGCCACCCAAGATAAAGAGCAACGATCGAACGGCGATGGAGTCATGCTTTGGTTTGTGCTCTGGTCCTGAAGACTCATGCCCAGGAAGACGGTCTCCTTTCGGCCTGCAACAGGCTCTGTAGAGCACTCGGGCAAGGACGACTAGTTCGAAGAAACAGTCGACCAGACAGACGACCGGGGACGAGAGGTGAGTGACAAATGAGCCTTCCGAGCTGCTGTCTTGGTCGTACAGCGTCCTGCTGGCGAAGGAAGGCCGAGCCATTGCATTGAGAGCGAGCGCCAAGATAGCCCAGAAGGCAGTCATGCCTGCGACTGGTTGGGACATGTCTGAGAGGATTGAAAGTACTGTCGACGAAATCAATCCTTTCAGATTTCAATTTTGAAGCGTTCATTTCCTTCTAGATACTTGGTTAGAGTAATGGTCTTGAAGTATAGAGGCCGCCGAGCACCGCCATGATGATCTGTGGCGGAGTAGGTACTTCGTTATTGCATGGCCATCGTGGCTCACAGCGCAGAGTCTCCGTCACAGGCCTGAAGTTATCACCACACGACGTGAATGAAGAATTTTGTTAGACCACATACACGATGTACAACAGTATAAATTGGTGAGGTGAAGTTGGACAGAGAGGAAGAGGATGCCTCAGGAACAATTGACTTTTCGGCACACCTTCCCTGGGACTTAAGCAAGAGATTTGAGCACGTGACCTTCAATTCCCCGTCCAACCTCACGTTCTCCCATCAGCACCAGAACAACTTGCAAACCCGCCTCTCCCAAACGAATCCGAAACACCATGGTCGCCGGCAAGAGCAACCCCGCCAGCGTGTCACGCGCAGCCACCCAAGCAGCGCCTCGACTTCCTCCCTTACCGAAATTGAAAGTACGAAGACCCGATCGTGCAGATGCGAATCCTTGCATTGGAGTCATGTCGAGTGTGTTGGGTGCGTCAGGACACTAGCAAAAGATGGAACAAGAGTGAGGGCAGTGGCTAATAAATGGAACAGGATGCTGGGCTTCACAGGGATATTCAACAGCTGGATGCGCTGCGCTGGAACAGTCGTTGAGGTCTTGTATGGACGCGAGGGTATGTTGGGCACTTGCCCATGAAGGGGATGTTGAGATATAGCGGACTGACGATGGGTGATCTTGCAGAAAACGCAACAACAGAAGAAGAGCAGCATCAACCACCACCTGTCGAGATTTTACCCCAACATCATTGGACCGCACAAGAGGGATTAGACGCAGGTTTGTGGAGATGGTAACAATATTGGCGTCGTGCATGCACAATATGGAGTTTTTGATGCTATGAGGGAGACGATACCACAGCGATTGAGCATTTGCAGGCGTTTCGGGAAGCAAGACCGCGGTTGGACTTGTACAGGGCATGCTCTCTTAAGACAGTGAAAAGGATGCACCAAAGGAGGGCAATTGATTATACATTTGCGTTTGACGATTCAATGTATCATCTACGCTGAGCTAAAAGGCTCACAGTCTTGCAGGCGATCGCCGCAGCACTGTACCGTAATCCATCTTCGCACGTATCTTCGTCACACATTCCACATCACCCCTTTCATCATAGTATAGTGCCGAATCCAAAGGTCGTCTTGATACTTCGGACGTAGTACTCGTCCCAATTCCGCTTGGTTGGCTCTTCCTGTCCAATTGGCACACCCTCCCAGTCGACGCGCATGATCGTCACAGCATCAACATCGTTCTGCTCGAATTTGATCTTGAGCGTGCTGAAGTGACCTGCCGGCCACTGTGCCAACCGCCACTTCTGCTCAATGTAAGTCGGCTTGTTCAGCTTGGTATACTCTCCCGACACGTTGCCGCCGAATATTTCGAACTTGCCGCCTTCCTTTGCGCCTTCAAAGACTTTAGGTGGTGCTCGCGTGAAGGCCGCAATGCGCTGTGGGTCGGTGAAAGTCTCGAAGAGCTGCTCGGCAGTAGTGCGGAACTCTTGCTGGTCAGACAGCGAGGTCACGTTCACGTGGCCCGAAGTGGAGGTATGAGAAGCCTTGGAGTTGTCTCCTTGCTTGGTAGACGATCCCTGCTGCAGGGTCTTCGGTGTGCTGAAGCCAGACGAAGGATTTGAACCAGGGGCGTGTTGGATGTCTTTTCCATGCTCAGTGATCAGAGCTGGAGCCAGCTTTTGTAGATGTTTGCGGAGCTGCGGCGTGATTTCTTTCCGCACAAGCTCCTTCGCTGGCTCCTTTTCTAAGGAGGAAGAGTACAGATCCACCTCGAACTAGGAAGAGAAGTCAGTAACTGCACTCTTTTCATAGCGTGTATATAGGGCATTGAGGAACGTACAACATACTCATCCTCCTCCGTGTCGTGTGCTACTTCGGGTATCGTGATTGTGCCGCTGACGTCCTTGTGGCCGTCCACCTCCTCTTTGGTGCCATCGTCCTTCTCATTCTCCTCCTTGACAGGTACCTTGCCAGTCCACTCGAGTTGCAATCGTACGTCAAAGATGGTTATGACTTTGCCTTTCCTCTGCGAGACATCCACATCTCCGTCCATGCTAAGCACTTTGCTAACCTCGGCGTTGACGCCACCCTTCTCGGCCTTCAGTCCAACGAGCTCTTTGTTCAGGTAGTCTTGAGTCCAAGCAGAGACATCCTTGTTGACCCAGTGCCAGTTGTTGGGGTTGTGGAGGACCATGGTGAGAATGTTCCGCTTGCTGCGCGGAGGAAGCGAAGGTAGGTCAAAATGCGGCTGAAGTTAGAGCTGGCTGCAAGCACGTTAGCGACTGATCTCCAATGCGTTGAGGAGTGGTATTGAGTGCAAAAATGTGAATCAGGACATTGAGATTATGATCTCGTGCAAAGCTATTCCGCACAAAAAGAGTACAAGTCTTCTCGGACTGGTGCCAGCTGGTGTATCATCATAACAGGGAATGACTGAAGAGTCGAGGGTTAGACTCACCTTGCGACTGGTTTCTCGTGGTTGGCGACAGGAGGAGAGAGGAGGATGAGGTGTTTGTAAGTGATGTTTGAGGTGGTGCTGCTTCTAGAAGCACGACGAAGCGAAGTCGAGAAAAGTAGAGCTTGATTTGCTGACTGATCTTTGTCTTGGCAGCCCTGAGGCCACTTTTCGACCTCACCTCCTCTTTGACTGACTACACATCTGCGTCGTCTCACAACATGAGCCTTTCCATAACTTTGAAGCAGAGTATTGGGCCTGAACAGTTTCGAAACCGCTTGGTGAGAGGCTTGCTTGATTGATGTACTCGCGCGAACTTCCATTCTGACGATCAAAGATCGCGGACTCTGCACAGCATAGGTGATAATACCGGGCTCTACCGATAATTTTCCCCTGTCTTGCCTGAGGGCATGACATATCGGGCAACGAAATCACTGCGGACCTGCCCTTGGACTGCTCAGAATGTTGTGACCCGCGATAAGAGCCAGCTCGGTCCTTTGCCGAGTACATCTCTTCCTGACCGACAAGGTCCATAGCCTTGGAAAATGCATTCAATTCATCTTCTGCCTCCGGAAGCATGGGATGCTTGAAAGAAACGTCCGTCGTCCTTGTTCCGCTCAAGACAAAAATATTTATCGCCGCTGCTCGCAAGCTATATGACCGGTCTGACGCACAAACAGGAACATGGTCGCTTCAAGAGATCGAAGAACGGCAGTTCTGCATTCAATTTTGAACGGAATGACGATGACTGCCACATGGAGATCCGCAGTCCTTGCTCCATCGAGACGACGAATTCGACCAAAAGCGATAATGGCTGTTCACGCCGACTTCGCAATGCATTCGCTAGCGCCCGCTGGAGCCGTGCCAATCACCACATCAATGGGTCTTGAAACCCGTCTTATCTTGGGCGCAGTACTGCTTTACTGCTGGCGAGTGAAATGCTGACCAAGAACAGACCCGCAAGATTGTTCAGAGGTCCTCGATCAGCACTTTAGAACACTCAGCAAGCGACAGCGAACGGCAAACAAATTCAGAGGCTGTAGAGCTATCAAAATTTCCCTTGACGGACCTGAACGACTATCAGGTATCTGGAAATCGCGCAGGCAACGCACACGATGGCCTGAAGGTGAGGAAGACACTGGCCGAAAACCTAACCCCAAGCGAAGGTGTGTAAAAGCGCCGGAATCCTCATGATATCACCTCAACGACATCAACCCATCTGGTGCTTTGGATTAGATGCGACCATAGGTGCCACGGCGTGAGCGGAGCAACCTGAAAAGGTGTGCTCACAGCTACACACCAGGTCGACAGCATGTCACATTGCCATCCGTTCGAGTGCGTGGCATAGTTGGACGACGCTCATTTCACAGACTTTGATAGGACTGCGAGCTTTACCAGGCGCAGATGTCGCTTGAAGCAGCGCTTTTACACCTCAGCACGAGCAGGGCTGGACGTTGTGAAGCGGCATGGCTTGCATCCAAGTCCGACTTTCACGCGATAGGCACCTCATGGTTGGATGGACTTCTTTGAACCGTTGTGATGCGATCGCATTGCGAGCGGTTGTGAATCATTCGCTCTTCTTCTTGACCCGGTAGGAGGGACTCGAGGGGAGATCTTCCTGACATCTCAAGATGTCTGAAGCGAAAGTTGTGCGACTTTGCTTCGTCTTCAATTTCACTTTCATTACTACGAAAAATGATATCCAGCTATTTTCTATCGATGTGGGAGACACAAGAGGCTTGGCGACGTATGTATGGAAATGCGTGTCCTGGTATGGCAATAGGTAAGCAAGTCAAAACCACCTCATTCTTGATGAATTCGTCCCATGGTACTGGGTCACTGAATTTCTTTGAATTCTTCGGAGACGTTTCTGTCGCTGTGCCCACCTCACGCACGCAACCTTGACAACGGCTCACAAGACGAAGATGGCCGGACTGCATGAGGCTGCTATCGATACAAACGTGGACCGTAGTGATGTTGAGATGTCAATCGTCAAGACTGAACAGGGAGTACCGCTACAGCACTCGAGTGCATCGTCGCCCCCAGCAAGGACGACAGCGAACCCACCTCGCCACGAACCTAGCCTTTTAGGCCTACCAGCTGAATTGCGTCTGATTATCTACGACTTCCTGACATCCGGTGACCGCAATCAAGATCTGGATGTCTTCCCAATAGGACACTTCGCCCTATCACCAGGGCAGTCGATGCCAGACTACCCAGCGTATTCTCACCACGTCCAGCTCCCTCCACGAACAGTCAAGTCCTGGAGCTGGATCCACACCTGCCGGACCATCTTCGAAGAAGGCAGATGGAACGTGATCAAAACCCACCTCGTCTCCTTCAGATCAGAGGGCGACTTCAACGCCTACGACACTGATATCCTAAAGACCATTCAATATTTTCACTTCTCCGGATTCCATACACATTGCTTCGCCGCGCGAGTCGAGAAACGCCTGGAGAAGCCCGTTTATTGGCGCGTGGTCCATAACTTCCACAGGAAAAATTCGCTGCGCCGGTTGGGGAGACCTGAGCGGTCTATTCGACTGGAAACGAGCTGTTGATGGAGAGCGAGGTTGCTGAAGTGTCGACGCTGGTGTTTGCTTCAGACTTGGACGAGCAAGAAAGAACATAGGATGACAAACCACTGCACTGAACACTGCCACTCGACCCCTCCCACGGCAGCGAACAACACAACGCACATCGCCGCCCTCCACCTGCACCGGAACGCTCGCCTCGCCAAAAGCCAAGCCCATCAACCAAGCTCCCCCAAAAGACACATTCTAGAACACCACCACCGTCACCAACGGAACCAAATAATTCGCGCACTTCCCCTTCCAGGACACAGCCACCACGACGACGACGATCATGACACTCTTCCGTCGACTCGTTTACGGTGAATAGTCGGCCCAGCAACAGCACAGCAACCCGGCAAGCCAGCCTGATTGATCGACAAGAACTTTGCTGCCCAAAAGCAAGCTTTGGCCTTGTCTTGTACGTAGGCGATTGGAGACCAGCAGTTAAACGACGAACGACAGGTCGATTTGCTTCTTGCTGCAAGTGAGCACTATATTACTATCTGTCGCACGTTTCTTGGGAAGCTAGTTGGGATGCACATAATTGGGGTGGAGAAGAAGGTTTCTTTTCGGGTTCTCGGGCTCAGGTCCTCTTGTGGTTGGTTATGCATGTGATGAATATGCACGTTGGCGAGGATTGGACAATGTGTCTGTGCTGTACTCGCTACTAGACGAGGAGTTGTATGTAGCTAGTGATGGTATGCAGCTCACATCCTTGGAGACACCTGCTGATGGACAGAGTCGAATGTACCTCCTCTTGCATGCGTCGACAGCGAATACATTCAGACAGGACCAGTCAAGGATGAACAACCACATGCAGTCCCGCGTACGGCTGAACCGATAGACAATCAACCACTCTTGGCAATGTGTTCGAGCAAACTCTAATCCAGGATAACTATGTACGCATGCCACGATAGACTCACAGGTTCCCAATTCCAACCATCCACACGGCAACCGCTAGGAAGAAACAACGCATCCCCATCTCATCATTCTCATCAATCCCTCCATCCCGCGTCCTTCCATTTCGGATCCACAAGTTAAAGTTTTCCCACGGGCCTGCCAAATTCGCCACCACCACCCTTGCTACTCCATCAGCGCCGTCGTCTTGCCTCCATGCTCGTGCGGAAGATACATCACCAGAACGCCCGTGGGTCTCCCGCGTCCGTCTCGCCTCCCATCGTCCTGACCGTGCTCGTCCTGGCAGTCCCAAAAGTCCCCGAATACCTGCCGGTGCTCTCCGACGTCCTACCCTTTCTGCTCATGCGTCTCCAATACGGCACATGAGGGTCCTCGTCGTCGTCGTAGCCGCGATAGTGGCAGAGACACGTATACTGCAAAGCCTCGACGAACTTCTGCCAACAAGTCTGCTTCTTCGACTCGATGACGCACCGCCAGCATTTCGTCTTGTTCATCCGCGTGTGCCAGGTTCCGCGTTGATTGCGCTGCCGCACCAGCTAGGCACGGTCGTGCTCGCTAGGTCCTGACTGCAAGGTGCTGAAGGTTGCTGCCCGGGTAGTAGGTCGATAGTGTGGGTCGTACGGGCTAATTGCGAAGGTGCTGCCGCCCGGATTGGTCACGAATGTGGTGCCCGCTGGCGCAGCTGCGACCGTCTGGGGTGCTGATGGAGAAGATGTCCCGACTGCATTGGCCTGGGGCTCGGCAGTTGCAGCTGCACTGCCCACCGGCGCTGGAGGCAGCACGGTGAGGTTAGTGCTTGCGATTGACGTCCGATTCCTAGGGTCAAATGCAGCATGGTCCTGAGCGATGGGCTCGGGAGCCGATATTGGAGATGCATTGCTGCCATCAAACCTTGCTGAACCAGCAATGTGCAGCATTGGTCTCGTCTGGAGCGCCGCTTGCATCTTTGCTAGCTTGTGTTTGCACAGCTGAGGGTCCTGGATGACTCTCGTTGGCGTGGCCGTCAGCACTGCCGCATTCTCAGGCCGGACTGCATCAAATTCCGGATCAATCCTCTCCGTGCAATCTTGCGTGATTCCCTCAGGTTGGGCTGTAGCTCGCTCGCTCTCACTCTGGATTGGATCAGGCGCGTGAAGTCCGGGAACCCGAAGCGATGATAGCTGGTTGGCAGTCTCGCTTGGCTGCTGTGGCTCACGGCGATCAGAGCACTGCAGGTAGTCATTGTTCACATTGGTCAGCGACGTTCTGGCGGTGAAGAAGCGACCATGAGTCTCTTCGAGAAAGCTGCGAATGACCGATTGCGTGGATACATCCCCTGCCGGCTCATCTTGCTCACGCAGCCTTGGATCTGCTGTACTCATCTGCAGTGATGGCAGAGGCCGGAGGGTTATCGCTCGTTGGCTGTCTCCGTTCGCCTTTGGGAACAACGACCACGAAGGGCGCTTACCAGGAGCAGACCGACTTGGACGTAGTCGTGCAGCTTGGATTTGACTTGGAGGTTGAGGAAAGCTCTGAAGAAGGTCATCCGTCCTCATCGTGCCCATGTCGGGTACAGAGCTTGATGGCGCTGGACTTCGCCCGGGGACAGATGGAGGCCGCAAATGGCTGGGAACAGCAGCTGATCGAAGAGCTCGTTTCGACGCTGCGCGGCGGGGCGATACAGGGACAGCATACCCGCTTGCATAGCTCAGTGCTCGTTGGGACGGACTCAAGGTGGCGCCGGTATCACCGGTATTGGTTGTTGGTCGTTGTGGACTGCCAACAGGGGTCACATCTCTGCAAGGAGCCTGTGGCAGGGGAGCCATGAGTCTTCTCTCGGGTATGGGCGGTCTTTGACTGTAAGTACTAGGAAAGGTGGTCGCATCTGGCTTCCTCACACTAGTTAATGGATGTGGTTGTGTGTTGCCTATCGAACGCCCTGTCTGACCACTGACTGGAGGTCTCCATAAACGTCTTCCAGGTTGGCTCGTTAGAGATCGAGCACCACTCGGCTCGTCATTCGGCATGCCGTTGTGAAGCATTTCTCTGAGCCTCGTCTCGTGTGAAGGTCTTCCACGGAGTATCCTGGAGATCGCATTCCGTAGATTACGTATCGAGGTCGGTCGAGCAAGCGCTGCCGGCGAGAGCATCCTCTGCGAAGGATGTACATCTGCTGGCCACCTTGACACCCCCATTGGCGTTCTCCTGCGCTCGGGTGGTCGGAAGGGAGGTTCCGCTGGCTGCAGAGAGACGTCTGCGACATTGCGCACAGGACTCTGCGCAGAAGAGTCTTGGCTGGTCGATCCAGCATGAGAGGTTTGGAAATCGCTGTGCAAGTCAAGCAGAGCATTCTCATCGACTGACTGACATTGACGACGTCTGCGGAGTGATGACTGCTAGCCACGTGCAGACTCCCATGCCATTTGAGGTTGAGCTGTAACGATCCGGCGCTGAAAGGTCCAATTCGAGGGCATCGTCTTCAGGGTTGGGACACTCTTTTGCTCGGTGATTGTGAATAGTCTTGTGCCTGTGTGGCTTTCACCAGGAGCAGGTTCGGCGGTACTGGCATCTTGACTGGCTTCTTTCTCAGCACCCGTGCCTTGCGTACTATCGTTTGACGCCGTCTTCCTTGATGATGGCACCGCATTGAAGACTGAACTGTGGTCGCTAGGTGTATCTTCTGACGAGTCTGCGTATTGCACCGGTATGATGGTTCGCATTGAGGGTATGCGCTTCAATTGGGTTGCATCTCCAGGACAGTACCCAGGGGAGAATGAAGTTCTGGTATCACTGTTGATGATGCCAGAAGGAGCAGGTAGCACCTCCTCGTAAGCTGCCATAGCTACGAAATGGTCATGTTACTCAGAATGCGAACGTGATGCTGGTGTATGTGTACATGCTTGAAGGTGACTCAGGAAAGGTACGCAGAAGAAGCCGAACGTTGCAAAGAGTGTGATTGAAGGAGACAGGGAAGTCAATACCTGTTGAGCGGCCATTGCCCCCGACGCCAACTCACTCACATTTCACATGTGGAAGTTGCCATCTTGCAAGCCTGGGAGTCGCAATACCTCAAGGTGATGTCCAGGAAGGAGCGCATCGATAATGCCAAGGAGTCTGGATGTTCGCATCTCTCTCGCGTCCACCACCCGCTGCATGCTCACCGCTCAGTGGTATTCAAGGGTTTGGATGGTGGTATCGCTCGTAGTCCTCGCTATCATTGCACCGGTGTCGTGGGGTGAGCAAAATGCGGTTTTTTGAAAAGATGTTCGAAGAGCTGACGTTGCCATGTTTCTCGCTAGAGCAAGCCCAGTCGAGTGAAACACGCATTAGCTCTCCGTCGAGCAGAACTGTGACCAGCCAGTGACGCGAGAATGTTGTTAATATTGATGACATTGACGAAGCAACCGCGACCGAGGTCGCAATGCCATTTGAACACCATCGTCGATGAGCAGTCAAGGATGTTTAGCGTCGTCTTCCGATATCCAAGGATAGGGTACTGATGCCGACAGCCAATATCTTGTCCTCCGCCGCATGTCCCTGCAGCTGCTTCTGCGCAGATGGAATTCGAAGGCGACAAGTACGAATGTTCCTGGTTGTCAGGGGAATCCTAGCCCAAGCACCTGATAAATGATGGTTGCGTCGAAAATCCTTGAACGGTTGCTACATCAGAACGAGAACCCGTCTTCAGCCTCCCATACGTGGTTTGGTTGCACGATAAGACAAGCAATACATGATAGCACATAAGATTGCGCGCAGGTTGTGGGTGAGGCATCCCATAGTAGCACAGTTGAGCCCCAGGGACGTTCACATGTGCCGTCTTTCTATTCTGGCACAGATGAAGTGCGACTGCAAACGAGCATGCACCTGAAAGCGGCTAGACTGTCTATCATTGATCCAGTCGGTGACCTTCCGAGTAGTGCTGGATTCCCGTTTTGGAATGAACCTGGCAGCGATCAAGGTGTCACAAGCTTCGGGCAAGCCAGTAGTAATAAGCAGGTTGATCCACACAGGTCTGCTACCGCATTTCTGGGTCCGGCTGGGCTTCCAAGTTGGAGGGCTTCGCGCTCGGGAACGAGAAGATAAGCTGCGGTTGCAGGCCTGCAGCTGCTCGAGTAGCAAGACAATCGCTGGACAAAGATGCCGACTGCCATGTGGAAGTGGTTAGTGGATGGCTTAATTAGTCGTTGCCGATGTCGCGGAGAGCACCGACAAGCCGTACGGCTGCATACTCACGAGCTCAACAGTCCAGCCAACGTCACACTGTTGTACAAGCCTGCGGGTTCTTTTCCGAGCGCCTCGATATCGGTAAACCGAGCGATCGGTAGCGAATACCTCGCTCCCATTCCGTGGTTACGATGAAGATCATTGTCGGTAAAGCCGATGGCACGCTGGTCGCCAGTATAGATGCTGTAGTCTTTCCAGAATGACTGCGACTGCCTCATTGGCGAGAGTTTGCAGTACCTGCACGGCTGTACGGCCTACGTTCACAGGCAACCTGCAGTTGGCCGCATGTCCCACAGGCTCGGTTGCGAGGGTGCAAGGGTGGATGCAGGGCAGAGCTGTCTGTGTAGACGTCGTTGCATTCGTAAAGCGGAGTGCGCGATGTATTTGCAAGCTGTTCGATTAGTACCTAGGATCCACTCTTGCGTGTTTGTGCTTCTCGTCGGAGCGGCGCACGGGCGAAGGTCGTGGTAGGCGATTCGATGGCGTGGATGGGGGCGGTTTCTTGGGGATGGTCTCCGACACTGACTGATCGTGGGCGCCTTGCCGAACGAAACGCGGCCATCAAGCTGCCTCAAAAACGAGGACAAAAATTTATCTGATCCTCACGTCATCTTACTTGTGGCAGGATCCCGCCGCTTCTGCACGGCGCTGAGTCGCGGACTTTGACTTTGTCTGGCAGTCTGCTTCATGAATCGTACAGATGCGGTGCCGGCTCGCAAGTCCCGTTGGTGGGTGATATATCCGGATGAAGCCACTGCACGGAGTTGCCTGCGCGAGTGGTTCAGTTCATTTTTGAAGACCAGGTCGCCGCTGCCGAGCAATTAGATGCCGTCCCAGCGACAGGGAGGATTCGCCAATTTCGCACCCTCCTGGCCATGGCCGCGTACGGAGCGGCGCTGCCGTGCTACGCAGGCGTAGTGGTCCGCACGTGGGATGAAGGCGCAAGCGGAGTGCGCCGTGGACCAGATGGTTATAGCACGGGTGGTGTTGTGTTAAGAGTTGAGTGGTTGCAGGCGGCGCATTCTGACAAGGAGCCCCACAAAAACAAGGTTCGCACCGGCTGTCCGTGAGCACACAGGCGTGATGGCGCATGAAAGGGCATGGTCGAAGAAGGCACCGCAGAGCCCGGACACTGTGTAGAAGCGGTGGCATGTACAACCCACCTCTCGAGCTAGTATGGGAGTTGCAGCGTGGAGTCGCACCACTTCCATCCTGGCCCACGGCCACGGGACATGGGATGCGCGCCGGGTGATCGAGCGCCTGGTCGTGGGAGCCCGAGGGTATGGGTAGCTGTTTCGAGACGAACATTCATTACGTCTGCGAGCTCTTGACCGGAAGCCTTGGCTCCAACCATGATGATCCATAGAGGAACATTTAGATTTCATAGTACGGGTTGCCCAAGCAGCATCGGCCCACAATCTTCACGCAGCAGGGGAGTCAGGGCCAACGGCACAGCCGGAGACAGTGTGAAACAGGGTGACTTTGCGGCTCTAATGGCGCGCAGTCTTGGTCTTGCTGTTGCTGCTGCCTCCCGCACATGCAGAAGTGCAAAGGTAGCTCGGTCGGGAAACGAAGCCCAACACCAATGCCCAGCCCCGTCGTCAATCGCTGATGGCTACCCCGAGTCATGTCCTGTGGGTGTTGGCGTTGTCACAAATTGCCCCTCGCCCGACTGACCCTCCATGCCACTTCCGTGTGTTGCACCCAGGCAATGCGTGGAGTATGGTGTGAATTGGAACAAGTAGTGTTGGTGTCCAATCCGGCAAAAGGCGGGATACAGAAGGATGCGTGTGGTGTAAGGCAGCTGTACCTCGCGCCATTCATGGCCTGCTAAACTTACCGACAACTCTGTCCTGTCTGAACTCCAGCAGCCGCACTAGCTCTGGCGGGTGATAAGAGCAAGGGGGCTTTGGACGTGCATGCTCGGGGTTGGTGGTGGTGTCGCGTCGTCTCGAACACCCGTCTGCCCTGACGAAAGAAAGCTGTCATTTGCCGCCATTATTCAGTAAAGTTAATAAAGGTAACTATGATGAGTAAGCTGTTTCGCGAGGAGCCAGACGAACCGCTCCCGGGTTCATGTGTCATGGTCCCATCTTTAGAAACCTGCCAACCAAGGCCATTTGTTCGTTAGGCGTAATTGAAGGGCAAACCGCGAGGCATACCGATGCCGCGCGGGATGCGAGTTGTCAGACCGCTGCGCCAGCACGGCTGGTGAGAGGGTGGAGGTCTGGGTGGGTAGACCGCCCAAAAGGTTCGGCTCGCCAGCAGAGCCGTTGGCCTGTGGCATTGGTCGTTTTAGGCCTGATCTAACCAGTGGAACTCCAAGTGAAATTGACTTTGCATGCGGGCCTGCATAGTACAGGATTGAGCCATGCGTCAGCCCAAGTCCCAGAAGCATGTCTCTGCAACGCGAATGCAGGCCATACGCTAGGTTCTATACCGCATGACTCCTGTTCCACCTTCATTGCAAGGGTGTTCGAAGTCGTGCTGGGGAGCATCTGGAGGTCAAGCTAAATAAGAGCCCTCGCCCCAAGCTTGCAATTTACTAGAATAGCTGGAGTTGGGCCTCAACTCGGAGACCCTTTCCAAAGATCCTCCTTTGTTGATAAGGCTTGTGCACTCACAGACTTCTTCATCGCTTACCTCGCTTGTCTTTTTTTTATCCAAAAGTTCGGTGCAGCATTTTTTGCGGCGTTTCTCTCTCTGGCCTGCAACTGTCGTTACCTATGGTTCCGCCCAGACCAGCTTTGGCTCAATCCGAGTCCAAAGCACGATTCTTCGAGCGACTTGGTCTTGACGAGCACAATGAGTATCACCGCCGAGTATACGCGATGATGAAGGTGAGCCCAGCGTCAGGCCCTGCTTCTCCTCGAGCAAGCAATCTTACCTTTCCCCAGGAAGAGGCTGTGGAGGGCCGAAGACGAATGACCGAGAGCCAAGACGTGTTGGTTCCATCACTCAGAAACTCCTCCGTCGAGCCACCATACAGCAATGCCCAGATCAGCGAGACTGTAACGCACCGCGAGATTCTTCGAATATACCGTATGGCGCGACCGGAAACGAGGGTCGTATACGATCTGGGCCGAGATACAGACCGAGTTGAGGAGGAGAACTGGGTGATCCGGTGGATGCTCTGGCACGTCTTTCGCTACCGCGATAGTCGCAACAGAAATCGCAGAGTCGTCTCTCCCAGTCCAGAGCGAGGTGCAGCTCGGCCCAGCACGTCTTCGTCGTATGCCTCCGTCGGGGGACATGTGTCCTCGCATCACCGCCCCGGGACATGTAAGTTGCTTGACCGACATGGAGGCTTCCAGTTTGGAGTCTAACTCTGCACGCAGATGCGGCCAGCAGCTCTAGCTCTCATCGGGCAAGCCATTACTGGGATCCGGTCCGTAACCAGTGGTGCGTGTACAGATAACCATCACGTGCTGTCTTTCTCTTCGGCCTCGCGAATGGCCAGCAACATTTGTAATAATATCAAAAGACGCCGCAGGTACGGTGCGATGGAGACCGCCACATCGTGGAAGATGCCGCGCGCCGGTGTTTCTGTTGTTGGCGACGCCGGGTATGAGTACTATTTGGGTGCCGGAAACCATGGACAGCAACACAGGCCGGATGGGTGCGCGACTCGCACGAGTGCGCGGACTCGCGGTAGGACTTGACGTCTGGATCGCCGTCCGCGCTGACCGGGGCGACGAAAGCGACGTCCCTGGGCGCGATGCTTGGGCAGGCCCCATGCTTGAGGTGCGGTCGGGCGAATGCAAGCAGGGCGATCGGTGCCAGGCCAAGGGGACATCCCAGCGGGAGCTCTGAGGGTGAAGGTCTCGAAAGAGCCTAAGCTTTTCGCAGCAATATCCGCGCCCTCGCGCGCCGCCAAGAAGGGCTGCGATTTGGATTCACCAGGATGCGACGGGAGGGGGTTGTGGGAGGGAAGAGAATGCAGAAACGAAGCCAGCTTGCAGCGGTGCTGCTTCTCCCACTGCCGCGGCAGGCGAGTCGGCCCGACCGCACCCGCTCCAACTTCAACTTTACACTTCAAGGCTGGACCGCACGTGCTCGATACATTAATGATACGGCTCTGCAGCGCCTTTCTGGGACCGTTGCAGACAACTTCTTAATTAGAGAATCGGTAATTTTCACTCTGTCCAATCAGCGTATGCTCCGTCCTACACATCCCCATCCTCAGACAGAACGAGTCGATCTGAGTGCCAGATCAACATGAGGCAAGCAGACATGCTTCCTACCGTGAGCGATTGATGTGACAACAACAAATTGTCACGCTCACCGCTCCGCACACACCTTCGATCGACCATCTTGCATGTAGCGTCCACGGGTAACTGCAGTGTTCTTGCCGAGATCGCACTAGGCGGCATCTAGCAGGTTCCGAGCAGTGGTACATCACGCAATAGCCTGGTCGCGAAGACGCTCGCGGAGACAGCGAGTGGTTCACAGTGCATCTACTTTCCAACCATGCCAATCACTCGTCCACACTATAGACGTCGCGAGAAGTCTGGAATCTTCGGCGCAACGTCCGGCGAGGCTGCTTCAAGTGCGGTCCCGCCAGTTGGACAAGCAGATTTGATTGACACACCGTCTTGCAGTACCTTGTAGTTAGTTGAATCCACGTGGTGGCTGTCACTTAATCGACAGTGGTAGTCGAGGCTGGTAGAGTCCGAATGATTGACAGTGGACAGCGACGCTCTTGGATGGTGTGACAAGTGGATGCGGGTGTTGACAATCTACATGTATGATTTAGTATACAGGCCATGTGGAATGTCACGATTTGGGGGCGAAGAGATCCCTCCAGAATTCCTTGAATCCATACTGCGGCTTTCGCTCATCGTACACATGGCTTGCTTTGTCCATGGAAAACTTTTCCAGTACTCCACCGGGAGTGTGACCAATGACTTCCACACCTTTGAACTTGGGCGCGAGAGCTTTTTCGCGTATCGCATGAGCCACTTCCGGGGCGACATCCGCAAAGCAAGACCGCAACTCCCGGCTCAGAATGTAATAGGGTTTCTTTGCAAGATCCGGCGCCATCAAATTGTAAGAGCGCGTGATACTGTTCAAGTTTTTGATCGCAAGGTCATGATATGAGCGCTCAGTTGCTTCCCACTGCGGGTCCCGGAAGGGTCGCACAGTTGGCCGCCTGGGTGGCTGGGGCGGAGGCGCTTGGGTGAATGAACGTTGTTCGTTGGAGGCTTTGACTTCTTCTTCCTGATGCGGCTCGAGTGATCCGTCGTCGTTGAATGTCTGTTCCGTGACGTTGATTTCTTCTTCTATGACAGCGGTGTTGTCAGCAGGAGGCGGCCTAAATTCACCAGATATTGTGATTTGAGACATGTGACCTTTGTCGTCAACACGATTGATCGTTTCAAGTTGCTTTTGGGGATTCTCAAAGCTCTCAGCAAAAGCGTATTCTTCGGCCAACTTCATCTGGCTTTTGAGGCTTCCTCCGCGGCTTGCGATCATGCGCGATACGTGTCGTTTCCAGTCTGCTCGCAACCTGCGGCGGAAAGTGTTTGCTGTCGATATAACTTCCTGCTGCTTCTCGATCCAGGGTGGCGTGATCTCTTGCTTTTTGATGATCTTGTTCATGAAGTACTCCGTGGTATCAATGAAAGGACTGTTAGCATTGTAATCACGCTCTAGCTTCTTGCCTCGATCTGGCAAGTTCTTGAATTGCCCGCGCGCTATGGCATCTTCAATACGCTCATTCGCCAGAGATGACAAGCCTTGGATCGTTGCAGGTACAGCTCGAGCACCGGGCTGAAATCGAGCTTTCATCTCGCGGCGGAACTTTTCACGCTCTTCGTCGGTTAGGCCTTCTTGTTCGTTCGCGTACGAGTAGACAGAGGATCTATCTCGAGCATTGGCGAGACGAACACCCGTGCCAGGCTTACTCTTAGGTCTTCCAGTGTCTACTCTCGATGGTCCACGAACAGACGGAACTTTCGCGGCGACTCGTAACGGCTTGTGGGAGTCGTTGAGCATGCGTAGCGACGCATCTTCGATGCTCTCATTGCCTGTCCATGGCCGAGCTGCAGCAGTTTCGCGCGTGCCTTTGCCAGCACTCGCAGGCATGCTGACCTGGGCGAATGCGCTCGCATTGTCACTACGAAAGCTGGCATCTGCAACCTTCTTCTCCAGCTCCCTCTTCAGGTCCTCGCTAAAGCCAGCCTCTTCAACTGCCTTTCGAGCACTCCTGCCGCCTGTCTCTAAACTCTCTTCGCTCATCTCTTTCAGGCGTCGGGTAAAGGCTCCCTCCTCTTCCTCCCCTCGAGGCTTTGCAGGGTCTCCATCTGTACGCGACGAAGGAGAGTCCGAGGCATGTCGCAGAGCGGGCGTGGTACGTCGCGGACCCGAGGCTTGAGTGCAGGATCGCAAGCGGCGAGCGCACGACAACGATATCGTCCTCCTGATGTCGGGCATGCAGAGTGTCGCGGATGTTGTTAGGGAGGCGTTGCAACCATGACATCTACAACTAAGAGCCACAGGAGCACGGGCCATCTTCGGTGCCCGCGCGTCCGAGTCGATGTGAGACCCTGCAGCTTCGGTTGACCTCCCCCAACCACGACACGTTGACCATCTTCAACAACAACCACCGATTCAGACGCCTTGCAGCCGCTGCCTCCTTTTCGATAATGCTGTTGTACAAAACCTGCTGGTTCTCTGTCTTGGCAACAGCCGCCGTGGCTGAGACAGGAGGTTGGTGCCACGAGTCGATCCCGCTCGTCAGGAGACAAGAGAGTCATCTGTCCGACTGACTCGGCCCTATAGTCGATGCCCAATATCGAATTCAATAAGCCGTCCTTCGCGCCCATCACTCTCCATAGCTCCTTCACAGATGCCACAAGGTACCGACAACCCAGCTGGACCAGCTTTGATGCGAGATGTCGCGCAGCTGCTGCGACATCAAGTTTCGGCCATAAATCTACCAACAGACTGGAACCAAGCGACTCATGGCATCAGACGTAATGAGCCCGTCGCCACGCATCACCATCAGTACAACCCAATCGGCCTACCTCCCTTGGTTGGGAAGATTCGGTCAAAAGATCAGAGCCCGGTCGGTGCCTGAGGTGTCAAAAGGCAATGGGCCTCATACTTTTCTGGAACAGTTCACCGTGGAGTCTGAGTGTGCCCTGAAACTCATCGCATATATGTCACGAAGTACGCCAGCTGCCTTCAATCTCCAGCATGCCGTCAACACTATCGCGCTGTGTATATTACTCTGGCTTTGGGTTCTGTTGGACGAAGTATGCCTTCCCGTGTCTACCAGCGACTTGAAGGTGCAATCTCATAGTGCGCAAGTGCCAACAATGGCCTTTGTATATGGTCTGCTGCTGAGGTGCACCTCTTTGGTGGGGAAGTGTGCAGCAAAACTTCCTGCTGTACGTTCCAGTCTCTACTTACTTCCATTCATTTCAGTATTTCCTTGTAATCTGCTTCAACGCGGGATTCGGCAAGAGCCTGGTAATCCAGGACTGCTTACTACACATCGACCGATACTCCTTCTATTTCCGATTACAACAGCCCATCGACAGTCTACTATGTCATCTGAATCCAGCACCCTCAGTTCGCATGGTCCTCTGCTGGCTCAAGGACCACGCAGACAGTCCTTTCCCCATGAATGAATTCACCAAGGCCATTGGTTACGATCTACAGGGATCTCACGTTTTACTACAGCACATTGCGCACATCAGGCCGTTCTGGAAGCACGGCCTGCCATCAACCCATCGACGACGCCACCAACTTTATGTTGGAGACTTGCAACCACGCCTGACCAAAGATCTGAAGCGGGTGGGAAGGCTCATTGCGTTCGTGAGGGCAGAAGTCCAGGTCTTTTGCACCCGACCGTCGCGCATGCCGGTCCACGACACCGGTTTCACTCTTGGCTTGCTCAAACAGCTCGAGATAGCTCTGCAACACCTGCTGAACCAAATTGACTCCTTACCCAACGAAGAGCCCGCGCCGCCTGAGCATGCACGGGACAAAGCTGTACAAGACCGTCAGAACGCAAGCCAAGACAGACGCACCTTACACCACGAAGGATGTCGCAAAGACAAGCCCAGTAAACAAGTCCGCTTCGCTGGAATCCTGCAGGCGCAAAAGATCTCTCTAATCAGACCGGATCAAGCACCGGCCATCGTCACCCAATTCAAACCACACCGATGTACCTGCGACCAGTCGTTCTGCCAATGCCCCGAAAAGACAACCAGCCCTGTCATGCGTGTGGATTCCGCGATGTCCATCAGATGATTGCTCCCCCGCATCACCCCCGTCATTCCGTTCAAATTGGAACGCATGGAAAGGTTATCTCTCCGATTCCTGAAAAACGACTACGCATCTGTTCGCATTACAGGCAAGCTAGATGGCCAGCAAGTGATGGAGACGAATCTTCCGCCCAAAGCGGAATACCGAGGGTACGATTGCACAGCTCGCAAGTCTTCGATCCGGAAAGGAGAGAGTTTTTGCTACGCGGCACCGCCATCAGCTTGCAGCAGGATTGTTGTTGCTCTGGTGGAACTCTCGCGATGGGAGAGAGGATGCAACACTACATAGCGCACCGCATCTCCGGGCCGGTCTTCTCCACTAGCGTTGCAGGAAGGATCTTATTGCAGCAGCGTGCCAGTCTGTCGGTATTGTCGCATCTCGAACATCGAAAGTCTAACTTACCCCGACCTCTCCAACAAGTTTTCTCGAGAGTTCGCTTAGTTGCATGACGCGGTGCTGGAGAGATGATCCGTCGGCTTCCAATGCCGCTGCCAGCTGCAGCTAGACGACTTGGCTGATCTGGTGATTCTGCTAGATCAAGATGGGGAGAAACAGAGGAGCTGCATGCTTTTGACGGCCTGGTTGTTGGTGGATATCAGATCTGCATAAGCGCAATGACATATAATATAGACTCTGAATATGAGCGGTCTAGCCGGGGAATGGTTGGAACTACTTCCACATGCGTCTCGTTGCCGTCACCGCATGACTCGATCTGCAGAGAGTTTGATCATATTTTCAAAGAAAATGGTGAACACGACATCAGGACGCATTCGCAGCTTGTCTCCGTGGGCTATTCCGACCATTGCATGGAAATCGGAATACGAAGCTCATGAACTTCGTGAAGCCAAATTCTCATGCCTCAGGCAGAAAGCTACCGGCCCAAGTCCGAAACAACCACTCTGTTGCAAGGATTTACAACATCATCTCTTCGCATCATTATCATCACCATGAGACTTCCGACGGGTCAAGTAGGGAATGCAATCCCGTACGCCTGGCCGCACGATGGCTCTCTCCCAAGAACTGCGTTGGTCGTCATTGACATGCAGAGAGACTGTATGTTCAGAAAAGTGTCTGTTCCATTGAATCGCCCTCTTCTACTGCCTGCAACCTCCTCTAAGTCGTTCCTTCCGCTAGCAAAAGCATCAGACTCGTCTCATTGGCATGATTCGCCTCTCATTATCGGCGATTTATATTCTGAAAATGAGTCGTCCTCCCTGACTTCTCTCTCAAGTCTGCGAAGAAGGCGGCTATCTCACCCACCAAGGCTACTCCGTGAAGCCCATGAGATCTATCATCCCCAACATCCGATCTCTTCTGGATTCCGCCTACCGAGCTAAGCTGCCTGTCATACACACCCGCGAAGGCCACTTGCCGGACCTCTCAGATCTCTCCTCCCGGGAAGAGTTCAGGTCTCGAAACAACCCTTCAGGCAAAGGCATCGGGGATGCGGGACCCATGGGACGATTCCTGATTCGTGGCGAGCCTGGACACGATACTATCTCGGAGCTGTATCCACGAGAGGGTGATGTATGATTTCGCTGGATTTAGCCCGGCTCACGTCTCTTACGCTTCCCCCAGATCGTAATCGACAAGCCTGGCAAAGGCGCGTTCACCGGCACAGATCTGAAGGAAGTTCTGGAGAGGAAGGGCATAAAGAATCTGATCATCTGTGGCGTAACAACAGACGTCTGTGTCCACACGACCATGCGGGAAGCGAACGACCGTGGCTACGACTGTCTGCTAGTTGAAGATTGCTGTGCAGCTGGGGAGAAGAAGCTTCACGAGGCTGCGGTTGAGATGGTGCATGGGGAAGGTGGTATATTTGGGGCTACGGCAACGTTGAATGATGTTCAGAGAGCTTTGGTATCACTCCGAGTTGTATGATAGTAGGACTGGTCGCTCTAGTCCTCCTGTAGAAGCACAATGTCAGGTCGCGTGACTATCGCGTCTAGTCTCTAAAATGACGTCATCAAAAAGTTGCAAGTGAATCTTTTTGGAGCTTTTGGGTGCCACTTTAAACAATACATCACACATAACAGAGCAACCGTGGCTCCTCCAACTTCCCTTACAAGCCGCTCCGACTCACGACCTTCCCAAAGCCCAAAGATTGGTCCCTCGCTCACCTTCGCCCTCTCCACTGTCCTCATCGCCATAGCCCTCATCATGGGCCGCTCCCGAATAACTTCAAGCGAAAACAACACAACACCCATCACGCTCCCCGCAAACTCGATCCCACCGCCCAACACCTTCACAGATGGCCTGCCACTCCCCAAAATGATCGTCTTCGATCTCGACTACACGCTCTGGCCCTTCTGGGTCGACACGCACATCTCAGGCCCGCTCAAGCCCAGCAAAGATGGAGGACTGACCGTGAAAGACCGCTACGGAGAGTCATGCGGCTTCTACAATGACGTCTCTGGCATTCTACACCACCTCAAGGCGAAAGGAATTGTCCTCGGCGCAGCATCACGGACGTCCGCACCGGACCTCGCTCGCGAGATGCTCTCCTTGCTTAGGATACCTGCCGAGAGCCAAGAGGAGGGGAGTAAAGCGAGGACCGCGATCAGTATATTCGATCATTTGGAGATATACCCTGGGTCGAAGACCACGCATTTCAAGAAGCTGCATAGCAAGAGCGGGGTGGAGTACGAGGAGATGTTGTTCTTTGATGATGAGAGTCGGAATCGGAATGTAGAGGATTTGGGGGTGGTTATGCAGTTGGTGAGGGATGGGGTTACCAGGGGGGAAATTGATCGGGGGGTGGAGGCTTGGAGGAAGAGGAATGGGAGGACTGAGAAGGAGGAGTAGGAGATGGGATACCAAGAGATGGCTTTGTGGATGAGATCCATACGCACATCATGCATCGATAGACTCTGGATAACGAACCTGGCTTAAAGTATAGGAGACGATAGAGACAGGAACATGATACCCCACGAATGATAAAGAAAGAGATTTCAGCAGAGAGAGCTAGCCGGTTCCAAGCTAGCAATACCAGCAGCCACTGCCAAGGTATGTCTTGAGATGGGGAAAGCACCCCTGAATCACTTTAGAGGCTGTGAGTCTTGATTGAGCTGGATTCTGTATGTCTAGATGACTGTCCTGAAGGTGTACATCTGCCGACCGATCACGATGTCTCGAGCAACCGCACGATCGAAGCTTCTGCAACATCGTGAGACTGGATCCGCTGAGCCAGACATGTTTTTGTGGGTATGGCTGACACCCGCTCTGGCATTCACATACATCTACCCACGCGGTCGAGGACTAACTTTACGATCCATCCATAACGATTTCTCAGCACTTTAGACCCATCGAGAAACATTCTACTAAATGCTTCGGCTCCCTTCGAACCACATCAGAATGGGCTACCGCTCTTTATTTGCAGCCTGATCGACGGGCACTGACCCGCTCCTCATGTTATACCAAAAACACTGCTGGACAGCTCCCAAAATGGTTCGTGTCAATCACTTCGGAGCCGTACCTTGCAAGGACACCCAACTCAAGGTGAAGAAGCTCTTCTTCGAGCAACTGCGCATCGAAGGTAAGCCACTTCCCAAGGACGACGAAACCCCAAGCCCCACAACTGACACATCCTCGAGCAACTCCAGCCCTCCACGACCGGCTCTGCTGCAGCGTCGAACTTCATCGTCAATCTCACGACTGGATGAGGCTGACAGGCTTCTCGAGCTGCACATGCCAGCAACGGTGATCTGCTTCTCCGGATCTGTTCGATCTGGATGTCTTTCCGTGGAGCTCCCACTGGGCATCTTGCACATCGACATCGATGTCAAAGACAAGAGAGTTCGTAGCTACAAGCTTGACTCTGACCACATCGCTGTCACCTCTCGGTCCGCGGAGCATGAATCGACGCAGGATAGTTATCATGAGTTGGCTCTCGCGATTCTCAGACTAATCGAGCAGCAGGCCTCCGCACATGCTCAGACGAAGACACTACTCGAAAGCCTCCTCCACCCAAGACAGTTCTGGCATGCTCACTCGCTTCAACACGCCCTGAAGAAAGACCCACGATCGATCTGTAAGCAAGCTAAAGCGCAGCAGTACGGCTGGCACTTCATCAAGGCGGAGCGTATAGTCAATCCGGCTTTGGAGCAGCGTTTCTCTCCCAGAATTGAGACGTTGCGAACAAAATTGGAGGGCCTTTCGATGCAAGAGCTCTCGCAATGCCTGCCCGCCTCGAGCAAGTCCAAATCGAAGCATTCCATGGTCGAAGAGCTTCTGCAAGTCCAGCATACTTTCCATGGTACAAGCTCTGCCATCATTGACAGTATATCCAAGCACGGTCTGCTCGCCGCTGGTGACATCATCCCTGTCACCGGCCAGCCCATCGGCAAGAAGTAGGGTAGTACCTACGGCCCAGGTGTCTATGTGACGCAAGAGCCTCACCTCGCATTGACGTACTGCAACTGGAATGACCCAGCCCTCCTATACATCGACCCTCTCGAGAGGGCCGTCAGCTGAATGCGTAAGAGAGTTATCATCTGCGCCTCTGTGCTCGGCCGCGCTGCGCTTGTGACGCCAAAGGACGGCTTCAGAGAGAAGGAGTCGCTGTTCCCTGGAGCACACAGCCATATCGCAAATGGCGGCCAGGAGTATATCCTTCCTCGCGAGCAGGTGCTCCCTCTGTACGTTGTGGACTTTGACTGGAAGCCTGCGACAAATGAGACCCGAGATGCTTAGGTGGGCTATGCGGAGAGCATGGTGAGGCAGCCTGTCGACGATGTGGAGGTCCAGGGGCGGTAGTGGCGGGCGGGGAAACCTGCTGACGGAGCATAGGGGGTTTTGCAGACAACATGAGGGACGAAGCACCTTGCCAATCTGCACGAGGGCTGTTTAGTGCTTGACATAGAATCGCTGAAACTTTTCTCGTTATTCTTTTAGACACCCTTCAGGTATGTATTCCCTTGCAATCTTTTCAAATGACCATACTCAAGACTAGAGCTGCTAACCTGGGAGCTCCAATGCCACTGCCTTCGATCCTGAATGCCGCTTCTCTTTATCGACTGTCCATCTCCTTAGACAAGTACCAGCGCCAAGTGTCCCACACTCCGTCCTGTAGTATTCCTTGTCATCCCGATCGATTCGCTTGCAGATATTGGGGTCCTCTGTGAATGCTTCGAGCGCATCAAGCAGCGATCCTGTGATGCCGGCGACGCCTTCGATTCCAGTGAGTTGGTTAGGGCTCAGACGTTCCTCTGCAGTAAGGTCCTTTGAATAAATGATGGAGACCGTCTCTTCGGCTAATAATCTTCGAAGCGGAGTGTCGGCCGGACTGATGCGTAAAATGTAGTTGACCAGCTCAGGACTGTCGAACGGCAGCCAGTCCTTAGCGAAGTACTTGAGAAGCTGCATCATTACCGCATTCTGAAAGTCCCGTAGTAGTAGTCTGTCTCCAAGAGCCCAAAACTCGACTAAGAGCGTGATATCTTCGTGCCATATCACCTCCTCCGTAAGCAGTCGCTGATGGATGATCCAATGCAGCATCATGCCCCAAGCAGCGATCAAGTGTCCATCTTCCGGAAAGCGAAGGACTCCAGGTGCTTGAGTGCCCATATGTCCCTCATGCTTGATTGCCTTCTGGAAGTACTCAGATCTCCCAGTCAGGACGCTCTCCTGAACCAGCAACTGCTGCTGTTCAATGCCGTCGCCGATGAAGATCTTGATGAGTCGGTCGGACTTGAGTTGCCTATAGGGACAGGAGTCAGTTTCTGGCGTTGTATGTCGGCTGAGGTGGCTGGCACTCACTGCATGAAGTCCTCGATCTCACTTGGCACGGGTGTGACAGAGTGCGGTGTAAGCTTTCCGCTTCCTCCTGTTCCTGTCGCGGCGTCCATGTTGTTGTTGCAACTCTCAGTCATGGTCGTGCATTCGCGACTGGATCAAAGCAAAAGAGGAGAGGCGTCTCAGACAGAATTTCGTGGAAGCGACGAACGGGCGTGCGGAATTTGCCGCGCCGCACCAGCTGTTTAGCGCCAACTTTAATCGGCAAGTGAAGTGAATGTTGCTGTGTGGGGTAGAAAAAGGTGCTTACAATAAACGATCACAAAACAGGACTTCCTAGCTTATGAAACTGTCTGGTGCCTCTCTCTCGCTTGTCGGAGCTTGCTCTACGAACTGTCATCGTCGCTCTCCTTACTCTCATCGCTCATCTCATCATCAGATGGCTCCTCCAACCGGCTCACACCATCCACCACCAGATACTCTCGCAAGGAGCTGTAGTCCACCCGGAAAGCAACATCCCATCGCAAGAGTACCCCGTCCTTCTCCTTGTACGCTTCGAACGCATCGAGAAGCGAAGCCGCAATCCCAGAACCGCCCTCATCTGCTGCGGTCAAGTCACTCGACTTTATGCGCGCCGCCTGGTCTCCGTACATGATGAAAATGACCTCTTCCGCAATTATTCTCCGAATTTCGCTGCCAGCAGGGCTGAGACGTAAGAGCGTGTTCACCAAACTCTTGCTGTCTGGCAGATACCCTTCTCTGAAATGGGTGATGAACTCCATCATAACGGCATTCTGAAACCGTGGCATGAGGTACTTGTCTCCGAGGACCCAGGCGTGGACGCAGAGGACGAGGTGCTTGGTCTTAAGGGGATCGAAGGGGAGCCGCTTGTGGATAAGCTAGAATAGCATCACGCCCCATGCCTGCAGGACTGGGCCGTCTTCCGGGAACCGCAAGACGCCTAGCTCAGAGCCAAGACTCAGCTCGTGTTTGAGAGCTTTGGCGAAGTACTCTGAGGCATTGGTCAGAAGCCCCTCTTGCACAAGAAATGGCTCGTTTTCGTCTCCGATGAAGATCTGGATGAGCCGGTCCGACTTTAGTTGCCTATTCGCAGTCCTGTTAGAAGGGAAGTGCGACACCATGGAATTGGCTAGACTTACTGCATGAGATCTTTAATCTCCCTTGGCATGTTACCCAGCCCGGAAGTGGGCTGTATGGCTGGTGGCTGAGGGTCCATATTGTTGTCCTGTTGATCCATGTTTGACGTCGGCAATGTCGCAGGAAGAACGAAGATGGCCGCAGAAAAAACCTTATAGCGGGGCCAGTTAGCTCGCCAGATGCGCCATCACATGTGAACGGTGCAGCGCCGAGTTTGCATGGCATGTGAAGCGAAGGATTTTTCACAACTTCACTTCACATGATCGTGTGCCCTCGCCTCCTCATCCACCACCACCTTCTTCTTCGCCAGAAATTTGTAGAATCAACAAACGGGCATCCGGAAGTTGCCGACCGGCGTTTGCACTTTTAGCGTCAACTCTAATCGAAAAGTGAAGTGAATGTTGCTGTATGGGGAAAGAGCAGATGCTTACGTGAGAACGACGAACACATATGAGACTCTCTTGGGCCTACACCATCTCCAAGTGTCTTCTGTCCTTGCTAGAGCCTCCATGTGCACTTATAACCCGAACTCCTTTTTGCTCGCCGATTTCCTTGCGTTCTTATCTTTGTCGCTTGATGAGCTCTGAATGTACTCGTCTGCCAACTAACTCGGCGGTCAAATGATCCTGGCTCCTTGACATCCCGTGCGTGGCGGAGTAGAGTTAGCGGGAAGACAGCCATTGACCCAATTGAACTTTTCATTTCATGCCCCATTGCTATCTCCTTTCTTCACCTCCTCATCAATCACCACACTCTTCTTCCGCACATCCTCCTCCACCAGATACTCCCTGCACAACCCCAACTCACCCCCCTCCGCATCCCTCACCCTCGCAATCCTCCCATCCTCACCCACAAACGCCCGAAACGCCTCCAGCAGCGACCCACTCAACCCCTTGCCCCATCGCTCGCCACCAACTCACTCGACTTCATTCTTCGACCCGGAAAAGCACCATTAGGCTCCTCGGCGTACATGATATGCACCGTCTCCTCCGAAAGGATCCTGCGGAGGGGCGTGTCGACGGGGCTAGTGCTCAGCAATTTATTGACGAGAGCGGCGTCGAAGGGGAGGGCGTAATCCTCGAAGTGATTGATGAGGGCCATCATGATCGTATTCTGCAATTTCGACATGAGGTACTTGTCAGCGAGCACCCAGGCCTGCGTGAACAACAGCAGGTGTTTGCCTCTCAGCGCGAAGTCCTGGCTTTCGGTGATGCCAGATGGGAGGCGTTTGTTCACCATCCAGTATAGCATCATGGCCCAGGCTAGTGCCTTGTCGCCATCTTCGGGGAGGTAGAGGACGCCGGAATCCAGGCATATGCCTTCTCGATTGTTTCGGATGATGTTGAGGAAGTAGTCGGAGCTGTTGATTAGTGTGCTTTCTTGTATGAGGAATGGTGGCTGAGTTGTGTCTTGGCCGATGTAGATCTTGAGTAGTCGGTCGCGCTGGATCTGCCTATTGAAGCAAGAGTTAACTTCGAGCGCAACTTCAAAGAGAGTCGGAGCACTCACTACATGAATTTCTCAACCTCCTGAATCGGCTCAATCTCATCGAGTGTCGGCTCCATCTGCGCAGGCGTCTCGCTTTCGCTGGGCTCGGGATGTTGATCCATTCTTGTCGGAGAGTTGTGGAGAAGAAGAAAGGTGTAAGTGAAGGTGAGGTCGGTCGAAGTATGGCAAGGGGCTGGGTTCTCGGAACGGCGCCACGCTACTTTAGCGCGAGGCTTGATCCCCAAGTGAATGAATGACCGCCGTCTCAGCTGAGCGACATGTTAGGCGCGGGTTGCGATTCCACCTGGTTGCAGGGACTTACTCGAGCGTATTCATCCTCGTGTGTGAAGCTCCGTCGGCAATAGAGAATGGACAGGCTGACTCCGTGTCGCACCTTCCACCTTCCTCGACTCATTTGAGGAAGGCACGGCGTCCACGAACTCCCTTCACATGCAAGGACACCACAGCAAAGAAACTACTTGCCAGACGGCCACGAAAAGAAACTCATCAACGAATTCAACCATCATAACGCTAGATATATTCATTCACTCAGTCTTATCCCATGCCGTCCCATACCCATACCGTTTCATCGCTTCGCTCAAAAAGTCCCGGTCCATTTCCCACGAAGCATACAAAACGCCAGAACCATCGCCGGGTTCAAAGTCATGCTCAAAACAAGGCTCATTCGTAAGAAGCAGATGCCTTCCCTAAGAAGTCGCTCAGAAACAATTCCCTCCGAAGCCCAAAAAGTGTCAATCAAGAAGCTCTGCTCGCGCCTAACCGTTGCTTTCCGTCCTGGAGATGCTTCTTTCGTCCAACGCCGGTCTGTATGATGCACAATTAATCGTAGTGTGCAAGTTGTGCTCGTGTTTCGATGTGATCGCATGGTGTCGGGTGGACTAGTCTGCCATATCAGCATCAACCTCCTGATCTGCAGCGACTATGTCCACTTCGGTCGTCTCGCGGCCTTTGGTGTCCACGACGACACGGCGGCCAAGCTGGTTTCGGGGGACGCCATCACGAGAAGCTCCAAAATCCAGAACCTGAGAATCTGTTAGCACGGCTTAACAGCAATGGGCTGTTTCAAACTCACCTCAATGTACGTCAACGAGTTCCGCTGAACGGCCGCAACGCATCGTCGCTCGTCAAAGCGAACTTGCCAAACGCCGCTCAGCTCAGTCAAAAGATCCCGAACGCAATTACCATTGCGCACATCCCACATCTTCAGCGTCCTATCAGAACCAGAGATGACTTTCTGGCCATCATGCTGGAAGCAAGTGATGGCTCCAGTGTGTGCCGAAAGGGTCGCCTTGCAAGCGCCATTGTCAGGGTCCCAAATCCGAAGAGTGCTGTCCGCTGCGGCAGAGACAAGACGGTCATGGCTCAAGTCGAGGAGACCAACGAGCGAAGTGTGTCCCTCAAGGTTGTAGAGGCAAGCACCGCTGTCCAGAGCCCAGACCTTGACGAGGTTATCCATCGAGCCTGAGATGCAGCGACCGCGAGCATGGTCAAGCACAACGCTGTACACCTTCTGCGAGTGGCCTTGCAGACGATGCACCAAGTCACCCGTCGAGATCTTCCAAACGCGAACAGTGCAGTCGTATGAGCCGGAGACAAGGGTATCGCCGTGCGCAGCGATGGCACGAACTGAGTTATGGTGGCCAGTCAAGGTGCGCAAGAAGTAAGGGTTGTCGCGATCGTTCGCTGGAGGGCCGGCCTGATGGATGGTGGGGTCGCCATGCTTTGGCAACTTCCACACTCGCAGAGTAGAATCACGAGATCCAGTGATGATTATTGGCTCCTTCGGCATCATGATTGGAGTGCCGTCGGGCTCGGTGTCGACCTGCACAGGCTTTAAGATGACCAGACATCGCACTGTTGACGTGTGACCGTGGAATGTCTGCAAAAGTCTGCCGGTCTTAATGTTCCAAACCCTCACGCTTCGATCCGTGGAGCCAGAGACAAGGATATCGCCCTCATACTGAAGAGCCCACACGCCTCCTTCGTGTCCCTCGAGTCTGGTGCGCAGTGCTCCTGTCTTGGTGTCGTAGACATTGATCTTCGTGTCGTCACTGCCGGTAAGGATTTTGTCGCTGTCGAACAAGAGGCACGTAACCACGTGTCGATGATGAGCCCTGAAAGCCAAATGTTTCGGCTCGCTCTCTTTGTCCATCCAGGCTTCGCGAATCAGGTAGTGTCGCTGATAAAGCGATTTGAAGAGGTGCATGTTACGAAGGCTCTCCAACCCAACATTTGGGTACGGCACAGCTTGGGTCGCGGCCCGGGCGAATGAATTAGCGCCCTTGGCGGAGTTGAACAGTTTTAGCCACTTGCCATTCGGAGTTGCAGTTGGTTTAGTGGCAGCAGACGAAGCTTGTGCGGGGCGTCGCTTTGCCTTCTTGATGGAGCTCGAGGCTTTGACGATCGACCTCTTCTTCATGCTCCTTGATGTGAGCGTGGAAGACGTAGTCAGCTCGTCGTCGCTAACAACGGTCGCATCGACAGACTCGGAGGCCTGGCTGAGATGGATGGTGCTGAGATCTTGCTCGTAGCCGTGCAGGCCAGGATGTTGCCAGCCCCAACCCTCTCGAACAGCTCTGGCAATCTCGCCGTCAGGTAGGGCAAATTGATCGCGGTCGAGCAGGTCCTTCCAGGCCTTCTCGTCCGAGTTGATGATCTTTCTCCATCTCTTAGATACCTGTGCAGCTCTACACATGCTCTGTGCATCCAGGAACCGCGTGATATTGAGGCCCAGCTCTGGCGGAAGTATGCTGAAGGGGTCACACTTCAATGCTGGGTTGACCACGTTGGCAACCATTTGCAGTGTGGGTTTCGCACATCGTCGTAAAAGTTGGTACATGACATAAGTCTGCAGGGCTTCTGGCATGTTGTCGAAAGCTGTGAACATGGTGGGTATGTCCATGACAGTCGGTCCGTGTTGTGAAGGTGAGGGTTGAAACGCAGCATTCTGAAGGCTCAGCGGTGCGGGTAGCCTGCCTGATCTGTTTGTCGATTGTGATTCAAAAGACTTGGTGCTTTGGGTCTTCCTGTCTTCTTCGAGGTCGAGGTTGCTAACGACGCTATCGTTCTCCTCGTTGTGGTCCGCAAACGATCGATCCAAAGCATTCCTAGACGCGAGGTTGGCAGCAGCTGTTATCGGTGACAAGCTCGGGCTAGGCAAGCTGGCGTCTTGCTGAGAACTTGTCACGATGCTCGACACTGTGGGCCTCCGAGGCGGCTCGTCAAACGATTTGTCCTGTTCGCCATCCGACTCCATGTCAGAGTCGATCTGCGGTGGCGTGGCAGTCGCTCCGTTTCGTGGACGACTGCTGCCGTGCAGAGTGTGATCTCCGGTCCTGGCTCTCTTAGATTGCTTCCGACCACACCCCACCTCTTGGTCTCTCGACTCTTCTTCAAGATCGCTCTCCACGGCACGTACATCTTCTCTTGCATCCTGCAGCTCTTGAATACGCGAATGAGACGGTCGCACCAAATTTCTGCTCTTGCCAAGACCAATCTTGCTGGCACCGGCCTTGGGCGCCCCCATGACGTCGGTATCTGGTGTGACGGGAAGAGGGTTTGCAGGTGCTGGAAACGACCTGGCTGCACTTCTGTCGTTCAGAGATGGAACCTCGGTCATTTCAGAGTGAGTGCGGTGCAGAGACGATCGCTGCTTCTTGGTCCTCCTGGATAAGCTCGCCAGCTCCGCCTCGTCTGCTGTCAAAGGAGTCTCTCCTTTCCTCTTTGTAGCGCTCACAGCACGTACTCCTGAGATATCTCTGCTATACGATGGCATGTGAACGCTCTGAGCAGGTGTGTGGTACCCAGTATGCTCCTCCTCTTGGCGTATAGTGCCGTTGTGCTTCAGCATCCTCCCTTGAAGATCAGTGTGCTGGCGTGCAGCAGCGGCCGTATCTTCTGCTTCGTGGAAGGCCACAGGTTGGCCACCAAACTGGAAATCGAAATCTCTCATGCTGGCCGGGGTGGGTGTGTGGGCGAGCGGGTACTGCTTCGGATCTCGCTCCTCGAGGTCTTTGGGAGGCTCCATGATCAGCGGCGGAAGCTGTACAGTGGTGTATGTGGTGACGGTCGTGACAGTCTGCTTGGTAGCAGGGCCGAGCGTGAACTGGCCCATGGTGGAGTTGTGGGGCGGCATGAAGGCGGTGGTCGTCGTGGTCGTGGTCGAGGAGTCCTGAGTCGTGCCCTCACCCGTGGGCGTGCCCGGTGCAGTAGACAGGGCAGCTTCCGGATTGGACACGCCCAGGCCGATGTTGCTGGCCATGGCGTGGTGTTCGCGTGTAGCACGCGAGAGGGTCGGCCGGCGGTTGTGAGGTTGCCGCCGATGCACGCAGCACGAGATGTTCGGCACGGTGCCGGGAGTCTGGTAAGCGGGCGTGACGGGGTCAGGCGGCGTGCAGTCGTTGTGAGGGCGGGTGAATGGTGGTGTTCGGGCGTGGTGGCCCCGTGTAGGCGTGAGTGAGTGATGCTGGATAGCCTTCGCCTTCCTTGCCTTCAACAGCCGACGCACGCGGTCCGGAAGGGGCTATCGTCGAGCACGTCAGGCGTCACTCATGCTGGACGTCGTTGGATTCACCGGGCTGCGGCTGTCTGGCGGCGGTGAGAGCAGTTCGGCGGGTGGTCGTGGTGTGGGCGTGGACGGGGTGGAGAGTTTGGTGCGAGGGGCGAGGCGAGCATGCTCGGATGGCAAGTGAAGCGCCAAGAGGGCAGATCCCAGCCGCTGGCCGGCGGAGGAGGCGCTACCGTGAGAAAATGGCTGCAACACAACAAACATGAGGCGTTCAATCAAAACATCTTCAAACACATTCTACATTTGCATCCATTTTACATATCTATCTGCTGTGACAGTCTCCACGATCATTCACATCACTCACTCCATAATGCTCCAACAACACGCACCCTCGGCTTTTGTCAATCCCAAACAGCGGACCAACCACCTCTTCCCTCCATAAGCAGAAACATTTTCTTCATGTCTCTATTCATAACGTGGCGAACGGTCCATCCCCTTGGTACTACTGCTCGTGGCGTGAAGCTAACAAATGTACGACATTCTTTGTCTCTCATCTGTGAGTCCGTTGAAAGTACCGAAGCGCCAACGATACTCCATCACGGTATCGCTGTTCGACGCCCAGGACGTCATCGAAGGATCCCCGGGCACGAAGTCATGTCGTCGGGTGATTCTCTGGACGGATTGATCGTGTCTGACGTAGAAATTGATGAGGCAGACAAATACCTTTCACTGGTACCGATGAGACTCATGAAATACGACCACCCTTAAGTTTCTTGTTTGCGGAATTGAACATTATTGTATTGAAGCTATTGTCATGCGACCTTTCCAGCAAGCTACCCTTCACTCTGCGCATATCTCGAAGTCTGACTCTCTTGCCTTCAGGAGGGAATCTCCAACCACGGCCAACCCCGTAATATCAAGCGCGTCAAACAGAGAAGCACTCCACATGGTGTCCGAGAGCACAGACACTGGGCGACAAACCCCAGCAATCGAGGCCAGAGCTTTCAACTACAATGCTCGCCCATATGTACGACGAGATTGCGGATCCTGGAATCCAGCAGCTCCAACAGAGGAATCGCGAGCGGCGTCCCTTCAGCAGGGTCCCCCATTATGATATCCTTCATGAGCTGCTGTCGAAGTTGCTCCTGAACGGACAGGGCCACAGCCAGCCAGCTGCTTGGACGCGCCTGCATTTCCATTTGAAGCATTTCGCCAAGCATTGCTGACTCCCAAGAGGCCTTGGGTTGGTACGCCTGGACGGCCTCTCGGTTGGTGTTCTCGCCGTGGTGAAGAGGAAGACGTGACGGATGAATGTGTGATGGTAGATGATTCTGCTGGACAGAAGCCGTCTGTGCGCGAGGCTGCTGGGGCCGCGGTAGGCGATGAGACAGCGGCTTCTCAGCTTGAGCATGTCGACTCATGGAGTGCTTGGACGTCGGCACAGGACGGCCAGCTTTCCCGTAGATCGCATTTAGCTCCTGCTTCGCCGACAACCAGTGCTGGGCCTCCAACGTAGGCTTGGAGCAGTCGAGGGCGCAATGATCCGCAGCTTGCTCCCTGTCACCCCTATTATTGCAACAAATGCAAGGGGCATGTACAAATTGCAAAGCGCTGGCAGCGAAAGATTCCGCGCCGAATACACGGTGGTCTTGAGAGGTGTGGCGTTTTGGCCCGCCACTCAACGCACATTGAAACGCCTCCATCTTGCCAGCATGACCATTGTAAAGGCAGAACGAGATCCCTTTCCTTCCACTGCTGTGTCCAGCAGTGACGGCGACAGCACTTGCCTCCAAAGCGGCAGCGAGCTGCTTGGCAGCGTTTGTTGCGCGTGGGCAGAAGACAAAGGGGTGGCCCTTGCCGTTTGGATCGCCATCCCCGTGAAAGCACTTCAAGCAAAACCCGACGACGGCGCTGCTACCTTTCGCGCGAATTGCAACTTCTGTAGCTTTCCTGTCCTCGGCTTTGGCTTGTGGATACTGCTTACGAGCAGTGAAGTTGTGGGGTTTGTTCTTCTGCTTTTCTTGCTGGACTCGCTGTCTCCACGCAGGTGTCGGCGACCTCGTCCTCGAGCGAACATTGCCAGGGCCAGCACTTAGTCCGCCTGGGAAGGGCGAGCGACTGCGATAATGCTGAACGTCTTCGGAGACGCCGCGAGTGTCGCGGGTCACAGAGCGGTCGGGCAGGCTGGTGTGGCGGTGGGTCGTTGGCTTGTCGAACGCCATAGCTTTGACAGCTGGAAGGTCGTCAGAAGTGTCCGACAAGTCTTCTGGCGGCTCGAGTGGTGGCAGTGGCAGGCCTGTGTCCCCGAGAGCTGGAGTCGTCACCAGCTTGGCTGGATGGATGCGTGCGTGCTCGGCGAGGTCTGGGTCGAGGTGGAGTCCGTCCATATTGTGTTATTGTGACTGCGAGCAGCCACAATAACGATGGTGAGAGTCTTGCTTCAAGGTGTGTGTTTACACGCAGAAGAAGTGTTGTGGATGAAGTTGCGACGGATGTCGAAGCGACCAGCGACGTCCAAGCATCTTCACATGCGCCTTCCGCTTCAAATTCGGCGCTAGTCTGACGCTAATGCAAGGGAAGGAGCAACGACAAACAAAGTGCACAAACACGCTAGAGAAAGAATTGAAAAAGAAGGAAGTTTGATTCACAATGATTGAGGGTTTTCATTAAGACGCTATCAGCTATCTAGCTACTCAACCTAGCCAGAACAGCTTCCAGCGTCCAAGTCGAATCCCTCTTGTTCAAGTCTCGCAATTCATCTGATCCTTTTCATGGTTGTCTGGAAGAGAGTAAGTAGCTCTCAAAACATCAGGATAGTCTGCTTTTCGCAATGCAGGTAGCCCGTAGGCATATGCTCAATGAAGAGTCCCGTGCTGTGACAACACGCTTGTATCAAGCGTGCTTGTTGTGCAATGGTTTCGTACTGTGCAAGTGCTTCGACAAGTTTTGAAGCAAGTTCAGCGGTCGACAATTTTTAGATGGCCTTCGGTGTGTATGGCTCTTCAAGAGTCCAAGAAGTCCTCGTCATTGACCGCGGTGGCAACAGAAGGGAAGTTGGAGCTCTGGAATGACATTGGCGAAGTCGAGTCGTTGATACCGCTACCACGCGGAGTCAGGATCTTGAGAGCGCGACGCTCGCAAGGGCTGGTGACACTCTTTGGGAAGAAGGGCGAGTTGCTCCAGGCTGGGCCAGCCGGAGTCGAGTTCGTCTTCGGGCTGTCAAACAAGTCCTTGATGCTCTTCTTCTGCAAGTCCGACGACAGGTTGGACCTCTGCCTCTTGCTGCGCTCGCTACCTCCTGGGGTCTTATCAAACTTGCCGCCATCCATAGTGTGGAGAGGCGAATCAAGCTTCGACACTGATCGCAAGCGGCGTCCGTCCTCGGCGCGGACTGGAGAGATGTCATCAACGCTCTCAGAAGATTCAGATCCGGGTTCAGTGGAGCTGAAGCTGTTGCGAGCCATTGGTGACATGGTCTCCAGATGTACGCCCATCGTCACGAGCTGAGCTTGGATGCGGCGCTTCTCAGACACGACCCGAGCGATCTTGGCGATGAGGAAGCGACTGTTGGCTTCGCTCAAGTCTGGCTGATCGAGGTGGGCATGGATAGAGTACTGATCTGCTGCAATGGCGTGGAATCTAGCCTTGAGCAAGTTGGCATTCGGTTGCGACACTTCGAAGCTGTCCGGGCCAGCGTTGTCAGCACGTCTAGAAGCGCGGGAGCTTGGACGGCGAGTTGGCGTGCCCTCTCCTCTTGGGAAGACGCTGAGACCGTCTGGGCTCAACATGTTGACAGCTTCCAGTGAGCGCAGAGCATGGGTTTGTCCCAAGTCGAAAGAGGACCAGGTGGCGGAGAGAGGCGAGGTACCGCCATTGTGCTGCAGGCCTGGGTTTTGCGCCGAAGCGTTGTTAACCATGGATGCACTTGGATGAAGACGCGGGGCGCTAGGTTCCTTCTGCGGTCGCAAAGTCGACGTGGACGAGGAAGACTGGTGGAGGCTGCCGAGCGAGCGCGCGCCGTGAAGAACACCTCTCATACCACCATGACCAGGTCGTGAAGGCGGCTCGATTTTGACGCCATCAGTGGGCAACGAAGAGCTCGTTTGGACTTGCGTGCCATCATCCATACCCACGACCTCGAACTTGCCTTCATCGTTGACAATGACAGAGAACATCTGACCCTGCTGGAGTGGCCTGAGCGGCTGCGCCTGGCGTGATGATGAGTTGAACTTCGGCGGCGGTCCGATGCGGGCGGCAGAGTATCTCTGACCATCAATCGTGGCAGCAGTCGGAGTCAGATCCGCATCAGACTCTGCACTGTGCGCATTGGTGCCGGAATTAGCCTGCTGACGCCAGTGCTGGGTCATGGCATGGCCCCCGCGAGCACCACCACGTAGGTCCCCACGACCACCTCGATGGCTGCGACTGTTGAAGCCACCGCGGCGGTTGTAGATAGCTGGTGGAGGGAGGCCTTCATTCTCCTGGTAGGCTCTGGGCAGGCCCAGAATGCTCGCGGTGGCTGGTGCTTTGACGTACGCCTCCATGACTTCACGTCCGGTGTCGCTTGGAAAATTCATGCCATTCCACATGTTTCCAACGGGGTTGCTGCTGTTGGGCTGTTGGATGTGAATGAACTGGTGGTAAGCGACGTCTTTGACAAAGACCCAGACGACGGGAATGGTTCTGTGGAGTGTTAGCTGAAGTTCTCAGGACATCTTCGGAAGTGCACGTACCCAACACAAGGATTGCTCGCCGGATTCTCCTCCCAGTCTTGGATTTTGTCTTCGCGCTCCCATGGTGCAGACATCTCGGCCACACCACAGTACTTCTTGCTGCCATTGACCGAGAAGAGGAACAGAACTTTCTCCGATGCTTTCTCGCGGGCGTCCCACACTTTCATGATGCGCTCTGCAACCTTTTCCATGACTGAGTATTTGCCGCTTCTGAGGGATACCAGGATGTTGCGCGGATACTCTGTTTTGATGTTAATGACTCGAGTCTGCATTAGGAGGTCAGTCAGAAGGCGTTGATAAACACGTGGATGATTGAACTTACTCCAAATGGCATCTGGTATGTCTCCGGATTCATGCATGTCAGTATGGAAAGAGCGTTAGGGTAAGCCTCCTCCCAGTCGGCTTGAGGGTCTTTGAGAGCACGTCGAAGACCCTGTGGATGTTGACGCTCACTCCACACCTCCGGCTTGCTTCCAGCCTGCTCCGGGTGCGTCTTGGAGTAGTGATCGCTGATCGCCACAGAGCCACTAGCTGGAGACGTTTGCTCGTCGGAAGAGGTCTGCTCATTGAATGTCTGCGTTGCAAACGATGACGCCGAGGAGTTCGGAGTGCTTGGAACTGGTGGCCACTGGCTCACGTTGCTACCTGCGCTGGAAGATGCTGGGGCTTTGCAGTCTGGTTGGCAGAATGGTTCTTGCGGCAGTGGAGCAGTTCGTGACATGAAGCTGCCTTGAAGGGTGCTGCCATGTGGACTGAACACCGGCGCATTGTGGTACTCTTCGGTCTGTGTGTAGCGAATGTTCGAAGAACCAGGCGACATCTTGGAATACGATCGACCGTCTTCGCCACGGACACCGCCACTGACATTGCTTGCGATGCCACGGCCAGACAGTGGACTGTTGAGGTAAGGGTTGGGCGAGGTACCAGCGTTGAACCCGGGAGTGGTTGGCGACGCCTTCGACTGGCCAGCATTGAAACTACCGCGGTGACCGGCGAAGCTCTCCCAGCTCGATTTTGGAGGAATTCCAGCGCTGCGGATGGGCTGATCGCCGCTGGGTGACCAGGTAGACGAGGTGAACAAGGGAAGGCCTGGGCGAACTGGCTTGCGGCTTGAAGATCTTGGGTCAGGCATCGTGTTGAAGGCGGTTCTGAGTTGGCCGCTGGTGGTGCGACTGTCGGTCGCTGGTGTGCGCTTTGAGACGAAGTCAGATGCGCCCGGATAGAAGAACGGTGACGTTGGCGTCGATGCGTCGCTGGTCGAGCCAGCCCGGTCTATGCCCTCAGACATCGTTGGCGGGTGTGCTGAATGCGATATCGGTGATGCGCATGTATTTGCGAGTGAGTGTACAAGCGAAGGTGATGCGACGAGCGGAGGTGCCTGGAAGATTGCGCAATGTGAACCCGTTGCTGCGGATACGTCAAAGCTTGGCGCCCGAATGGGGAAGGAGCGAGATTGTTTGTACTTCGTCGAATGTGAAACACTGCCGGCGGGTAGTGTCGTCACTGGCCCTTATCTGATTGGACCTGATAATGGAGACGGTAACCTGTGTGCCAAGTGGGAAGGCCTCGATCGACCAGTGTAGTGTGTATCTCTGGAAATGTGTCTCGAGTCGATTCCAGACGGGTGCTCAGGTTGTGTCATCGAAAGAGATGGAGTTTGGGGGAGCTGGCGGTTTTGATATCGAGGCCTGCCCTTTTCAGATGCAACCGCTTGATCTTCGGGTGAAATTCCCGTTCACTTGCAGCTGAAAGCATGTCGAAGTTTGCCTTACCCGTGCAAACAGAGCAAGCACGTGTTCTATCAGGAAGCAAAGAGAGCCGATTGTAACCGTTAGCATTCAGCTGCCATCCATATTCACATGCGTACCTTCGCTATCACCTGTTAGAACTCGTCGGTCGGCTAGCGGGATTCGTATTCCTCCATGGAATTGGGATTCTTCGTGGAGAACCGCAGAAGACAGGGATCTTTCTGCAAGTAAAGTCGGTAGTGCACACATTTTAAAGTAGTCTGTAGTAGAATTCTTGCTCCACTGAGTTTTAATCGTGTGGCCTAGAAGGCCGCTGAGGTGGGTCTTGCATAACTTCGAGATATCTGCGTCCGGTGCGCATTGTCACTTATAGAAGGTTCGAATGAGTGTTAAGTCTGGTTGCAAGGTCGTCTTCCCGTCTATGTTGTGAGCTTTTGCGAGATCTGATGGACGTATGGATAGTACTTGGTGGCGACCCGATGGGTCGTGCTAGTAGGGAGTCGACATCGAGAATCCGTTTGCCGAATACATTTCGGTATGCTCTTCATTAAATTTACTCTACGCTCACTCCAAACCATCACAGAACTGGTCACATGAAAAATAAACGTGATATAAGGTCATGCGTGTGGGAACTGTATGGAGTGTGTGAAAGGTGAAGTGAGGTGAAGTCAAGTCAAGTCGCATCGGCATCATCCGAAACCGAAGGAGCAAGGTTCCCAGCCACATCCTTTCCTTCAGACCTTACGACCAACAGGGCCTGCGGAACGCTTCCTCCCATAATGTGAGCTCTCGCACAATCAGTTCATAATCCATAGCCATTCCATGGCGGTGCCCGAGCGCTTCACCCTCCTTTGATCGTGCTGTTCTCCTCGAAAAGATCGTAAACCCGGGGGTCCGGGTTGGACGAGTGCACGATTGTCTCTTTACGGCAGTCATTATCGCGGAAAGACTACAGGCCTGCTAAAGAGATGGGAAGAATAGCAGGTTTGATGCCAGAAAAAGCTTGGAGATCAAGACCGTCGAAGCAGACGGGAGAGGGCATGGCCTGAATGAACAACGGTCGAGCCAGACAGGGAACTTCCAATGTTTGACTTGTTATGGCCGACGTGGATCCTGCCCATGATGGAATGGAACTCTTACCGGCAAAAACGGAGTACAGGTGTGGTCAGTGTTGGCGAGGTCGATCTGAGGGCTATGGGCATCGGAGTTGAAGTAGACGGTGGTTGAAACACATCGGTCGATGTCGTGAAGGTAGGTCCATAAGTTTCATGTCTCCTCATACGCGTGGAAGATGTGCGCGCACTGCACTCTCCCGAACGACTTCCCTCGGATGCTTCAACGGGCCATTGACGACCCCGAGCGCCGCGCCCTTTGCGAAATGTGCTGGGTAAGTAAGCCGTTGCGCTCGTCCGGTGGTCAACCTTTGCGCATGATGCCAGTCATGAGCGCGCAATCGCATTGCGATGGAGTGAGGTGTAGTGCTGGAGTTCACGTGCGTTGGCGTTGTGGCCCAAGCGTGCTGCATCGTGCCTGCCTTCTGCGATAGCTTGCTTCATTTCGAGCCCACCGCGCTTTTCCTCCCGTCTCATCTTCTCGATCCCCATCTGCCTCTCATCTTCCTTCACTTGCCACCTCTCTTCAACGCAGCTTCATCAACATCACCGTAAAGACGCCGGGCAGCCGGGGCGCAGGACACGAAACATGAATCGCACCAAGCAAAGGACGCGAACGCGGACGCGGGCTACGCAGAACGCCATGAAGACGGCAGTCACCCAGACACAAAGTCTGGAGACAGTGCAGACGCTGATACATGGAGGCGTACGTACTCATTGATCGCAAACCGATTGTGCTTGCTGACTTGATGTTGCAGTTGAATTACGTGCTCTACCTTCGGTACGTAGCACTTTGCGAATGGGCATCGCCCATCACTAACGCCCCTTGCAGATATCTTCTCACTCGCGACGTCTTCGACTTTCGTTACTACACAGCTGGCTCCGTGAAACCCTACAAAGATTTTGCCAATGGCAAGCTTCCCAAGACTGGCGACAAGCACACGGATGCACAGGTGCCGATTCTTCTTCGAAACAAAAGCAGACGCTCGGATCTGTTTCTAGACTGGCTCGTGAGTACGATTCGGGTCTTCAAGTCTTCGTCTACTCACCAGGTTGAAGGACAATGGAGTCTTTCCCTTGCTGCGAAATAGGCAGCTACACTCACTCCAGGTGAACGTCCATGGAGATCAGGATGACCGTGACAAGGTGGTGGAGACATACAATTTCACCATACGATATGAAAAGGACGGATCCGGCGTCAGGTCTCCTGCAGGCGTCGACATCATTGGTTCTGATGTCAAACTAGCAGCATCTGGCCACGTCAACCAGGATTTGCGAGAAATCTTAAGGGCAATGTCCAAAACATGCACATCGCTGCCCTACCTTCCAGGTACGTGATCGAGCTTCTTGATGGACGTAGTTGCTCACCTTGGATCTCGCAGCAAATCGATTCGTGTCCACGGACTTGGTCTGTAATTCGGATGACGAGATCAATGTTTTGGGCTTCGACCCATCCCATTCCAACAAATTGCTTTTCGCCCACGCGGACGGCTGGAGTAAGCAGACAGTCTCCAAGACACTCGACGCAATGTTTCACAGGTACGAAATCAGTACCTCTATCTCGTGAGGCGTAACTGACCTTCCTTCAGCACTGATGTCAAAATCACACATCTGGCATTGTCAGACCCAAGATCCAGCTCACAGACAGATGAGGAGGTTGTAATCCCTGACGAGCTCGACTATCCGACAGCTGAATCGCGAACTGAAGAGTTGGGATTGTCTGCAGCCCAGAGGGAGCTCATCGTTATCGAAGACAGTCAAGCGAAAGAATCGAGCCCTAAACAGAGAACCTCGTCGGTCACTCTGGGGCGTGAGGATGGTGGCAAGGCACCTCTCAGAGCATCGAAGAGACAGATGGCGACGCCGTTTCAGACTTCGCAGCTCGCACCAGAGTTGACCACGCGAAACGGAGGTAGCAGGTCATCCGCCGCAGATCTCGAAGCGCTTTCCCTCCCACCAAGACCGCCGCTTCAAGACAGCCTAGACACGCAATCAAGCCATGTCCCGAGGATGAAGAAGGCTCTACAGGGAATGATTGCAGCGGAGCCATTGACGCAAGGGGATACACAAACTCAAGCCATGTTCCACAATGCTGTGCCGTCACCATCACAGACTGGCAAGAATGCTACGCCTGCGACCGCGTCTGGACTAGATGACCTTGACCTTCGCGCATCGGTCGCCCCTTACCAGACTCCAATCCCTTCTCAGCTGAACAAGACAAAGAAGAGAAGATCGGAAGAGCACGACGTAGCGGATGGATCTCCCACCCGTGCTACGTCGAACGCCCCCGGAGTCAAGAGGTTAAGAGTACTTCGCTCTCAAAAGATGTTCAACGCCAATGGCCTCCCCTCCTCGAGTCCAGCACCTCAATATCAATTCTGAGATGCCGAGTATGCGCCCTTCGTTCCACACACCTAACACCAAGACGATGCTGCAAGTGTATCACTCATACTTCGCTCGCTTTTCACGCTCGAGAGTCGGGCACTGCTGCAGTTGCTAGCACTCACTGGAATGACCTGGAATCCAAGATTGGAGGATTGCTGCAAGAAAAGACAGGCAAATGGTGAAGATGGGTGAATACTGAATTCGACGGGGCCGAGCTAGAGGCACTTGAGCTGGTAACGAGAGCGAGTATCCTTTATATATCATGAGACATGTTCTGTGAATGCAACAAAGTCAGTCGGCAGAGCAACTGAATTTGGCTTTGGCCCCTTAGTGCGAATTCGAATACATCGCATCGAGCTTCCTCTGATCACGACAACAACAACGCGAACAGTGCGCATATGTCTTACTGTCTGTATGTGGCATGTGAGCAGCTCGCTTGTCTAGCAGTGCATTTGCAGAAAGTGTGGTCGCTGTCATGGATCCCCGGGCTGGAGTTCCTGGGATGGAGGTGGGGTTGGGCTTGCGCCCTTGCAATGCGTTGTGCTCCAGAAAAACGTGAAGACTCTCGCTCGCCAGACACATGCTTCGGTACTGCTCTACTCGCTTCCAAGCCGTCGCGATCACAGTGGCAGCAAGCACAAGGAGCGGAAACACCCGAGCTTTACGCAGCAGCTGCCACAAGGTTTCAAACGTTCATAAAGCTGACCACGTGCCGGACTCGCCTGGCCGATGCTTTTGACCAGTCTGCACGTCACGTCGGGCCAGCTTCTCTCCCTCTTTCAACTTTATCTCAACAACCACCACGGGGCATGCCACTCTTCTACTTCCCCGTCTCAGCCCGTTTTCGATCTTTATGATGTCCTAAAGGTGCCCGCCAACCCATTCGACTCGAGATAAGCGGAACTTTCTATCGCCATGGCCGATTTCGTGGATACCCCTGGATCTGACGACCAGTCCCAGCGGGAGGCCCAGATTGTTGACAGACATTTGCCTGAGGGCTACTCGGCAGAGCCAGAGGCTGTTGCATATGATGGCACACAGGATGCGTCTGCTTCAGAGCGGAATCTGTCACAGTCGCCGCCTGATTTTCCCGAATCCTCGCTTAGACTGCAGGGTGGTGATATGCATCGCGATATCTTCAAAATCAAAGCGCGTGCAAGTGCGCCTAGGCGTGCCAACACCTTCTCAGCCAAGCACAGCCGACCTTTGATGAATCCCGATGAACTGCTGCCAGCTGAAGATCAGCTTCAACCCGGCGGGATGCGACGCCATTACGTTCAAAGACACAAGGTGCAGAGAAGGCTTAGCACTGTCGCCACACCCGTTACGAGGAATTTTGTGTCTTTTCTGGAGCTTTACGGGAGCTTTGCTGGTGAGGATCTCGAGGATACGGATTCTGATCTGGACACCGAGTCTGCTATCGAGGATGGAGAAGCCAGCCCCAGTGACGAAAGACGACCCCTGCTGCCTCGACGGAAGAGTTCGAAGAGGATCAAGCGAGAGGGCGATGCTGGCACGACAAAGACCTTCTTCACTCTACTCAAAGCTTTCGTTGGAACGGGAATAATGTTCCTGCCCAAGGCGTTCCGCAATGGCGGTATCTTGTTCTCATCCATGGTCTTGATTTCCGTCTCGATCATCACGACACTCTGCTTTCGGCTCTTGTTGCAATGCAGATCGAAATACGGCGGTGGTGGTTATGGCGAACTTGGAGAGTCAATCTTTGGTCCTCGATTCCGCTCACTCATTCTGGCCTCGATTTGCCTTTCACAACTTGGCTTCGTCTGCGCGGGTCTTATCTTCACGGCCGAGAACCTGCTATCCTTCTTGAACGCCGTAGTACCGATCGGCCAAGAACAACCATTCGGGACCGCCGGCCTCATTGCCATCCAATTCGTGCTCCTCATCCCCTTGGCACTCATTCGCAACATCGCCAAGCTAGGACCCTCTGCCCTCCTCGCCGATGTCTTCATCCTGATCGGCCTGGTCTACATCTGGTACTACGACATCTCATCCCTGGCGACTCGAGGACCCGCGCCAAGTATGGTCCTCTTCAACCCCTCCGCCTTCACGCTGACCATCGGATCTGCTATCTTCACATTCGAGGGAATCGGTCTTATCCTGCCCATTCAGTCATCGATGAAGCAACCGGAGAAGTTCCCCTACCTACTCTACCTAATCATGTTCATCATCACGGCCATCTTCACCTCGGTGGGAGCTCTCTGCTACGCAACTTTTGGAGACGAGACGAAGATCCAGATCATCTCCAACTTCCCTCAGGATAGCAAGCTCGTCAATGCTGTGCAGTTTCTCTACTCCATGGCCGTGCTGGTGGGCGAGCCTGTACAGCTCTTCCCCGCTGTACGTATCATCGAGCAGGCGCTCTTCGGCGATCGGGCGTCCGGCAAGAAGAGCAAAACCGTCAAGTGGAAGAAGAACGCCCTCCGCAGTGCGATGATGATCCTTTGCGGTATCATCGCCATCTTCGGCGCTTCGGATCTGGACAAGTTCGTGGCGCTGATTGGAGCCTTCGCCTGTGTGCCGCTCGTCTACATCTATCCCCCGGTTCTCCATCTTAGGGGCATGGCAGAGTCGAAGACGGATAAGGCGTACGACATCTTCCTCATCTGCATTGGGGTTGTGGCAATGGCGTACACTACGATCATGACGCTGAAGCAATGGATTGAGGGCACGCTGTGAGAACCTGTTCGCGGACGGAAAGCTGCTTGGATAGGCCTCGCGAAGTCTAGAAACTCATATACGCTTGTAAGAAAAGTTTGAACTCACGTCACTATTCCGTGTCTCATGAAATCTTGTTCATACCGCCGTGGTATTATCTGATCTGTCCCGTCGTAGGTCTATGCCTCATAGAGGAAAACATCCCATGGTATCGCATGATCCCCAAAAACGCCTTATCCGCCCAAAATATCCACACCCACACTCACGAATCCCACATCACCTCGTCTTAACATTCGCACTCCCCCTCCTCACCGCAAACGGGCTCTCCTCCGCCGTCCGCATCGGATCAAAGCTAAACAGCGTCGAGAAGTACAGACCCAAGAACCTCACAATCAGCTGCGGAAACCCTCTCCCCTGCGCGAAAGCCGCCGGCGCCGTGAGCAGCTGGCCCACATTGAGATTCGGCAGACTCGGGACTGAGGAACTTGCTGCTGCCGCTGCTGGTCTGCCTTCTGCGCCGAGCGTCTGGCCTTTGCCGGAGAAGGAGGCGCTTTGTTTCGCGGGGCCGCGCGCGGCGTCGGCGGCGGCGGAGAGGATGGCGGAGCGCAGGGCGGAGGGGTTGGCGCCGCGGATGGTTTCGATGACTTTGGTGCCTTTTAGGACGAGGAATGTTGGCATGCTATCCCGGCCCGAGTGTCAGTATGTCCTCTTCAATATCCCGCCCTGCTCTATTCTGCTCTTGGGTGTTGTGTTGTGTTGCTTACGCCGAGATCCCGTACGTCGCCGCTACATCCCGCTGGTTGTCGACGTTGACTTTGCAGAAGGTCAGGCGGCCTGGCTTGGCTTCTTGGTTGGCGAGTTGTTCGAAGACGGGGCTGATGACTTTGCAGGGCCCGCACCAGTCGGCGTAGAAGTCGACCACGACGTAGGTGGAGGAGGCGACGAGGGATTTGAAGTGTTGTTGGGAGGTTATGGGGATGACTTTCGACATGGCGGCGGTTTCGTGGTTGGTTGGTGAGGTGAGGGGTGTATCGAGATGTTGGGTGTTGAATGGAAGGTGGGATGTCGGAGGTAAGGTGGCTGTAGTGCTTGTCTTAGAGGCGCAGGGCCTGAGATAGCCTTACCTCCGCCTGGCAAGCCGTGCTTTTGCATGTGAAGATGGACCATTCGACCCCGGCAGGACACTAACATCCGCAACACGACTTTCGGATTCAAAGAACACAGAGAGACTAGAGAATTCTATTCAAACTCATCCCACCTATAACAATCAAGACGGCGTCAACCCCCCACCACCACCAGACTCCACATCCAAAAACCCCAAAATCTGACTCCCAATAAACCACCCCTCCCCATCCCTCTCCAAATAAAACACCTCATAAACCCTCTCCCTCACCACCCCATCCAAATCCATATCCCCCGTCACCAGCACCATAACCCCCTTCTCTCGACTCCCCGCCGGACAGACCTTGCAATCCCGCATGGTGAAGTCCATGCGTTGGTAGTCGAGCGAGTGGTAGAAGTTCATGATTTGTTCGACGCCGGTTTCGTACATTTCGTTCCAGAGCGTGGTGGAGTGCGGGCGGTAGAGGGCCGCGAGGTTGGAGCGCGTGGAGGGACGGGAGAGTTGCGTGAAGTAGGCGTTGATGTAGTCGGAGGCGACGTTGGCGGCTTCGGTGTATTTGTCGGGTTCCATGGTTCTGATGTGAGAACATCGACAGTAGTGTGTTGTATTGTAGTGTTATTGGGGTGCTAGAGTGCCACAGTGCTACATGTGAGTACTTGCTTCTCTTGGTGGTGAGCTCGAAGCTTGAGAGAGCTCAGCTCGATGGTGGCTGGGTATGGGTGAAAGGATGCTGGAGATTGTAGCAGATTTGTAAAAGTTGTATACGAAGGAACTGTATCCCAGTCAGCAGACTATCCATTTGAGATGCTGTTTTATCTTCTCCAATGCAAGACCGCATTGATCATTCCTTTGTCCATATCCAAAAACGCCACGCTCAATGACTGCGGCCGACCCATTGTTCTATTCATCAATACACATCTTTCTTGCCTTTGCGGGTATCGCCCAATCGACCTCCTCCATAATCGCATACGCTTCAAAAGGTGCGCCCCTGGGTTTCCGCTTCTTCTTCTCTTTCTGGGCGACTTTATCAAACTCCTTCACTTCAACCCAAAACTCGGGTGTGAAGCCTTGTACTGAAGCCCAACCCCTTATCATTGCACGCCAGTAACACGCTTCGGCGGCTGGGGTGAGATATCGTTCTCTGAATGTTCTTCTCGCGTTGTCCGCAATCTTTTGCGACTCTGGGAAGTTGGCTGGTTTGCTCAGCTTCTTCATATGTCCAGGGAGATCGCTGAAGTCCCGCTTCACTTGGATATAGTTCTGGTCTGGACCTTCCTTTTTCATCAAGTGGTGATAGAGCTCGATCCACTCCAGCTCGTGGGAAAATAGGATCGAGTGGCAGTTCAAGAGGTACTTCAGACGTCCACTGTAGGTGTTGCCTTCGGTTTGTGCCACGAACATGTAGGAACAGTGGTCCTGCATGGTCAGAAGGCGTTCTTCGATGTTGGTCTTGTTTGACCAGTCCAGTGTTTGAACATCGGACCACGGCTTGCCCTCGGAATGCTCCACAAGACCATGCCGTACGTCCTTCGATCCCACGGCCAACGAGCCTCGCCAGACAAGCTTCGGGACCTTATCCACGAACTCGTCCTCTTCATGCTCTAGTACCTCTTGCAACTCTGCGTACGATCGCAGTCCAACATCCGGCCAAGCCCACAGACCAAAGTCGGGCATGAGCCATAGCTTCTCCTGATGCGCTCGCCTTGTATATGCCCATGTCGTCTCTTTCCCGTATTGATCGTGCAATGCAAAGTCGTGGACGGTGAAACTGAACTCAATGTCTGGTAGCTTCCCTGGATATGCGGTAATCGCCCGATGGATCGCATTCAGCGTTGAAATCGTTCTCGGTCGATGGTTATGGTCCGTCACCGCATGTGGATCGACAATATACAACTGGTTGTCGTGTATCATTGCTCTTACAATTCCATCTCCTCTCCATTCCACCTCCACTTCATCTGGAGTGATCTTTCCCCATTTCTCCAGCCTGTGTGCTACCGCTCTGTCGATCTCCTTGTATAGCCCCGGGAATGCAATATCACACTGCTCTTCTGAGAGGCCATAGTTGCGACCATCTCTTTTGTAGTCAAAGTGCCAGTTGTTGTGCTTTCCAGGTCGATCTTCCTTCGGCTTGCCATGCGATTCGTGCTCTTGGGGCTCTGGCCGGTAACTTCCCACGTATTCAGAGGCGAATGCGCTCTTTCCCGAAGTCGCGAAGAATATCAGAGCGCCGGCGATAAGGATGAAGATCGTGCCGTACAACGCGACAGTGCGCATTTTGGCGTCTCGTGTCACTCGGGCGTCGTGGTGGCGTGTCGCACAATCATGTCAATCGCACAGTCGGATCCATAGGGCTCGAGGATGGCGTCGCTATGAGGAGGGAAATGCCACAATGAAGACACTGGATGAGATTCAAGCACGCAACAATCGCTCGCAGCTTACCCTGAGTACTGCCATGCGCCGTCAATTTGCCAATCAATCAGCCGCCAGCGATTCGAGCGAATCCTGACATCGCTTGCGAAAGTTGGGGGGAAGTCTTGGCCAGAGCCAGCCAAAAGCCTCAACGGCGCCAACATGCCGTGCTCGTCCATTCCCACTGCCATCAGCTCGGAATGTGAAAAGGGGCAGAGTTCGCACTTGAGAAGATGGCCTGGAAGAATGAAGGCGGCGTGCCTGATACTCATCAAATCTGTGCCTGGTCGACATACGCATGCTTCGACTCGTCATCAGTCCCACGGCCACGTCGACTCTCATTTCCCCGATCATCGCCAGGCCATTGCAATGAATCTTTCACAACTTCCACGTTCCGAGTATCAGGAAAGGCAGTAACACGCGGGATCACAAGCTGTTCGAATGGATGAAAGAACTGAAAGCCAGCTGCTATTGCTCACACAACGCACGCCGTGAGCAATGAGCTCCGCGACCTGTCATCCTCGAACACCACGGCCTCAACCAGGCCATCAAGCAGCTCTCTCGGTCCTTCAAAGACGACGTAAAGTCTGGGCAAAGTGACCAGAAACAAACAGAGCCGATCGATGGCAGTTCTGCCAGCTACACCTTGGCTATTGGAATCCTTGCCCCGCATCAACTGCCAGTCTGCAAGTACAAAGGGGGGTTACGATTGACTTGCAGGCAGGAGGAGCTAGGTAGGCGAGCAAGGTGAGGTCTCGTTATTGTTCTACGCTCACTACGGCCTGATTTCAAAATGCACGTTTACAAGTCTCAGTACGAGGACATAGATCTGCCAAAGGTTGACATACTAACTTTGTTATTCGGTCTGTACCACTTGGCGTCTTCATCAAGATTAGATCCTGACAAGTCTAGAATCGAACTGGTGTTCTGCGAAAGAGGACACCATGATCCATACATGCGCCGATAACCCACAGAATGGAGTCACCAAAGCAGAAGCCCGCGACCTCGTTCGGCAGATAGCATACGTCCTTCGCCATCGATTCGACATTGGCCGTCAAGGCCCTGGAAAAGATGTTGTGGTCTCAACATCTTCACTCAGTCCTTTTGTGTCAATCGTTTTCTACGGCATCATGGCGGCAGGGGGAGTCTACAGCGGAGCTAGCACAGCGTTCACTGTAGGCGAGCTTGTTCGGCAGATCAAGACATCTGAGGCAAAGCTATTGATCTGCTCTAGAGAGTACGAGGAGCGAACGATCGCAGCTGCGAAGGAATGTCATCTCCCGTCGGACAGGATGCTGGTCATCGACAGCTCCGTTCCCAGGCAGTGGAAACTTCTCTCCTCCGGCTTCTCGCAGGCTGACGTGCTTCAATCCTTTGGTGGAAGAATGATGGATTGGCAACGATTCACGAGCCCGCGGGACCTGGAGAGTATCACAACCTGTCTTCTCTTCTCGTCTGGTACCACAGGGCTACCAAAGGGCGTCCGATTGAGCCATTGGAACCTCGTTGCGAGCGGCATCTGCAGCATGGAGCCTGGTACCAAGTACAAAGCCAGACGCGCACAGGAAGGCAAGCCATTCACGTGGCGAACCATTGCCCATCTACCCATGGCTCACATCGACGGTATCCAGCAATACAGCATCAATCCCTTCTACATGGGAGGTACAACCTACTGGATGCCCAAGTACGATTTTGACAAGTTCATCGAGTGCAGCAGGAAGTACCAAACGACCTACCAATTTTCAGTGCCGCCAATTTGGCTTCAGGTTGCGAAGAGTGATAAAGTCACAGGCCACTTCGACAACCTCGAGATCGCGTGCAGCGGTGCAGCGCCTATGGGCCTGGAGCTGGCGAAAGAAGTCAGCAATAAGCTTGGACGGGGCAAAATCTTTATGACCCAAACCTGGGGAACGACAGAGACCGATGGCTCGATCACGGCGACTGACTGGGAGACAAGAGACGAGACAGGCGCCGTTGGAGGGATATTACCAAATGTCAAGCTACGCATCGTGGATGACGACAACAAGGATATGCCTTCCGGTGAAGTAGGAGAAGTCCTAGTATCGGGTCCCATTGTCTGTCAGGGATATCACAACAACCCGTCGGCCAATGCTGCTGCATTTCTCGAGGAGTTTTATCGGACCGGAGACGTGGGGTATATCAAGAATGGTCTGGTCTATCTCGTGGACCGAAAGAAAGAGCTCATCAAGTACAAGGGTCTGCAGGTCGCTCCGGCGGAACTCGAAGATCTACTCATGTCGCATTCGAAAATTGCTGATGCAGCAGTGATTGGGGTGCAGTCGGAGAGACTTGGCACAGAGGTTCCGAAGGCTTTCGTAGTGGCTTCTCAGTCGAAGGATGGCACTTCAGTATCGGCGAAGGAAGTTCTGGATTTCGTCAAGGCGAACCTTTCGAGTCACAAGCAATTGCGTGGTGGAGTTGAGTTTGTGGACGAGATTCCTAAGAGTGCTTCGGGGAAGATACTGAGGAAGGAGCTGCGAACGAGGCCGTATGTTGAGGAAGAAAAGGCGAAACTATAGAATATACACATCTCTTGATATGGTGCTATAACTATGACTTTGGATTGGCACGTTGCTGCATGTGATTAGAATTGCCGGTGAGTGAATATATCGGATATTCGGCTATTCGCCGGCTAAATCCAATAGCCGGAGAATGCGCCCACACACCCTTGCATGTGGGACTCGACCTCAGTCGTCAAAATGGCTGAGAAATCAATGCGGGCAATTCTTTCAGTCAGTCCATCTCACCTTTGTGAAGTGAGTCGCGACCTTGTTCCTCGAATACATCATTTACCATGAACGCCCTACGACCCGTGAGCAGTTTCGCAAGATCTGCTCCCCGTGCCCTGCGAAAGACCAATCCTCGAACCCGATTTGCACCATTCGCCCAGTCGACAAGATCGATATCGAACGAGCCAGAACGACCCGCTCAAGCCTTTGCCGCACAGCCTGTCCAAGATGAAGCTCCATCAGGTCGCTCGATTTCGAATCCTCAATTGTCCTTCCCATGCCTTGACAATGCCGAGAATCGCACGCAAGAGTTGAACAAAAAGCGCTCGTTATCTGGTCCTGAGCCTTCGTACACGACGGGAAATCACGAGGTGTTCCACTCGTCAGAGCCGTTTCTGCTAGACTGGGGAGGTGTGCTTCCGTCGTTCGACATTGCGTGGGAGGCTTGGGGCACATTGAACAAGGACAAAAGCAATGCGATCCTCCTGCATACCGGTCTCTCTGCTAGCAGCCATGCTCATAGCACTGAAGCCAATCCGAAACCAGGATGGTGGGAGAAGTTCATTGGCCCTGGTGCGCCTTTGGATACCAACAAGTATTTTGTGATATGCACGAATGTACTTGGTGGATGCTATGGCAGTACGGGGCCGAGTAGCATTGACCCCTTGAGTGGACAGCATTATGGCACAAGCTTCCCGATCTTGACCATGTCAGATATGGTTCGTGCTCAATTCCGGCTCCTTGATGAAATGGGCATCCAGACATTGTACGCAAGCGTGGGATGCAGTATGGGAGGCATGCAGAGTCTGGCAGCCGGCGTTTTGGATACCGAACGCGTGGCTCGCATCGTCTCTGTTTCTGGATGTGCACGAAGCCATCCGTACAGTATTGCTATGAGACACACTCAGCGTCAGGTTCTGATGAATGACCCCAATTGGGCGAAGACTCGTGGGAACTACTACACCAGTATCCCACCCCACACTGGTATGAAGCTTGCTCGTGAGATCGCTACCATCACATACAGATCTGGGCCTGAATGGGAGAAGCGCTTTGGCAGGCAACGAGCAGATCCCAGCAAGCCGCCTGCGCTCTGTCCGGACTTTCTGATTGAAACATATCTCGACCACGCCGGCGAAAAGTGGTGTCTTGAGTACGATGCCAACAGTCTGCTCTATGTCAGCAAAGCGATGGATCTCTTCGACCTGGGTGCTCAGCTACAGGAAGCCACTGCCTCGCGACGACAAGCTAACGCCGACAAACTGCAGGGCGCCTTCTTAGAACAAGCCAAGCAAGACCGCTGCACTTTGAGCCTGCCAGACGAACCTTACGAAGAGCAAGAGTCGTCCGCCGACCTGATGGCATCCAACGTCTCAGACTCCGCACGCCCAAGCCAACCTTCTGCCGGTCCACCAGAAGATCTCATCAAGGGCCTCACATCACTACGAGATATCCCAACATTGGTACTCGGCGTCGCATCAGATATACTATTCCCAGCTTGGCAGCAGCGAGAGATTGCAGAGACACTTCGCAAAGTCGGCAACCGTAGCGTCACTCACGTTGAACTTGGCGAGGATCGATCGCTTTTTGGACACGATACGTTCTTGTTGGATCTTGAGGGTGTTGGTGGAGAGATTCGGCGGTTCTTGGGGTGAGGCGAAGGAACTGTCTACAAACTCGCAAGTCCTCGCCGTCAGCATATCCGGATAGAGGGTCAAGGTGTCTGGACAAGAATGGAGCCCGAGGTTCGAAGTATGTTCAAGTTCTCCGTGGTGTACAACGCGCCGCACTGTGGCGTTCGTGCCCGCAACACCGGCCTGTTTCGCATCCTCCGAGAAAAGATGTGGCTCCAATACGCCGACCGCAGTGCTGATATCAGCGAGACGCTCGACTCTATCGAATTGTTAAATTTCGACAGCGCGAGGCACACCGTGCGCGAAATTATCCTGCCATCGATGGTCCTGAGAGACCATCTTACCGTGCAGCTTGTACTTGAACTTTCTCCGGTAAAACCGAACGGTCGGCTTTACGCATCGTCTAGCGACGGTGAGTGGACCTGTTTTCGTATGGATGCTGAGTTTGAGGCCATCTGGGGCGACTTGAACTGTGTCCAAATCTGTCTCGAACTCGTAGAGGAGGGATGGATGGTCGAAACCCATCGGTTCGACCTCTTAGCGCTACAAGACGGGCGTATCGCGCTGCCAGATGGCCATGTCGTGGGATCCAACGGCGGCGTCGATGGGGCATGTGCTTGGCGGCAGAGGCCTTGATACAAAAGGAGATCGGACAGTGGGGCGTGAAATGTTGATCCAGACGGGCATTTTGAGTTTGGAGGGCCCATACTTCAGGCTGCCCGTACAAGAAAACTCACAACTTATCGTCCTCCGTCCTCCATCCTCCATCTGTGCTTTACTACTGCCATCACGAGACTGCAACACCGCCTGGGCAACCGCCTTCCCGTGGCGGCTTCTTGCGTCGCTTTCAACTTTCACATGCAGACTCCACCTTCCAATAACGTCACGCCCCGAACACCTAACTAAACACAGCATCGAATCACTCGAGACTGCCACTGTTTGCGCCGCGCACTTGAACTGTCCGCATTCACTGCCCGTCACCTCCATGAGCTCGGACGACTCACAACATGACAATAAGCACAACCAACAAAGACAACCCGCACATCTGTTCGATCACGACAAGCATACATATTCCACCTCCGAAACCTCACAAACCAACATTCACAGCGTCGCAACCCGCGATACCTTTCGGCACCCTCTTCACACTGCCGCCGTCCAAGCGCCGTCGCACTAGAAATCCGTGATGGCGCATCAACAGGCCATGGAAGGCGAAAACTTGCATGGCTCGGTTGGATATCCCGCTGAACAAATGGACGGATGGGACGAAACCTGGAATAGATCTCTACTCACATATGAACCTGTATATCTCGGCCATCCCCACGAGCAGGCAGAAGAACAAGTCACTGAGCCGTTTCATTGGCAATACCCCAACTGGGCTCGACCAGGATACCAACTCTATTACTACAAGGGCTACGGCTACTTCGACCATCCTCTATACACGAGTCAAACACCAGACGGCCAGACGCTGCTCGCAAGCTATGGCAATGAGCAGCGCTTCAAGCAACCCCCTGTAGCCGCGCCTTCGGAGCCCACGCCGGCTCGTCCCAAGCAAGAAATGGTCGATGTCTACTTTGACGACGAGTTCCTGGAGGAGATGCCACTGAGACTGCTCACTCGCTTCTCCGTTGTGGCGAGTGTTACGTTCTGGAAAACGAAAAAGAGTGGAGGTAGACGGGCGGATGAGCAATCGGACGAGAGAGAGAGTCCGACAAGTAAGATGGTTGACTCGGTCATGTCCGGTACAATTCCAGTCCTCGAGAACACCACACCCACGGCGCCGAAGAAATGGAGGGATACCTCCCCTTCAGCTACATCTGACTCCACAGTTTTCGACACATGGTCGACTTCCCGCAGTAGATCGGACACGAGGACGACAGAGTTGACCATTCCCGAAGAGTTTGCGGACGAATCCTATGTTCCGGATCACCCTGACGTCGAGGCTACTCCTCACGTTGGAGGTGGCAAAAGCGCAGCACGCCGTCGTCGTCGGCGGCGTGCTGCCGCCAAGAAAGGGAAGAAAGAGCTTCATCTGGGTCTGAACGTCCGTGAGCTGCCCACTAAAGAGGTTGTTCTTGAAGCTATCGCCTGGATGAAGAGTAACGAAGAGCGACACGGAGACCAAACTCTGCCTTATGGTCCCGAAGACCTCAGCAAGCTGGGTCTCGAGGACATCGTCGAGCTGTATCAAGTAGCGCTGGCCTTTGGCCTTCAACCATGGCCGGGAAGACTGAAGATGGAGCTCAACGAAAGGATCTCCAGCACATGCCTCGACTTCAAGACCTTTCGCGATATCACGAGATGGCTCCCTTTTGCCGACTCGGGCGTGGCTCGGGCGATCAATCAAGTTTACTATCACATGCGTCGAGGCAGCTACACAGCCGCTGAAGCCGAAATCTTCGATATGTACATGTCAAGGCCTGGGAATGAGCGTCTGCAGTCCAGGGCACACGAGCTTCACGTTGTACGCCAGCAGCCTTGGGAGCAGGAAAACAATCCGTCTTGAGGCCGCGGGGCTTCTAACGATGTACTGCAGCACTAACAAGCCATTGCCTGGTGTCAGGATAGACCTGGAGAGAAGGGGCACAATGAAGATGTAGAAACGCCGCACAAGCAACAGCATACCGGCGTTCTCGATTCTCCTGACTGCACCCCAAGATGTAAGTGAGGACGGCTGCGTATAGACGACAGTAAGAAGGGAGAGGTCCCAATGGTGCTGCTGTGCCTGGTGCACACTATGGATGAATAGCGAGAAGAGGCACTGCGACTATGACGGTCTGCTTATTGATAGAGCTGGGCAATTCATGGCACGCCTTGCAAAGTCTATATTCAATGATTGAGCCATGATGTGTAACACCTCTCTTACGTGATGCCCGGAAGTCAGGCCATTGACTCCCCATCTCGCATCCACATCCGCATTTATGACTGTTATGTCCTTTGATCTCAAGCCAGCTAGTTTTCCGATGAGATGCTCGGCCAGCATCGGCCAAAGCGGCCCCGCCACATGATGATAGTTACATAAGGCCAAGGGTAATACACCCCGTTTGCGACATGAATGAACGGCACGCCCTACCTGTCCCTAATCCAATCTGCAAAGCTATCTAATCTAGAGCTCCCTAGCTATAAAACTTTTCCTATCTCCACCTCACCTCACTGCATGCTAATAACACGCAGTCTCACCACATCCATCCATCCATCGTTCTTCCTCACCAGACCGCCCTCGCCGATCGTAATCTCCCGCCAGCACTTCCACACAACAAGACTAGCAACCATGGCCCCCAAACAAGTCGTCCTCACGGACAAGGCCCCCAAGCCTCTAGAGGGCATCCTCAGCCAAGCCATCGTCGCCAACGGCGTCGTCTACTGCTCCGGCCAAGTCGCCGTGGACCCCGCGACGGGGAAGCTGGTCGAGGGGACGGTGGGCGATCGGACGCATAGGATTATTCAGAACTTGACGAGTGTGTTGGAGGGCGCGGGGACGAGTATTGAGAATGGTGAGTGGGCAGCTTGATAACGCAACTTCAGAGCTTTTTGGTGGGGGTGTTTTTTGGGTATAGGTGCTGATGAGATTTGGGTGGGAAATAGTTGTTAAGGTTAGTGTCTTCATTGCCGATATGAAGGACTTTGGCGCTATGAATGAGGTTTACGCGCAGTATTGGGGCGAGAATAAGCCTTCTAGGACGTACGTTTTCCCCTCCTCCCAAAGCCAACCCCGTCCTCACAGTTTGTACTGACATGAGATGTGTATTCAAGTTGCGTCGCCGTCAAGCAACTCCCCCTCGGCACTGACGTCGAGATCGAATGCGTGGCGGTCCTCCCGTAAGAGATACCTTGCCAGCATGTCCCTCTTGAGATCAAAGGCCTTAGAGAGGGTACTAATGCTTTTTTGGCTGTGTAGAGACGGGAAGAGTCGCCTTTGAGGAAATTGGCGGATTATGATGCCGTTGAATTGATTGGAGGTTATGGCTTTCTCGCTCGCTCGACCGCTATGCAGATGAAATGAAGCAAATCAAAAACGCCACTGTTATGAATGCCACGGCCGTAGGTTGTACAGTCTCTCCTGTTGTTCACAGGATCGCGAAGAACTGTGTGAATCCCTGAAAACTACTCCTCAAACGCCATCACTGAAATACACCCACCTCCTGTACACACATCTCATTCAAACTCCATAGCCGGACTCTTCTGCCGTGGCGCTTGATAATAGATCATCCCACTCGACAACTTCTTCGCTCTCGTCCTCTTAGGTTTCATGAAGGCCGGCCCGCCGGGGACAGCAGGTTCTGGCGCGGGCTCCTCGGTTTGCGGCTCAGGTGTAGGTGGAAGACGGGTGTTGTGATTGGTAGCTCTGGAAGATGGTCTGTTAGATCTTGATGCCGGTCGTCCAGATGCTGAGCCCGGTCTATGGAAGCTAGGCATGTGAGGACGGTGGCCGTCTGAAGAGATGCGGTCTTTCACGCGACGGAGGAAGCCCGGTTTGGAGGGCGAGTTCTTGTCGGGATGCAGGTGGGGACTATGTTCTGATGCTTCAGGTCTTTCGAAGTTGGCAGAGGAACCGCTGAGGTCGTGGGCTGTGCTGCCGTTTGTACGTCTTGACGCAGGTCTCTTCGTTGGCGAGGGCTCCGACACGACTCGCTGTTGAGGACGAGGATGCACGTCTGAAGGCTCTTTGACTCGCATAAGGGATCTTTGCGTAACGGGGGCGTATCGTTCGCGTCCGCGGAAAGGTTGCGAGGTGGCTTCTGGACTGTCTCTGCTGCCCGGGAATGGCACTTTGGGCACAGCTGGGGGCTCAGGGCTGACTCTCCTCTCCTGCAGTGATGACCGTGGAAGGGAAGTAGAGTTTCGCGGGTTGCTAGTCCTCTGCATCAACGGCGGACGCTCCTCAGACACTCGTGTCCGTGTTCGTCGAGGCTGTAGAGTAAAGTCGTCCTCGGCAGGTGGTATTATCTTCGTCCTGACTGGGGTATTGTGCGCACTTTGCGCTTTCTCAGCCTGCAATTGCTCAGATCGTGAGTGCAAATCTCCAAACTCATCCTCGAACTGCGATGGATCCAGGGACAAGTCGCCCTCTAGTCTATACCTGTTGTTGAGCAGCTCTGCAATCTTTCTGTCGTACTCTTGCGTAATGGTCTGGAACTCCTCGGCATGCTTCAACGCAATCTGTGACTTTCGTTTCGCAATGCGCTTGTTGTAATCTTGCACCAGTCGTTGCTCGGCCGTTCGCAAAGCTCTAGCCTTGCCCACAGGCAGACTGGAGAGCATCGCAGCTTGTTCGCTTGGGTCGTCAAAGTCGGCGTCGTACTGTGCTACGAGATCCCTTCGGTCCTTTGCAAATGCCGCGGCTTGCGTCGATGTGATCATCTTGTCCATCCGCTCTTTGTCGCCGGCGAGCTTCTCGAGCTTGGATTGGTAGTCAGAAGCTAGCTGATCTTTCGCTCGCTGGAGTTCGCCAACATGCTCTTCAATCTTGCGTGAGAACAGCTGCTCGTTGGCCGTGATCACGCTTCCGAGTTCGGACAATTCAGCATGGGCATCGTGCAGGTAGTCTTCGAAAGAGCGAGTCTTCCAAGCCATGTCAACTTCATCCTTTGCTTGTCTCTGACCAGGACTCATCGGCGTCACTGGGCGAATACTCTTGCGTCTTTCAGACTTGACTTGCTGGACTGAGGCAAGGTCGACTTTTGGCTCAGAGATGAGCTGATCAGTCTGTACAAGAGCATCACTAGTGTTTCTCGTAGGTGGTTTCGGCCTTGCGCGCTGAGCAAGCAGTGCTTCGAGCTCCTTGATGAGAAAGTCGTTCTGTCGTGTCAGCTCCGTCTTCTCGTCCAGTCTCTTCTGCAACGTCAACCTCATCGCGGCCCGCTCTTCTTCCAAGCTGTCCAGCTGCAACTTCATAGCCGCAAGCTCCTCGTTCGTGCCAGTATTCTTTGGCGTATTGGCACCAGTCGAATACTTGCTCTGCAACTCACGCAGCGTTCCCTGGACCTTCTCAAGCTGCGAGGTCAGGTCTTCTTTCTCCTTCTGCAAAGAAGAGATCTCCTCAACCGAAGAATCCTTTGCTTCTGCCGTCCGTTTCTCCGCTTGCGAGACTTGTTTTCGAAGCCCAGCCAGACTCCTCTCGGCTTCAGCTTGCCCAGTGAGCGAGGCGTCCAGGCGACTTTGCAGGGCTGCAATTTCCGAATCGAAAGCAGACTGTTTCGATGACAACTCAGCTTCTCTCTCCGAGTGTAGACGATTCTCCAGCTCAGTCAACTTCGACTGCTGCTCCGTTTCGAGCCGTAGCATGTCGCCCTGATGATACTCTGTCGATTCTTGACGAGCCTTCTCGATTGCAGCACGTGCTTGGTCAAGACTGGCCTTAAGCTCCTTCGCGTGACTCTGCTCCAACTCAGTGAGTTGAGCGGCAGCTTGCTTCTGCGCATTGGACCGAACCTGGGCCACTGCATCCTGATGACGTTTCTTCAAGTTCTTGATTTCAGCTTGACCACTTTGTCGAGATCGTTCAACAGCAGCTTCAAGAGCAGCTCGGTGCTGCTGTTCGGCTGCAGCGGCTCTCTCCTTCGCTTGGGTATCTGCACTGCTGACTGCCAAAGCCAACGCCTCTGCACGTTGAAGTTCCAATTCTTTCACCTTTTGAGCCAATGATTCTTCGTGACTGCCCCGAAGATCCAGTAAGGCGGTGTCATGTTGGCTCTTCACCTCATCAAGCCTTGAAGTCCAGGCCGACTCGCTATCTCCCAATGCTTCCTGGTGGCTCGCTTGCTGCGCTTCCAATGACGCTTGAAGTTCCTGAATGTGGTTCTCATGTTCAAGCCGCAAATTTTCGACCTCGCTCTGGCTCGTCTTCTCCGCTTCTTCGAGGGCCATTCTATGTTCAGATCGTAGCGTGGTCAGTCGTCCATTCGAATCAGTCTCTGCCTCAGCCAATTGAGCTTGCAAGACGGTCTCATGCTCCGCTTTCGTATTCTCCATCTCTTGCTGCAAAGACCTCAGTCGCTCTTCATGCTCTTGATTCAGCTTTTGCATAGCAGCGTGTCCGTCAGCCTTCGCCATGTCCAGAGTCTTGTCATGCTCAATACGAAGCTTCTCCACTTGTTCTGCAGCGGCTACTTTGCTGTCGCTGGACGCTTTCTCTTGCTTCTGCCGCTCTTCCTCGCGGCTTGCGAGCAGCGATGCTCGAAGATTGCCGAGCTCCTTCTCATGCTCAGCCAACATGCTGGCGATCTTGGTGTCATGCTCGCCAAGCGCTTGATCCCGGACTTCTTGATGTTGTGCCTCTCTGGCTTTCAGCTCCTGAGCGTGTCCCTCGCGAAGCCTCTCAAGATCTGCAGTGGCTGACGCCCGGAGCGTCTGTATCGCCGCTTCGTGCTTGTCTTCCTTTTCACGATCCGAGAGCGTGCTTGCTTGCCGTGCATTATCTAGCAGTCTTGCATGCTCTGCTTTGAGATCGGCAATCGCAGACTGATGCTCATCTTGCAAGCTTGACAGCTTCTCTGAACGATCGTTGTTGATCGCGTTGACGTGGGTCTGATGTTCAGAACGGAGACCGGTAAGAGTCTCGTCGTGCTCTCGTTCCAGGTTGGATTGGGCAGCCTCGGTCTCCTTTCGAAGGCCTTGCAATTGGTCCTCGTGCCTAGATCCTTGCTCTTTCATTGCTTCGTCGTGGGTAATCCTAAGCTTTTCAAGGTCCAAACTATGCGCAGATTGCAGATTCTGAAAGGCAAGATCATGTGCAGCCTGCGCAGCAGTAGACCTGTCCTGCGCTTGCGCAAGCTCATCACGCAAGCCTTTCAATTCTTCGTCGTGCTTCGCTTGAGAATCCTTGACGCCACGATCATGCTGCTCTTGTATCTGCTGGATCGCTACACTGTGCGAGGAGCGCAAGTCTTCCATTGCATCACGCAAGCCCTTCACTTCTGTATCGTGTTCCGACTGAGCCTCTACGATAGTTCGATCATGTTCATCTCGCAGCTGCTGGAGTGCTGCACTGTGCGAGGAGCGTAAGTCCTCCACCGCGGCGTCGTGCTCAGCTTTGGAGGCGATCATTCGATCTTCACCCTGTGTCAATGCAGTACGAAGGTCATTGAGCTCATTGTTATGGGCGGAACGCAGCTCCCCAAGCTCGCCTTCATGATTCGACTTTAGCCTATCCAGTTCAGTACCGTGGGCAGACTGCAGTTGCTCAGCAGCAAGTTCGTGACCTGCGTAAGCAGCAGCGAGGGTCTCTTGCGCAGAGACAAGATCCTTCTTCAGGCCAGAAATCACAGACTCGTGGTCAGAGAGTAGTGTATCTATCTTTGCGTCATGGGTTGCCACGGTATCTTCATGTTGTTCTTTGGCCTTTGCAGTTTGGGCTTGGAGGTCGGCGTCATGTTTCTCCTGCATCTGCGAAGTGAGGGCTTCGTGCTGCTTTCGGATGTCACTGAGTGCGTCGGCATGAATGTTTTCCAGGCTCCTGCGACTGGCTTCTGCGCGGCGAAGAGCTTCCTCATGCCTTTCCTGAATTTCTCTTGCCTTTGCCTCATTTTCAGAATGGAGCCTGGCAAGTTCAAAGTCATGCTCTTGTTGGAGCTCTGCCAGCCGTGCCTCTCCGTGTGCATGAGCCTCCTGTCTTCCTTGCTGTATAGAGTCTGCATGTTCAGAGACCAGAAGTTGCCTCTCCTTCTCGTGGTCATCTTGGAGGCCCTCAAGGCGGTGCTGAAAGTCTTGATCTTTCTGCGCCAGTACGACCGAGTGCGCCTCATCTGACTCACTTCTGGCTTGACCCAGACTCCTTGTATGTTCTGTCGCTAGTACTTCCTTCTCACGCTGATGCTCAGACCTGAGTTGATCCGTTCGCTGCTTAGCTTCTGCAAGAGCATGGATGTGCTCCTGCCGCATTCGCTCAGTCTCACTAGTGTGCTGGCCCTTGAGCGTGTCCTGCTCCCGAGCATGCGCGTCTTTCAGTTCTTGCGACATCTTGTCATTTTCTTGCTTCACCTGCTCAAGTGCTCGTTGGTGGTATTCATTCAAGTCTGCAATTTTGCCACTGTGGTCCTGACCAGAGCTTTCTGCCGAATCCTTGTACTCCAAGTGCAGGCGATCTACTTCAGCGGCGTGGAAGGTCTTAAGATCCTCGAGAGCAGTTGAGTGCTTGCCAATGAGGTCCTGCAGTGCGTTTGCTCGTGCCTCTTCAGCCTCTTGGAGTCGCTTCTCTTTCGCTACCACTTCGTTGGTGAGATCGTTCACGCGCTTCTCATAGCTGGCTGTGCGAGTCTCCAAATGCTGACGAAGTTCAGAGACCTCTGCTAGGGACCTTTGAATCTCGTCGTTTCGAGAAGTCAACTCAGACGTTAAGTCCTGGATCTTCGACTCGGAGGATTTCTCAAGCTCAGCATGCACAGCACGTAAACTAGCCAGCTGCTGCTCGTTCTCCTCTACATTTATCTCCAAGTCACGGACTCGTGCTTGATGCTCTGCATCTTTCTTGACAAAACTGTCACGTAACGAGTCGGCAGTCTTCTCGTGAGAGACGATGGCATCCTTCAAGTCAGCGATTTGCTTGTCTGCCTTAGTCTGAACCTCCTCAAGACGTCGCCTCACATCATCCAGGTCGTCGCTGGCAGCTTGAGCGTGACTTCTGTGTTCTGCTTGAAGAGCTTCAATCTCTTGGGCATATCCAGCAGACGCGTCTTTAGCGGCACGTCTCGCTTCACGAAGCTCGTCATTGACATTTCGAAGCTGCTCATCATGAGTGGCTCTTACCGTCGATAGCTCCTGGCTGTGATTGTCTTTGACGGAAGAAAGCTCATCGTCATGAGCACTCGTAAGCCCGCCAATCTCTTCAACGTGCAAGGCCCTCAACTTGTCTAGCTCGCCATTGTGCTGCGACTTCGCCTCGTAAAGGTCCTTGGCACTTGACGTCTTCGTTCTTTCAAGCTCTTCGACATGAGCACTGTTCGCAAGACTGAGCGCTTCTTCGGCACGGCTGTTCCTTGCGTCGTGCTCTTCTTGAATATCGCGGACGGCCTGCTCATGTCGGGCTTTAGCATTTTGCAATTTTTCATCGTGAACCTTGACAAGATGCTCTCTTTCTGCCACTGCTTCCTGAAGCTTAAGACGAAAGTCTTCGATATCCTTCGCAAGTCTGCTAGCGTGGACATCCTTCTCGTCAAGCTCACTTTGCAGAGAAGTAATGTGTTTCCCATGAGCATCCGCGGCCTTCTTCTGCTCCTCGACGTGGCTACTGAGCTCACTGCATCGAGCGTCGCGTTCCTCACTCACTTGGTCAACAAGAGCCTCCGATTTCTCCAGCTTCTGCCTCAGCTCATCACTGATCGATTGATGCCGAGTTATTTCAGATTTTACATCAGCATGCTGCAATTGTACCTGCTCGAGCTGATTCTTTAAGTTGTCCTCGCTGACCTTGTGTTCTTCAACTGTGCGTTGAATTTTGTCCGCAGCCTTTTGATTCTCCAGCTCCAAATTCGAGACTCGTTCGCTGCTCGTCGCCAACCTTTGCTCAATCTCAGCCTTCAGCGCCTGCAATCTGGAGATCTGCTGGCTGGCCTCCTCATTCGAAGCATCTTTCTTCTCCTTCTCCTCTCGCAGCTCTTGCACTTGGAGTTGGTGTTGTTGAAGGGAGTATTTAAGGTCCTGCACCTGCTTGTCACTCTGCTGTTGTACTTCACGTATCCGCCGCTCCAAAGCTCCTTTCTCCTTTTTGACCTTGTTCAACTCTGATCGATATCCGCTTAGTGTGCCTTCCAGAGACTCCTTTTCACCCGTGAGACCGTCGACTTTTCTCTCGGCAGCTTCCAGCAACTGCTCCCCATTCTGCTTTACAATGAGCACTTCCTCCCTCGCTCTCTCTAGCTCCTCTTCTCGCTCGTCAAGTAGATCATCTGGCTCGGCCTCTGATTCAGTCTCGGGATCGGTCTGCGAGGGTCTCCGAATGAGGGTATGATGCTCGGTTTTGATGCGCTTCTTCAACTGGTCTAGCTCGTGGTAGATGTGCGCGGTGCTGACTGGCGTAGAGGAGCTTCTCTGTCGAAACACCTGTGCAGTGATACTGCCGGCGGATTGAGTCGGGGCATTCTTAGATCGGCTGATGAGGTGCTTGATGTGGTCAATCTCTTGGGTGAGGGTCCTCGTAGACCCGGCGGAGTCTGGTCGTTCGGTGGCATCTGAGGCATGACTGAGAGCTCCGCGACTCGAAGGCCGCGAACCACGGCCGAATGCAGAGCGTGGACTTTCAGCCATTGTCACCGCTATGCTGTCGCGCCCGATCTAGCCATCTTGACCAGGCGTGAATGCGTGGCAGCTTGCAAACTTCACTCTGCTTCGAGTGCTCAGGTAGACTAGTCATAGATATCTGGGCAGAACCCACTGCTGTTGTGTTAAAATGCGCGATCTAGGAGCCGTTTGATGATCGGCCGTTGATTGAAGATCTGCAGCTGATCGGAGGACGCCGAGTCAGTGGACCTACTGGTTGACGTATATATCTATGAGAAACGGAAGGAAATGGTAGATGGAGCATGCGGAAAGAGCAGGGGTTTGTCTACACGCTGGCAGTGCTTTTCCCTGCTGCAGTCTCCTGATGTGCATCGGGCAGCGCGATAGATCTGGTGAGCTTGAATGCTTCATGACGTCCACGCGGGACCGGTACGAGACGCAGCCATCCGAGACCCGAACCGAGAGTGTTTCATCCTTGCCAAGGGATGCCCAACGAGCACGTCCGGACATGATCGGTTCTCGAAGGCATGGACAAAATTCGAACAATTGCTGGAAAAAACATCTTTTGAAGCAGTGTGAGCAGTGATATGGAGGCGGCATCAGCCGCAATCCGATACCGAGCCCCAAGAGCCGAAAGTCGATTGCGTGCGGGTCCGAAGCGACATCCATGTCTCATCCATCAATCTCATTCGATCCGGGTGCACCATCACAGCGTCGACGACAGTCTTGAGGATCGTAAGGCATCAAACTAACCAGCAAGTGCTGCTACGCTCTGCTCTGCATTCATAAAGGGAAAGCACCCTTCTACCTAATCGAACGCTTTCCCCCAAAGGCACGTCAGAACAGGGTTCTTTTACGACTCCCCAGATGCCTCTCAAGCATTACCACTACTGGGAATCTCCCCGGCACTTCTCCCCAAGAACTCCATCAACACCGATCCATCGGCCGTCTTGATCGGCTGCGAGTCTTGAAGAACATACACAACTCTCGCCCACGCGTCCGGGCTCGGATTCCTCCAAGCATGATTCGTCCCTCTCTGAATACAACAATCCCCCGGATGGAGAACCTGTCGCCTCCCCGAGTCCAAGATTAGTTCGATGCTCCCCGCAATGACGACCCCGTAATCGAGGCTCTGCGTGCGATGCATCATGGACTCGAAACCCGGGGCAAAGTCGACGAAGCGGAGGACGGTGCCTCCGGGATTGACGATTCCGAGTTTGGATGAGGCCAGCCGCGTATCGTGAGTCGCGATATCGATGTCCTCGTTCATTGATACTGGGAAGTTGGATGTCGTAAAGGCCACGTTGAACGCCATTCCGTTGTTGTCGATGGATTGCCATTTCCCTGGACGAGCATGTTGCACAATCGTCTCTCCTGAGCCCGCATCATGACCGGTGATATACGTTGTAATACCAGGTAGGTCCTGGGCCAGTTGGCCTTCATTGGCGGGTCTAGCTGCGCTCATTGTGTAGACGTTCTGGCGACACAAGGGTAACGTTCATATTTAGTAGGCATTTCAGAGCAGGAGTCCCCGGGTTTATCACCTCTTATGGCGTTCTGGGCGTTCACTGGGTCTGATTGAAGGCGCTGGGTAGATACTTCTTTCAGGACTGTGGCGGATTCATGTGGACGCCTCGGAACTGCATGGGGTAGGTTTATCTTGAGCGATCCTGACTGCGCATATGGGTCAGCTCGCATTGCCCGTTGGAAACCAATTCGGCGATAGGCGGGATGGCTCAAATGGGGAATCATGGCGAGATATCTAATCGCCAAGAAGAAGTTAATGTCGCTCGGCTCGATTGTAGCTTCTGGAAAGGATGTGTCCCAAAGCTCGATGAGCGGAACATGCACGGGATAGGAGCCCCTGACGACAATCTGTGGATGGAGTCGACCGATCGTCCACAAACAAACAGCACATGTCATCATATGGCGAGAGCATAGTAAAGACAGACGCATCACTGCGAGGACGGGATAGCGATGTTCCAAGTCCACATATTTCCGCCGTTGACAATGTCTTTTAAAAGGCCACCACGAACGATCAAGATGCCCAAACCCATCATAACACACTCAAAGGACCTTCAACTCCACTGAAACCATGGCAGACAACGACAAAATCACCTTGACCCGCCTCTCCCATGTCATATACCTGCATCAAGACCTCAACAAGTTCAAAGCATTCGCCAAGGACTTCGGCCTCGAGGAAGCCGACACACAGCCTGACGAGAACCTCGTCCTCTTTCGAGGCTACGGTCTAGACCAATACGTCTACATCGCCGCTCAGGCCCCAGCGGGCGAGGCGAAGAAGTTCGTCGGCGCGGGGTTTGTGGCGAGGTCCCGCGAGGACTTTGCCCGGGCATGTCGACTCCCCGGCGCCGAGATCGTTGACATCAGTGCTTGGCCAGGCCAAGGCAGCCTGGTGAAGATACGCGATCCGAATGGGTACGAGATGAGGATTCTGTATGGGCAGCAGGAGCAGTCTCTTACGACGAAGGGGATCTCCGTGGTAGACGGTGGGAGACCTACGTTGAATGGTGCAATCGACAAGCAGCGCAAGGGTAAGCAAGCGCACTCTTATGACTTGAACGCTCCCTGACAGACTCCCTAGGTGAATATACCCGCATGGTCCAAAGCCCCGCCGCAATTCACAAACTAGGCCACTTCGGCTACGAGACGGACAACTACGAAGCGACCTGCGCCTGGTACACATCAACCTTCAACTTCAAACCCACCGACGTGCTCCACGCTCCCGGTAAAGAGGACCTGGACGTCGCCTCCTTCATGCACCTCGACCTCGGAGCCGAATACGTCGACCACCACTGCCTCCTCCTGACGCGCAGCGAAAACCCCGGGACGAAAATCCATCACTCTTCCTTCGAGGTCGAGGACATCGACACGCAGATGATCGGGCATCAGTGGCTTCTAGACCACGGCCATGAGCTCGTCTGGGGTATTGGACGGCACGTTCACGGGTCGCAGGTGTTTGATTATTGGTATGACTCGGACCGGTTCATCATAGAGCACTATGCGGATGGAGATTTGGTCAATGGGGATACTGGTGTTTATAGGGCTGTGGCTGGGAATATGGCGGTGTGGGGACCGCCGGTGCCGGTGATTTGGGGAGGGAAACAGCGGATTAGTGCGTGAGGGTGGTAGAGATGGCTTCTAGTGTGGTAAAAAATTAGATTGTGCATTTGCTTTCGATAGAGATTGTATGAAAGGGCATTGGAGCTATTGACCAGTCGGGGCGGCTTCTTCAGCCGGAGCGACCCCAACATCGCCGCGGGAACCAGCGAACGAGTTGTTGTCCGAGTTGTTGCCACGTTTGCCCTGCCATCGCTCGTGCAGCCAAAAGCCGCAAGCTCGTAGTGACAGCGATTAGAAGTCACCAGACAAGCCTCGCACGGAGCGTGGCCGTCGCAAGCGATCTTTCATCTTCTCCAGCTACTGCAAGCAACGCGGATGCGTTTGCGGCCAGACGTTTCGATGATGTTACTAGAGCTGGACGGCTCGACATCGGAAGCCTGCGCCAGAAGGCATGTCTTCTCATGGGTGGCCTTGACATCTGCTCGGGGCAATGCTCGGAGCAGACGGCATATTCGAACGGGCGCTCTTTGGTATGCGTTCTCCGGTGTCTTCTGAGATGCTCTGCTCGACCAAACGTACGCGAGCAGAAATCGCACCGTCTCTGTCAGTCAGCATGCATTGCAATCTATCGATTGGTGCTAGCCGAGCCTTCCTCTCCTGGCGAAATGTCATTGTTTCACATCGAAAGCTTGTGATGAAGGAATGGAAGGGAGGGTGGTTGGGTTATCCCAAGGTGATGTTGGCTTGTCGTTTCCGTGTGGGGGTGGGGGTGGAGACTGGACGCAGGACGTCCCGTCAGGTGAAGCTTTTTGGATTGCATACTCCCTTTCTCTCTGGCTCTGCTCTTCGCAAGCAATGCCTCGATCATGACCAGCCGCCTGCAGTCTTCCACCTGGCATCCGAAACTGAGGATCGCGAGGCTAACGCTCATTCATGGCCGGGAGATAGAGATCCATCCAGATGCCAGGTGGAGCCAACAACGTGCCTGCCCCAACATACTTGGCTCGTTTCGAGGCAGCCTCGACGCATGCTGAGAATTCACTTGTCGCGGAGCAAAGCCTCGCAAGGTACAGAGTGCGCTGTGGAATCGATCGCCTGTCGACGGCGCAACCCCCCTACCTCATCTTACACATATCACATATCCCCTCGCTTTACTGTCCAATAGCCCGCGTTTGTCTGGATCAGAGCAGAGTCCAGGCTATGCTACTATGTACATACGGAGCGCTGTCGGCTAGACCAGACTTTCAACGGACAGTATCATGACTGTTATCCAATGTCATTATGGTAAGTCACATCTCTACATCTGTCGCGCATTCCACTGCTACCTTTGACGCAACTCCAGATCTCTGGACGTGTACACCCGACCGACTTCCGATACCCAACTACCGCGGCGCTGCCAGCAGAGGCCAGTTTTGCCGCGAAGAATTCGCTGATGTCCCACTTGCTCCTGGTCGACACTTTACACTCGCTTCATGTTCGAACTGCGCCATGACATTCAGTCTACGAGCTCTCCTTCGACTTGCCTCGCTCTGGCCATCCTTTCCGGATTATGAACCATTCCGTTCGTGGTCGCGGGCTTTGTGAAACTGGATGGGAGGTTTGGCAGCCGCAGGTCGGTGGTCATGTTTGAAGCTGCTCTCTCTCGCCTGCCCTGGCCATGCAGCCAGAAGATGGCACGGAATCTGAAACTCGTCCGAGAACAACCGCAGGAATCACGCGACCCCATGTGATCGACCTTCCAGCTTGGAGTTCTCTCCAAGTCCCCAGACTTTCCTCCCTTGGAATCGTTCTCAAAGTGCAAACCCCAACGACCTCCGACTTCAGCCTTGCGCTAGTCGAAAGCGGCAATCCCTGCGAAAGGAAGCCTCCACAGCATTCCGAGGCATCATGATATCAGTATATGCAGCTTCACCTCGTGAGCCTGTATATCAGAAGCGCCGCAAGACATGTTTCAACTATGAGAAAAGGTATTCTAGCTATCGTCTTCAAAGCATGGCACCAGACATGTTGAACAACGACAACAACGCCGGCGACGACAAGGATGTCATAGTGGATTGTCTAATTGTGGGAACTGGACCTGCTGGAGCGTCTCTGGCTTGTTTCCTGGCGCAAAATGGTTTGAACAGCAAGACTTTTGAAGTATTGAGCTTCTTACCTGACTATCTTTTCCTACAGGCCTTACGGGCATGCTCGTCACTCAAGATTCCAGCAATGCCGATACACCAAGAGCACATATCACGAACATGGCTGCGCTAGGTGTGTCTCCATTGCTACAATCATACGGGTACGATTCACTCACAGTCGGCAGATTGCCTCCGAGACATCGGCCTGGACAAGCAGTGCTACGACGTAGGAATGGGCGGTGACACCATGATGCACACCCGATGGTCCAATGGCTTCGCAGGTGAAGAGTACGCTCGAATCTATTCCTGGGGCAACGACCCAAAGAGAAAGGGCGATTACGAGCGAGCGAGCCCTTCAAGCCCCCTCGACCTCCCTCAGACTCTGCTCGAGCCAATCCTGGTTCGCCACGCCACTCTGAACGGATTCAAACTCCGTTTCAACACGTCGTTTGTCTCTTTCGAGAACGACAAGTCAAACGGCTCGATTCGGACAACCCTTCACGACAACATCATCAATGCAGACTATGCGGTTCGGTCGAAATACCTTTTCGGTGCGGACGGAGCGCGAAGTCGCATCGCTCGTCAACTGGAACTCCCGATGATTAAGCGGCCAGGGCAAGGCTTCGCCATCAACATCCTGATCGAAGCGGACCTGAGCCATCTCATGGAGCACCGGAAAGGCAACCTCCACTGGGTCCTGACACCCGAGAAAGAGCATCCTGAGTATGCGTGGATCGGCTGCATGCGCATGGTGAAGCCCTGGCATGAGTGGCTCTGCATCATCTTCACGGAACCGGAGGCTGAGAAGAAGGCGCGGGAGCCGGGGGAGTATATCCAACGTGTGCGTGAGTTTATCGGCGATGACTCGGTTGAGGTGACGATCAAGGGGATTTCGACGTGGTCCATCAATGAAGTGGCGGCGGAGAAGTATTCGGTCGGCAATGTTTTCTGTCTGGGCGATGCGGTCCATCGCCATCCTCCGAATCACGGGCTTGGATCGAATACTTGTATCCAGGATGCACATAATCTGGCGTGGAAGGTGGCTTATGTTGAGAAAGGTGATTGCGTCCGGGTTGTACAAACTACTACCACGCTCCTGTCTGACACATTTGCAGGAATTGCTGGCAAACAGCTACTCGAGACCTACAGCGACGAACGGCAGCCCGTTGGCTTGGACGTCGTGACACAGTGCGTATACCCCCTCGAAAAAGTACCGCGGCCATCGCCGAAGCTGACTTACGGTAAGGGCAAACGATTCCCTTCGCAACCACAAAAAGGTCTGGGAGGCCCTCGGGAGCCTGGAGAAAGACCCCCCGTCCCGAGTCGCTTCATTGCGAGAACTCCAAGAAGACTCCCCAGCCGGACATGCGCGTCGCGAGCGACTCCGCGCGGCATTAAAACTCATCAACCGCGAGGAACACGGCCTGGGCATCGAGATGAACCATCGATACACATCCACAGCCATCTCCAAGACCGGACAAGGCGACGCTCCGACTTTCGACACCGATCCCCTCGAGCATTACCACCCAACGACGTACCCCGGCGCCCGCCTGCCACACATCTGGCTGGGCAAGACGATTCCGTCAAAGCTCGTCTCGACCATCGACCTGGCGGGTAAAGGCCACTTCGCGCTGTTTACGGGTGCTGGAGGTCACGGCTGGAGTGCGGCCGTCGAGGAGGCGAGGCGGGATTTCGGAATTCCTATCACGGTCCATAGGATCGGCTTCAGACAGGAATGGGAAGATGTTTATGGCGATTGGGCTGATGTTCGCGACGTGGAGGAGACGGGGTGTGTGTTGGTTCGACCGGATTGTTTTGTTGCGTGGCGTTGTCAGAGTTGGAGCGCGGAGGGTGGGAGCGAGCTGGTGCAAGTCCTGAAATCGGTCCTCTCGATTGGGGGATGAGTGGAAGTGAATGCTGTTGTTTTCGCTGAATAGTCTCCTGCTCCTAATTGTTGTTGATGCCTCAAATGCCTCGGTGAGGCTGAAGCCTCACAGCACGATTTTCACCGCAACGGCCACGAACATTCAGGTTACACTCTGAGCGTGTCATCATCGGATTCTCACAGGGTTTGTATACACTCACGTAGAACAGAATAGCCAAGCCATCGGCTTCGTCACCGACTGACGACTTTCCAAGTGGTCCCGGGCTGGGCATTGCGGGTGAAACATGTCGTCGTCTGGGACACAGCAGGCATTGATGACCATAGCAGTGGCAGAAATCGCACAACCCGCACTCACAGCAGGAAGACAATCGACAAAGTGTAGCCCGCCACGCAGCCAACGCCCAAACCATCCCCCTCCCACGAGCAGCCCACGAGGTCCTCCAACGCTTCCCACGGCATGCCGAACAGCCGAGCCATCCACCAAACCTGACAAAACCTCCCCACCTGATTCGTCCCTCAGCCCAGGAACGCGCCGCGCCCGCAGCTTAGTCCTAACCAAGCTTGTCTGCGCACGCTAAGCTTTCTCGCCCTGCGTCTGCCACCTCTACGACACCTTCCCTCTCGAGGCAAGCCTGGGTGGCGGGCCCTGCGCACATGGTAATCTCGTCGGATGTGAGTGGTCGAGTGGTTTTCCTGAGTTGCACTGCTTTGTGACATGGGAAAGGCTACTGCGTCGAATTGCGTGGATCTGCGCCGCGTTTTTTGCGACTTCATGCGGGTGGAGTGGTCGTTCGTTCGGCCAGAGTGCCGGAAACGTAACTTCTCTTGCCGTCTTGAGTGTTATATGTGGTGGGTTGTCCTTCCGTCTCTCTCTTCTCGTGTAGGTTGTTGCTCTCAATCATCTTTCTATCTACCGATCGAGTATATCTCAAGATTTGCTATCCACGACGAATCAAAAGGGGGAAAGAATACATACAAGAGCATCATTGAGAACCCAACAAAATAACCGACATCTCCCACCCCAAAAACCATGGCCTACCCAAACGAATGCGAAGCCTTCGCAGACGCCCGCCGCCGCCGCCGCTCCTCCGGCCCCTCCCTCACACAATGGCTCACGAACCTCTTCGCGCGCACCCCAAACAAAGCCCTCGCCGAAAAACGCGAACGCCTCCTCCCCACCACCCGCTCATCCAGCCGCTCCCCCTCCACCACCGCCCGCTCCTCCCTCGACATCGAGTCCCAACACTCCGACTCGAGCACCTTGAACGAGCTGGAGAGGGAGAAGAAGGCCGCTGCTGCTGCTGCGAAGATCGATCCGCGCACGGTGTCGGATGCGATTATTGGGTTGAGTGATGGGTTGACGGTGCCTTTTGCTCTGACGGCGGGGCTGTCGGCGTTGGGGAATACGAAGGTAGTGATTTTCGCGGGGTTGGCCGAGTTGACGGCGGGGGCGATTTCGATGGGGTTGGGGGGTTATTTGGCGGCGAAGAGTGAGGAGTATGTTGATATTCATCATTCTATGATTTATGTTAGGGTCAACTAACATGCATTTGCAGAGACGCAGGCACAGCAACACTGAACGAGACCCGTGCTTTGGTATCAAGAGACCCAGCAGACGCCGCCTCGTCAATCCGAGAGATTCTGGAGCCCTACGATCTTCCTTCGTATTTGACGGAGGACCTCGCGACACATTTGACCAAGTCGCCGAATCTGGTGCAGTTCCTCATGCACTTCCAGCACAACCAGCCCGAGCAAGAAGCCTCCCGAGCGTTGACTTGCGCCATCACCATAGCATGTGGATACTTTCTTGGTAAGATACATCCATCCTTAACAATGCCGTGTTTTACATACTGACTCATGATAGGCGGCTTCCTCCCACTGATCCCTTACTTCCTGGTTGGTAAAGACCAAGTCATGCTCGCATTATGGTGGTCTTTCGCCTTCATGGCTGTCAGCCTGTTCACATTCGGCTACAGCAAGACATGCTTCAACAATGGCTGGTACGGTCCTGAGAATGTCTGGTCGGGAACCAAAGGGGGACTGCAGATGATCCTCGTCGGAGGCACGGCGGCCACCTGTGCTATGAGCCTGGTCCGGTTCTTCGACTCTCTAGCAACTTGATTTGATGTCTTGTGATTTTTGGGATAGCGTGGCGCTTGGAGGCTTGTTGAGCCTATTGATAGGTTTCGTCATATATGAAAAGCATGATATGTCATCGATCTGTCTCATGTCCCCGTGATGAAGAAGCTCAAGAGGCTGCCGACGGTCAGTCCAGCGACCAGACACAGCCCCATGAAACCTCCAGCTGCCTCACGCTCTTCCTCGTCGACCCATTCGCCAGCGCCAATCATACAGGTGCTACCGAGATAGCCATTTGACATGCCGAAGAAGAGTTGTACAACCACCAGGTAGAAGAAGTCGCTTTTGACGATTGCTCCTTGCCCGCGGAGATTGCACAGATGGTAGAGGCCGACGAAGATGACACGTGAGATGGCGAGGCCGAAGACTACACGTGGGCATAGGACCAGGGACAAAGAAGGCACGGCGGTTAGGAGACGACCGATCAGGTCACCGATGTTCCAGAACAGTAGGGCCAGGGGAATGAAGCTCGGTGGCTGGAGGATTGGTGGTTGCTCCTCAGGTGGACGGACGGATACAATGCGCTGGGTGAAGACGGGGAAGACCATGGTGATGGCGAAAGTGACAAACACACCCCCGGCAAGCCAGAACAGCTTTCGAAAGAGATATAACAGCGGAATCGATTTGCGTCCCTCGCCAGCGCCAGTATCGTCTGGTGTGTTGTTGTCTTGAAGCTTCTTAGGCTGTCGATTGCGTGCGAGTAGAATCGAGAAGGCGAACAGCGTTATGACAGAGATTGCCGTGGCGGTGCAGAAGTAGGCCAAGGCCGCCGTCCAATGCACAGGAGGCGGCCCCGGTGGTCCGTCATGCTTTGGTTTCTTCTGATCGCCCTGCACGGACAGCACAGAGACAATCTGCGCGATGCATGGAAGCACCCCGGCTATGGCTTGCCCAGTCATGATGCCTTGAGTGTATTTGGGTTCCGCGAAGCCTGACACGAACGCAAAAATTCCATTCTGGGCCGCGCCAGTAGCAAGGCTGGTCAGGAACATCATGACCATCAAGAAGCCAAAGTATACCCCAGCGGACGTCTTGATCGCCGTAGACGCTGACAGCAGCGCGAAGACCGCCATGTTTATGACCAGCGAAATGATGATTCGTTTCGAATAGGACGCATTGGCTTGCATTCTCGTGAGGATGAGCATCGAGCCCAAGTTTGTAATTGTGGAGACGGAGATCTCAGCGGCCTGGAAGTTCTCATGGATCCAGGGATTGCCTTTGAAGCGGCGTTGGAAGTATGGCCCTGCTGCGAGAAACATGTTCCATGCCCACAGCATCGAGACTCCAAGCAGGAGGAAGATGCCATATTCGATGTATTGAAATCCCGCTTTTCTCCTCACAAAGTTTGTTTCTCCTTCTGTCTCGCCATTCTCCAGGGGTTCGTAAGGCTGCTCGGTGCGCCAGAGCTTTCGAAGGCGGTCCATGTTGGATCGATCTCGTGGGCGTGGGCGTGTTTGTTGTTGGTCGGGCGATGACTTGTCTTCCGGTAAAGGGAAGTCTAGGAACTAGGAATAGGAGAAGCTGCCATCTCAGTCCAGATGACCACACAGCATGTCTCACACAAGTCAACGGACATGTGACGCGAAGCAGGTGAGTGAAGTTGTCATCTGCCTGGGACCTGAGCGTCACGCAGGCGCCGGGTCCGGGATGCGATATGCAATGGACGGATAGATCCGCTGCATAGCTAAACCTTAATCGAAAGCACATGCGACCTCGAAGCTCCTGGGACGGATATCTCCCAAACTTCACGACGACAACGCCGATGCTACAACGCAGCCTGCCGCAATCTTTGAAACGCCAGCTGCCATCTCTTGCCCAGTCAAGCCATGTTTGCGCGTGCAAATGTGGACGACAGCTCGCTTCTCCCAATGACACGCATCACCGGCAATATGCAACCCACCGGAAAGCGCCATCGACGTTCGATCGAGATTCCAGACTCAAGAGACGAGCGTTGACTCCTGAAGAGGCGAGAGATATGCAAGAAATTGAGGTGGAGAAAAGTGATCTGTTCTACAATGCACTCCGAGACTTGCACCGTAGGCGTGGTCTCTCCGTCACCGCAGACACGGCCACGGATTTTTTAAACGGCTTCGATAAGCTTGCCAGACAGGCGAAGGGCCGCCCGAGTGTAGACCCAGACAAGTTTTTAAAACTTATTGAGGAGCATGGCGTCCCCCAGTCGGACTGCCGTACGATATCAAGAACCCTCTTATATATTGCGGAGTTCAACCCAGAACATGGGTTTCTTGGCAAGAAGTTGCTGCTCAGCAGCTCCCGTGCGGGACATGAGGAATCGACAATCAGTGTGATGGGGCATGCTGTCCTTCAGCACATCAAAACGCCAGGGGCACTTCGGAGTAAGGAGGTCCAATCCGCCAGCGAGCACTTGGATCAGATCGTAGAGTCGGGCCACAACTACCGCGCCAAGGTGCTCAAGGGAAGAATCGCGGAAGTACTGGGTGATGAGATAACGGCCATCAGGATGTGGACCAGCGCAATGGCTTCGGCTGTAGAAGCTGCAACCATGGCCGAGAGGGAGATTGAAGAAGGCGTTAGACAAAGGGGGAAGGAAGCGGACCAGTTCGAACTGACTTCACCCTGGATCGACCTTTTCCACATCCATCGTCGTAGGGGAGAAGCCAGACAGGCTAACTGGGCCCTTGAAATCGGTTGTCAGCAGGACGACCCGGACGCGCATTACCTGTACGCAGATTACTCGTGCAAGGCTTACCACGACTACGAAAGCACGATTCCCATGTATACCAGCGACTGGCTCTTTCACATGATGAAGGCCGCCACAAGCGGCCACAGCAGAGCCGCATACGAACTTGGCGAGTTCTACGCCCAGAGTTCCTGGAAGTACATTGAGGACGAGCCGCCAGACGACGTGAAACCCACACCATTCGATTCGTACCCAGCTCCGAGTGCCGGAACCCCGAGCTGGTGGAATACTCTCCAGGCCGTTTTGGGCTTCAAACCAGTACAGAGCTCAAAGCGCGCGGACTACGGCATTTTTAATATCGCAGCGTTCCCTTTCAACGCCGCGGACCGGTTCAGAATCGCCCTGGACTGGGCGACGATTGCCACGCATTACGGCTACGCCCCAGCCTCCCTCTTGAAGGCCAAGATCTACATGCAAGAGACCCTCGACCACCTGAAGAGCTCGCCTCGAACCGCGCCCAAAGAGGCCATAGAACTCAAAGACGAGAGGTACACCTACGCGTCGAAGGAAGACTACGAGGCAGGCATCAAGAAAAACCCCGAAGAGAGCATCTCAGAAGAAGACGAAGTCATAACCGGCCCACCCAACCCCTTCTACGACCTCTCCCTCGCCAAACTCTGGCTCCGCGAAGTCTTCTTCGCGCACACCGCCCATGTCCAAATCGCCATCGCCAAGAAGCAGTACCTCAAACAGCGCCGGCAGGGCCTCGTGCGCGCCGCCACCAACGACGACGACATCATCTCCGAGAAGAGCTTCAAGGACCTGCCGCACCATATTCGCAAGTGGTTTCGGTTTCAGGAGGTTCGGGAGCAGTATGAGGATAAGATTGAGGAGTATCATCGCGAGGCGAAGGAGCTTTGTGATTTGATGGAGTGGGATTTGTTTGATGATGATGGGGGGTTGGTCTATAGGGCTGGGAAGACGGGTGGGAGGGGTCAGGCTGCTGCCGCCGCTGCTGCCTGAAGGATGTGTTTTGGCAGTTCTGATTTCGTGTCTGCATATCGTTATCAATGATGGGGAAGGTGAAGCCTCTCGTCCTTCGGCGTGGATGAATTCACACCATCTTTCTCAAAGATCGTCCTCATTTTCATCGAAGCCCTGCCGTGATCGAACCTTTGCAAAGCCATCGAGGGCAGCGCGTCCGCCTATCTGGGGTCAAGAATACCGGTTAGGCAGATGTCGCGTCGAGCAGTGCTTCCCAACTTCGTCATTTCTGTGGAGGCGCATGCTTTAGACTGCGGAAGCTCGCCAGTGCTCCTGCACCGGGGTTGCATGGTGTGTCACAAGAATATGATCTCAAGCTGTTCCGCATCATATGAGATGGGTGATTCACTCCCATGGTCGCTTTCCGTCTCATATGCTGAATCTGCAGCTGTCTGTGTGCGTAGCTGTTCCGTGGTCTCCGTTCGACGGACTGGGCGGCGAAGGCTAGGCATTCCACGGTAACGTTCAGGGCTTCCTTCTACTAGTGTGAACGTGGTGAACATGCTCATTGGCAATCCTGTCACTGATTGACAGCCGCGAAACCTCCACGCTGAGAATCGGCGTTAGCGCTTTCTGCTGATGACGACGCTATCTTCCTTTCACCGTTCTCCTCAACTATTGTTGGCCCTGCGCCTACTGGCTCCCCAGCAGCACCCGCCTGCCGCGAGATGGGCCGCTCGTCTCGATCCTCATAGCTGCCACCGTTCATGGCTCCTGGTGGCGGGCCGCTTGGGACACCAGTCGGCGGTGGACCGTAGGGGCTGCCGTGTGGAAGAGCTGCTGGTTGGCTGGGAAGCTGCTGACTGGGATCGACATGACCGTAGCGTGCGTCCTCGTGAGCATTCTGATGGCCCGCAGGTGCCATTGGCGTGGTCGCGCCCGCACCAGGCTCAGAAGTCCGTTGTCCTGATGGTGTGTATGCCGTAGCTTGGAATGTGCTGGTCGATGGACCGGTTGACGGAGCTGGTTGCTGTCTCCGCCTCTTATCGCGATGTGGTCGGTCGGGCGGTGGAGTCGCCATGCCTTCCTCCCCGCTGCCCTCACTTGCGTCGACATTGTAGTCCATGCGCTTGCGCAGCTCATCCAACAGGAACGCTCGTTCGAGTCGCATCTTCAGGATGGATCGGTCAAGTCGCACTCTTCTGATCCTGGCCTCATCATTCGCTGCTTCCACCTCGTTTAACCGTCGTTTGAGTTGAATGCATTTCCGATAGTATGCCTTCTCGACGCTGGGTGCCAGGGGCGTGTTGTCGGATGCTGTTGCTGGGTGGAGTTAGTACTGGCGCAAGAGGCTGATCGCAGGGCATGAGTACCTGATGGCTGTTTTGGCGGCATTGTGTCTCAATTGTCCCGTGATATTGCTCGAATTGATGAGTGTTTCGGTGTGTTGTGCGCAGAGAAGGTGAGGTTGTAAGTTGGAAGGGAGCACGGCGAGGTGCAGGTGGAAACGCGAGCGCGGAAGCAAGGAGCAGCGGCTGGGCCGACTAGCGCAGAAAGTGGGTCTATACAGGTCTCCTACACCTTCACATGTTACAGTTCAATGTGAGAAACAACACACCAAGGAAGAGTATACATGCACGAGATCGCCGTTTGGAACTCACTCAGTCACACACATAGAGGGTCGTTATGTTCTAATATGAACATGAGGTAACATGGCGTGCGGGATCATTCTTGAGCAGTGCCTCAGGACCAACACCTCGAAAGGCCCTATACAGTTTTACTGACCTACGGCTATCCAATTCCAGGCACGCAGCAATTTCATTGTCGAATGCCCGACATTCACTCGACATGCTCTTCATGTGACCGTCGTGATGCGGTCGTGATACGTGCATTCGCGCTATTCCCATTTGGTCTCATGGACGCGATTCGAGCTTCTTGCCTCAAATTCAAATTCCTACTTGCTTCCCATCCCAGCATCCCCAAATCCATCAACACTCATGGCAGACGACATGTCACTCACCCAGATCCCTCTGACTCTCATCGTTGCGGCCACTGCGAAGAATGGCATTGGCAAGAATGGAGGCCTGCCATGGCCCATGCTGAAGAAGGACATGGGTTTCTTCGCGCGTGTCACCAAACGAGTCCCAATACCCAAGAACACGGGATCCGTCCAGTCTGATGCTTTGAAGGAGAAAATCTTGTCAGGAACCCAACGCAATGTTGTGATTATGGGAAGAAAGACTTGGGAGAGCATTCCTCCAAAGTTCAGACCTCTCCAGGACCGTACGAACATCATCATCAGCACCCAGGGGCGTTCGCAGCTGCAAAACGTCCCGGACGATGTTGTGGTCGGCTCAGATATTGTCTCTGCTCTCAAAGATCTTGAAGCACTGATTAAAGACGGCAAGTCGCTGCCGGTTGGCAGGGCATTCGTTATTGGTGGCTCCAGCATCTACAAGGCTGCGTTGGATCTACCGCAGACAAAGCATATCCTCCTTACCCGAATCTCCAAGGAGTATGACTGCGATACATTCTTTCCAGAAACTTTGGACGGCAACAATGTCAATTCTTCACGCTGGCAGCGTCTAAGCCACGCCGAACTTCGAGACTTTGTCGGCGAAGAGGTCGAGAAAGGACCCATTACACAACAGGCTGGCGACGAGGAACTCAGTCTGGAATTCCAACTCTTCGAAAGCTCATGATTTGTATTGGAATTGCAACCTCACCCACGTGTCAGCCTTTGAAGGATCCCAGGTTGCTTCTTGGCGTCGGCAGATCATGCCCCTCCCAGCCCCGCGAACCTAGTCTCGGCTTCAGCCAGACTTGCACATGCAAATGGAAGCTTCACCAGTGCTCCTCTGTCGTCATCATAAGGAACTCACATGATGTGAAAAGAACGATTTCAACAAATGCTGGCCGACCTCGGAACGCAGTTCTAGAGTCGCCCTTGACTCTGATAACCGAAAGCGCATCGGAGTCAGATGTTTGACAGTCTGAGGCTATCCGCGATTGCCCGAGGTACTTGCTCCGCTCGTCCTTTGCTAGAGCGCCAGGGACAGGACAGGACTCCGCGTCAACGCGATGTTAAAGCCACACTTGGCTGAAGCTGTCACGCTACGTAATGAGCCTCGACAACTTCCTCGGCCACCAGGATGTGCTCGTGCGACAATTTTGAACTCTAGATCTTCTTTCCTTGTTCCTTTGACTCACTCCTTGTAGCTTGAGAACACAGGCAAGACCTTCGACGTACCAGTACGAATAACAAACGGCCTCTGGTTCAAGTCCATTGAAGACTAGAAGTCATTACAGAGCTTCTTTCTTGTGCTGCATGGTAGCGCCGACATTTCAATCAAAATGTCGGCGAAGACTACCTCTGGGCCTGGCGGCAAGAAGCCAGCCTCTGCAGCGACAAACCTCATCGGTGCGTTCAGAGTCACTTCAAAGGCGTTCCATAAGCTTACATTGAAGCAGCTGGTGGAGGAGCTGGTATGATGGAGGCCCTTGCTTGCCATCCACTCGACACCATCAAAGTTCGTATGCAACTTTCACGGCGACAGCGAACGGCAGGAGCAAAAAGACGCGGCTTTATCCAGACTGGTGTTGAGATTGCGAGAAAAGAAACGCCTCTGGGTCTGTACAAGGGCCTGGGAGCTGTGCTCACTGGAATTGTCCCAAAGATGGCCATCCGATTCACGAGTTACGAGTGGTACAAGCAATTGCTTGCGGACAAAGACGGACGAGTTGCCGGTAGTAGCAACTTCCTCGCCGGTCTTGCCGCTGGTGTCACCGAAGCTGTGGCAGTGGTGTGTCCAATGGAGGTGGTCAAGATTAGGCTGCAAGCACAACACCATAGCATGGCAGATCCTCTAGATGTGCCGCAATATCGCAATGCTGCACATGCAGCTTACACTGTTGTGAAAGAAGAGGGAATTGGCGCTCTCTACCGAGGTGTATCACTCACAGCCCTCAGACAAGGAACCAACCAAGCCGCCAACTTCACTGCATACACTGAATTGAAGGATTTGATTCAACGCAATAGCGAAGATCCCACCAAACCGCTTCCCAGCTACACCACTGCCGGTATTGGTCTCATCTCTGGAGCTGTTGGACCGTTTTGCAACGCACCCATCGATACGATCAAGACTCGTCTGCAACGAACACCTGCCGAGCCTGGTCAGACTGCCATGGGCCGCATTACCATGATCGCGTCGCAAATGTTCAAGCAAGAAGGTGCGCGTGCCTTCTGGATGGGCATTACTCCCAGAGTTGCCCGTGTCGCTCCTGGCCAAGCAGTGACATTCGCCGTATACGAGTACCTCAAAGGTGTACTAGAAAAGGGCAGAGAAATGGTACCAGGGAACAAGTACGAGGAGTAGCGCTCGATTCAATGAGGCATGGTGTGGCGCAACGGGAGCAGGTGTTGTATGTTCGATTGGAAACTTGGATGATCGTCGAAGACATGCTCATGAGCTGTGTAGGTATTCGTAGACTTGATACCACAATTAGCGAGTTCAGTACTCCCAGTCTCTCAATGTTGCTACAGTTGAACGGGCAGAGCTTGGCCGAAGAGCTCACCCGGATCGGCAGGTCAAGCTCTACAACTCTACTACCTTCGCACTGCTATCTAGTTTCGTGTTGTGGACGTAAGAGAGAAAGATAAGGACATCTTCGCTGACTTGAAATAGCAGACAATCTTCTCAATGTCCAGCTGATCACACCGTCTACAGATCCAGGCGATCATCTACACTGTTCAACAAGATGGCTACCAATGGCGATGAGAAACACTACCGCGCCGTCATTGGCAACGCCTCCAATTTCTGGCTCTACTCCTCAAAGACCGGCTTCGATCTCACCCACCCAGCCAAACCTGACTCGCCTCCGATCACACCGAGCGTGAGGATAGAAACATCTACCAAGCCCATCACAGTTGATCCAGCGAAAACGGCTCTCATCGTCATCGATATGCAGAACTACTTCCTCAGTCCAGCATTCGGGAGGAAAAGAGGAGCCGGTCACGCAGCATCGGATCAGTTAGTCGAGAACGCCATCCCAGGGTGCAGGAAAGCTGGCATTCGGGTGGTGTGGGTGAACTGGGGCTTAACGGAGAAAGAGGTAGATAAGATGCCGCCGGCGGCGAAGAGGCCGAATGGGTTTGAAGTCATTGAGGATGACGGTACAGGTCGGAGAATAAATTTCGAGGATATGGTGGATACGATTGGAGCCGATAAACAGGGCAATCCACGATACGTCGGTGGGGACGTATTGCTTGAGAATGGGAAGAAGACGAGCGTTTTCAAGGGTTATGGAAAGGATTTGGGGAGAGTGGAAGATCCTGAGACGGGCGAGGAGATTGAAGCGGGTCCTATGCTCATGCGCGATGCGTGGAATTCTGATCTCTGTCCGCCGTTGAATAAAATCTATGAGGAAGGCACGAAACTCCATTCCCGACCCGACGTCTGGATCCACAAGAACCGCATGTCGGGCCTCTGGGGCGTCGGCACGGATCTGGAGGTCTTTCTCGAGAAGGAAGGGTTGAAGACGTTGTTCTTCACGGGGGTGAATACGGATCAGTGTGTATCGGGGACGTTTACGGATGCTTATTCGAAGGGGTATGATTGTGTACTGCTTTCTGATGGCTGTGGGACGACGTCGCCGGATGGTGGGAAGGGGATCGAGTGGAATGTGGCGAATACTTGGGGTTTTATGGCTACGTGCAAGCAATTGGCTGATGGGGTGGCGGGTATGACTAAGTGAAAGTTGAAGTGAATGAATTCTGTCCCCACCAAGCCCTATTGTGCAGCGTTTGTACAATAGCTTCGCCAAACACGCCCGTGCGTTCCTATTGTCATTGCAGCATGTTTTGTAGATCCTATTGTCGTCGCTTGTTATTGTAAGGTAGGCTCACAGAAACTACTTATTCCACTCACTTGCGCTTCCTTTCCTCTTCATAAGCTTGCCCTCTTCAATCACAAGCCAACGAACTTCTCTTCACTTTTTCTCAAAATCATCCCCGAACCTACACAGCATACCAGCATCATGTCTGCCTCTCGCATGCCGCAGACCATCATCGACTTGACGGGGAGCGACGACGAGGGTGCTGGCTCACCCTCGCGTCAAGCAAGCTCTGCCTCCGCCCGCGCTCCCAAGCGCGAGGCATCCGCCGCCGACCACGATGAGGCACCACCTCACAAGAGACCTCGCACCGGCTCCCCAGCCGCATCCCCAGCAGACCAGCTTGCCGACACGACGGCTGGTGCCACAGCCAGCACTGAAGCTCCGCGGATAGATCGCACTATCACCCGCAAGAGTGCGCTCGACAAGATGAAGCAGCGCGCGCCACGATACCTCACAACCTGGTCCAGCGAAGAGGGCGTCGAATTCAAGAACCCAGACAAGTTCTGCATCAAACCGCCGTTCTACATCCGCTGGCAACCTCACGATTACATCAACCTCGCCGAGCACATCCGCTACCAATTCGACCCCATCCCTTTCGCTCGCGCAGCCGACAAGCCCGTCGAGGAGGTCAATATCATCGCCGCCAGACTCATCTGCAACCCACTCTACGATGCCGGCGAGGCGATGAAGCGTGGCCAGGAAGGCATCGACGAGATCAAGGCGGCGTTCAGGGCGAGTGCCACGCCGAGCCGTCCGTGGGCCAACAGGACGATCAAAGGCGAACTCGACGCTATCAAGACGGGCGGTGAATTGAGGGTCATTTGCGACGATGGCAGTCTTGAGGAGATTGGTGTCGATCAGCTGGATGTTACGGATACGAAGTATCTTGACTCGACGCTGTCGAAGGGCGATTGGATGCTTTTTTATGGCAGGAGTGAGGAGGCTTATGATGAGATGATGGGAAAGAATGAGGGTGTGAAGAAGAACGGCGAGGCGAAGAAGAGAGGTGACAAGGCGAAGACCGACGACGAAGATGAGAACGACAACGGTGAGACCGATGAAGATCAGGCCGACGAAGATGAGGAGAAGACCGACGACGATGAGGCCAAGAGAGATGCTTCGAAGAGGACAAAGGGAAAGGGCAAGGAGGCTCAGCCTGAGAAGCAGATGAATCAAGCTCGCTCTGATGAGGCATCGAAGAAGCGCAAGAGGGATGTTTGAGAGAAGGACGTTGGACGTCGCTCAGCATTCACATGGGCATGCAGGGGTTGAGATCTTGGCAACGTCGATTTGGCGACGGAACGGAAGGGACCCACATGAAGCGTCATTGTGCAGTCTGGGGTTTTGCGGGTGAATGGCAGCGGCTAATGCGGCCACTGGAGACGCACATGAAGACACTCGAATAACCGAGCAGTTTGATAGCAGACCTCATTCGTCTTCTGCGACATATCACGACTGCTATTGATCACACGTTCACGTGCCATCCCTCTCATTTGGTCTCCTTCGCTATGGCTGGCCCAGCACGTCGGCTCGGTATTGACATTGCTGTCCTTGAAACATCGCCAAGCTAATGATCTATGACAGTGAGACCGACGCTCTTGTTCGCCCTGCCTCCCCCCTCCCTAACTTTTAGCCGACGCTGACGATATCCTCAGTATCTGTGACCTGCAAGAGAAGTTCCGAGGAGCAATTTACGAGTTCGCAAAGGTTGTATCAACGACCCAGAAGCTCTTGAAAGCCAGTCAGATCTTGGACATACCTGTGATTGCAACCACTCAATTGCGAGGGAAACTGGGAGAGACATGTCCCGAGCTAGGCCTAGACAGCGCCGACGGCGTCAAGACAAAGGTACACGCAGATAAGAGTGCTTTCTCCATGTGGACCCCCGAGGTGCAAAAGGCGTTCAAAGGACTCGGCAGCGAGAAGAGGGAGTGCATCATCGTGGGCATTGAGTCGCATATCTGCGTCACTCAGACTACGCTCGACTTGTTGCGAGAGGGACATAAGGTGTACGTGATTGCCGATGGGGTCTCCAGCTGTAATCCGCAAGAGGTGCTCATTGCGTTGAATCGGTTGCGGGCTGAGGGGGCGGTGGTGACGAGCAGCGAGAGCTTTCTGTACGAATGTATGGGGGATGCGGGGATTACTGAGTTCAGGGAGATGTCCAACCTCGTGAAGGAGTACAATGCGAAGACGAAGGAGAACTTGCAGGCTTTGTGTAAGTTCTGAGAGCGGAGGCTTGGGGGCTGAAAGAAGTAGATATTGTACAGTCTTGGCAGCAACAATGGCAGACAAGTACCGTAAGCGTGCGCCTAGGGTAATGTGATGGGAATAGAAGCGCAGTCCGTGGAAGTAGTGTACAGTAGATGTGTTGGTAAGGAGGGCGGAGCTGAGTGCAGTCAGCCAGCCAGCCAGCCCGCCCGCCCACGAGGATGGTGCATGCAGACGGCAGCACAAGAGGGCGTTCCTGAGTCCGGTGGCTGCGTTTTCAGACAGAAGTGAGGTGAGATGAGTCCCGTTTGAGCAGCGGCCAGGAGAAAGCGTGTCGCAAGGACAAGTAGCGGGTGAGATTACGAGCGGCAAGTCCGTATTCTAGCCGCTTGCGTGGATTGGCGAGGTACCTTAATGTACGGCCAACAGGGACGTCTATGGGGGTGAGATGAGGGTGTATGACGGAGGGTACTAGTATCGTGGCAGGAGATTCTGGAAGAATAGGAGTGTTTGTTCATGATGCTCGGCGGGCGCGTGTCGAGAGATGCGCCTTTCTCGCCAAAGCAAGCCACCTGGGATCGTGCCCGGGGCAGCGAACCACAGGCGCGCGGTCGACCTGATCCTTTCAAATCGTCCCTCGCAGTCCACTAATTCCCGTAATCGTCGCCCAAATCGCGTCCCGCGCAACAACACACACATAACCTCCACACATCGACGTCTTGCACTTACATCCCACGACTCGCGCAGCCTGAAACAGGCTTGCTTGTTAACTGCACGGATTGGAAGCGCACTCGCCGGCGTGCAGGCTTGTTGGTGCCGTGCTGGATTAGAAGGGCGATTCATTATTCAGTAAACGAACGGCTCGCTCCTGGAAACACCCGCGCTACTACGGCAAGCATCACGCCCACGTCCGCCCAAAGCCCAAAAGAATCCATTTCTGCGCTTTCTCTGCGCTCGACCTTTGCTTGTGCGACGACCATCGCCGACGCCCCGCCTGCACTGTATCAATACCGCTCGCCACTCCACCGCCGTCCCTCTCCCCGCCCTTCGTCGCTGCCACACACCGCCGCTGGGGCACCCGCTCCTGGACACACTTCCGCTTCGCACCTAATATTGGAAACCTCGACACCGCTGCACCTTCTCGACTGACCGGCTACTGCTTCTTCTGCTTGCACTCTGCTCGCAGCTGCCCTTGGTCGACTCAAATGGGAAGCGCAGGCCCTACATCTTCGGTAGTGGGACTGTGCTCGTGACACAGGAGCACATCAGCAACCATGGCCGACCGGTTTGATCACATGCCGCGGCCTGGCCTCCATGCCCAGTCCTCGAACTCTGTACCGTCGACACCCTTCCAGCGGCCGCGAGATCTGACCAGGCGCTTTTCCCGCTCGCCTTCTCCCAACCGCGGCCTCAGCAACCAGTCCCCGCGATCCGTGGCGTCAGAAGCCGTGGGCAACAAAGCCACACTTCATCGAGGCGCGCCTGTCATTTGCAAGTTCGAGTCTGGTCAAGAGTACAGAAAAAGACGGATGCCGTACAATGAGGGTGGCGACCAAGAGCTGCGCCCGCCCAAAAAGGAGCCCAAGCGGACGTTGACCCCGAACGAGCAAGACAAGCTTAGTGGTGACATGCGCGAGCTCTATGATCGGTTATTGCCATCGCAAGAGAGTGAAGACAGGAGAGCACGGCTGATTGAGAAGCTGGATCGGATACTGAACGAGGAGTGGCCAGACAGTGACATCCACGTCAATGTGTTTGGGTCGTCGGGCAATCTCTTGAGTTCGACAGATTCCGATGTGGATATCTGCATCACGACGCCACTGAAAAAGTTGGAGTCGATGCATTCGCTTGCTGCGTTGCTCGACAAAAGTGAGATCATGAGGAATAAACATGCTCCACTGAAGCTGACTCGATTACAGATGGTATGGAGAAGGTGGTGTGTCGAGCTGCCGCCAAGGTTCCCATAGTGAAGTGTTGGGATCCAGAGTTGGAGCTCGCCATGGACTTGAACGTGAACAACCCGCTCGCTTTGCAGAACACCAGGATGATCAGGACCTATGTACAACTAGACGACAGAGTGCGACCTTTGGCAAAGATCATCAAGTATTGGACTAAGAGACGAATACTGAATGACGCTGGTGAGTTGAAACGGAGACAATCCCCCCACCCCCCATATCTGATCTTCTCTAGCATTTGGTGGCACCATCAGCTCATACACCTGGATATGTATGATCATCAGTTTCTTGCAAAGACGAGAACCGCCGATACTGCCATCACTACAGAAGATGGATGGCCATCGACGGAAGTCAGAGAGTGGCGAAACTTCTTCGTTCGCAGACGATGTGGAATCCCTCAAGGGCAGTGGAGCCGCCAACAAGGAGTCTCTGGGAGAGCTGCTCTTCCAGTTCTTTCGGCATTATGGATACGAGTTCGAGTATTCGAAGCATGTCGTCTCAATACGAGAGGGCAGGCTGGTGCTGAGAAAGGAGAAAGGGTGGGATCCGACTGACTATGGCGACAAGGAATCTCACAATCGATTGTGTGTGGAGGAGCCATTCACTACCGTTCGAAATTTGGGAAACTCGGCAGATTACTACGCTTGGCATGGGATCCATCTCGAGATACGGCGCGCGTTCGAGCTCCTTGAGGACGGTTTGCAACTGGAGAGGTGCTGTGAGCAGTATGAGTTTCCTCCAGAGGAGAAACCCATATTTCAGAGACCGCCGCCCAAGCCCAAGCCGACCCTGACGAGGAGTGCATCCCAATCTGGACAATCGAATCGAGAGCAAGGGTCTGGATCAAGACGGAAGAACAACAATCGAAATCAATCGGCCCAGCGACCTGGTGGACGGAGAGCGTCGAGTGGTGCATACTTCAGCAATCTCAACCGCAGCCTACCCTTCAGTCCGCCGATGGGTGGGAATAACGGCGACTATTTCCAGATGAAGGGCTCTCTACATGAGCAGCTGTTCCAGCAGTATCAATTCCTGCAAGCACAGCAAGATGCCCTGCGCGCGCAGTTGACTCATCAGCAAGCACAACAGCATGCCCAGGCGCAAGCGCGAGTCGGCGATTTGGCCGTATCCCAAGGGTCACCGCGCCCACGGCCCTACCTCAATGGAGTGCCCAGCCCACGTATGATGGACAATGCACCTCAAACGGCACCGCTGTTACCAGGCTATCTATACCACTACCCAGGTCGCATGCATCCACCGCCTTCTCCCATGTCGCAGGCTCGATCTCGAGAAAGCGGCGGCACGAGCACGAATCCATCTTCACCATCTTTGGTGGCTGCAGTTCCAGCTCTGCGCAGACAAGCGCATCGCGCGTCAGTGCCTGACGGTGCAGCTAATTCTGTTAGGTCACAGTCTCAGCCAGGCCGCACACTGCCGCACCCACTCGCAATGCAGCAACAGGCCCATCCTGGATACGATCCATCAGGCGCTCTTGGTCCACAGTATCAGGTCCCTCGTTCGGTGTCGCAGATGCATCCGCAAGCCCATCAAGCGATGCAATATCCATACCCTCACTTGTCGGCAGCGCATGCCAATGGGCATGGCATCGATCCGGCGCTGCCCAAGGAGTACGTTGGCTACTATGTGCAGTCACCTCAACTTGGACCCCAGTTCGCAACGGCCCCTCAAATGCCGCCTCCACCGATGCAATTGCGCGATCCACCATCGAGGCAACGACGGGTGACGCCTGATCTGATGCCACCGATGATGAATGGTAGGCATACCTCTCGCTCACCATCGCCGCTCGGTCACTTGCGCAGCTTTTCGACTACAGCAGACCGGCGAGCAAGCCAACCTACCGTCATCCAAAGCCCACCAGGCGTTGACCCCAATTGCATGAATCCACCTGCCCCAGCAACACCGGCGGAGACCGACATTGGGGGACCCATCATCGTGAATGGATCAAATCGAGGACCTGCGCCAAAACCCACAGAGAAGGCTAATGGCGTGCATACGCAGGGTCAGCAACTTCAGAATGAGGTTCCACAGCCATTGCAGCTGGACGAGAATGCTCGTTCAAAGCCTCTGCCTCTACGTACCGACTTTGCTCCCACGACGCCAGATGGTGCGAGGAGATCATCTTCACCAAGACTTTCGCCGACCTCCCAGCCCAAGCCGGATCGTCACGTCCTATCACCGAATGGAACCATGAACGGAGACCATTACCATGAGAGCACACCCATCACCAGTGCTGCACCGCTACTCTCTCCTGTCGCAGAGCTGAGGACACCATCTCCGACGCACCAACGTGGTTTCGACCCACAGCAAGACTCTCCTGAAGCTAATGGCGGCCTTGTCAAGGCTGCCAAGATCGCCAATGCGAAGCAAGCTGCCAGGCAACTGGGCGAGAACCAAAACCCCGTGCCAAGGACGGATTCGAGACATGAGCGCAGAGGAAGTGCACCGATTCCTACCGCCAGCAAGCCTGCTCAACCGATCAAGTCATCCACACTCCAGGCTCCTGGCCCACTCGCCAACAGCAACAGCCAAACCTCCTGGCAGCAGGTACCGAAGAAAGGCCACAAGAAGAACAAGTCTACCACGGGCGCCAAGTCTTCGAATGGATCTGGAGGCCAGCCTATGCCGGCTAACGAAGCCGAGCGGAAGGGCGGCTAGTGGACACGACTTGCTTGGTTTCTCTGCAACAACACGACGACACTACATCGAACAAGATAAAACACAACCCACTACACACACGGCACCGACTTCTCTGGACCGCTTCCTTCCACATGCCGATACACCACGACGACAACAACAAAATACCGACTGCGAGATCGAGAACAAACGACCCTGCACAATTCCTGGACATGAAACTGCCGCATCCCCCGCGGACGATCGCGACGACTTTGGAAGCTGCTTCCTGCGGGGGAGAAAGATTTGTGACATGGGGATCGTTGATCCAACGACGCGTAAGTTTTTTCTCTTTTTCCTTTTCAGCGGCGGTGGTTTGCGGGGTTGGGGGGGCAGCGGATGCAGGGGGTTGCTTGCGATGGAATGGGATGCGAAAGAAAGTCTTGAAGGTCGACGTACATACATTCTTGTGTGTGTGGATAGGCTATGGTCGGGTCGGGTTAGGTCAGGTCGGTCGGTTGGTCAGGGGAGTTGTTGTTCATCAAAGCGGTCATCACAAAATCGGGGATTGGGTTGGTGTCGAAGAAGACGATGGTTCTTCTTGTTGTGAGATATGAGAGGGCCGATTGATGGATACGAGGCATTGTTGTAAAGATATCCAGGCTAGACCCAGTTCTTGGGGTGGAAATGAGAAATCCTGTGGATACACCGAGTGAACGTCGTGTCAAGTGAAGTGAGTTACATGTCGTCTAGCTCAAGTGATGAGGAGGCCGACATTGCGTTGATCGATTAGTACGTACGCCATCTTCTCAAATGGAATCGAATTCTGACCAGTACGCAATAGACATCCCCCCTAACCAATTAGACGACCACATCCGTCTCATCACTCCTCATCACTATCCTCCTCCTCCAACAACTTCTTCAACTCCGCATTCGCGCCCAAACTCCACTTCCTCACCGCGGCATAAAGATACTCGACAATACACGGCGCCCAAATCGTCACACTGATCAGCTGCGAAAACGTCCACTGCACGCCTTGCCGGATCGCCGCCAACTCGCCATTCGAGATGAGCGTGTAGATCATGAGGCCCGTGATGCCGGCGAAGGCGGCTTCGGCGAGTTCGAGGCGCCAGGGGTATTGTTTTATGCTGAGGATGCGGTTGTGGTAGGCGTGGTAGTGTCGGATTGTGAGGAGGAGGGTGGTGAGGAGGGAGAGGGCTATGAGGGTGCCTTCGAGGGGGGTGTTGGTTTGGGCTTGGGGTTCGAGGCAGTATGTGCTGGGATTACACGTGAGCATAGTCTACTAGGTCGTGGTGTTGTGAGAGGTGATGGCTTACGCTGGGGATCTCCCTCCGCAAGCCGGTAAGTCGTGCTCCATGGGCGACAGAACTCGCAAGTTGTTGAGGGGCAGCCTCGTCTGGATCCATACCACGAAGGAGATGGCGATGGCGATGATCGAGAGGACGGTCGTGTACCACGATCGTTTGTTCCATCCATGCAGAATGTACAGCCCAAAGGCTATACACACGATTCCCGTCGCGGCGATGTCCCCCAGCAAGCTGATGGTGAGGTGCATCTGTTGATAGCTCTCCGACTCGAAGACACTGCCGTTCCCCGAAAGGGAGGCTATAGCGGCGGCTTGGAGGGTGATGGAGTAGAAAGCTTGAGATCGTTGGAATTCCACCAGGCCGCTGATGAGTGCTGCTTGTTGGTGGGTTGCTTTGAGACGTTCTTGCACTGAGGCGGCGGCTTGACGGGCTCGTTTGAGGCCTTTGAAGGGGGCGTAGATGGCGAATGTTCCGGCGCGGATCCAGCTGGCTAGGAGGCGCGTGTGGATGTAGGCGTAGATCAGGATCGCGAGCTGCATGAAGTAGCCGACGTATACCTGTGTGGATGCTGGTGTCAGTGCTGAGTCAAGGAGTTCGAAGACTGGAGGGAACGTACGCCAACACCACCGACGTCAACGTTTGGGGAGGCTTTGAAGTAGCCACATGCCCCTTTGATGAAGGTTCCTGGGTCGAAGTGCTATGTGGCAGTCAGCTTCTGTTGGCTGATGCCTCTCTGAACCTGTCAGGCGTCAAGCCCCTGAGACGAAAGAGCTCAGATGGAACACAAGATCACTCGTCCTGCTCCAAAACCGAGACCAATCGAATGCGTACTCACATTCACCCCATACTGATAACATCCCCCCTCATCCGTCTCCTCAAGACAAAACCCCCTCATACACGCATCAATCGGCTCCATCACAGCCGTCAGATTCACATCCCTCGTATATCCCATCCCCAGCACCGTCTCCTCATCCCGTTCACTCAAACCCCCAGTCTCCAGCAACGTCGACACCGCACCATAGCTGAGACAATTATGCAACGTCGCCATGGAATCCTAAACCGCAGAAGGTTGTTGGCATGCGAGGGTACAGTTGCTGGCGAAATGGCCCGCCGGATCGGCGAAGTCGCAGCCATGGCGGTAGAGCGGGAGGGTGGTGATGGAGGCGTTGAGGGTCGCTGGGGCGGAGTGGGCGGTTTCTTGGAGGGTGAGGATGGGTTCTGTGTTAATTATGAGGTCGAGAGATATGGGCATTTTGCATGGGATGATATCGACGATGCTGAGATCTGTGAGATTGATTCTGAGCCTGGACTTACATGAATGACGTCCTTCTCCAAGAATTGCATCGACGACTCGATGCAGATTGTCCGATCGATTGGCAGAGTAGCAGTCGCTATGGCGGGGAGAGAGTGTAGTTCTTACCATTTGACACACGGCTGCCTTTCGGCAAGAGCGATGTTCCAAAGCCGGGATCATAGCAGATATCTCCCTCAAGGCCTGTAACACGACCGAGTATTTACAAAAAGAGGTCAGCCGTCAAGTCCTGACAAGCAAAACGTACTCACACGCTGTGACCAAACACTCTCAAAAAGTTGCCTCTTCTCCTTATACGAAAGCCTTAATCGCCACCTCAAAATCCCCATCCACCAACTGCATCGCCTTCTTTCCATCCTCTCTCGTCGCCTCAGGCGACTTGGCCAACAACGCAGTCGACAAATCATTCGTCAACTTCCTCAGATCCTCCATGTCGCCAGACACAGTACCCTGGAGGCCGGCGGATTTCAGTTGCTCTTTCTTGGTTTGGAGGCTGGTCATGCAGGTCTTGATGTTCTGAACGTCGAATGTCAGTCAAAATTGCCTCGTCTTATTGTATGTTTACTGTGATAATTGGAGACTTACAGGCTCGAGCGTATCAGTGATGTACTTGATAATCCCCCTCGCTTCCTCCTCGGTCACCATCTCACTGGCGTTGGCATCCTTGATGGCGTCCTTGATCTTTTGTCCGAGCGCAGCCTCGTCGTTGGAGATGCTGTTCGCGGCGAGGAGTCCACCCTGGTAGCCATCCACAGTCGCCGTGAGCTTCTGGACTGCGGCGTTGATAGTTTCGAGGTTCTGCTGCGTGGACGCGGCGTCTCGGGACGTGAGGGCGGCTTTGGCAGACTGGGCCAATTTGCTGAAGTTGCTAAGACGCATCATCTTGGCGGTGTTTTGTTCGGGGAGTTGTGCTTGTAGTTGTAGTATCGTAGTCGAGGTCTTTCGTTCTCGTGAGTGGCACAGTAGTAGTTAAGTTAAAGCTCTCCTCCCACCTACGCCGGCGGCTTGCCTGCTATTATACCATCCCAGCTCCAAGAATCTATCTTGCTGCCTCACAGAGCTAGCCAATGCAATGCCGTACCTACCTAGAGCAGCCTCGGTGCCAGCGTGAGACTACACCGATCTTGACGAAGTTTGGACCGCGTTGGAAGGCAACGAAATAATCATGTCTATCGTGGATCGTCAGAGGGGGACCAAACCGAGGCATTCCCTTGGAAACTCAATTGCGCCAAGCATCATGTGCGTTGAGGTGGAGGGTCCCGGGTTTTGTGGTAGACTTTTCTGTAGCGTTCGGAGAATGACTAACGGCGCTTCCATTAGCTGCAATTTCATTATTTAGACTGAGCCAGCCTCTCCTCTATCGACATCTTCTCATCTTTCGGATCTCGCCCTTGGAGATAGACGATTCCTGGTGAAGACAGCAGAAACCTGCCATTCTTAGGGCGTGTAGGTGCGTGGATCGCAGCACGGGGCCGTTATGTGGTGCAGCAACGGGGTGTGTATTGTGGTGCGAACGAAACACAAACGCATGGACGTGCAACGTGACCACGCAGAGGAGTCCAAGTCGATGAAGTGGAGTCAATATGCGGCACAAACCATCTGCGGATCACCTTTAGGCCCAGATATCGGTTGACCTTGCAGTCGATTCATTTTCATATCATTCTTCATGCTGGTCTGTTGTACAATCAGTAACTGCAGCTAGGTACAGTCAAGATATACCTACACGCCTCGCTCATGCTACAAGACCAAATACATCTAGTCTTCGTCCCAGTTTGGATTCGGGCCTGTCGAAGGGTTAGTAAACACAGTCCAACTGGAAGACAGCTCATTCATGACTTACCAGGTGGCTTGGGCCCTCCAGCTTGTCTCGCGACAATAATCTGATCCACGCTCAATACGGTCCTCGCCGCATCAGTCGCCAGCTTGATGGCCCACGACTTCGACACCATCAAATCGAGAATGCCCTCCTCTTCAGCATCAATTGTGCCGTTGCCCTGGCCGGAGCTGGTGTCGATATCAACACCAAGACAGGGGATCTCCTCGTCGTCTTCATCGCCCTTCGAGCCGTTCGCTTGAGATTTCGATGTTGATGCGGCGCTGTGATGTGCGGTGTAGAGCTTTGCAAGCACCTCAGTGGCGTCAAGACCAGCGCTCTCTGCCAGCGTCCGAGGAATAACTTCGAACGCTTCTGCGTACTTTCTTATCGCGTATTGGCCCAGCCCGGAGGTCTTGTCGGCAAGAGCAGTGATGCGCTCGATGAGCTGCATCTCTGCGGCTCCGGCACCTGGTACTAATCTCGGGTCTCTCGTGATGGCCTTGAAAACGTTGACGCCGTCATCGACAGCTCGCTCGACGTCGTCCAGGTGGTTCTGTGTTGCTCCTCTCAGGACAAGCGTTGCCGTCCGTGTCTGCTCGTTCTCTTGTCTGAAGACCGTCACACGATCGCCTCCAATCTCCAGAGTCTCCACAATGTCGACGTTGCCCATCTCATCTGGCATAGGCGCGCCAAGACGAGCAAGAGGTGTAGCACCCACAACTCTGCATAACCGTCTGAGCTCGAACTTTGACAGAACCTTGATGACGAGGATGCCGAAGCGGTTGAGGTAGTGTAGAGCGAGCTCCCCGACCGTCGCACCTGCAACGACAACCCGCAATCCAGAATCGTGAAGCTCCTTGATTGTGTTCTCCATCTGTTGCTCCTCGCCCTTGGTGAAGTTCAACAGCTCCTTACTGTTCTTGATCAGAACCGTACCCTTCGTCTCGGTCTGTGAAATGTCGATCGGACAGCTGAAGACACCAACCTTGGCCTTGGTCGCCTTCTTCACTGTGCCATCTGGCTCTCGTCCAAACACCATACCCTTGACCACCTTAGACTGCTCCAACGAACCACCCATGATCTTCACCACCCGAATGTTGTCCACATTGAAGTTGTATGGATTCTTGGGCAGCACCGCAAGGACCGCCTCAGCAACCATCTCCGCCAGCACATCCTCCGAACCAGACTGCTTCGCTGCAACGACCGTCCGAATAGCCTTGGCCAACTCCTGCTGATTCCGGATATCCTCCACTCTATCAATCTCCAGCTCCTCCAGCGTCGACAGCGCAAACTTGCCCGCACGCTCATACCCCTGCACAATCTCGCTCGTCTTCAGTCCCATTCTGATCAATTCCTCCGCCTTCTTCAGCAGCTCTCCAGCCAACACGATCACCAAGTTCGTCGCATCGCCCATCTCAGCTTCCTGTTGTTGCGAGGCCATGACAAGGAGCTTGGCAGCGGGATGTACGACTTCGAGTTCGCGCAGGATGGTCGCAGCGTCGTTGGTGAGGATCATCTTTTGGAGATGGTTGATGACGATCTTGTTGCGGCCGTAGGGACCCAGCGAGGTCTGGACGGTCGAGGCGATCGTGCGGCAGGCGTCGATGTTGCGGATGACGGCGCCATCTTCTGCGTCGTAGCTGTGAATAATGTCAGTTGCTGGTATTTGATGGAATTGTTTGCGATTTGAAGGTCGTACTTTTGGTATCCTGGCTTGAACAGGCCCTGGTTTGGGGCGTTGGGTATTGAAAGCGACATGTTTGTGTATCCCTAGCTTCTCCGTGTTGTTGCCTTCGAGAGTGGTGAGGAGATGGGAGCTGTTGGGTGTTTCGTCGTCTGCCTACTCGAGATTTTGTCCAGGGAAACGCGCCGCGTTTTGACACGAAGTCATTCTCCAAAAAGCGGTGGAACTTCTGGCCAAGCCTTGGGCTGTCTCGACAACCGTCAACACACAGTCCACAGATGACAGAAAATATTGGATGAAAGGCGATATATTTTAGGAGCCTCATAATTATATCATACAGTCATTCGTATGGCCTGCAGTGTTCTGTTGAGTACAGTATCCTCATCTAACTGCGTCACGTGCTTCGACCGTCAAATTCACATGTGAAAGACAAGACCCCTGCGGCCTGAACGCCAGCGCTATGCATAGAACTCAAACGTCTGTCTCGTTTACCAAATATCCTCAGGCGCAGTATCAAGAGTATGACTGAGTCCTCCTGTGATCATCCTCTGAGGGTGGTGTCCTTGAACCGTTGTGAGGACCGATAGAGTGAATAGACTGCTCCGGGTCATATCTGACCTGCAGCATCGTTGTGAAGGGACCTTCATAGGCTGCTCTCTTCTTCATCGAAATCATGCACCACGCTCTCATTGATCGGTGCAGGCTGCCCTGAGCGAGCTTCTCGCGCCCTTTTTCGGCGGGGCACATTGGCGAGCCTGTACCTGAAAGAAGCAAGCTTACCATCAGGCATAACGACATCCCGTCTAAGGAAAGCACGGTATTGCTGGACCCAAACGGCATCGCGAGTGACATCTGCTGTCCGAAGACCCTCATGCCGTGGCCCTTGGTCCCAACGGATCTCTCTCGCAACGCGCATCCTCGTGCGTCTTAGTCGCCTTCGCTTTTCAGGTGAGACCGCTGAGGTTGCGGCTTCGTGGAAAGGCGAGGCGCCGAAGAGCTGGGCATCAAGCTCTTTCCTGACATCGGCATTGATCACCGGCTTTCGCGATTCATTTGCCAGTTTGGAGATGAACTTCACCAGGTTCCTCCCGAAAACTTTCGCTGATTGCCTCTGCTGCGTGCGCCGCTGTGAGCAAATCAACCGCCATTGTCTGAGTTGTGCTCGAAAGTGATTTGGTCGCATATTCGGCTTTCCCGTGCGACTTGCACCAGATGCTTCGAAATGCGTTGCACAGACTTTGAGGGTGTCGAGGAATTTTCGATCGATTCGCATGTCATTTTTTAAGACGGTTTCAACTGTCCATTTGATGCCTTTCTCAGACCTCAGAGCCGCATACCCTTTGATGAAGACGGTCATGGCCACAATGTCAAACGGCTCTTTCTGAATGCGTTCCGATCGGCTGAGGTCGCTCAAGAGGTTGATTCCGTACTCTGGTCGGTGGTTGTTGATCAGAATGTTGGCTGCTGTGACGCCAATGTGATTGTTCATGGGAAGTCCGTTCGCTTCGTTTGCACGATCCCAGTCCATGACCATCAGGCGTAAATTGTTGACATCCTTCTTGTCATCTGCATTCAAATGCCACATATGATGAAGAAGTATTGGCTGCACTGCACTAGAAGTGTCCATTCCAGCTCGGCGGGCTTCTGCAATGATATCTTGGGCTTCAGCTCGATCGCCGCGACGTAATCGAAGGCTCGCTTCCACAGCCGTCTCAAGTGCCTGTCGCGATATAGGCAAACCTGCAGGCGAACGAGAAGAACGGAAGATTTCCAAAACCTCCTCGTAGTGTTGCAGCGAGAACTTTGTCAGCATTTCTCTTTGGATACGCTGCGCTGGACCTTCACAAGGTCGGCCAGTTTGCAGATCTGCTTCAAGGTCCATAAGATACTGTGAGAGTTCACTTTCTTGCTCAAACATCTCATCATCAGGATTCTGTGTGGGAGAAGAGCCAATGGTCTCGGTAACATGTCCATCGCTCTTCATGTCAGAATACGAAGCCGTAGGATGATCCGAGGGAGCATTTTCGGTTTCAAAGTCGCGCATCAGGTTCTGGAAAAGTTCGTCCACAGTCGGCGCTTCCAAGGGCAAATTTCCTTGCGATGCTTGACGAGATGGTACATTGCCCACCTGATTAGTTTGAGGCACCAGCCTTGTCGCACCACTGGAGTCTGGCACTTTTGGAAAGGGCCCATCAGGCGAAGCAAAAGGACGCTCATTGAATGGACGAGATATGACACCTTCCAAGTGCTGAAGAACATTCAAGTTCTTCTCTGCCTTCTGAAGAAGTTCGCCCTTGCCTTTCCGCAGGTCGTATGTATTAGCTTCAAGCATGACACGCTCGAATTCAGCCGCGTCGAATGATGGCACTAGCTGCGTGATCTTGCGACAAAACCACATTATCAAAACGTGGGGAGGCCGTTGGTCAAGATAATATGCGTTCATCAGGCTCGCCGCAGCCCTCACGTCCATCTCAAATCGGTGACCCATCGTTTTTAAGTACCTAATCCAGTGAGAGACAAAGGACAAATGCTTCTTGCGAACGAAAGCTCGCAACACGATTTGCGTCGTCGCCCAAGTTGGTACGAAGCGGAGCTTCTCGATGAGACCTGTCACAAACTTCCATGTGTCTGCTGGATTATGGCGATGTGCGAACCGGCGGATAATGTTTTCGAAGCACCGGGAAACGGGACCGTCCTGTACAAATGTTCCCGAGGTTGCCATGAGATCAACAAGCTTTCTGACCCTCTCCCATGCGTTCTTTTGTGCCAAAGACACTGCTGCCATTGACAAGGTTCGGGATGAATGTGGCGTGCGCTGATGAAGATCTGAGAGAAGTCGAAGCGCTTGATCGGGACGATTGGCAGCATTACAAATGTCGATCATTGCCGTATCCAAAGCAAATTTCAGTTCCTGTGTGCCATTGTGAAGGGCAAAATCTCTTGCAGACCGGTATTCCTCCCAAACAACAGAAAGGTCGTGATTGCTGCTCCACTGATCCTGGAGTTGTCTGCTGGTTCGAGCCTCGAATAGGGGTTGGCGGTGCTCTTCCGGAAGTGTTGAGTATAGTTCGTCGAAGAGGCTTCTTTGCAGAGGCCGTTTTCTATCTCCAATGCAGGCTCTAGCCACAGCAGCCCTTGCCATGTCACTTAATTGAAGGACCAGGTGGTCGATTTTACAGCGTACATCTCCAGGGTGGAGGAAACGTGAAAGCTCCGCGAACGAGTCCCGCTGGGCGCACGCCAAAGCAAATCGTTCCAGACGAAATAAAGCATCATCTGGTTCATAGCGCAACGCATGCTCCAGGTGGCGAGACGCAGTCGCAAACTGACCATGCATGAGAGCAGACTCGAAGACCTTGCTTCGTATTGCACCCAATCGCTGGGTCTCGTCATGTGCAAGCATTTGGATGATCCTGGATGACCTGAACATCTTCAACACCACCATATTTGTCCAACGATGCGCACGTGGGGCGTTGTGTGAATCCAGCAGCTTGTCAATGGCACCATCAAGGACATCTAAGATTTCCTTGAATTCGCTAGCTTTCACACATTTTAGAAGTCGATTATAGCGGGAGACCACGGTGAGGTCTAAGTCCCAGGACCCGCTGTCCTCAGCCACCGTCAAGCAACTGTGTATTCGTTCTGTCGTCTCGAGGCCGCGGAACTCGTCTGTCTCGAACAGTTTTCTATAGAACTCAAAAAGCTCTTGGTGGTCAAGTCTGTCTGCGAGACCCCGATGTGCATCGCAGATCGCAATAAAATGCGCGGGCTGGAGGGCATCTCTGGTGGCCATCCACCGAAATAGGGAATCGATCTCCACGAGTGTGCCAAATTTGATGGCATCCAGGAAAAGGACGGATGCCATCATTGTTTCAGTAATTCCATTCGAGCTCCACGGTTGCTTCTGAAAGAAGAGGTCGATATCCAGGGAGAGCGATTGCGGTGTTACTGACTTCCGTCGACCGCGAAAGCTCTCTTTCGGCGAGTTTTTCAGCATGTCTCTGAAGTGCGAGGGCATGTCATTCTCCATTGCCTCTTCCACTTGCTGCACGAAGCTGAGTCGACTTCCTCCGTGTCTCCCTCTTGAGTATACATTGATCAACGCGGTTGGCGCTTCGACCCGTCGCAGAACACCATGGTTGGTAGACTGGTCGGACACGAAAGGGTTTCGAACACGCTCGGTCTTTGCTTGGTCTCGAGCCGACCTCCGTCGCTTTCGAGCACGTTTGTAACCCCGCCAGGACAGTTGCTCATATCCTCGCTCAACCGCAGACGGCAGATCGCTATCACGAACTGGTCTTCTTTTCCATCCATTGACGTGTTCGCCTTGGACATATTCGCCCTGCTCACCCTCCATCTGATCCAATGGCGCGTATTGCATCAGCTCGTGTTGCGAATCCCCAGACTCATCTCTCCTCGCCGCCGTCGCCGCATTATGCACATATCGCGGACTCTGCCGTATCCTCTTCGCATTATCAGCTATCTTCTGCACGATCTTCGCCTGTCTCCTGCGCTCCTCCGTGCAGAGCGTTGCGATGCCCACCGCGGTTCCAGAGGAGATGTAGGCGAGTTGGTAGAGGACTTTGAGAGCGGCCTTCGAGGGCACCGGTCGTCGAAGGTTATTGAACATTGCTGCGCCATGGTGGCAGTCGCTTTCAGCCGCGATGCATTCGTGGGGAGGGTGTGTTTTCGTGGATGAGGGGAAAGTAGAAGTCCTCGCGTGATGTATCTTTCGATGAGCTTCAATCTCCCTTGAATTAAGGTTCGAAATGTACAAGGATTACGACTTAGCGGCGGGTGTAACCGACCAGGACGACGATGCGGGCACTACTTCGAAGTCCACATGTCAAGATATTTATCGACGTGCTCCTCACAGAGATCTGTAAGGAATTAATTGAAGATGTTACATTCGAGCGATGAGCCCAAAAAACCTTACGCTGTTCCATCAGCTACGCATTGCGCCTTTTGACAAGGGGTATCTTCTACTCCGTGCCATGCATCACCAGAATAACAACCTCGACATCAATACAATTCTGCTACCGAAGACCGTATAGCGGTTCCAGTATCTTCCAGCTCCACTCCGCGATCCCATCAAGTTGCCGGACATCCCGGACCCATTCCAACATCAGCGACACTGTCCTTTTAATCTCTTCTTGGTCGACATGCTCCTCGCATATCTGCTTCAGACACTCATTCTCCGTCGTCATGCGGAGGATCAAGAGAATGCCCATGAAATTCTGTGTCCAGGCGAATAGATGTGGGACGAGGCGTTTCTTGTTCTTGGGAGGAGCCATGGCGATTGGCCACAGCAATGCTGATTTGATTGCTAACGCGCAGCAATTGCAGTCGTCCTCGGTCATCAATTCTGGAAAATGCAAGGCCTTGTAGACGAACGGCCGGTACATCATGAAGCGGGCATAGTAGAAGCGAGTTCGCAATTGAGCTGTGACGAGGTCGAGGTTGAACTTGTGACCGATGGGGACGGGACCTTGATCCGGGGCGAACAAGGCTTCGTTCGGTCGTCGGACAGTTGTATCATTGTTCGGGAAGTCGAGCTTGTCGTGGTCCTGCCACTGCAGTGGGCGAGGGAGCAGTGACCGCCATGATTCGAGCTGCCGGGACATCTCTCTGATGACCGTCACAGGCGGACCACCATAGTCATCAGCAGACTCTGCTTGATTGCTGGATGCTGTGATGCTGTAAGCTTCGATCATCAAAACTGCAAGAACGAGACTGACCTTCGTGAATCACTTCATGGATCCTTGAAATCAATCGACGTAGAGCAATCATAGCAAGGAAGTGATATTGAAAATGAGACCTCTCGCCGTCGCCCGTAAAGCCTGTTGTCGTCGAATCCTGCCCCTCGTGGAAATATGGTAGAGGCACTGTGTCTTCGAGCTGTTGAATACCACTCTGGGGCAGGTCAAGGTCCAAGTGATACAGATCTTCGCTCAGCACACAAGTCCAGTATGCTCGCTTGATGAGGTCCCCGTGCGGAGTCTGCCAGTCATGATTCTGGCACTTCATCAAGACTTGGCATGCCATGGATGCCGTGACTGTAGAACGCCAGAAGTCCAGGTGCCTCGCTGTTGCTTCGTAGTAGGTCGCTTGGAGAAGCATGATTTGCACATTTTCGAGTGTGTTCTGAGTTGCAATAAACCCCAGCCGCCGCCGAGCCTCATTGAAGATCTCAATTCCTGGCGGTCGTTCCAATGTCCCACCACGAAAGCCACTCGGAGTGCCATTGACCATGCTGATAGACCGCTCGAACACGCCTTCGATAGCAAGCTGGCCCAGTGCGAGCACCAGCAGCGCAAGCACGCTGTTTTCGTCACCATCACCGAAGCCGTCCTGCAAAATGCCCGGCATGGTTTGCGACATGAACAGTTCCCTATTGAGTACGGGTGCCAGCACATTAAAAGTATTGAAGTACGCTTCACTATACTCTTGCATCCTTTGTACAGTCAGAGTCGTGAAGGCAACCCTCTCAGATTGATTCTGTCCAGGAGAGCGCCCACTCAATTGGAAAGTGGAGAGGCCGACTCCTGGAGCCAAGATTGTCTTCTGGACGGACATCTCCTGTCTGATGAACCATGGCGTCCCTTCTTGCAAAACGAATTGGAGGTCTGACGCGGCGCTGATGCCCGAGTTGATTAAGTGAATGTATATGCTGGGCCACAGAATGATCTTGTGCGGAACAGTCAGGTGATGATATCCTTGCTGCAGCTCAAGCGTAACCTGTCCAGCACCGTAACCTTCGGTCCGATGAACTCGATTCGAAGAGGCTGATGAATGGCTGACAGAAGCTCTGGGACCGGATGCGTTTGTTTCTGGGGTTTCAGCGCTGTTTGACAGCGCAAGATTGTCGAACTTGTTCTCGAGTCTTGTCAATGTGTCCAGGATATGGACCATGGTCTTGTCTTTCCTGCAGAATATTAGCATTCACTCAAACTTTTAGCCGCAGGGGGGAAGAGATTGGCCTACTTTGTCGGCAGCGGTTCCCGGTAAACACACTCGACGTTCAACCGTCTGCAGAGGCCACCTAACAGCTGGTTAGCTAGTCATCGTGGTGAGAATTGTCGTGCACCTACATTTCGGCCGTTGTTCATCGCATTTGCTCTTTCTGAAGGGAAAATTAGCCTGTGAAACAAGTGCAGCTGGCGGCATGGCCGGCCTGTGGAGAAGAAGCAAGCAGACCTATTTCGACATGTTTGACATGCCTGCGCTGCGATTGCTGCGCGTTCCCGCCTCTGGGCGCTGTCCGCAGACTCGAACAGGCCAGATGAAGCCATCACACGGTCCGTTTCGGGGAGGAAGAGATCGAAGAATGTGTACTGCAGAAAGGTGTCCGCGCGAATGCGAGACTTCGCTATGTCTGGCTCTGAGAGATAGCTCGTGTAGTGGCTATGCTGGTGGTGCGATCAGCATGGCTGGAGACGGATGTTGAACAACTCCAAATCCTGGTGGATTGCTGCATCGAAGTGGCAACTTCTTCACGGAAGATAGATCTCAACAGAGCACAGCAGTCGCGCCAGGTATTCAAAGCACAGTAGGATACTGGCGGCCCGAGTGGCACATGTCCTGGTTACTTGTGTGATCGAGTGGGCGATGGACTGTTCGCATATACAGCGAAGGCGAGAACTTTATGCTGGCAGTGTCGGTCTCAGCGCTTCGAGGTGAGTTGTGGAAAGTGCAACAAGATTTGAAATCGGTTGATACTTGATCGCGTATTCGTGGTTCCAGGCTCGCAATCTGTAGATCCGTGATGTACACTTGTGCTTGTAGATTGTCGACGTTGCGCCAGCAAAATCGAAGATCCAAGCACAGCCACACACGCAAAGCCCCAATGAGGCAGGAGCAATCACATGACAAGGTGTCACCACGTCTTTCTTTTCGACCTCAGCACTTTTCGAACCTCAACCCACTTTCTATGATATCTGGAACATTCGCTTACCACTGTTCTTGCAGTACGTTGCAGTCTTTGGGAGAACCTGTCCTTCAAACGAGACAGATATGGAGAAAAAGACGATGCCTACCTCACGTTCACTTTCACATAGTCATGTTCTAGACGATATTCTCCCAAACCTTATCGCACGACGCTTGCCCCGAACATATGGATACAGCACTCCGAGCAGAATCTAATTAACCTCGTGCCTGACTTGTGCTGATCGTCCATCTCTTCGACTGCCGATTTGCTCGATGTTGACACTGCCGGCCGCTCAACCAAGCAAACACTTTGGGAATAAGTTTAGTTGGACTCGCTTCAAGAGTCGTGGCGTGTATACGTCTGCACAGAGGTGTGCTTGGGCAGCAAGCAGTTCTCATTCGTTGTTCCTCGAACTATCGGCATGGCAATCTTCCTGATTAGATAGTCGTAATAAGTTAATGCCATGGCCTTCGTGCGCATTATAGAAGCTCTGGCTCACAAGACCAGCAAGAACTTCCTCTCCTAGCAAATGCCATCTCATTCATCCAGCTTCTCCAACAATTCGATCGTCTCTCCATCTGGACCGATCATATAGATGGCAGTCCAGTACGTACCATCACCACGACGAATCCTCTGCGGACGATCCACTGCTTTCCAGCCCAGCTTCGTTGCTTCCTCAATGAGCGCCTCAGTTCCCTTCACGTCAAGCGCAATGTGAGCGCTTCCAACACTAGACCGCTGTGGTTAGACCAAATGATTCATACTGGCTCGACTTGGGGTGTACGCACTCGCATCCTCTGGGTTTGTATACCTTGCGATCAGCAGGCGCTGAGTATTCTAGCAACTCTATTCGAGTCCCATCTGGCAACGCAACCATAGCATTGTCCATGACGGCATCCGTTACGCCGATGACATTGAGCTCCGGGCTCATTGCCATGTGATTGCGATAGAGAATCTTGCAGCCAAGTAGACCTTCCCAGAATTTGAGCGATTCGGCAAGTGAGCTGACAGTGATGCCAGTGTGATTTGCGTTGTTGATCGTGAAGCTGTGGGTCGACATGATGATGCTGCTCTTCGAACTCTGTCTTGTCGATGTTCCATCAGATGAACTAAGTGGACATATCCTTGCAGATATATGTGATGAGCGAGGCCATCATGAAGCTCGAGTCTACTCGCGCTGGCAGCCACAAATGGTAACCCGAACTCGATTGGATGCCTCATCTGCCTCTCAGGGCGGCTGCTTTAGTAAGAGTACGTTCTGATAGTACCAGACTTCTTGGTCCTAAACCTTCCTTGGCTCTTTTATGCAGCATTTCCAATGGCCTTGCTTAACAATAGCAGGTTAGCCTCTTGCAGAGTAGCATGCGGTGAGCAGCTGGAGCTTGAAGAACCGCGTCGATCTCGCGTTTTGGTCTGAGATTTTGGATGATTTGAACGGCAATGTCGCGCAAAGAGAATCGGCAGCGCCGCAGCATAACATTCTGGCGGAGCCAATCATCGCCGCACCCAATGGAAATGTTGACGAGATCGTACTTGTGACGATGTTGATGTTTATATCGGAGTGAAGACAGAACAAGAGGTGGAAGAGCGAGATGCGGTGGCACGGACCAGCGCACGGGCATCAAGTGAAAGTCAAAAGTCGTCGCAAAGAAGACCTCAGGCTCAATCTTCAAAGATCAGACCTTCCACCTCTCCGCACCAACCACACTCAGAGCCTCAAGCAGCACTTTCAAAATGGCGCGCAATTCAGAAAAAGCGCAATCTATGCTCTTCCGCTTCCGGGCGCAACAAGCACAAGACCTAGGCATCCTCGACACCACACGAACCCGCCGCCCAAAAGCAATCTCACAACAGGACCACATCCCCACCTGCGAGCGATGGCGCGGTACAGTGCTCAAGGAAATCAGTCGCAAAGTCTCTAAGATCCAGGACCCTGCGTTGAGCGACTATCAGATCCGCGACATCAACGACGAGCTGAACAAACTCTTTCGCGAAAAATGGCAGTGGGAGTTGCGGATTCGAGAGCTGGGTGGGCCGAATTATATGCGCGGGGGTGCGAAAGTGATGGATGACGAGGGGAGGGTGATCGATGGTGGTGGGAAGGGGTATAGGTATTTTGGAAGGGCGAGGGAGTTGCCTGGTGTGAAGGAGATGTTTGAAGCTGCGACGCAAAAGCCTGAATCGGAGAAGAAGGAGACGAGGCATGATTTGCGGTTGAAGGTGGATGCAGGATATTATGGATACAATCTGGATGAAGAAGATGGGTCCTTGCTGGAGTATGAGGCACAGAAGGAGAAGGAGGCATTCGAGACTCTGATGGCGGAGGATGATGTTAAGGACCCGGAGTGGGAAGCTCTGCCCGGAGATGCTGGAGATGGGGTGCCTTGGATACTGCCCACTGTAGAGCAAGTGGAGGCAGAACTACTGGAAAGGCGGAAACGCAAGCTTCTGGACAAGCTCTGATCCAACGCGATATCTTCAAGACGACGTGGGATGGCGAACGTCAACTTCGACCCGATGTGGATGCACACACAGAGGGACCACAATGCTGTCAGACACGTTGAATCACAAAAAAAGGGTTGCAAGAAAGATCACCGGACCAAAAAGCACACGTGGAGTGGAGCTGGTGATCCTCAACATCGAATCCACGAATCGATCTCCACAGCACCGAAATCGCGCGCGTCCGCGCGCCCCGGCTACTCAACCTCAACCGCTCAGGATTTGTTCCAAGCCCCAAATCCTTTGGCCGCGAAGCGAGCAGTCGATCAAGAAAGACAGGCGCCGCAACCCTGTTGACTGCAGCATAAAGGATTGCTCTCTGACTGGCATCGATACAACGTCGAAGGTTTCAGGGCTGGTGCAGAGTGCAGGATCTTCACATGCAATTCGCATTGCGTCTTGCATGCAGCACCGCTCTCTGAGGTCGGCAGATAGAGATCGATAGGATGAACAATTCAACGAAAGAGATGCAATTCATGCGGACGATCCTCTGCCTCTGGAGTTGCGTTCGTTCGCTACTTGCAGAGACTGTAGTGGCTACGCAGTACCGTTCCCCTGCCTCACTGTATACTTTACTTGGGACCTGATAGAGAGTCATTGTCTCACCTCCACGACACACTACGCCAGCACAGTGGAGTGAGCTCGTCCTCAATACTTCGTCTCCTTAATCCCAGCCGAGTACGCATCCTTATCCAAATGCTTCGTCATAACCACACCCTTCGTACCAGGATTCTCCGCATCAAAGTCCAGCCGTTCTGGCACCTCCATCCCATCTTTCGCATACCTCGACAAGACAGTCACGCTTTGCCCATCGCGATAGAGCCACAGGTCACCAGTCTCCTTCTGCCACTCGGTCACTCTTTCGCGCATTTCAAGCAATAGCTTCTGAGACTCCTCATCCTCCGCCAAATTATGAATCTCCTCCGGGTCGTTTTCGAGATCGTACAACTCCTCCGGTGGCCGGAAGATGTAATCCTTTAACGTGCGATTTCCTACCTTGACGGGAGGGTCCATGTTACGGATTTCTTCGAAAGCGAGACTGGCGTATAAATCTGCTGCGAAGGGAAAGTCGAGTCGCCAGGCGATGTTGCGGTGGTATTTGTACTGCTTGGTTCTTAGAATTCTGGTGGGCCAGTAGTTTTGCATTTCGTGGAAGGTGTGGGAGCCGTAGACTTCGTGTTGCCAGGTGGAGGCGTCGACCTCGTCTTCTCGATCTATTATGGGGAGGAAGGAGCGGCCTCGGCGTGGTGGCGAGAGGCCGTCTTTGCCTTTCATTGCTAGGTCGAGGCCTGCCCAGTCTAGCATTGTTGGGAGGATGTCGATGAAGGAGATCATGTTGGGGTTGACGGCGCCTTTCTTCGAGCCTGGATGGCGGACTATGAGCGGCAAGTGAATCCCAGCATCGTATAGTGTGGTCTTCGAGTTGATGAAGGGGGGTCCATTGTCGCTGGTGAAAATGACCAGAGTATCCTCTGCAAGACCTTGTCTCTCGAGAGCGTCAAGTATGAGTCCTACACCGGTATCTGTCCTGTTGATAGCCTTGTAATACTCCTTGAATTCGTACCTCGTTTGAGGGAGCTCGTTGATCCAGTGAGGGATCTCAACGTCCTCTTCCTTTACCTCAGGGATGGAGATCCGGTCACCGTACTGCTCAGGTACATTTCCAAACTCGCCACGAGTCTGTATGTCACGATGAGGATCGATGTAGCCTACAGTCAAGAAGAACGGGCGGTTGCTGTGTTTGGCGGCCTTGAAGAATGCTTCGCCTTCGTCCGCCGCCCACGCCACGTCGCGCGTATCGCTTTCTTTTCTGACCTGCCATGGGTACACTTCAGGTGGCCCGACGTGAATCTTGCCAACAATGCCAGTTTGATAGCCGGCCTGGTTGAAGAGGAGAGGCGCAGAATCTACGTGGTGAAAAGTCTGGAAATGTGACCGGAACCAGTGAAGGCCGTACTGTCCATTCTCGTGTGTATGCAGACCCGTGTAGATTGTCGAGCGGCTGCCACTACAGGATGCGGTACTGGCAAAAGCATTGTCGAACCTCACGCCTTGGGCCGCGAGCTTGTCGAGGCTGGGCGTCTTGATGGACTTGCAGCCATAGCAGCCGACGTACTTGCCCAGGTCATCTGCAATCAGCAGGAGGATGTTCTTGTGCGGCGATGACGATGCCATAGTCCTGCCGCCGTCGTCTCTTTCTCCACCAGTCTTTGAGTGCTTCGCTCCATTATGGCTGAGAGGGCCTCGCTGTTGGCCGTCGTTTAGCGGAGAGTTTCGCTAAAAGACTTGGCGTTCGGGCTGTGGCGGGGCGGCGTGATTGGTCTTTGATACCTTGTTCAGACGTTACCTCTTCCTCTGACAACCCTGAGGCCCATTGACTCTCGTTCATCTGTCCAGCCGCAGCACGATTGTTGTCAAGGTGAATGCACAGAAGGCTTCTACGCTGTCGAAGCGTTTCAGCTGTGTTTCCCAACGGCGCTGGGCGTACGGTGTCGCTTTGGGAAGGCCGAACCCAGCTCCAAATGCTGACTAGCCTCCTGAGACCGAAAATGCCTCATACTGAGATGTAAAATCACGCAGCCCATTCGGCTTTGGCTTGCAGGCTGTGCCTTTGCCAAGCGGAGCTGCCATTCCTCGCTTCAAAGCCAGAATGCGGCGAGGATTCTGTGTTGGGCACGCGGACGCGAGCTAGAGCATCGTCAGTGGTACAGCGTGACGAGCTGCGTCGTTTAAACCATCATTTCGCGTGTCGATGGCACATGAGCGAGCTAGCTGAGCTAGATCCTGACGATTTCCCACGTTGCATCTCGTTTTGCACGTGCAAACCGCCGCCCTCGCTATATAGAGCCCCTCGCATTGGTTCTTCCCTTCTCTTACTCTCTCCTTCTGCCTTCTTCTCTCTGCTCACTGTCGGCGCCTGCCCATCGCACAAAGGAACTTCCGCAAGATGGGCGAACCCGAGCTTCCTTACCAGCTCCCCAAAGCGCATACTTACGCCGTGGACGAGCTCGAGCGTGCGCCTGAGAGGGGTCGTGTCACATATGCCGAAACCGATGCTCGCCCCAGGCGCGTCAACACAACGGGTGGAGGACGTTCGCGACCTCGCTCCAGCTCCAGGGACTCATCATTATCCATCCGCACGGCTCGCAGAAGTATAGATCCTAGCGTTGCCCTCCCGCCACTCTTCAAGACCCTCTCGTTCGGCATCGAAGAGCACAAGCGGAAATCTTTTGCTGAAGAAGGCCAGAAACCTAGCAAAGACGAGAAGAAGCAGAAAACCAAAGAGATCGACTTTAAGGACATCGACTACCACACCGCACCGACAGACGAGCTTCTTGCCCGATTTTCGACTTCCCGCACCAACGGTCTTTCCAGCGCAGAAGTTGCGCAGAAGCTCAAGACTTTCGGTCGCAACGTACCCTCTCCTCCACCATCAAGATGGTTTCAGAAGCTGTTCGGATACCTTTTCGGAGGGTTTGGTTCCATCCTCTTCATTGCCGGCATCCTGGTGTTCATCGCTTGGAAACCTCTCGGAAACCCCAACCCAGCTGTCGCTAACCTTGCACTGGCCATTGTTCTAATCGTAGTATGGGTTATCCAGGTACGTTGAAAGAAGCGATGGAGCGAGACAAGCGACATGCTGATAAGACATAGGCTTCTTTCTCCTGGTGGCAGGACTTCTCAAGTTCAAGAGTTATGGCATCGATCACGAAAATGCTACCTGAAGACTGCCTGGTCATCCGAAACGGTTCTCAAGAAAAGGTGGATGGCAGGGACGTGGTACCCGGAGATCTCATTCGCATAACGATCGGTAACAGGCTGCCAGCCGATGTTCGATTCGTCGAAGTCTCCTCTGACGCCCGCTTCGATCGATCCATCCTCACCGGTGAAACCGTTCCACTGCTCGGCTCCGTCGACTCAACAGACGTCAACTTCCTGGAAACGGCAAACATTGGCCTTGCTGGCACGCACTGTGTCTCTGGCTCTGCTTGGGGCTTAATTGTCGAGACTGGAGATCGCACTGTTTTTGGACGAATCGCCAAATTGACCTCAACGCCAAAGAAGGGTCTTACACCCTTGGAGCGGGAAATCTACTATTTCGTCGGAATCATCGTATGCTTGATGTTGACTATGGTGGTCGTCGTCATCATCCTCTGGGCTGCCTGGCTTCGACAAGACCATCCAGACTTTATCTCAGTATCTGGGTTGATTGTCAGCTGTGTGAGCGTAGCAGTGGCCTTCATACCAGAAGGCCTGCCAATCGCCGTTACGGCAAGCTTGACGATCGTGGCGAATGTCATGAAGAAGAACAATGTTCTCTGCAAGAGCTTGAAGACCGTGGAGACACTGGGTGCTGTCAACGTGATCTGCTCGGACAAGACTGGAACTCTGACTCGCAACCAGATGTCGGTCACAGATTTCCTGGTTGGCAAGGATGCTGTCTCCGCTGTCGAAGCTGAACAACGCTACAAGACCAGCGAGGGACTTCGTCAGCTGGCCAATGTCTGCGCTGTGTGTAACGAGGCCGAATTCGACGCATCGACTATCGACCAGCCCATCATGGACCGTAAGGTGAACGGCGACGCCACCGACACAGCCATCTTGCGCTTTGCAGAATCAATGAACCGCGTTGTGGACCTCCGCAGCACATGGCGCTCTATCTTCAAGGTCGCATTCAACAGCAAGAACAAATTTGCTATCAATGTCGCCAGGTCAGAGACTTCCGACAACCCTCTTCTGATGATCAAGGGAGCTCCTGATATTCTTCTTCCGCGTTGCACGGCGTACATTGACAGCGATGGATCAATCACCCAAATGACCGAACAAGATAAACGTACCCTCGAAGGCATGAAGGATTACTGGTCATCGCAAGGCAAACGTGTCATTCTCCTGGCTGAACGTGGACTCGACATTGAGAAGCTACCGTTCGATCCCACGGAACAGCCAAGAGAGTACGAGCGTGATATCATGGCCCGAGCTGGCGGTGATCTGGTTCTTACTGGTCTTGTTGGCATCGTCGATCCACCGCGCGCAGAGATTCCTGAAGTCGTTTCTACCCTACGAGGCGCTGGAATCAGGGTCTTCATGGTGACGGGCGACTTCAAACTGACGGCCGCGGCCATTGCAGCAGAATGTGGTATCATCACAAACCATCCCAAGCACGTCGACGATGTGGCATCACTTGCTTTCACAAATGGCTACCTGGAAAGCGCTGGCATTCACGAGACCTACTCATCATCATCTGAAGAAGCCAAGACGACCAGCATTGTTCTTTCCGGCGCGGACATTGAGACCCTTGACGATAGTATGTGGGACAAGCTCGCCTCGTACGACGAGATCGTCTTTGCGCGAACCACGCCAGAACACAAACTTCAGATTGTCAAGGAGTTCCAGAAGCGTGACTTGACCGTCGGAATGACGGGTGATGGTGTGAACGACGCTCCGTCGCTCAAAGAGGTGAGTTATGAGAAGCTTGAGTTTTGATCATTCGCAACTGACTTCCTACTTACAGGCTGATATCGGAATTGCAATGGGCTCAGGCAGCGACATCGCCATCGAAGCAGCCGACATGGTCCTCCTCGATTCTTTCGCCGCCATTGTCGAAGCTGTCAAATATGGCCGAGTCGTCTACGACAACCTGAAGAAGACTATCACCTATTTACTCCCCGCTGGCAGCTTCTCGGAATTTTGGCCCGTCATGACCAACGTCGCCTTCGGCCTGCCGCAGATCCTCAGCTCTTTCTTGATGATAATAATATGTTGTTTCACGGATTGTGCTGCTGCGACTGCGATGGCGTACGAGAAACCTGAAGCGGACGTCCTCCATCGCCCACCACGTAACGCGAAGAAGGACAGACTGGTCAACTGGCAGCTGGTCCTCCAGGCTTACGGCTTTATCGGTATTCTTGAGACTGTTAGTGCCTTCTCGATGGCCTACTGGTATGCCGAGCGCCAAGGCATTCAGTTCTCGACTCTTTGGTTTGGTTTCAACCAAGTCCAGCCCGGCTTTACCAGCGACGAGCAGCAGGAGATCTTGAATGTCGCTAGCAGCATCTACTTCGTGACGCTAGTAGTCATGCGTAAGTAATAATCTGACGCAGAGCAATGTTCGTGATGCTGACATACCACTCTTAGAATGGTTCACCCTGTTCGCCGTCCGCACTCGCCGCCGATCCGTCCTCAAGCAGAGCATGAACTGGTACCTGATCCCAGCTATCTGCTTCGCGCTCGTCTTCGCCATTTTCTTCTTGTACCTACCAGCTTTCCATGGTTCTTTGGTAAGTCCTTGCAACCCCTTCCCCAACCAAAACCCCCACCAAATAACAGCTACTAACTTCGTCTCTCTCCACAGCAAACGGCAGTCATCCCAGCAGAATACTGGTTCCTTCCCATGTCCTTCGGCATGGGCATTCTCCTTTTGGACGAGACGAGGAAGTTTTTCGTGCGCAAATACCCCAAGGGAATCCTCGCTCGGTGTGCGTGGTAGGGAACAAAAGTGTGCAATCTTTCGGGCAGTGAAGGGTGCGCGGGGCTTTAGCACACACCCTTGGGTATAGAGTACTAGCGAAGGTGTTGGCGGTTGTTGTGAGTCCGTTACCTGAGATTTTGGTTTTTTTGAGACTTGTTATACAGAGATGTGAATGATGAGTACAGAATGAAGGCTGTTACAGCTGAGACTTGTGCAGGTACCCTCGGATTTCTGCTCAAAGTGGAACCTCTCTCCCTATTACTCTTAAGCCCTCTAAGCAGCCTGGAGTGCAATCAGCAGCGTAATCGCTTACGAAAAGGCAGAGAGACAGTAGTTCGATTCGTTCCACTTTGATCGGACCGAGGAGGGTACTTTGCACAGATCATTTGTCAAAGTCGTTCCTTCCATTGGGGTATCAGGCCGACGCCATCTACCAAAACACAGCCGTCGTGACATTGTACAGAGTTTCCTTGACGAACAGGGAGTGACTCAAGATCATATGGCCGCTCAACGTCCAGATCCCGCCGTAGTTCAACAGAACCTGTTGACTTTCTTCGAGGACAGCAGCCTTCAGCTTGGCCTGATCTCCCAACTGGTGAAGACGTGGAGAGACAAGATCGATGGCAGGCTACTGTACTCCTGGTGTGCGATGATATGTCGCATCAAGATCATGCAACCCACCTTCGAAGACCGACTCCTCGTCTGTCCAGCTGGCGACATTGACGCCGCCATCTTGGTGATGCTGCATTACCCAGTCACGAAGACGAGTCGATCACGCCACTACCAGAACACTCTCGACCTTCGGCATATCTGCATACGCACCGTAAATGGCAAGCTCAACCTCTCTGAGTGCCTTTTGATGGACATCGTGCCATTCTGCATACAACGCCGACCAACAGAGACGCGACCGTACATTCGCATTTTCCACGAGACACCGGCAAATTTGGCTGAATTTGACCGCTTTACGAGAGGACTGCTTGAGATTAGCACTGCGAGAGTGGTGCTGACATGCGGCACAGAGCCATCGAAGAAGTTGCAACGATAAACCGGTCTATGCTCCTCGACAACGATGAGATAGTCGACCTCGTCGTTGATGCGCGTTTCGCAGGAATGTTTGGGCTCTCTGGATTGCCCCCAGCTGCCCTCACGATTGCGCCGACTCGCTCCTAGAAGAAGCGAATGTCGTTTGCAATTTATCACCCCGAGGGTATCATTCGCTGTCGCCATCGATCTGTCGTGGAGTATATGGATCTGGCAGCAGATACAGCTGGTGCTGTCGCCCACATCGACACCAACAAAGACTTCTTTGTATACGTCAACCGCACCCCGTCGTGCGCGTCAAAGCTCGCCGCTGTGTCTTCAGATGACGGGTACGCCGAGCTGACAACCAGGAGACTGCCTCCAACTACGCTAAAGGCTATGACCCAAGTCCCCGACGGTGGAGAGGGTGTTACGGCATTTTTGGAACTCCTCATGGTCACGGTTACTACAAGTGCAAGCAGTACAGGCGACGCAAATCAGCCTGTCCCATGGATGATTGAGGAGCGCCTGCCGTACCGCCTGAACGATGGCTATCCAGAGTCCTTCACGAATGGCCATACCAGCCCATTGCTTCGAGCGGTCTGGATTGGCTTGCATCACTGGAAGATGTGGGCGGCATTTCACGAAATTAGCCAAGACGGGCTCCATGCCCTCCGCAGGAGGTTTGGAGTGTTCAGGTTCGCACTCAACTACCTTGGCGTCACGACTGTTCATTACAACAACATGACGTTGTTTCTTGCATTGCTCCGCCCCAAGACCGCAGCCACCCCATGGCAGCAGTTCGGGAAAATCATCAGAAGAATCGTTGCGAGGCGTGCTGCGGCTGGAAGCAAGCGCTTCACCTTGTGGGACATTCTCTACTTCCTGGACCTGTTCGAAATCATGCGGCCTGGCGGTCGCTCAAGCATGTTCCCGTTCCCCTCTTGGACAAGAAGCCAGCTCTCTGATTTCGGATGTACCGAGGATGAGGCCTATCAGGCAGTAGCTGTGCACCTGGCATTGGTCTATCGCAAGAAAATGCACAAGACGGCCGCAGGTCGGCTTCCATTTTGTCAGAGGATCCTCCGAGGCGCTAAACACCGTTCTATCCTGAGCGAGCATGATAAGCCTACTGCTACGATGATAGCTACTTCTGATCTCAAGGCGAAGTTTCAGCACTGAACCAAACCGATGATCGGGAACAAGGCGAAGAATGGGAAGGCTTATATCACGACCGCAACACGTCGCCGTACATACGAGAATGTATTGGCCTCGTTATGCCCCCAGGCTCGACAGTATCTCGACGATGGTGTCCATCCGCTTATGAAGACATAGGCCATCATCGACGGAGAGCATCCATACACCTATTGGAACGCCGAATTGGTCCGCTTGTTCGACGAGAAATTACGCCAGCTGGAAGATGCATTCGTACGCCTGCTCGATGGGATGGATTTTACACTTATAAGCATTTACGATGGATGATGGATGGGATCTGCAGATCGGTGGAGTAATGGCTGCGATGTATCGTGGCATCTTGGACCACCTGATAACGTAGGTTTAACTAAATTTAATGCTTCGTCTTATACTCGTTTGCAGACTTTCCTCGCCGGCTCGAGTCCTTTCAGTCTCGAGCACACCGCACCCACTTTCTTCACCTCACTACCTCGTCGAACTCGTCCCCGTCTTAGCCCCAGGCCTATGGTGAGAATGAAAGCAATGGCGGCCATGTGCCTTCTAACATGGTCGTTCTCTGGAAGTTGCTCCTGCCTTGTTGGGTTCCCCAGATTTCGCAGGCTTCTCACATGCGAATTCACTTGCTAGCGTGCTCTTAGTCATCCTTCCCGCAACTGACTATTCCTCCAGCCCGCATGACTTTCTCGTTTGACAAAGTCTCAGCACCTGCACCAGCTCGCCGATATGGCCGCCGGGACGGGCACCAAGTCGTGGGCAGAGCTGGTCAGGACACGAGAACGAGCTCGTACGCCAACGTACACCTTCCGCACCGCTGCGCGCAACAGTGGTGGCTCGATGTCACTACCTAGCACACCAGACTTGAAACCTACTGGGTACAAACTCTAGCAGGTTTTCATTATGAGGTTGACTGACATCGCTCGCAGGAATGACTACGACGAGATCATCCGCATCAAGGTCGGCACCGGCGCTAGCTCTAACTGCAAGACTTTCGACATCCACAAGGGCATCCTCAAGTTCTACTCCGGATACTTTAGAGCGGCGATCTCGAACATCGAGAATGGCCGATTTGCCGAGTCAGGCGACGGCGTGATCTGCCTCGCAGAAGACCAACCGCACACATTCGACAAGTTCAAGAGCTGGCTGTACACCCGTGACGTCGGCTCGGTGGTGGAAGAGGGAGACTGCAACGAGAGTGACTGTTCTTGGAAGATTCTCTGCCAGCTCTGGTGCTTTGGCGACCAGAGCTGGATCCTTCTGCTTCAGAACGAAGTACTTAGCACGCTTCATCGACGCATCGCGCGCAGGAATTTCACGCCGACAGTTGAGCTCGGGTACGTGTACGACAACACTGGCCCCCAGTCAGCGCTGCGCCGCTACATGATTCATGCCGTGGCTATGAAGTTCAATGAACCGAAAGAGGTGCTCGAGTACGACGACCGCTTCACCAAAGAGATCCTTCTGGACTTGGTAGCGGCGCTGCTCCCCAAACCCACGCGTATAAACTCGCTAGAGTTCTCGAGAATCGATCTCTGCGAATGACATGTTCACGAGGATGGCGTCAATTGTTCGAAGAGGGTGGAATTGCAAGCCAAAGGATAACACACACATAGATACTTGGGATTTGTCCTTCCAGAACGATGGCCACGGCCCCGTCGGAGGAGCGGGGACAGACAAGAGCATGGCGATAGCACATCGCAGACACAGTCTAGGCAGTAAGCAGCATGGAACCACGGTAGCTGAACTAGCAGGATGATGAGCTGGATTGATAATTGCTTCACGCTGCTTCGGGTCACTGAAAACGCTACATCAACCCGACCAGACTTCTATCCACAGCAAGAAGAAATCGAGCACAGACTGTTCCTTCCACAAGCAACCACCAAGCATTCTCATTTCCCTCCCGTCTCTCCTTATCGCCCATGTACAGTTCGACCACGCAATCATCGCCTCTCGTACCATGCACACCAGTTGTATGAATCGATCTTAGTTGTTCCTTCAAAGTGCCTGGAGCCTCACTCTTGCACCTTTACTCGATTTCTCGTTCACCAGGTTTGGCAAGCTTTCACCGTCGGCTCGAACCCTTTCGGTCTCAAGCACAATCCAACTACTCCATCTCGTTACCTCGTCGAGCTCGGCGTCCCCGTCTTCGGCGGCGTAGGATAAGCATGTCGTGTGGAAGTCGAAGTCGGCGTGGTGACGGTTGATTTCGGGGGACAATATGGACAAACATCCTCAGAGCTCTGTCGAATCGCCCTGTAGTCCTCGCAGAATATCACTCTCGACGCATCTTCGTTGACGTTTTTGGGGCACATGTGGGTGTGCATGGGGACGTGGTCGGTGCATGTTCGGTAGTGGGTGTACTTGTGGTAACACATGCTGTTTGGCGATCGGCTTCGAGAAGGAGTTGGGATGGCGGTGGAGTGGTATGGAATAGGTGCTGATGCTTCGCGAGTGGCGTGCAGAGTCGAGTCGAAATGAGATCTTGTAATACAGACAGCCGCCGAAGGGATCGCAAAGTGTTATGACATGAGACGCTGAGGTCGTTGCAGAATCGATGATTCGAATCGACAAGTCGTTGACAAATGAACGAGTGCGAGTGCAATGTCTCTGGCGTCTTCTTATGTTGGTGTGCCACCTCGATGTTTGGTGTTGTTGCCGCTTCGATTGCAGGTGTTTGCCGAAACGGGGGTGCCAGAATTGAACAAACACCGCTGATTGTTCAAACATCATCGTTGCAAACCGCATCTCGCAGGGGTTTCCTGCAGCCCGATGCAGGCTTATATCAACCGACATACCCAACAGCTCTTCGGCGGTGGAATCGTTTGCGTGAAATCCTCTGCCTCGGATGGGGTTGTTGACGTTTGCTGAATGTTGTAGCATCGACGTGTTTTGTCAACCATTAACCATAACAAACCCGAGCTTGATGCCCTCGTTCAACATCGGCATTCTTGGAACAGCAACAGTCCCATTCCTCACACGAGAGAGCCATACAGCATCTGCGTTCTGAGACTCAAAGGCCTCCATTACCTTGGCATCGTCAAGCATGGGGCTCATCATCTCCAGAGCCTCTTCAAATAAGTCTGCTGGAATTGTGACATGGCGCACTATTGCAGGGACTGTATGCATCAGTGATGTCCAAGTCTGTCGTGTTCCTGTATCGCTGTAGTCGGCAGGAGATGAGCGGAAGCGAGCGATGGCTTGCTTCAGATGTGAGCTCTTCGACACGGTCGACGTCGAGGTAGGTTGCTTCTTCTCCGATTGCAACGCTCTTGTGGGCATCGACGACTGAACGATATCTTTGACGATCTGTCCATGAATCTCGACGAGCCTTGGCCAAAGCTGCAGCACTCGGCTACGCATGAAGTCGCCTGCGTGTTCACAGAGCAAGGCAACAACATCGAGTGCGTTGCCAATTATGTGTGGCTCTGTGTCGTCCAGCCTGGATGTAATCTCTGGCCAAAGCGTGTTGACGAGCGGCAGAAAAGAATTCTCGTGACGAGCGATCGCCGGCATTGTCGTTTTGATCAGCACCAGGAGCGACGCTCGTAGAGTCGGTGAGGCCGAAGGCAAGAAATGCTGAGTTAACTCTGATATCTTGAGCAGTAGCTTATACGTCTTCGGTGCTGGTGGAGGCTTTTCGGGTTCATCGAGCGGTTGCGTTACCTGGTCCTCCTCACCCTCTTGATCTTCGTCACGATCGGCGTCTTCGATGGTCTTCCACGGGCGCTGTGGATGTGGTTCATTGTCGACAGGCTCAGCAGGTAGGGGCTTTTCAGAACGATCTTGCAACGAAGCAGCGAGTTCAGCAATGGAGATCGGCTGCTGGTCGATCACAGTCACACGACCCTCGTGCTTTCCATCAGTGATGCTCAACTGAGGAGCTTTGACTCCTTCCTCAGCGACCACGCTCAACACTCTGAACAGGAGCTCAACGAGGAGAGGGTAACCATGAAAGTCCGCGAGAGCTGCAAATATGCTGTCAATGGTGTCTTCCAGGTAGGGCAGCAAACTTGGGCCCGCCAACTTGACCATCATGAGCAAAACTTGAGGTGCTTGAGGACTGACGTCGAACGCATTCAACTTCAACCCCACAGCATTGGTGAGATAGTCAACATTCTCCACGATCAAGTCTTTGACGCTTCCATACCCGCAGGAGGCGGTATAAACGTTCAATACTGTGATACTGTCCTGCTGTAGCAGTTCGTCTGGTGTGGCCAGAGAGTGGAGTACTGGGTAGAGAGCGTCGATAAGCTCATGTCGAAAGTCTTTGCCGAGCACTTGGGCTCTAAGTGCGAGTGTACGAAGGGCCAGAGCCTGCAGACGGTCGTCTGGTGGGTCATCTGACGTATCACCAAGTACTTCCAAAGAAAAGGAGTACAGGTCTTCAAGTAAATGTGAATCTCCGAGAGGCGAGCGATCGCTGACAGTTAACAGCGCATCGACCTGAGGATCACGTTCCAGCGTTGCTTTCGTGATGTCGAGCAATAACCAAAAGCTGGCAATCTGCACCTCACCGGTTGACTGGCGAAGCGACCTTGCAACATCTGCAGCAAAGCTCGAAGCCGACCTTTGGCTGACTGTTATCGTGAACTGGCGTATTGCATCGATGACATCCTGTTGTCCTTTGTGCTTGACGAGAGATGACGTGAATTCCGTATTTCTGTGCTGCTGTTGGACAATCGTGAGGTCCAGCGAATGTAAAGGCGACACAGAAGCTTCGTGTTGCTCCCGTGGAACACGATCCTGAATTGTGACAACCATGCTGTCTCGAAGAATGCCACCGAGCATCCGCTCTAGTGTGCTAATATCGGCACCACTCGACTTGAGAACGTCATGGGCTGTGTTGATCTGTTGCAATCTTCGCACTTTCGCCTGGTCATCAGCTCCCTGGATTTGTGTGGGAAGAGACTGTAGCCAGTTGTATAGGGTGTTCTGCAGTAGATCAGATATTGATGGATCGCCGAAGATGAGGGACTCCAGTCTGAATTTCATTGACTCGTGTGATTCGTCTGCCGAAAGCAAGAGCACTGTTTCAAGAGCCAATCCTGCACAATCTTCTAACGTGGGCCGGCACTGCTTCAGAATGAGTAGACAAACCTGTGCCAGTGCTTCTCTCACGTCGCTTCTGCTGTGATCTTTCAGTCGAACGATGTTCGCGATTGCTGGCTTCAACTGGGTCGCCGCACTTTCGAGCCACTTTTCGTTGATGACAGACGATTGAATTCTTTTTGTTTCATTGCTGTGGTTGCTGGTGGTCATGTTGTTCGCCTTGGTATCCAGTGTATTTCGGAAGAGAAGTTGCAGAATCTCGAGCGACCCAAATAGGACAACGTGATTCCGTCGTTGCTTCGACTGTGTCGTTAAAACCTTCGTGAGCTTTGACACAATACCTGGCAGAAATGCAGCTTGCACTTCACGGGTCGCAACATGTTGAACGAGTGATCTCAGCGCATTCGTAGCAGCGACCTGCGCCTCTACCGACCCTCCTTCGATCAAGGCATCGAGTATGACACTGATGGTCTGCCCGAGTTGTGGGAAGTTCTCCTCGGAGTTGAGAGAGCCCCTCGCATTCTCTGCAGAGCCCAATACTGTAAACGTGTGGAAAAGACACCACAAAGCGCTTGCCTGAAGCTCAGGCGTCGACTCTGACGAAGCGATGCCCTTCGGATTCTTCTCCGCCATCAGGGTACACAGAATAACGATCTGTGCTGCAAGTTGAGGCTGTATGCGTGACTTCCACCCTTGGTCGATGAGAATCGCTAAGCATTGAAATGTCAACTCCATGCATCGCACCGAGACTCGCTGGCTCGCCTTGAGCACGTAAGAGAGAGGGACGAAGACATATTCGGCGATCTTCTCGTCGAGCGCGTTTGGCTTGGAAGTGATGGAAGAGAGAGCATGCTTGAGATCCTCCAGTCGTTGCGTCAGAACATTGATATTGGCCTTTGGTCCGTTGACTTCGAGGGCGGATTGGTGGAGAGCGACGCATAGAGGCTTCAGTCTCGGGAATATCTGGTTTTTATTCTCCATTAGCGGATCGAAAGAGTTTGGCGGAGAGTGAAGCGCATCTCATCCCATTCAGATTCGTCTTCTGGTCGTTGGGTGAGTTGATGCATTCAGACAGCAAACTTCCAAGCCGTGATGTGAAGTTGGGTCGTCGGGAAAAGCTCGGCCGAGAGCTTTGAGCCTATTCCTCTACCTCCAACCGCATCGTCACTGTCCGCCGTCTACCACACCACCACGACGACTCATTCAGAGATACACCCTCACTTACATGACCGACACGATCGCTACACACCAACCATTCATTAGCCATCATGGCGCCCAACGGAGCCGTCGGTCGCAAGGGTGCGCCTTGAATTTCCTCCACTTACCACGTCGCCATGCTGACATGCGCACAGCGCCTAAGCCCATCAAATCCGAAGATAGCATCTCGCTAGAAAACCTGTTCGACGACCTCCAAGATGACCCCACCTCAGAGCTTCACGAAGATGTCAAAAAGAAGCTGCCTCAGGTCAAGAATCCAGGTAACTGGAACTCAGATGTCATGGGTGGTAGGCTACACCTGGCTATCCTGTCGCCTATCGCATACTGACAACATCTACAGGTCTCAAGCCGAAAGATCCTAATGCGCGAGCGACTCCTCCTATCAACAAGATCCCTTCCACCATAGCCAAGGCCTTCCCAAATGGCAAGCCGATGTCCGATAAGCCAGACGTTCTCAAATGTAACCACTGCAAGCGCGCCGTGTCCAGACATACTATGCCAAAGCACATCGAGGGGTGCCTGAACAAAAAGCAGGAGAAGCAGCGCAAGAAGAAGGAAGCCAAGGATGCGCGTGATGCGGCGGCCAGAAAGGACAAGGCTGGCGACAGTGAGGAAGAGGATAACGACGGCGCGAAGAAGACTGCTACCAAGACTGGCTTAACTGCCAGCAAAAAGAGAAAGGCTGCAGACGAGGGCGAGGAAGGTGCGCCCACCAAGAAAAAGAAGAAGAAGGATGAAGCAAAGGCAAAAGCTCCCAGACCTAAGGCGCCTGTCGATGTCGAGAAGCAATGTGGTGTTGAACTTCCACAAGGCGGCCAATGCGCTCGCAGTTTGACTTGCAAGAGCCACAGCATGGGAGCGAAGCGTGCAGTGCCTGGTCGAAGCGCGCCATATGACAAGCTGCTGCTCGAGTATCAACGCAAGAACCAGGCCAAATTGCAGAAAGCAGCATTCGACGCAAACGCCCCCAACCCAGACGATGACAACTTACCAACTGGACCCGTTGACAGCGAAGAAGAAAAGGATGCCGTGGTTTCAGCTATTGCACGATGCTGGGGCGGCAAGCCGCTTTACGAGAACACACCTGTTCCTCTCCGCCGCAAGTACGAGCAGAATCGTCTGCGAGGCATGATGCAGTCTGCATTTGGAAGTCGCGGTGGAGGCGGTTTCTTTGGTTCTGGTGGTGGTGGAGGCTTCTTTGGCTCAACAGCTACGACAGCACAGGCTCCCACTGTGGATGCGGATGGAATGGTGCATGCCAGGCGAGGAAGCGTGGTCCCAGGTGCAAGGAGCATGATGGCTTCCGCTATGCCGACTGCAAGTCGTAAGCCCAGCGTCGCATCTGGTGCTTAGGAAGAAGCCAAGGGACCACCGTCTTCACCCTAGCTGTCGGACGGGTCGCGCAGACTGCTTCCTGGAAGGCACACATGGGCCTTGACCAGAAGGACCAGAGGGATCGGCTCTGGTGAGACGCGTGTTTGACAAGTGCTGCGAGCACTCTGGAGTTTTGGATGATGGTTTTGGAAGATACCCCTATCGTTTTGGATGCGACGACTTCACGAATACCAGGTATTAGCTCAGTAGTACACAGAAGTAATGCCTAAATCTTGGCTCTTGCTTGGCCTCATTCACCAGACCCAGCTTCATCAGGATGATCCTGTTTCGACTGACAGCGCAGGCGCAGGACCCTCGAGCGAACGTTCATGCACACGCAGGGCATCCTGGACGAGCCGATGTGGAGGTGGCAAGGTGGCAATGTTGAAGCCATCCGTCTGCCGTCGTTCCCCTTGCATGGACGGCATACGATGGCTGTTTCGCTCGCTAAAGATGCGAACGCAGGAACCACTGTTGCAATGCCAACCTCTCAAGACGAGCAGTGCTCGAGCCGAATTCCCACAGCGAGACACGATGGCTGGCTTGCTCGCAGGGACGGATACAGCATTGTGACCGGCCCACAAGACTGCAGAACTGCTCGAGCGGTAGCCCCTTCGCTTCGCACTGCAGGACAACCTTGCAGCAGATCATGACGACCTGGTTCACACGGCACGTAGTGAACGCCATTGAGCCATGTGGCATGCCGCCTCGCGTAGATGTTTGCGTTCTGGAGTATGTCGTCGCGGGTTGGAGTCAAGGGTCAAGTTGAAGGCCCTCAGCCATGTGCGCGTGGCGAGCCGTTGATTACACTGGCGCGCATCGAGGATGAGGATTGTGTTTGAAAAGACCCTCATCCCGTAATCTTGAAGACGTTGGATGATGACTTCTTACCTGAGCGAGAGTGAGGCATTTTGATACAGGATCATGAAGCGGTTTCATCGCTCTAACCGACCTGCCATTTCAGTCGTTACACCCGCCCGCTCTCTCGCAAGACTTGCCGGTCGTTTTTCGTACGCCGTGAACAAACCGAGCCCGACGACCTGGTTGAAAGTTGCCGATAGCGGCTGCAAACGAGCTTCCAGTACCAAGGCCACCTCGAAGCGGTAGACACGTCCGGCAGAGCTTTGGACGAGGTGCGTTCCATGGCTCGTTTGAAGACATGTTTCGGAAGTTTCCACTCTGACTCTTCACATGTCTTTTTTGTTTCAAGGACGCGTCTGCAGTCGAGTGCAGTCAGAAAATGCAGTTGTGTGAGAGGTGAAGTTGGTGCTTGAGTGAGAACAAACTCTCCGCCGGCGTGCCACCGCGTTGATCGCAACCATTTAGGAAGAACTTTCATGGAGAAATCCCACCACTCAGCCGGGGACTGTGGTGGTGTTGAACCAAAGACTGTGGTCATTGATGAGCGTCATGAGCTTTTGGCACCGCGAGAGAGAACGGAAATGCCGTGTTGTCGATCACAGTTCCCTCGATATGTTGAATGATGATGGACAACTGGGATCCGTGGTGGTTTCTGCATGCGTTGCCTCCTTCCTCATTGGGAAGTCCGTGGTAGGGCGCCGAACGACGGCTTCGTGGCCTTATTCATCTTAACTACTGTCAGGGCTTGACGCGGTTGGTACAGCCAGTGGTCATGAGGAACGTATCACTAGACCTGTACAATGTAGAGGCGGCTCATGCGTTTAGGGTTGGATGTAGGATATCGACACCCTCGTCGTCTTGACGGCATCGGAAACACCTGAAGCCGACCAGCGTTGCAGGACATGCATGAGATTGTTCCAGAAAGCCACATGGCGTAATTGGCGATGCGCCATCTCCACGTGCGGGCGGAGTCTTCGATTAGGACTGTCGGTATGTAAGCAGTAAATGACCAAGGGATGTAGGAGTGCCGCGAGAGACGAATGTGCAAGGTCAGCATTGCCAGGGCATACGATAAAGTCAGTAGGCGAGCTTGCAGTTTCTGGGCATCGCAAGAAGGATTACAGCGGAACGGAAGCCAAGGCTCTGCTCACATGCTCGAGGCGAAGGTCGTAGAATCCTTTCTCATGCCAAGGTGGAAAGTGCAGAATCCTAATGTCGTCAATCCCACGTGTTCTCGTCTGTTTGCGCAATCCTTTTTTTTCTTATCCCACAATGGCTCGATGTCCGGGGGTTGAGGTTGTGGTTGTTCGGTTCTTATGATGCCCAATGGAGAGAGGTTACATCGCTTTGTTCATGTGGCATGGTAGGGCACTTTCAGAACTTCAAGCTGGCCGTCTGACGTTGCGTGCATTTTACCCGCTTGAGAAAGAGGACCCGCCGTTGTTTGAGCCGCGAAAAGTCGAGGGCCAAGTGAAGCAGATCCAACCCCCACTGCTCTCCAGACTGCCCTTCGTGCGGGAATTTTGTCGTGAGAGGACACCGTGGAAGCCACAAAGAAGGGAGGCGTGCTGCTAACGCAAGGGTAGCGTCAGTACCGTCTGAACCCGTATGCGGCATGACATGTGTGTGATGTTTGGTCAGGAAGCACGCCGCCGCCGCCACACGCCACGCCGTGAACTGGATATTCTTCGCTGTATTGTGTTCCTGGGCATGTCGGCTTGGTCGCTCTTATAATCATCATCAAGAGGTTGGTGTGAAATGAATGATGACTTGGTGGTCAAGGTGTGTTGGCATGTATGCGAGGCACCACGCGTGGAAGACGGTGGCGGGCGCAACTTGCACTGACTCGACGCCTGCCCGACCCGTGCCGAGAAGTCTGCCGTTGCGCTCGAAATAGCAGACATTTTCTCCAATCCATCAAATCTTCTTGTCCGGCCCATACAGAAAGGAGACGAGCATCGCCGTCGGAGTCCAGACCGGATCTTGAAACTCGACCGTTGTCCTCGCGCGATGCAAAACAGGTTCTGAAGACTCCAGCAAGACCCGGCCGTCCTGTCCACGCCAAAGGATTGCATGTGGAAATAAAAGCCCCTCGACTATGGCGACAACGGCTCCTTCGTATGAAGTTGACGATGATGTCTCGGAAGAAATGAGACATACGATTACGTCTTCACTGCCAGGCACGGAGATCGCGGATCTCCAATACATGCCCATGCCTAATCACTGAATGGCCGACGTGCGAAGAGACCAGAAGACACGCTGGTGCCCTACCCAAGAGTTTCTTCCTCGGAAAGCAATAGACTTCTTCTGCGTTGCACTACCGTCTGAAACACGGCATGCAATGGTCTTGCGGCAGGATCCAGCGAGGATGAGAGAAGAAGCATGGTAAGTTCGCGGGCCGGCTGGCATGGCGACAACTCTGATGAGCTTATGTGAGGCTATGGTCTTCCTTTATCCCACGTTGTTGATAGTGAGGTCTGCAGAGGTTGTTGAACGATGACAGGAGCCACCAAGCTTGAAGGCGCTGTCTCCAGCTACGGGGCTTCGCTTGACCACGTGTGTTGGCAGAACTGTCGTGCAAGGATCGCTGCGCCCTTCTGGTCCGGCAAGCAAGATGCTGGCTCGTTCATGCAACAGTAAATTGACGTTCCTGCGTCGACGCACTTGTCGTCCCAACGCCGTGCATATGGGACTCGCAATGCCCGACAGTGGGACTGCAGCTATCATCAATGTGATACAAACAGGTCACAACGAACCTGGAACGTCTTGCTCGGCATTGCCATCCATCAACAACGATCATAACTGACTGTTGCGCGCATGCCACCTGTACGGAGCTGCAACTAACAACTTTACCTTCAGGCCGACAGTCCCGGCGAAGGCTGGCGTAGCGATGGCGACGGCATGCGAGAAAAGGTGAAGACTGTTGAAGTCTCGCTCGCGTGGGGTGCACCATGTCGCAGCATGGCAAGTAGGTGCTACGGTGGATAAGCTACGGCCAAAGCTTTTTAGGAAGCTGATAAGTATGAGACTGAGAAGCTCGCTCCTTGAGCTGGCGGTGCCGTCCGATGGTTTGATAGCTCGACGAGCTCGAGCACGTCGTTGCTCTCATCATGATGATCAGAGGTTGCCAACACATCTCCCGTTGCAGGACTGGTGGAAGTCTGTTGAACGAGGCACCGCGGTCGTCATGACACCTTCTGAATGAGCACTGAGCAACGTAGCATCCTTCCTGCTGTCTCTTGCTCATAGCCGGTGTATGTGTATTCGCGGCACTCTAAGCCGTACCCGGACAAGAGATTAATATGGGCGCGCCATGGATCTGCAGGTGCGAACGAGCGGCCTGCGGAAGCGATATTGTAAAGTTGATTGCCTTGCACGCAGGCGACATGGAGTCAGCGTTCGGAGCTGCTCGTGCCTCGTTTCCATCATCATCAGCGAGTGTTGCAGGAGGCGTCGGGAGGTCTGCAGACTGCAGCAGCTTCGCACATGGACGGCTGCGTGAGCAAGGGGGAATCTGCCGGACCGGTAGACTTGTGTATGCAATCATGCAGGCCACACGCGCTGCTGCGAAGGTTGAAGATGTATCTCTCCGAGATCGCCTGATGATGCTGCGAGAGAGCGGTGTCTTCGAGGACGTTGTTTTGAGGACGATGGCGATGACGACTCTGCGACAATCCTCACAAACCCCTTTTCTCAATGTTGCTGATTCGAGTCTCTGTGCCGGTATCATTAAATAATGCCACGATCCTCTAGGAGCGCCATGTGGATGCCAGTCGGCTAGCGGACCAGAAGCGTTCTCACGCCTCCACACCTGATCTGACCCACGGCTAAGGAATGGAAAACGCCACGGACAAGGTTTGCAGACATTGACCACTCAAACAGCACGGCGGCCATGTTCCTGCGCTGTACTTTGTAACAGCGCTCGCAAAACGAGACGTAACTCGCCTCGGCAGTGGCCAGCAGTACCGTCCGAACCGTCTGCGCCGCCGCACTCGACGAGCTGTTGGACCGGCTCGCAGGAGCCACGGCGACGGTAGCTTTGCGCCTCTTCGTTTTGTGCTGTTCCACAATGATCGTGTTTCGCAGCATGCTGTGGCACCGCGTCTGTAAATCACAGGCCATCATCTATCTACGTAGCTTGCGCAGCGGAGCCTGCTCGATGCTTGGGCGCGGAAGTGTCTTCGGGGCGCATCGCTAGAGGTTCGGCGTGGAGACACTCGATGGCAGGGCTGCTCCGCTCGGACTGCTGCCAGGCTCGATGCTCAGATGATGGCGCTGCCGTTGGACGCTGCTCTGTGCCGCATCGACGGCGCCCGATACCCCCATGCCCGATGTTCAGGATGGATGCTAGCCCGGTGCTAGCGCATGCAAGTGAATGCAGGCCTGGTTCCTGCCGTCGTCCAATCCCTCTGCCCTGCGCGTGCTGCAGTAGCATCGACATCGCTGCCACCCCGATCCAGCGTGGCTGCCATTGCCGCCAGAGGCAGGGCCGGCGAAAAGCGTTGGCGTCACATTCATCAATCGCCGCCGCAGCGTGGCCCTCGACGCCTGAGCCTGATGCGCGACTGACCGACCTGCCACGCTCGGCCACTCTTCTACTTGTAGACCGTGTACCCACCCAGACCGCACTCCCGCCTTTCCAGGATGTGTCGTGCTGCTTGACGGCTACTGCGACTCTAATTTAGACCATGAAACTACGCGAATCACTTTCATGAGCACCGGCTGCCCACACCACCGCCCTGTTCGACATACCTATGTATACGGATCAGCAGCTCGCCTCGCTCGCGCGACACTCCTCTCCTCTGGCTGCGGAAGAACAACGGCTGCGTCAGGCGAACTACTCGAAGAAGACTGTCCAGAACCTAATTGAAGCGGGCTTGGTTGTGCCTGACTCAACTGCCCGCAAACCCGCCAGCGGCAGCAGGAAGAAGAAGAGTGTTGGCTTCAAGGTCAGCGTCAAAGAAGTAAGTACGAAACATCCACCAGCTTCCGGCCCGCCACCATTCGTTCTGTCTTGGCTGCAAAGCATCGATGGCTGACGATAGCGTTCTGTGTCTCAGGTCCCCGGCAAAGTCTCGTTGTCCCTCCTCAGGCCCTAAATTTGGACCAACATCTCAATAATACGACAGGGACAGCTGTGCACGTCGACAAGCTGGCCGGCCGGTCACATCTCGCCAACACCATCGCCAGGAGCTGGTCCCGCAAGTCGAAGCTCAAAGAATTGCACAACGACGAGATGTTCGCCTCCAAAGGGACCGGCCGGCGAGAGCGAACGTTCATCGGCACCAATTGTGCCGCCTGCGAGGAGCCACTGGAGCACATGCTTCGTGGCGAGCGCATACTGCAACTATCATGCGGTCATGTCGCCCACGAAGCCTGCTTCTACGAATACATCAAGGAGTTCGAGGCCGAGACGTGTCCGGACTGCCAGAAGCCTTTAGGAATCGATACCTCGCGAGGAGGTAACATCGACTTTGAGAATCTCAACAAGCTCGTGCGCAATGTCCAAACCCCAGATCTTCGGGAACGACGTGACCCTGAGTCAACACCGACAAACTATGATATGGAACCTCTTCGACGACCGAGTGTTATCAGTCAACAGGTTCCTTCTCCTCAACGGCCTTCTAGAGATCACTTATTACCTGAGCAGGTCCAAACTAGCAGCCACCGTTACGAACGATACACTTCTTCACATGCATCGCACGCATCTCACCCTTCTCATACCAGGAACGCAAGTGGTGAGACTGGAGTAGCATCAAGCAACGACTACGCCGAGACTCATCACACTGGAGGACGTCGGCACGATTACGACGTTCAATCAATGGAAGCATCCGTTAACAGCCCGAGACACATATCCAGGAATCCGATCCCCGCACCGACCGTCACTGTGCGCAGCGAGTTCCCAACCCTCAGCAAATCTCGACACCAACAAAGTCTGACCTGTTTGGTGACTGTGGAGGTAGTGGAGGGCAAATGGCATCCGAGCCCGGACGACATTCGAAGCCCACCTCCGATGCCCACAACGATCCCCGAGGAGACTTTCGAAGCCCCCCCCATGCCTTCTAGAGCACGACCTGAGGAGCCTCGACGTCTTGTCGACAGCGTGCACGAAGACATGGCTTTGGATGGAGTGAAGGATGAGCTTTTCAGGCGGGTCGACAATTGGCATGGTCTGGACTTTGAACGTTTTGGGAAGCTGGTAATGCACGGCGTCGTCAAGGTTGGCAAAGATCGACAGACATGGCAAGAGCTGGAATGCTATCTCTTCAGCGAGATGCTCATATGCGTCAAGGAGAAGAAACTCTCGGCAAACTCAAGCCAGCAATGGGATGATATGGAAGGGCCAAAACCTAAGACACGGTGCACTCTCAAGGGCTCCATCTTGATCAAACGACACTTGAAGCAGGTGGATACATCGCCCGAGGATGATGTCTTGACTTTACGACTGTCAGTCGCTGAGTTACCTGCTTTCCACCTTCAATTCAACGAGCGTCACCAGCTGGAAGTCTGGCGCAAGGCGTTGGTTAACATCAATCGGCCTGAACCTCCTCCTCAACGATTAGACTACGAGCACGACAACTCAGGGACTGATGAAGATGAATACATCTCTCGACAAGGTCGCAGAGTCTCATCAGTACCTTCATCATCGTACGGTGGAACAAGATCGCAAGCCACTGCAACAACTGAGCACACCCCTTCTCGAGATCTACGCCTTGGCACGTCGTCTATTCATGTGCCACTGGACGTTGTGGTTGTGATACCAGTCTCGGCTTCCATGCACGGCCTCAAGATGAATCTGCTCAGAGACTCTCTGCGGTTCCTCGTATCTAGTCTCGGCGAGAGGGACCGTATGGGCCTTGTCAGCTTCGGGTCAGGGGTTGGGGGTATTCCTCTGGTCGGCATGACTACCAAGTCATGGCGCGGGTGGTCAGCGGCATTGGACTCAGTCCGTCCTGTGCCTCACAAGAACTTGCGAGCGGACGTCGTCGAAGGTGCCAATGTGGCCATGGATCTGCTCATGCAACGCAAGTCTTCTAACCCTCTATCCCACATCATCCTCATCAGCGACTCGTCCAGCTCGGATCCCGAGAGCATCGACTTTGTGGTCTCACGAGCGGAAGCGGCGAAGATCTCGATCCACTCATTCGGCCTCGGACTCACCCACAAGCCAGACACCATGGTCGAGATGGCGACAAAGACTAAGGCGAGCTACACCTACGTCAAAGATTGGATGATGCTGCGAGAATGCTTGGCAGGATGTGTTGGCGCACTGCAAAGTACCTCTCACCAGAACGTCAAGCTGCGTCTACGCCTTCCAGAAGGATCACCAGCAAAGTTTGTCAAAGTGAGCGGCGCCCTGCAGGTCACGAAGCGTGCCACTGGGCGAGATGCTGAAGCATCACTCAGTGACTTGCGTTTTGGCGACAAGCGCGACATACTGGTGCAGCTTGCGATTCAGGCCGACAGCGCTACCCCTGACTCAGTACCGGCGGATCCCTGGGAAAATATCATTTCTGGTCTGGAAGCCTTGGGTCCAATGGAGCAAGAGGATACTCGCACCGTCTCCGTGGAAGAAGTTCCTCTCCTGCAGGCTGACTTGAGTTGGGGTGACATCCTGCGGGACGGCAACATGTCGCAACTTCCACGGCCGTCCTTATTGGCAATCACCATGCTGCCACCGCCGCCGAAGAAAGGCTCTTACGGCCGGCCGTTGACGCCTCCTATCCCGCCTCATCCTTCTGTTGTGCAACGACGGATGGAGCTATTGACATCGGACATGCTTTCAAGAGCGCTCGGATTGGTCTCGCGAGGTCAGAACGACAGGGCACAGCACCTCCTCGCCGAGACTCGCTCAATACTGAAAGGCCTCGGAAAAGGCGGCCTGCCTCCTCTACCCACACCACCACCTACTGGCGCCCTGCCTCCAACACCGAGATTGGGCCCAGGTTCCCCACTCGACGCACCCTTCCCGCCTCCACCATCTGGACGCCGGACTCCTTCCCCAGGCTACACCCCCAACGAGCCTCCCAGCCCCTACACGCCCGCAGCAGGCATCGACCGAGCCACCATGACCGCTCTCGACTCCGAACTAGAATCCAGCCTCGAATGGATCTGCCACCCGGCCGTCTTCGGACGCGACTCGAGGAAAGCGGTCCTGCAAGCAATCGGCGTCATCAGCTCGCAACGAGCTTACACTTTCCGCACACCCTCCGAGTCCCTCTGGGCCATCCGCGTCCCTGGCGTGCGACGTCTCGCAGACCGGAGCAGGGAGTGGCGCGAGGCGGATGATGCGCTGATGGAGGAGACTTGAACAACACCATCTTTTTTTTCTTCCCAATGGATAAACTGGATACCCCCCAATCGTTCTCCTGGATTTCCCTGTCTTGGATATTTTTTTTCTTGAGACGATGTGAAATGACTTTGACGAGAACTACAAGAAAGAATACAACACAAAACATATACAACGACATTACCCGCGGATGATTTTCCTTCTTCACCACCAACCACCAACCACCACCCGGACCTTTGTACATACCTGTACCGACCGACTACAAAAATGTTGATTTCGATTCCCCACCAATTGTTTTGGGTTTGGCCGAACTGGACATCGCGATGGAAAGCGATGTGTATTACTACGACGAACGACTGCGTTCTTTGTCTCTTGTGTGTTTTGCAATTGCAAGCAAGGCTGGAAAAGGTCTTGCGTATTACGGCGAGGAGTTTGATGGGGTCTAACAGGACGGAGAGGGATTGTGATGGAAGGCCACAGATTTTTTTGGGCCCTGTGATGTGATTTTTGAAATGATGTGGATGTGGTATGGGATCTGGGTTTGGGCTGTTTTTGTAGTCAGATACCATATTGCGGATGAATGTTTCTTTGCGGATGAATGATTTTCGCCAATCTACTTGTTTCTGTCATTCTTCACGGAGATGTTGGTAGAGTGCGGCTTCTGAGGGTGAGTCTTGACTCGAGCTCTATGGCATTTTGCTATCTAACCGATGAAGGGCATCAAGGTGCCTGTGCGCTTCCTGTAGTTCTCGTAGTCGTCGCCGAAGAACATGACGAGATGCTTTTCCTCGACTGCGGTCACACGTTAGTAAAGTCAACCCACCAAGAACCTCATCTTCACTCACTAGCAATCCTCCGATTGAAAAACTTCCACAGCACCACCGCAAACCCCACCAGACAGACTTTGTTGCCCACGAGCAGCTGCGTCCCGATCGACCACCAGAAGAACCCAAAGTAACTAGGGTGTCTAAACACCGAATAGAACCCCTTGGTCACCAGGACGTGCGTGTCCTTGCGCTCCGACTGGACGATGTGGTTGAAGTTCGTGCTCGCCTGCACCATGGCCATGCTCCTGACGAATTGTCCGATGATCACCAGTGTCAAGCCCACGGCGATGGTGGTAGGATAGACGCCGATGGCCTGGTACTCCGGGAAGAAGGCTGAGATGGTGATCTCCAGCGCCGCGAGGAGGTTCGCGATGGCGTACGCCTTGCCGTTGTTGAATAAAAGGAAGGAAGATGCCCGACACGAGGGCGTGTTATAAGCGGCCGTGGTCCAGAACTCCATGAAATGGAAAACGCTGAAACAGATTGCGAAGGCCGGGAGGCGCCACCAGCGGGATGGCTGCACGAAGACGAGGGTGATTGTTGCGCAGATGCTGAGAGCGAAGAGGGATCCTAGGACGAAGGCCTGCAGGCCTATGAAGCAGAGGTCGCGGCTTCCGCCTGGGAGGAGGGTTGGGTCGTGGGAGACGGGGTAGCTGTCGCTGGATGGGAGGGGGGTTTCCTCATCGTCGTCGTTGTTGGAGGTGCTGATTTCTGTGTCATCGTGTGAGAAAGGCTTGCTCAGTGGGACGTCGCCTTCCGCTGGGAGAGGGACTGTCGTGGGCTCCTTGATATGGCCGTTGGTGTCGACGGCGGAGCTGGTGGCCGAGAGGCGGGCCATGATGACTGATGGACGGGAAAGAAAGCTTCTTGTATGATGTTATTGTGCGAACGTCCGGTCACAGCGCATGTCAGGGAGAGAGCAAGCGCTCATATGTGCGAGAGGAAGAGGTCTTGGGAGGGTTTGGACGCATTCACTCGTTTCATTGTCCCCTTCACATGCAAGGCGACACAATATCAAGCTTTCGAGACACGCGACTTTCCCGGCGGCTGTCTTTTAGCGCGCCCGAAGTGCGGAATGTGGGGCGGCCGTTTTGAAGTTTGAGTTTGGTGAAGGGTGCGTCATTTTGTGAGAGGAAGTTGTGAAGGACGCGATTTTATCACGAGCTCGTTCGGCGACATATCGGCGGCTTTAACTCGGTTTCTCGATATGCTGAATCTCCAGACAACGCGGCGAGGACAGCAGAGATGCCGTCTATCGAAGAGAGTAAGAGGAAAGTGAAGGCCGGCTTGAGTGATGCGCCAGAAATCGACCACGATGCCATCCTTGCCAGTCTCCAAGACGAGATCGATCGCCATAATTCAGGTGACAGCACGTCGAACCGCCATCAAAGGCGCCATGATAGTAGTCGCGACAGCAGCTGCGAAGACAAGAGCCATTCCATGAGATTCCGCTTCAAGTCGCGCCATACCTCAAAACGGGAGACAGATTCGAAGAAGAGGAAACGGAAGTCGAGAGATGAGAAAGATCGGCATCATGGGCGGCGGACAAAAGATCGCGAGTCAAGTCAAGATGATGCGAAAGCAGATAGGGAAGAAGCAGCACACCCCTTCCCACGCGAGCCTACAAACCCCGATCTAGACGGGAACGTGGATGCAAACGCAGCCTTTCGCGATTCGCTCTTCGATGCGCTCGCGGACGACGAAGGGGCTGCATATTGGGAGAGCGTTTACTCCCAGCCCATCCACGTCTACGAGCGTCCGACCGTGAAGACGGCAAGAGGTGAACTGGAAGAGATGAATGACGATGAGTACGCGGCGTATGTGCAGACGAGGATGTGGGAGAAGAAGAACCCGGAAATTGTACTAGAACGGGAGCGGGCTGCAAAACAGCGGAAAGAGGAAGAGGAAGAGAGGAAGAGACAGCGGGAGGAGTTCATCAGACGAAAGGAGCGTGCAGCGTGGGACCGAGCGCAGAGAGATGGCGCGAGGAGGTTTGCTGGAGTGGGCGATGATGGAACGGACGGGTATGAGTATGTGTTCGACTTCAGCGACAGGGACACTGGTCGGTCGAAACGCTCTAAGCCTGAGCCGAACGAGTACCTTGAAGCGTGGTCCTCATACAACATTGCTTGGGACAGGCTGAAGCTGGAACTGCTGGATGAGGCCAATTCGGGGCCAAAGGACGAGAAACGACCGACTCCCTCGAAACGCATACCTTGGCCTGTACTACAACACAAACCCGTCACCAGGCCGAACATCGAAGCCTTCATGCGCCATATTCCACTGGAGCGAGATGGGAAGTCAAGGTTGCAATTGCTCAAAGCGGAACGATTGAAGTGGCATCCGGATAAAGTGCAGCAGCGATTTGTTGGAAGCGTGGACGAAGGCACTATGAAGGTAGTCACGGGTGTGTTCCAGATTGTCGATGCCTTGGTTGAGGAAGAGAGGAAGTGAGAAGGGGCAGCGGGCGGGTGATTTGGAGATCACTTATCACACACCATTGAATTCATCAGCTTGCACCACAGGGACACAATCGGGCTGCACAGCTACTATTCTTGCTCGGTCCATCTCCAACAAATGCAGACCAACAATAGACGTCACGAAGCAACTCCTCTCCCGCCACTGGTCCGCCCCAAAGACACGGATCACTTGGATCAACCCAGGGCAACTGGCGCTCCGGTGCCTCAAAGCGAGAAAGCCGTGTCGAGCCCTGATATCCAAGGCCTGCGAGAGCAAATCTTCTGTAAGCCATCCCACCCATCCAAGGTTGTGGAATGGTTCTCCCTGACACAGCTCCAGCAAACGCAGTCGTCCTCTTCCCGAAAGCCGCCCTTCCATACATGTATGGCCACCATGTCCCCCACAATGTCTTCGACATCATCACCATCCGCCGTCCCCGCGCGAAAACACCGCCTCCAGCAAGCGACTCAGCATTGACCGAGCCGCAAATCACGTACGACTGGTGTGCTTACCTCGTGTGGGGGCCTGTGACGGGTCGAGCCACAGCTGCATCTGGACCCTTTCGCACTTCAATAGAGGGTGCTCTACATGCGCTGCTAGAGTTTCTCGCTGAGAAGATCGTTCCGGGGAGGCACTTCCACATGCCGGAGAGACAGTTCGACCATGGCTCGAGGGGATGGGATGAGAATTTGTTGGGTGTGCATGGGTTGGGGTGAGAAGGAGAGTTGTATGAGGGTTGGGAATAACAAGAAGTGGATGCGTTATCAGAAGCTATCGACAACAACAATTACTTCTGGCGAACGTGTATCGTTGGAGTTTCGATGATACTCACGGGTTTCCCTCTCTGGCTTGCTGGCCGCTGAATTCGTAAAGCATCGAATCGAACGACCGTCTGTCCACATCAACATCAATAGAGGTGATTCCGCGAGCAAGCCTTAGGAAGCTCCTAAGCAGGATGTCGTAGCCTGGACACGGCGACTGTGTGACTTCGCAGAGATCCATATTATTCCCAGGCAGAATGGAGTCTGCCATGAGGGCTACCATCCAAGTTTTGGAGAGTTACGCGCTCGTTGGAGGATTGTTTGTTATCCAGACGGTGGAACTTAGGGTTGAAGCAGAACGGATGGACTACAGTATGTACGGCCGCAAAAGGGCTTATCCGTTGTGGCGGCTGTTGGGAATATGCTGAATATACCGTGTCGCACCTGTGCTCTACTTCAGGTAGCAGCTGTGCATGACCATACGATTCCAACGACGTGTCCGTCAGTCCGTGGCCAGCCAAGATCTAACACAAGCAACGCAGGATCCGTCCAACAACAGCTTTTCTTATTCATATCCTCCCATACGTGTTGATCAGCAGCTTCCCGTCATGTTGACCGGTCCTACGGTTGTTTCACGGCATATTCGTCGTGCAGCGTGTTACGCTCAAGTTACTCAAGTCATCAGCCGCCAAGATCATCGATAGCCATGGCTAGCCACAATGATCCCAGGCAACCTCTTTCTCGAGCATTGCATTGGTCAGGGACGTCCAAATAGGGCCTTTCTTGCGACCATGCCAAGTCCCCTAAAGCACATGATGCACGTGGAGCCGCGCATGGTGCAATTGAGTTTCTGAGGCGATATGCACGATGATGGAGATGTCGCGTGCCTCAGGTACAGGACAAACTGTTATTCGCCTGGAACAGTTGTTCGATGCGATGTGATGATGAATGGATCTGGTGATGTAAAAGGACTCTGGAGCCGTTGAATTTTTTGTCTGGCTACTTCCTTGGTGCTGCAAAACGCTTGCACGCTATGGACGTTCAGGGTTTCGCTTGACGGATGGGAAATGTGGATCGGGGAAAGCTTGTGTGCGAACGGTTCGGAGCGCGGAAATCTGTCGCGGAGGAGTGTTGGTTTTGATATTCATTATCATTTTTTGGAGAGGAGTAGTAATGTGCCGAGAAAAGGCCTTTTTGTTTTTGTTGTTGCGGAGCGGGTGTCTGGGGATGGCGTGATGCTTGGAACTCTTGGACGGGGAAGAACCTGTCGACGACGGGTTTCGCAGGTGTTTGACTTGGTGACGCTGCGTGGCTGTTGTTGCTGAGCGCAATCGTGCCCCTTTGTAGTACAACTTCGTAGTGCAGTGAGCGAACGAATACGACGTACGACGGACAGTTTGAGGGCGTCAGGCCATGCGCCGGCCGGCATTGTGCAGATGAAATTAGGCTTAAATAGGAGGAGATGCAGGGTTGTGCCGCAACTCGTGCGGGACCTTGTGCGGCGGCCACACGCCTGTCTCAGAACCGACTCTGCTGCTACTGTGCTGCTGCGAATGTCCTATCCTTTCCTTTCTCGTACATCAGGATCTTTCCCCTGCTTCGTCATCGATCATCGTTGCAATGCGCGAAACGTAACGATCGTCGGCAGCTGGCCAGCCCATCAAAACCCTGAGGCCGTCTTGAATTGAAAGCTTGCCAGGTGGCGGCGATTCAGGCAACTCCTCACGCGACCACCACCTCTTCATTCCTCTTCACTTCACTCGCTTCCTGACATTCACGACCACGACGGCCGACGACAGGCTCATCTTTCACCGCGCCACTGCTTCGATCCTATTGAGAACGGCACAACGAATGGCGGATCAAGTCCTGGATCGCTCCAATCGCACCTTGCACGAGCGCAGTGTGGGGAATCGCGAACCCCAGAACAGGAACCCGTCCCGACCGCAACTATATCTTCGCACGTTGCCAATACTTCGCCTGGAATGGCTCCCATCACGCAGGTGTTCTTTTCTAAGGGCTGTCATCTTGGCGGCAACTTTCATTACGCTACTCTCGCTTTTTCACCTGTCGAGCTTGCTGCCTCAGCACACAACAGACGTCATACCGCCGGGAATCTTGCCTGAAATTCAGGATGATTCAACACATCGCGTATTTCGCAGCTCGAAGGCAGCTCCTGCGAGCCACGAACTCATGCACATAAAAGCATACCAGGCTATGAGCGATGAATGTGTTGAGGAGTGGATTGTGCACCATGTATGGGGCCCGGCCTGTTCTGGAACAGACCTGAGCCAGGGGCTCACAATAGACGGGGTATGGGCATGGGTAAACGGGTCGGACCCGTTACAGATCGCCTGGCGGAATCGCTATCGACCAAACGACGGCATGACAATGGACGCGACTCACAGATATACTGAGCACAATGAGCTTCGCTACTCTATGCGCTCTGCGCTTGCGTCTCTCGGTAATCGTACTATGCGAAGGCTGCACATACTTGCTAGTGCCTATGGTCTGCCGGATGCTGTTGACGCCGATATGGCTGGACAGGTACCTGCCTGGCTTGACAAAGAAGTGGCCGCGACTGACGCCGGATCGATCAAGTTGCACCACGATGTAGACTTTTTCGCGCCAAGCGAAGCAGGGCAAACCAATTTATCGGAGCTGGAGACCTGGAAGTGGAGAAAGTCTGTTATTCCTAGCTTCAACTCGTTGGCAGTAGAATCACAGATTTACAACATCGACAACACTGCCTCTGACCAGCTGGTGTACTACAACGACGACTTTTTCACGCTGCGCAAACTTTTCGCCTCCGACTTCACTACTCCCCTATTCGGACCAGTCATCAGAACACTCACTAGAGTGACGAGCATGTACCTACCCGCGGAGAACACGATCTATCGCTGGATTCATCCAACGGGTGAAGAGTATGGCATTAAGCGCGCCGCATGGGTCCTTGGCCGGCGCTTTGGATCGCGCCCTTATTACTACATCACTCATCATCCTAGGACGCTAAGCCTTCCGCTACTCCACGAAGCCGCTCAAACGTTCCCAGACGCCTTCTCCAACACAGCAAAATCGCGGTTCCGTGCCCAGCGAGACGTCCCCCCGCCCGTTCAAGCCATTTTTCTAGGCTCGTGGTACATAGTGGAGCGCCATCGAGAGGCTTTACTATGGACCTGGGCAGTGGCGAAATGGGGCGGAACGCAAGGAGTCTTGACTGCGTCTTTGAAACGCCTTATGTTGACGGAATTGGCAGACGAGCCATGGTCGTCAGGAACAAGCCTCAAGATCGGCGTACCGATCCGTGTACCGATCGAGAAGACAAATGTCTTTCAGCAAAGCAACATCGATGTACCCAGCTCGACCGAGTATTCGTTCTCTAGCAAGGATGGCTATGCGCTCTCTTATGTCGAATCCATGTGGTTTTGGGACCGACCTCGGCACGGCTATCCAGACCTCGCGAAAGGACTCATAGAAGACCCGGATAAGATCGAGTCAGGCACTCAAACACGATTTCTGAAAAGCCCGTCACACAAGCCCGCCAAGATGTGTACGATTGTGCTCTCAACATGCTTCGGCTCAATGGTGGCAGAGGAGACGGCCAGCGAATTCTTCAAGCGTGTGGCATTCAAGCACCCAAAGTGTGGTGACTGTATCATCGCTGCACTAATCGGTGCGAGTGGCGTAACGGGCATTCACAAATTCTTACCACAGGACCACTCTGAGTCGGCTTCCAAAATACATGCTGGACTTGATGCCGTTCCTCCGCACCTGCCCTTGACGTCAGACTGGAGGACAACAAACTTTTCGATATCCCACGTTATCCCAGACGGCTCGCTTGTGCCCAGTACGAATCTGAGGACGTGGTGTGCCCGCCTCATCCAGAGGTATTCTTATGTCCTTGGGTCAACTAGCAGCGACTTTTACAAAGTGGAGAGGGCAGGCCCGCTTCTCTCGAAAACGAACGAAATAAGACGCATGGCGGAAAAAGACACGCCATCGAGCAGCCTGCATCCTGATCATGGTGTTGAGGAGTTGCCTTCTTTAGAGCAAAATGATAGCTCAGCACAACGACCAGGATCGCGTGGTTCATGGGAGTACGAGATGGGTGAGCACCGAGGGCCCCTGGCGTTTTTGTGTCTGAACGACGACATCAAAGAGACCGGCGATGGTCGCGATCGCGTCGACCAAATCTATGTCGAGTTCTTCGAAGACATGTGGCCTGAGACGATGAGTTTCGAACAGTTACCTTGATTCGTCAGTCTTTGCCATTCACCCTTCTTCACTTACATAGAGTATAATTCGGAAAATTGATAAACCAAGTCTGATATGATCGTTCTAGATTGCCTCGAGTATTCTGACAGCGCTAAGACATACGACCATAGTCGTCATGTACACTATAGCAGCATTGCCATCGATGAATAATGAACTGGTGAGTACGAACGTTGCGTACAAATATATTCCAACTGCAAGAGCCTCAATAGCTGCTTCGTACCAAGCCCATGAATTTTTGAAACGCATCTGCACGGTGGTGACCATGACCGGAACTTGGCCATACTCTGGAGGAGTCGGAGCGGTTCGTTGTGCCGGTGACTTGAGTTCTTGGCCATGGGTTTCGACGCTCGGCTTTGGCGTTGGATGGCGATATGGAAGTAACAACAAATCCAACCGCGTTCTTCGATGGCCCGGTGGATCTTGACTGTACGTGATCTTGATTTCCTTGGCCAAGAGATGAAGCAATCCGACCGCGACGATCAGTCAGCCGACGCACGCGACCGGCCAGCATACCAAGAGCCATGAGTACTCACAACGCCATGTGACCATTGACTGGAGTCCAATGACGACGTTGCGCCACAACATGACTCCTGCCAAGGCGAGGATTACAAGATCAATCGCTATGGTCCTGAGGGTGCGGATTCGGCCAGCAACTCTAGTTCGGACGACAGGAATGCGCCACTCGCGTTTTTCGGGTTGATCAGGGTTGTCGGTGGCGAGGTGTGGCAGGTGGGTTTGCAGCTGGCGGAAGAGTCCAGCAGAAGGAAGTCCGATTGCAAACACGCATGTTGCGACAGCGCGGAGAGGAGATGTGAAGGCCAACCGAACAAGTTCGAGTGGAGAAGCACCTTCAGAGGATCAGTCATGCAAGATAGGCTCTGTAATAATGGAGCATTATCTCACCTATGAGTGCCAAAATCGTGGGGAGCAGCGAAGCGATGTTCGCTCCACTTTGCATTCCCGCCGTGATGTCCGACGGTAGATTGTCAAGCGCACAGCGCAACAGGTGCGGGCATCTGTGATACCCAAACCCGGACAACGGATCGGTGTTGAGACATTCGTGAACGACGTTCTGAATTTTGGGGTCGGTGGGGTTTCCAATGGACCTTTGCAGTGCATTGGCCAAAACACCATGTAAAGATATGCCCACACAGCTAAGGAGGACCAGATTGGAGAGCATTGCGAATGCGCTTATTCTACTACCAGAACTTGGGTTCGGGACGGGCCAGAGAGTCTATATAGCCGCAGGCAAGGTCAGGAGACGGTCTGAAACTATTCATAGGATCATGGCTGTACTGTATTGGGAGAGACACGGCGCCGGAGGCTTGAAGCTGGCGCTGCAAGACGGCACAGATAACCAATCAAGTCACGTCTTGGATTGCCCCAATCTTGCGACCTTGAGCAAGTACAGCACGTTCCTGGTGCATGCGACAAGGGCAACTCAGAGTTTCGGCGATGTTCAAGATAGAGTCATAGCAGCCGGTCCGAACGCCTCTAGCCGAGCTTCAGCTGCTGAGATGAGGTTGAACAATCCGTGGTGTTGCATATTTACCGAGCTTGAACTACCTCGCAATGAGTCAGGCTACTTGTGCCATGTCGACGGAATGTAGAAAGAGACAAGATTGGTTCTGATATGGCTATGCTCAAAGACAATCTGCTCAGCCAATACAAGAGCGTTCCAGACGAGATGCGCCTTCAAACGTTCCGCCAATAACGTTACGCGCGATCCCGCGACATGTTGCGATTGGTCCAGGGTGAATTGCTGAATTTGTGCATTTGGGCTTATTAGGAGGATATGCACCACTCTCGCCCTGCTGCTGCATGTCCTATTCCTCCTGCACACGTCTCCGCCCCGAGACTCACGACAGCATCCTGCACGCCGGATCCTTTCTGCGCCCGTTGCCTGAACCGCTGTTTCTCTGTCGCTCCCTACCCTCATTCTGTGATTCCAACATTTACTGTGACCACGTCCATGTGACTCTACCACCCACACGACTTCGACCTTCGCAGATCCCGATCACTCCTTTGACCTACACGCACTCCGAGCACCACCCACACACCCTGGCGATGCATCACTTCTCCTTGAGGCAGAGCACACCCACTCGCCAGCATGGACCCCAAACCACGAGTCGAAGAGGATGGCAGCAGCACCAAGTGCGATGACGAAAAGCTACCCGCATGCGAACTGGACGACCTTGAAGACGACCCGCCTCCACATTACTCACCAACACTACATCATCTCGTCGGTGGATATCACACAATAGAGGACTGGCCGCCGAAGAAATGGCTCTGGCTCCAACTCCGTCACCTTCCACTCCCCACGACGGCGACGAATGATATACTGTGAGGTGGCCCAGCTGCTCATGCTGGCGCCTACATCACCTGATCGTCAATCTTCATCTACGGCGTCTTCTTCCCCTCCTGTTCCTGCCCTCCACAGAAAATTCCCCACGTCTCGGCGTCAGACGGCTCGCAGTACGTCAAGCGCATTACCTTTCTCGCAGATGTGCGCAATCGTGCGTTGCGTCCTCTCCAAGATGGCGCGTCTAACGCCCAGAATACCACCTTTGACAAGCTGAAAGCAGGAGAGATGTCTAGGAACAGAAAGATGCAGTGATATCTAAGAGTCGCCGGGGTGGCATGGTGGCTTTTGAGGCGAAGTGGCTTCAGCATCTAGGTCTGCAAAAGAAGGCGACGGGTGATTATGGGCTGCCTTTAGACAAGACGACTGTCTATCCCACGGAGACGGGAAAGACTCGAGATGACGATCAGGAGGAAGACAATCTGGATCTTTATGACTCTGCACAGCTGCGTTTTCGAGCCGAGACGAACATTCAGTGGGACTCGTCCGAGTGCTGCCTGATTCACGCCGACCTCGCTGCTATGGACTCGGCTTCACTGGCACCAAATGAGACCGGCATCTACATGAACCCTTACATCCGCGTGTCGTACGACGGTTATTTTATGCCCTGGCTTTCGTTCACAAGGCGATTCCAGAGACTGTACACGCCAGTCCATGTGATTGTCAACTGGATTGCAGAACGACCTTCGTTCAACCCACGACAGTACCAAGAACCTGGACAGGAAGTCCTAGATCGAGTCTGGTACTGGGACGAGGACAGCGCCAAGGCTATCCAGTCCGGCACTTTCGCCCCCGAGAACGAACTCCAGGGCCATTACGAGGACGTCAACCGAACCGCGCAACCGGGTGGTTTCTGCGGGATGAGGAAACTGCACCATCAACGAACATCCCATGGAGGGGCAGAAGAAATGGGGCAAGGTTTTACCGCCAACATGGGCGTGATCTTCTATGTTTTTTGATTGAGAGTTCTTTGCTGCGTTCTAGCGACAAAACGGGGCGAATATCTGGACCAAAAACAAATTATACCCGTGTGGAGGATGTACAGCATAGGCAGTAAAATTGGCGTTTTTCTTGCTGAGGCAAGAGGGCCTTGTTCCCAAGCGCTGGGGATATGGGCGGCTTTTCGCTTTTGTGTGCAATAGTACTTGTACCACGTACTTCGACCATAGCGATGGAGTTGGAACTTGAAAGTTTGAGAGGGGAGGGCGTGGATGCGTCATGTAGCTCAGAATGAGAAGAACAGCGAAAGCGAAAGACTTCAGATCGTGAAGATACTTCCTCAACCTTCTCGCAGAAAGATCATCTAGGAACTTAGTGCAAGCTGGTGACGGTCGTCCTAAATGCTAGGTCTGTTGACATGTTTCTCAAGATTGGTTCGTCAAGCGAGAGGTGGTCTAAGCGCTCCCCGCCTTGCATGTGATTCCACGTTTGAACTTGCCTTGTTGATTCTTGCATCAACCAACTTCCACTTTCACTTCACAACCCACCATGCCTGCCGCCACATCGAAACGCGTCAAGGGCGTCAAAATCTTCCGCCATTTCATCATCGGCAACGAAGCACACGTACTTCCACACCCAGGCTTTCCCGATCCGCCGCCAGAGGGCCACACCAAAGGCTGGAAAGTCTACGTACGGCCTCTGCCCAACGGTCCAGACATCACGACATGGCTGAAGAAGGTCCAATTCAAACTCCATCACACCTACGCCGACCCTTCCCGAACCATAGAAGCGCCAGGGCCGTTTGAGCTGAGTGAGACTGGGTATGGTGAATTCGGTGTGGAGATTAGGCTGTACTTCGCGCCTGAGAGCGGTGAGAAGGCCATATACCGCGAACACTTCCTGCAACTCCAGACGTATGGACCCGACGAGCAGAAAGCGCGGCAAGAGAAGGATAACAAGATCGTGGCTGAGCGATTGGAGACTATCGAGTTCAACGAGCCGACACAAGAGTTCTTCCGCACTCTGACTTCGGAAGATCAGTTTAATTGGCTGAAAGTGAAGAAGGGCAGGGGGAAGGGGAAGAAGCCGGATTTTGTGTTTGAGGGGGATGTTGAGCCTACGGCACAACTTCCTGAGCGCGCGGATACGAGTGCTGGTGGACTGGGTGCTGGAGGGGCGTGGAGTGTGCAGTATGAGAAGCAATTGCTGGCTTCGCTGGAGCAGAGTAAGGGAACGCTGGAACAGATGGTGGAAGAGGAGAAGCGGAAGATGGAGGAGAGAAGGAAAGAGATGGAAAAGCTGGGGGCTACAGTTGCCAGCAAGTGAAGACTTGGAGCATGATGTGATGAAACGAGCGAGGCTTTGGAGCAGGAAAGATTTGATGATACCCATCGAGCGAAACGAGACAAATGACAGTTGCTGGACAACGCTGCTTTAGCGGGCAGAAGACGGCCATCACGGCCTCGCCCTCGTCCCAGTGTACGGTAGTTCCCTCCGTTCTCTCCACGAAGTGCAAGGATTAAATCTCCAGGCCCCGCGATGTCGTCTCTCGAGCACGTAGTGCATGATGTACGGGATGAAGAAGGGTACAGGCGGAAAGTTGTGCACTCCACCTTCAAAGCTTCGATCAGCGGTGCCAAAGACCAATGGACCATTTCGATACTACAGATAGTGTCAGCGAAGCCCCAGGAACCGACAAAGGGACATGACTGACACCGTCTCCGGCCATTTCGATCTTTTCGAGGTCCTTATACGCCTGGCGCACCCTCGCGCTGTCATACTTGTCAAGCGCTCGCAGAGTGTCAATCTCCTCATGCAAATGCTGGCTCAAGGGCTCCGCGAACCCCTCGATCAGACTCCGCACCTTTGCGCCCTCATACTCCTCGACACGGCACTTATCCGCATACTCTTGAAACGCCTCGAACCCCGGCGTGAACGCACGGTGCTGCTGGACGTTGCGCTCCATCAGCCCCTTGACGCCCGTGATCCTCTCGATGTTGGGGAAGAAGTTCTCCTCCTCGCCGTCGTGGTGGTGGTGCATGGTCTCGCACCAGCATTGGCAGTAGGTGAGGAAGTCTTGGATGGCGTCTTTGGGGATGTGCGGCGCTTGGATGTAGATGGCGTTTAAGCCCCGGATGAGGCCGTTGTGCGCGAGCGCCATCTGCGTTGCGACGTAGTATGCGGCGTGGGAGGTGTCTTTGGAGAAGGACTGGGTGGAGATGAGGGAGTATGGTTGGTCTGCCCATGGAGAAGACATGCTGGCGAACGTTTTCGTTGCTGGCATTCGAACACCACAGCGAACATCCACGACGAGAGAGGATGTGGTGTTTATTATGTATATTGGGCCCAAGCGATGTGCGGTCACGACACCTCGCTACCTGGACTTAGGTCTCGACAACACTTTCAGCTTCCGATCCTTCTGCCCAAACCAAACCTACCTACCTACCTACCTACTTGCAATACCCAATACGCCTTGACTATCAGGTACTCACTATCAGCCACAATGTACATTAGCCTGCCCGCGCATTCGCAAACCGGTCAAATCACGCCGTGCATCAAATCGCCATTCTCGACAACGGCCCTTCAGCCGCGACCGAAGCACCGACAAGAGCAAAGCGATCTTCCACGGAAGTGTATTCTGCACGGCCGAGGAGACGGACAAAGAGGTAACATTGTCGCAAGAAGGCTTATAGAGCTGACTGAAGTGCCAAGGGCTGGCTTACGAATCGCGGTGGAATTGTTGGTTGAATGGGAGGATAGTGCTGTTTGATGTTCGCCGGCAAGCCGAGCCTCCGGGGTTTGCGAGGTTGTAGCCTAAAGTGGGCGATGCTTGCCGGTCGAGAAGCTTGAGATGCTGCGCCTTTGATGAGGCTCTTGTGTCTTCATATCTTGACGTTCTTCCAACTCGAATTCGCAAGACTCGGGTTTGGTCTTGCGAACACAATGGTTCAAGACGTGAACGATGCGACTGGATTGACGACCAGATGATCTGAGAGAGATGAAGAGACTCACTCGAAGAGTGTCACTCGAAGAGTGTACGACAGTATCTGGCTGTGGCACTTCGAAACTCGCAGCGAAACGCCATCTTCGAGTCGATTGCCCTGTCAGCATAAATCGAAGATCGTTACTGGACGAGGATGTTGACGTCAAGACGTTCAGAAGAAGACGTTGCTGGTGGCTGTCGTCTTGTTTCTCGACTTTCCCTTCCATGTGGCTGGGAGAACGATCTCGGTTACGTGAACGCCGAACTGCCTCGCACCATTGGCTCAGCCGGTTAAGCTATCTACAAGAGTTCTCGCCAAGCCGTCTTTGGAAGGTCTAAATGATCCTGGACTCCACATTTGGTCTGGTATTCTGGGGTTGTGGGTTCGTCTATCTGAGGGTCCTCTTTCAGCTCGTCGCGACATGCAAGTCTCAGCAGCCAAGAGGTTGCTCCCTCTCTCCAGAGCAGGTGACCGAATGATCGTGGAACGATGTTCGGGTGAACCGTTATTCTTGTTGGTTCACCCAAAGTCTCACAAGATCCAGCTTCGAGCGAAGGTCAAGACCCTGATCTCGACGTCACCTACAATCACCTGGCCTTGAACCTGACTTCATAGCCGAATAGGAAGGTGGCCCATGGTGGATGCCGATGTGCATACTAAGTGTTCAGAATGAGCGCCAATCGTGAGATCTTGACCACATCCAGTATGGACTGTTCAGTTGCAACAGCATGCCACTTTTTAAGTATACCACGCCTATCTCCTCTTTCCCTTCTTCACCACCAACTTGCAGAATGTCTTGGTTTCAAGTACTGACAGCAGTTGCGCTTTCGACCGGTGCATTTGCGGCACCGCATGTCCTTCATGAGCGGCGACATGTACCACTTAAGTCTTACGCGAGGGAACGAGTCCAACCACACGCGATCATTCCTGTGCGGATTGGCCTCAAGCAAAGCAATTTGGACTCTGGATATGATCGATTGATGGAGGTCTCTCACCCGACTTCGTCCAACTATGGCAAACACTTGTCAGCGCAAGAGGTTCATGATTTGTTTGCGCCTGCCAATGAGACCCTCGATGCTGTTCTGAACTGGCTGGGTGATGCGGGTTTTGATGAGAACGATGTGGTTCACTACGAGAATCGAGGCTGGCTCGCTATCGATATGCCCGCTGAGACCGCCGAACGATTGCTGTCAACAGAATACTACGAGCACACCTTCTCCGACAACTCCAGAATTGGCTGCGATCAGTACTACCTTCCAGCCCACATCTCACCCCACGTCGACTTCATCAAGCCAGGCGTCAAGCTTTCTCCTCCCGTAAAGAAGCGAACACTGGAAGCGCGAGGATTCGGAGGGCGTGGACGAGGAGGACCTTGGCCACCAGGTCCGCCACACGTCGGACCAAATCCATTCCCGCATTGGAGACCTCCACCAGGATCCGGACACTTGCCAAAAGACCTGCAGAACTGCAGCGTGCTCGTCACGCCGAACTGTCTCAAGGCGCTGTACAACATCCCACAGGCGAAATACAGCGACCCGTCGAATGTTATGGGCGTCTACGAGACGAGCGATGCGTTCTCCGTTCAGGACTTGCAGCTGTACTTCCAGAAATTCGTCCCATACATTCCGCAGGGAACTTCGCCCTCGGTTGTGTCTGTTGATGGAGGCGTTGCTCCCGTGGCTCCGGGGGATGCGCGGAATGGCGGCGAGTCCGATCTCGACATTGACCTGTCGTATGCGATTGTCTATCCGCAGAAGGTTACGGTCTATCAGGTGGACGATCCTCCGAATGCTTCAGGCCAGTACGGAAAAGCTGGATTCTTGAATACGTTCTTTGATAGTATTGACGGGAGTTACTGCAATTATACGGCCTATGGCATCACTGGTGACAGTCCAGGTATGCACCGCCCTTCTCTACTGACATATTACAAGAACGCCAGCTAACCTCCCCAGACGTCGACGCAACCTACCCAGATCCCGCAGCAGACGGCTACAAAGGCCAACGCCAATGCGGCACCTACCAACTCACCAGAGTCGTGAGCATCTCGTACGGCGAAGCGGAGATCGACCTCCCCAAAGCCTACGTCGAGCGCCAATGCAACGAGATCATGAAGCTCGGTCTGCAAGGCCACTCGATCATGGTTGCCTCTGGCGATTACGGGGTGGCTTCTTTCCCCGGCTCGGATAATGATACGTATGGCTGTTATTCGGCTAATGGACAGCACGGTACGATAAAAAGGAAGTAGTCGTTATGTGGGAACCGGATGCTGATGTTTGACAAGGCACGATCTACAACCCTGATTATCCTTCGGGGTGTCCGTACATCACTGCGGTCGGCGGGACGAGGCTGTATCCTGGACAGACGATTGAGGACCCGGAGAGTGCGATGCAGGTCAATCTCACTGCGGTGCATATTGCGGAGGGACGGCCGCCGGGCAATCCGGTTCTGGCGCTATTCGCCACGGGTGGCGGGTTTTCTAACTACTTCAAACCTCCCTCGTACCAGGCGAGGGCGGTCTCGCAATACCTGGCTGCACATGCTCCGGACGTTCCTTCCTACGTCGTCAATTCGGACGCTTCGAATGTTGGGGCGAATGGAGGCGTGTACAATCGTGCTGGGAGGGGGTATCCAGATGTAAGTGCAACAATACGGTCACGACATCGTATAAAACAATCGTGAATGCTGACATCGATGATCCCAGGTCTCAACCAACGGCGCCTTCCAGCCCTTTTTCGTCAACCTCACGCAAGAGACCTACTTCGGCACCAGCTTGTCCTCTCCGATCTTTGGATCAATCATCACTCTCATCAACGAAGAAAGAACAGCTGCCGGAAAGGGACCAGTCGGTTTCGTGAACCCAGTGCTTTATCAGCGTAAGTAAACCATCTCTCATTTTTGGGTGACGATTCTGACAAGCTCTAGACCCGGAGGTCCTGCACGACATCACGAATGGATCGAACCCCAACTGCGGTGCGTATTCAAAATTATGCTTCGTCAGGGATGGGCTCACTTACTGACGATTCTCTCTCATAGGCTCTTCCGGGTTCTCGGCCTCGACTGGCTGGGATCCTGTCACTGGGTTGGGCACGCCGAACTATCCTGCTATGCTGCGGCTGTTCTTGAGCTTGCCATAATCGAAGCGAAGATGTTGATGAGTCCACGACCTTGGAAAAAGACTACGACAGTTGACGGCAGAGAGCAAACGGGTCACGCTTCATGTACATCTATTTCATCCAGCCGAACATCATTCCAAGTGTTATCTTCGCAGAGAACTCTGGCATGGTCACCGCTCCATACTACTAGCAATACACAGCCTCGACACTGCACTGCACAGCGGTGAGGTGAGTCTTGTACCCCTGGCTAGAACGTGGCTAGCTGCTCGGCCCAAATTGCCTAGGAGTATCACCCTCACAGCCTCTTTTAGCTGTCTCTGAGCATGCAAACTATGGTCCTGCTGCCGCTTATCGCAGCACAGCTCTTGGCCTCGTGGCATTCACATGTTGCCAAGCCCAAATGCTCCGTGCTGCGGTGAGATCTTATCCCTGCAGAGGTTCCACCACATCTCTTGGCCATGCGTGATGTGGCTCTCAGCCTTCAGCCCTGTACCGGTTGTGCAGCGAAGCGTACTGATGCCAATGCTGGTGAGAAAGCCACAGCCAGGCGCACAGAAGCTGCCTTTGTACTGTAGTACAGCGAATAGGAGGTCTTTCGGCTGAGCTTGACCCTTGCGTACAGCAGCCGCTTTCTCCTCCATGCCGGGCAACATCAGCGGAATGTAAGTCAGACTACTCAGCTGTATTGATCCTTGAAAACAGAAGTCTCGAGGTCCTTTCCGACCTATTGTGATCACTCGCGAGCGCCTCGCTTTCTATTTCGAAGGCATGGCATGATGATTATAGGGCGTTCCGATCGCACCACCACTGTCTTTCTACTTGGTACTTGGTTCAGCTCCTCTCTTTCACAGCCATGGCTTTCGAAAACGTTGTGCCACTGCCAATGAATCGTTACATCGCAGGCTGAGAGCGTCGACGAGGATAGGTACATCCTTTCCAGCTGAGGGCATCCTGGCAAAGATTTGCCAGTCTTCAAAAGATGGCTTCGTTCTTCGAAAGTGCCAGCCTCTTGCAATCCTTCTCTAACACCCTTCTCCAAACCGTTACACGAACATGCCGTCAGCCACTGAACCCGATTGCGGTCTTTGCGACTCTATCCAGAAAGCCGGGACGATCAAGAAGCGGCTTATTGTCTGTTGCGATGGAACGTTTACGGCGTCGAATACGGGGAGAGAAACGAATCCCAGCAACATCTCGCTCTTGAGCCGAACGATCGCGAACGTGGGTATCGATCCAAATGATCCGAAGCACGAGAAGATTCCTCAGGTGGTGTTCTACCAGTCTGGCATTGGCACTGGGGCGATGAGCTTGACGACCAAAGTGATGCAAGGTAAGAAGGTCCTGGTATTATGACCTTGAAGCAGAAGAGACTGACTCTGTCGAAGGTGGATTTGGTGGAGGTTTGAACGAGAAGGTAGTTGAGGCATTCACCTTGTGAGTATCAGAGCAATCCGAATTCACGACTATGCGCCTGACTTCATCACAGCCTTGCCAACAACTATGGGCCCAACGACGAGATCTTCCTTTTCGGCTTCTCTCGCGGCGCCTATACCGCTCGATCTATAGCCGGTCTCATATGCCAGGTGGGCCTTCTGACCCCTGGCATGATGGACTACTTCGACGAGATCTACAACGAATACAAGAGGCGAGGGGATGCCAAATCGTTCGAAGACACGGAGTGGGCCAAGGCTGAGGCAGTGAGAGGAGAGCTTGGGTTGGATGACACGATGTACCCTGGTGAGAAGATGAGTAGGATTGAGTATATCCGTAAGTGGGCGCATTTGCATGTCAAGATCAAGGTCGTTGGTGTGTTTGATACTGTGGGGAGTTTGGGCATAAGTGGACGGGTGGATCAACCTGGCACGGATTTGGACTTTCATTCTACGACGCTGCATCCGAGTGAGTGCGATACGTATTGATGAGGACCAAGCACATACTGATACGAGTCCAGAAATCGAAAATGCCTTCCACGCCCTCGCGCTAGATGAGTCTCGCGGTAACTTTCCACCCACTCTCTTCTACCTGGACGAAGCCTGCCGGGAAGCAGGCGTCAACCTCCGTCAATGCTGGTTCCCAGGCTACCACGGCGACATAGGCGGCGATGCCATCCCCTTGCTAGACACCAACAGCATGAACGAGATCACCTTCGCCTGGATGATCGACCAGCTCGAACGCGCCCAACTCCTCCAATTCGACAAAACCGCCCTGAAATACCCCATCCTCAGCCGTCTCGAAAACCTCGACGCCAACACCGTCACCTCATTCCCACCCCTCACCCCAGAACAGGTCCACAAACGCCGCATCCAATGGTCCGACGGCAGACTCATGCCCACCGACAATCTCTTCTGGCAAGCCGCATCTCTCCTCTCCACACTCCGCTTCAGCTACCGCCGCGAGCCGGGAACCTACTACGCCAAAGACGGCGGCTCACAAATCGACTACGAACACTTCAAAGAAGAGATCCATCCGACCGTTTACCATCGTATGCTCTCGCGTCCGCACGGCTGGGCCGCGTACAAGCCTGAGGCACTGAAGGGTTGGAAGCGAGTGGCGGATGGGCCGGGGAGGGGGTTCTCGTGGGTGAAGGAGATTAGGAAGGGTTGGTTGGGCGTTGGGGAGAAGGAGGTGGTTAAGATTCAAGAGTATCGGATTGAGAGGTTGGAGGAGAGGGATACGAAGGGGTACGAGCATTGGACGGGGAGTTTGGAGAGAGTGCTGGCGCCGAAGGAGTATTTGGTGTATTTGGATCAGGCGTGGGAGGTGTAAGGACGGAGTCTACGATGTTTGTTGGTCCTCGATATTTCTTCGACTATAAATTTTGTGCTTTGTGACTGTTCTGATTCGTTCGTCCTCTTGTATTCTTTCAGTGTAGCTGTCACAGAGCTTCGGTTCTCTAACCTCAGCCTTGCCCCTGAGCTTAATCTGCACACGCGCTCCCCGCCGCAAAGGAACATGAAGAAGCCTCCCAGACTTTGTCACCAGACCTTCGTCGTGAAGGACGGAGGCACATTGGCAACTCATTGTATATTCCAGACTGAGCTCTGTTGAAAGACTGCAATCTGGGCCTAGGAGATGCTGGTGAGGAGTTGTCCGCCCAAGCGCTTTCATGTATTGCTGCACGATGTATTGATCCTTTTATGTCATGTGTACCGCCGAAGAGGGTAGGGTTTCCGTGTTTGCATCTAATCTGGTATAAGCTCGTCCTTGACATTAGGTATGGGTGTCTACTTTAGCTTAGCACTCCCGGTCATGTCTTCCACTGATCTCGGACAGGGTCATATCTTTGGGTATCGGAGCCGGACGACGAGGAGTGGTCTGTTGGATGACCAGCTGCTTGAAGCAAAGAGCTGTTTCGTGCTACTTGTCTAGCATCCGCTTCAATATTCGGAGACGGAGGTGAAGTCATTTCCTCTGAGGTCGTAATTGCATCTCCAGGTAAAGCGAAACCCTGTCGCGAGTTGAGAGTAGCGATGATTCTCTGACGACCTTCGATCGCTTCTGCCTATAGCCGGGTGTCAGCGACGGTCTTGTGCCCGGGGCGTCCACCGCACTGTAAAGTAGCACCTTCATCATGTTGTATATCTGGCGGTGGCGAGCATCATGTCTGTCGAGGCCCAAGCGTTGCATAAACCGAATCTTTGACTCACTCCGAGGAAGTGGCAGCAGATGCTGAAACATATCAGACATCGCCAGTCTGCGAGGAACAGGCAAACGACCCCAGCGTGACAGATTAGAGTCAAGGACGCGACCTGCGGCTTCCCTTCAAGGTCGTGCGTTGTCTATGAAAGCCAACGCACCCAAGCCTGTGCGGCCCAACAGCCACGCCACAGCAGGGCTATAACCTATCACAAGCACGGGGGTGCATTTAAAGACGACTTCGGACGAACCTCCGTGTGTAACAGGAGCTGATGGAAACTGTGGGTTTCTGGCTGACGCTTATGCAGACTCAGAACAAGGAGCCCATTCGATGGGGGGAACAGCTCGTGCCGACTCTTCACCACCTCGCAGTGATCGACGACCTGCAGCGCCCCGAGATGAGGTTCACAGAAGGATGTTCTAGGAGGTAGGGCCGAGAGATACCGCAAGCGAGCTCGAGCACGGCACTTCGCTCTGGGGGCGTAGAGGGGTCGATAGTGTGGTCATCTTGGTTCTGGCTCTCGTGAAGATATGACTCTGCTGTGGCTCGAGCCTTCGAGAAAGTGGTCTCGGGACTCATCATTCGCATCATTACAACGGGTTTCATCTGCCGAGCGTCACACCTGCTGCAGGCCAACAAGCCAACGCACTTCGAAGGTTGGCGAGCGTGCGGCTGCGGACCGCCAATCGCTAGATTTGTGGTTCGTTCGCCTCGATCTCAGATAGAGAGAATTCCGGAGTCAAGGTGGCGAAAGTACTGATGGAGGCGTCGGCAATTGTGGTCCATTATCAAGACGAACCGTACGACAGGCCCGTTGATACTGATTGCCAAGAGAGCGGCTGTGAGAGACTCACGAACAAGTCTGGGAGCACCGCCGTCATTCCAAAGTCGACTGTGAAATTGAGAAGAGAATTTTGCACGTCTTGCTTGGTTGGTTTGCTCTGCTCGCTTCCACCGTCAGATCCGAGCGAAGATCGATCACGATCGTCGATCACTGGACTGCGGCTGTTCCCGAGAGAACAACCATGCATGTGATTGAAGTGAATCCTTTGGAAGGCAGCTCCGAAGTAAACCATTTTTTAATGAGGTCGCGTGGTTGCTCTAGGGTCTCGCACACACATAGCTAAGTTCTTGCTTTCAGTTAGATGTGTTTACAAAGTATATCTGAATGTGATAGCCCGATCTCCCAAATCACTCAGCTCCTCTGGGGTGAAGCCAACGTGCTCTCCGTTTGCAACTCGCTTCGCTCGCTTCTTGTTGATCCTATCATAGCTCAGTATAAGGATCGTGGTGGCGATCATACCGACACAGATAAAGCCGATTTCCAAAGCATGACCCAAAATGTACCTGGGGGCATCTTTCGATCTGTAGAAGTTGCTCGCCATTGCCCCTGCCATGTTGCCCATCGATATCTGTATTGCCACACCGACAGCACGCTTGTACGATCCGGCCAAGTTGTTGGATAGCCAAGTCAAGTTCGTTGGATGAGTTGGGTAGATGGCACAAGCAGCGATGAAGACACCTGCGTAGGTAACGCCGAATGTTCCGCTTGAGATGCACATGATGAAGCCAACAAGCTGGAAGACGAAGCAGACCATAATGAACGGAGACCGGATTCGCCTCTTGTCCGCAGCGTAAGCAACCAGAATCGTAAGCACAGAGGCAACGACATATGGTGGGACAGTGAGGAGCTGCGAAGATGTTGTCGAGAAGCCCAGATCCTTGATGATGGTCGGTAGGAAGAGGCTCACACCGTATAGCGGGCAGACGTAGCCCCAGTAGACAAAGATATTGATCCAGATCTGCCAATCGAGGAAAGCGGCTTTCACAGACTTCCAGTCTTGCTTCTCGTTTTGCGCCACTCGCTGACCGTCCGCGGCGACGTCTTGACCGTCGTAGCGAAGACGATAGACAACGAATGCGCGCTCCTCTGGCGTGAGAAAAGAGGCCGTCTCCGGGAAGTCGTAGATCACGAAGTAGGCAATGACAGCGACGACCACGGTTAGAATGCCCTCGAGGATGAATCTTTGAACGTTAGCTCTTACACAGAGAAGGAAAGCAAATAGATTGCTCTTACATCCATCGCCAGCCAGCGAGGCCTCCAACTCCATCCATGAATGAGATTCCGTAAGCCAGCAGTCCAGAGAACGCTCCTGCTATCGAGGCCGCCGAGAAGAAGTACGCTTGTCTGACTTGAACTTCGTACCTGGTATACCACATGGTGTTGTAATAAACCACGCCCTTGTGAAATGAGTCAGCCACTGCTTCTCGTTTATGCTGACTGCTTTGGTGTTGAAGCTTACGGGAAACAGGCCAGCCTCAGCCACACCCAAGAATATTCGAGCAGCTAGAAGTCCACCATAGTTCTGCACAATGCCCGTAAGGGTCATTACGACACCCCAAGCGACCATGATAGTAGGCAGCCAGATGCTAGGCCGGAACTTCTTCAACAGCATGTTGCTGGGTACCTCGAAAGCCGCATAAGTGAAGAAGAAAACCGTCAGGCATAGATTGTATTGAGTCCCGGTGAGGTTGAGGTCTTCACTTAATCCCTCGATCTTTGCATTAGCCACGTTACCTAGGAGTGAACAGTCATTAATCAAGCACGAACGCACTACATTTTGTCAAATGCCTCCCTCTTTTCTCTTACCTCTATCAATGAAGCTCAGTAAGTAAAGCAATGCAAGCATAGGAATCAGTCGAAGGTCCATCTTGCGGTGGATCTTCTTGATGTCAAGATGGGCAAAGGACTCGAGCGTGACATTGGGATCGGTGACCGCAGCTTCGACCTCTTCGATTTTTTGTTGTTTGGATAGTTTCCCATCTTTAGCCTCGAGATGAATAGGTGCATTGTCTTTCTCTTGCGAAACTTCATCGCTGTCATTTTCTCGAGACGACTTGATGTCCATGTTGCCGGATCGGGAAGCTCCAAGCGGAAAAACGTTCAGCCGAGCGACACAGGGAAGGTCTGACTTGAAGGTGGGAGAAGTGTCTTTTCCAAGAACACGAAAGTAAAAAGATACGGTGCGCGCCTATTTATCGCGACAGCTCGCCGGCCAACCTGCCGTTCCTTTACCGCATGGCGGTCTTCCAAGACGGCCAGCGGATCCTCGAAACGAACCCGTCACGGTGGATACTCTGGTCTTGCATTTGGTTCGTCCACTCGACGTGGTACTGCAGATCCCCCACCTGCGCCTGTCTTTCTCCGCACCATCGGCCCATGGGGCAAACGAGAAGCAGACGCCTCCCTGGTAGAGATATTTGGACATCATTATGGCAACAATTACTCATCCTCGCAGAAGTCGTGTGATGCCGCAACGTTAAAGGATTTCTTCGAAGACTTGACGCCTTACGAAAGAACTATTGTGGCAAGTCAAACTTCTTGTCTTAAGGTGTCACACATCCAGGATCTTCCACAGACCAGTGCGGGTGATGAACGAGAATATTTTTCCAAGGGTGTATATGTACGTGTTCAACATGTTTGCGGCGTCCCCATCAGGTAGTACGGTCTGCGACTTGCTGCCGTTTACAGTCCATTCTGCGCCTTCTCGGTTCCAGCCCACAAGTAACAGCAAGCACCTTCGATCAGACCAGGGCTCTTCGTCCACTGTCCGTACTGTCGTTGCACCTCGCCAACAACCTGATCCCACAATCTTCTCAGTGGCCCGACAGCGCTCAGACGCTACCATGCCGACGCCTTCTTTCCGACGAACAGAACGACTATCATCGCAGCCCAGATGCGAAACGCGGTCTTGAAAGGCTTGAAGCAGTCTCCCTGCTTGACAGGACCCGGCAAGATGTCGAGGCACATGACCCAAGCAACAGCCATCGCTGTACCACATAAGAATGCTCCACCGTGAGGTACTGCCAGCAGACAGACAGCGTATGGGATGACGGGCAGCAGCTGCTGAATGCGCTTCGCGATTCCAGAGGCCTGCTCGACGATAGGGGCTTGGTGCTCGCAAATCTTGATGATGAGATAGGTGCTGAGCCCGTAGAGAAGGCAGGTAGGCGCCATTGCGACGAAAGCCTTCGATGTTCTTGGGAAGTGAAGGCCGAGGTATGCACCGAGGAAGATGCCGAAGACGAGTCCTGTGAGAGCCCACATGACCTGGTCGGCCCATGGTTGCTGATGAGCATGGTCGGACTCGCCATTTGGCTAAACTCGTCAGTACTGGCGCTTTTGTTTCAGAGATTGTCGCAGTCCAGATACCTTACCACCACCAGCTTGCTGAGCCTCGACATCGGGAGCACCCTGCGGCTCGACGGGTATGTTGACCTTGCGGTAGAATCTGACCGGTATGTTGAGCGCCATGTTGGTGTGAGATTTGAGGGCTTTGGATTTCCGCAACTTTTGAGCAGCTTCGGAGGTGGGAAGACTTTCGCAGCAAGGGATTGCAACTTCCAAAGCGGGAAGTGGGCGGGGCCAGCGACGCCAAGACTCACATGTCATCGGTGGAATCCCGGCATGAAAGTCCCAGTCCGCATCCGTCTCTTTTGTTCTTTCTGGACGTTGTACCGAAGGTGAAAAGGAGAGACAAAAAGCAAAGAGAAGTCGATGTCCAGGTCTGGGCCCAACTCGCAAGTGAAATAAAAAGGGCACATAATAAAGTTCTCAAAGTCGTACTCACCATGCGACAAGTCCCCTGATTGCTATTGATATTTAAACTTTTTGCGAGCATCTTATATGCGTGAGGTAGAGTAATGGGCTTTTCGTACCCTCATTGCGTCGGTGCCTCGTGGGAAGCGTTGCCAGATCAGTTCATTACTCACCAGCACCAGCAGTATTGCCTTGATCCGTCGGTAAAGCTCTCAATTCCAAGCCAACGAGGCCCTAGTACGGGCTGAACTTCGACATTCTGTTCATACTGTCAGCTGCTAGATCACCTGGAAGCGAGGGATGTACATACTTGCGCAGCCTCTCACCATACTTGTAGAACAGGAACGGAACAGGTGCCAGTGCGAGTGCCAGGAAAGCCAACAAGCTAGACGCCCAAGGCACATCAAGATTGTGGAACATCGGTGCAGCTAAAGATCACGAATTTGTTAGCTTCGTCACGTTACGGCTATTACTTGGACAATGGACTGACCGAACATCGGAAAGCCAGCACCAGCGATGGATCTCGCGAACGTGTTTGCGGCCATTGCTGAGCCTGCAAGGGCAAGATAGACGTCGATGATGTAGTTGAGCCCTACCAGAAATGAGAAACTTGGCCATGTAATATGTGTGTCGATTGTTTCAACCAACCTTGCAAGAAGATGACTTTCCGGACCAGCAGTATTAGTCTATTGATTATCTCGGGGAGTTCTGATTTCGTTGACTTACGGGCGATGCCGGCACCTATGGGAGCTGCGGCTATAATCTGCGGCCAGGGACTGATTGAGGGGAACGATGTCCAGCCTGTACAGCAGAACATGTTAGTCAAACGCAGTGACGATAGACGAAGATGGATACGTACCAAACCAAAAGAGGCCGATTGGGAGAACGAACGCTCCAACCATAATGCTGAGAAGCCGTTCCTCGGGAGGTACTTTTCCTTCGCGACGATGGATTGATCCGTAATGGATCTTGATAAACCAGGCATTGAAGCCAAGGCCAAGTACCGAGCCAATGCTGAAAGAGATGTATGGCAGTCCGCCAACGCCTTCATTCCATCCGCGTTGTTCCTGAAACGAGATTGGAAACGATTCGAAGGTGAGATACAAGAGACCTGTATTGCTCGTCAGACGCTGGACCTACAATCGTTCATTAAATCGAAACGTACCGTATACCAGTGACAGGTACAGAGTCATCAAAAACAGAACTGGCTCCTGCACAAGCATGATGCATGGCGTAGTAAGGTATTTGGTGATGACCTCTTTCGCGGTGACCTGTGTCTCGTCGATTTTGGCATGGATTGCCCAGTTCTTCATCTCGAATCGGCGACGCTTTGCACGCTGTTGTAAGAGAACAGGAGCGTAAGTCTCTGGAACGATATGGAGGGCTATCAGACCAAATAGAGCTGCCATTATCAAGGTGATCCAAGCGGTCCACCGCCAGCCGAGATATGAGTCGGTGATAAAGCCTCCGATGAATGGGGCCTGGTTGATGTCAGTGACCATGAGTATGCTTGCAAGATCCTCTTACTTACGAGACTTGGGCTCACGAACAAAGAGGCACTATAAAGGCACATGGCAATGCCGCGCGTGACAGGGTCCCAGATCTTGTACATTGTCAGCGCAACTGGACAGTGTCTTGGTTTAGTGCAGTGTGCTTACATCTCCCAAGAGGCCAGGCAGGATGACGAGTGGCGAAACGGCAAACTGTACACTGAGATCAGCACTCGTAGGAAGACATGTGAACCGACATCAAGCCATGCAAAACGTACGACACCTCCAAAGAATCGGCAGACCATGATAGTCTGAAGGTTCTGTGCAACAGCAACAGGGATCTCGAATATCGCAAAAACCGCATAGGCCGAGAACATTGGGATTTTTCGACCAAGCAGCTCGGTGCTCGGTCCCCAAACTAGTAGAGCGTTAGATATGTCGAATACGTTAAGGCGGTTGACGGTAGTACGGACGCAAAGGACCAACGATGAACCCAGCAAGAAATAGTGAAGTGCCCAAGGTGGTGACCTAAAAAGACAATTTAGCCAAGTCTAACATGTGTCGAAGCTGTCGCCCGTCTGAATGTCGAGCTCTCATACGCACCTCAGTACTAACACCGAATTCTTTGGCGGTCGCCGTAGTCGCAGTGCTGAAAATGGAGGACGCAAAAGTACAAACAAACGCCATCATGCTTGCGGTGCAGGTAATAAGCCACTTCCGCCATCTTGGCCAATTCTGAGGATTCTCCGCATCTTCGGGGCCGTCCCATTCCACTAGGTTCGGGTCTGTGGTTGCGCTGGTATTGTCTGGCACTCTTGTCTCAGGGGTTGTGGTTTCTGCTTGCCGATTGTCGAGGGATGGCTCACTACTCTTCTCGAGCTTTTCGCTGGTATCGTCTTCAGCAAGTCGGGGGACGGGGCTAGTCGAGTGTGGTATTCCTGCATCGGGCTCTGGGTCCCATTCTTTTGTGGTGTGCAACGAGGCGGTACTGACGACAGGCGCCAGGTCGCTACGAAGTGTGGTAGTATGCTGTGTGTCAGCCATAACTCGATTCAAATGGACTTCGCGAGCAGAGTGAGAGATTTGCGAGAAGTGTAAACCAGGATGAGTTGTTAAGAAGATGTCTTCTACAGATGTCAGAAAAATCTGACTAGTTGCGAGAGACTCAAAATGATGTCGAATCCTGACGGTGCTCGGTGCATCAGGTAACCACATTCAATACTTCGATAAAAGTGGCATGACGAGAGCGACATCATCAACAACTACGCAATGGTCATAGATGCGAGTTTGTGGATGGCTCCACGCCCACAACCAAGCGACTGAGCATCGAAAAGTCCTCGCCATGGACTATTCGGTGTCTGAGAAAGGCCGAAGTCAGACTTGACACGAACAGACGTCCTGGACGGACCGGCCGGCGAAGTTGATGTATCTCCGGCCGAGAGAAGGAGCTTTGGAGACATCTTCGGATGTGGAGCCTGGAGAGGCTCTGTAGAGAACTGCACGCTGCCGAACGCCAATGAAGGAACGCAGCTTTTCCAGTTCTTGGCTGCAGAGACTCTGTATAAATCTGCGTACAACAAGACCTTGTCTGATGGGCTGTCAGCAGGACATATGTTCGGGAAGAGGAAGAGGTGACGTTGAAAGACATATGGCCCGTGCGTCAGCACTAAGATGAGCGACCTCTCTTGGACGCTTCAGACTTGGACCGTATACACCTCAATCGCACAGCCTTGTCACTGGTCGATAATGGATCCTTTGGGCTGGAGTGTCGTCGAACTGACGCTGAGAAGCAGTTTTTGTCGGTCGAGTCGGACGATGAGGGCAGCATGAGTAAAAGTATCTCCGAAGTCGCCTCGCAAGAGCCGACAGTCCCGTACGAGTGGAAAACCAACTCTCGTCCGACAACGTCTCCAACGCCTTTCTGCCTCACTCAACCGACCCAGCTCATGCGGTGACAAAGACATTCATCATCCTGGACGTGTCACCGAGTGGTCTGCCTGCACACGCAAACGCGAACCCGCTCGATCCCTGCACAACGAAGCAAAGTCTTCCGTCCGCTCCAGCCATCAAGCGTCTCGAAGCCTGAGAACTTCGTCCAGGTCTACGGCAACCATTTCCTCTGGGGCATCGCGGACGCGACGCAGACCAGCAATCTTCTCAATCGACTTTTGTCTCTTTTGCCCCTGGTTCTCGCGTGGCTTGCCGCCAGTCAACCTTGCTTGGATTCATGATGTCGTTCTGAGCTGAGCAGTTGGACAAAACCCGCGCTACATATTTGGCAGATCAGCGCACGTCTCGTGTATGAGTCAACTGAATCCTTGTATACACGATCTCATGGCCTGTGCCGACGTCGGACTTGTGTTCATTTAGAACCTCTGGTGCTTCCTACCCATTTTACGACTGCTCTCGCCTTATCAGATCCGAGTCGGACCCGAACATCTTTAGCCATCAAGTCTTTGGACATACACAACCCCACGCTTCTCGGTCGGTTCTATCGCCTGCGGAAGGGTTCCACTATTGCCCGGAGCGAGGGTGCAAGCATCGGCGTACCTCGCAAGTCATCGCCATCCACATTCAGCATGCAATCAAGGAGTGCAGCGCAGCGCGATGGCGTGCGCAAACGGCCCCGTAAGATCTGGTCGTGCCTCGAGTGTAGGCGCAAGAAGCTCCAATGCGATCATGGCTTACCTGCGTGCGGTCGATGTACGCGGGCGGGCTCTGCTGCCAACTGCGTCTATGCTACCGTAACTCCAACAACCTCCGACTCAAACAACGCTCGAGCAACTTCGGATCAGATTACCGTCGTTGAGGGTAGTAGACGTCCAGGTGCAACTAATCAGCCTGGTCGGACTGTTGATTCTGAACTGTTGTCTCGGTTGGAGTCCTTGGAAGAAAAACTTTGGAGCTTCCAGACATCCCCAAGTTTACAGAGCGTGCAGCGCACACGACAGACAGATGGATCTGGTCAGCTACCTTCACCTGAGGGAACAAACGAAGATACCGACACAGTCGCGGGCGGTGCTATCGACACAACGCATATACTACTGCGTGGCTCTGCCTTTCGAACCAAGTTCAATGGCAATACTTGCACAGTCACTCTGGCTGAGCACGTCCCAGGAATCAATACGTTCAAGAAGGACGCACTGGCCACCTTCCCAGCTTTCGATCAAGTCCAGCAATATCTCAACAAGACAGAGAACCGTACAACCTTGACACCGTTCAAGCCTGACCTAAGTCCCGATGAAAATGTTAAAGTACTACTCCCGCCACAAGCAGAGGCGGATCGGCTGGTACGCATATACAAGGAGAGCTTCGACTACATTTATCCTATTTTGCATGGCCCAACGTTTGATGCATCATATGCCCAGCTGTGGTCCGGCACAGACGAGGTAGACACACGATTTGTGGCTGTGGTGATACTCATCATTGCCATTTCCGACTGCTTGACGTCGACCCCATTCACCTCAACAGCCTCGACAGGACAGGTATCGCGCGCCAAAGCCACACTGATCCTAGACACAGTTGAGCAATGGGTCCACCACAAGGTGTATCAATATGAGTCGATACTCGACTTCCAGATCCAATTCTTGCTTCTTTTGGGGCGGCAGCTCAACGGCAAGAGAAACAAGCGCACATGGGCCAATGCTGGTGGTGTGGTTCGCACATTCATGTGTACGGGCATGCATCGCGACCCTGATGAGCTGGCTCGAGAGACCACTGATGTTGACCGGATGATGCGACGACGGCTATGGGCGGCCGCGATCGAGTTTGAGTTGCAAGCCGCTTTCGAGCATGGTATGCCTGCTTGCCCTTGGGCCGTTCACAGTGACATTGGCCCTCCTCTCAACGTTAATGACGATGACTGTGAGAACGTTCTGCCGCTCAGTTCATTCACAAAGACCTCATTCCTCGCGGTCTCGTGGAAATCACTCAACCTTCGACACCAGCTTTGCTCTACCCTCAACGACATGAACAGCGCGATGACGCCTCACAGTAGAGCAGTCACCTACACCGACACACTGAAGCAACTCCACCAGGCATGCCCCAAGTGGGACACCGTCGAAGCCGCAGCAGCCCGCGCTCTCCTCTGCATTAACATCCACCAATTCATCCTCGCAATCCATGAACAGCAACTCCTCAACTCCACCTCCTCGGTCGAAAAACAACTCTCCCGCATGATCATGGTCGACAGCGCCACACAAATGCTCGACGCCCACAAAGCCGCCCGCGACAGCGGCAGCGACCTCGTCGAACTCCTCTACAACGACCACATGCGCGCCGCGCTCTCCATCTGCCACGCCTACATCACCGCTGACCCGCTCGCCGACCGCTTCCTCATCTCCGCCATCGACCATACCATCAGCCGGGTCATGGACAACGCCATCGCAATGTACACGGAGAAAGTCATGCGTTTCGGCGGCAGCAAGCTCGACCTGTGGTACATCTGCGCCGCGGACGGCCTGATGAAAGCCACTGCGGAACCCACGCAACGCGCGACGTTCGTACAGAGAGCCGTGGATCATTTTACTCGGCCGTTCTATCGGCTCATGGCTCTCACGCGCGATCCGATGCTCTCGTCGATTGCACAGCAGGCGGGTGGTGCTGCTAGTAATGAGCAGATTTTGCCTTTGGTTCCGCGACCGGATGATACGATTGCGAGTGAACGGCTGGAGGATATGTCTTTGCCTGGGTTTGGGGAGTTGGCGGAGTGGACGTTTGATGACTTTTCGTTTGATCCGAACGATTTTTTGGATTTGGGGAATCAGATGTAGGCTGTTTATGATGGCTGATGATATGGGGTGGCTTTTTGCTGGGGTTCGGGCTTGTGTGATGATTTGCGTGATACCTCTGTTCGAAGTAGATTGTGCGTATGATGTGGGCTCATTAGGTCGTACCTCACTCCTAGATTGGATGTTGACGGCAGCGTGGAACGATATCTCAATATCTCAACATCTCAACCTTCACCGCCTGGTGTTCCACCTCTCCTCTCTCACTGACAACTTGATGCTTCTACATGCGAAGAACAAACAAACAAGCGACGAGGAGGAGGAGGAGGCCGAGGTTCAGCATGGCGAGTATGGGGGAGAATTGCCATTGGGAGGCTTGGTAGGTTGCGAGGGAGAAGGGGAGGAGGAAAAGGACTGTGCCGGCTGTTTTGAGGAGGAGGGCGAGGACTATTGTCACTGTTAGACGAGGTGGATGTTTGTGATATGATGGTGGACTTACGATCGAACTCCACCACAAACGCCAGTACCCTCCTCCCAAACCCCTTCCCAGCCTCTCCTCGATCAACTCTCTCCCCCGTCTTCCCCCTCCCACTCCTCTGCAAAACCAACCTCGAAAGCACAGACACCCCAGCAACCGGAATCGCCACCACAAACCCTCCATACCCCCATCGTGACGTACTATTCTCAACCAACCTCTGCGCACCTGCCGGCCCAACAAAAGTCGTAAAGAATTCCGGACTCTGCGAAGCCACTTGTCTAGGCGGGCTCGTTGATGGCTATGTCGTGGGAGGCTTGACTTGGCCGGTAGGATCCACGGATATGGTATATCTCGAGCCGCGCCACGTGCATCTGCCGTGTTAGAGTCTCTGAGTTAGCATGATAAACTCCATCATCGTTCCCTTGCGAACCCGACCAGTATAGACAAGCGCAAGATAAACGGTATCCAAGAACGTGTCTCAAGAACTAGTAGTGATTGATTATACCTGTATAATTAGCTACCGACCACAAGGAGCCGCAGCACCAGCTCCCTCAAGTCTCTCCATGCGCTCGTTCAGCCCGCGACTGTAAGCCGATTCAGCCGAACCACAACAAAGATCAGTCTCTGAAGGAGGAGTATCCGGCCTGAGCGAGCTCTTCGCCGTTCCTCCCTTGGATGGCTCTTCGACCGCACAGGTCGATGTCGGCGGACAGTGCCTTCCTCTCTCGGCGCCGCTCGCTCAACCATTGGATAACTGTATGGGCGTTGTCGGTACTCGTCGGATCGGTCATGCAGCTCTCTCTCGGAATGATGTTGATAATACAACCAGCTCCCCATTCTTTTGTCGGCGATTCGCCTGTTGATCCGAACCAAGACGATCCAAGAAGCAGAAAAACAAAGACAGCACCATTGGTATCTCCATATGAAACCCATCTCAAAACACACACACACACACACACAAAAGTGATTTCCCTCCTCCCTTTTACCGGTTTTCCCCATCCATGGTCATGTCCGTTTTCTCCCATTTTTGGTATGGTTGTGTATCAGCTTTGGGTTGATGATGTCCGCCGATAGCCGCTCACGATGATGTTGGTGGTCTCTTAACAAAGGAAAAGCAAAAGGAGAAACAGCCGCAGGTCGTGTAAATGCATTTCAAGGCCCAGAGTATGCATGCATGCATGTAACGCGCGCGAACATCCATCCCGTAAGACTGGCTGGTGTAATACATTGATAAAACGCTTCGATCGCTCGCTCAAAACTGGCGCCTGGCCTGCGCTCGTAATCGGTAGGTGACAAATTGAAAGGTATGGGTCTGGGGTCGATGATGTCGGTTCGTGGATGGTTTGACTTGCTGGGGAGAAGCAGTCGAAACGAATCGAAGCCGCTAGCTGTACATTGGTGGTGCTTCCAGGCCTCGAGCCGTCCGGCAAAGCTCGCCTCTTCTCATGGATGAGGCGAGACTCGGACCAACCAGCCGCTGGGGTAGATATTATTGCCTTGGTTATCATTCTGAACCGTGTATGCAGAAGCGAAGAGGGTATCTCGATCGGCCGTTTCAAGAGAGCGCGAAGAGCCACTAGTGTCCATGGTACAAGAACCGTGAGCAGTCGTGTACAGCTTTGATGGGTCTATCATCAGAGGGCGACATCCAGCACGAGACTGACATCCTGAACCTGTGAACCAGCCAGATCGTACAAGACCGGGATCAGATCCAGAAGTTCGTTGTCGTGAGCGTCGCTGAACCAACTGCTGATTGGCACGGCATGTTGAGGATGGAAGATGTAGCTCGTCGGTGAGTTGTCGATGATGATCGTCTCCTTCAGATCGCGACCGATCTGACTCAGGTCCTTGACATAGTTGCCTTGGTGATTGTAGCAGCTCTCTCGGAACAACCGATGATGCACGACGCCGTGGATGTCCAGTTGGTCGAGCAGAGGATCGCCGTACTTCGAGACCGAAGCCGTGAACACCACCACCTCGTACAGTTCTCCAACTCGCTTGAGGAACTGATCCACGCCAGGTCGTTTTATGACATACACGTTGTGGTACTGTCCCTCAATCTCCACGGGTATCGTGAAGTCGGCTTGGTGGAGTATCTGCGAAACATTAAACGGCGTTACGTGATAGTCAGCGAGGAATGCTTACCTTGAAACTGCTGTGTACCAGCGTCTCATCGAGATCCAATACCAAGCACTTCCGCCCGCGATGCTCTGGTCGCACTGGAGGTAGCAACCACTTACCGGATTGCTCAGGAGTAGACACAAGTGAAGTGTCATGGCTCGCGCCAGTGCTATCGCCGGAGCCTTGATGTGACTGCGGCAAAGGCGGTGGCGGCGGTAGTGAACCAGTGCTGTAGCCCTGTTGAGATTCCTCGGTCTGGTGCTGGTGCTGCTCCTCGTCGATTTGCTGGGCTTCCTTTTCGGATAAAGGTAGCTTGTCGGACATTTCAATATCCTCATCTAGCTGCTTTTGCTCGGGAGTTCGATCGAAGATCGGCTGGTCTTCTTGCTGTGGGACGGTCGGCGTGGGCGCCTGGACTTGCACAGATGGATTCGCCGGATCTGTGTCGACAGGTCCATCCGATGGGCCGGATGTGACAATGTTCGGCAAGCCTGACGATCCATCTGCACTTTGCGCAACGCCAGATGAATTGGCGGTCGCAGTCGCCAGCGAGCCTCCAGGATGATTCGGCTCAAGCTTGTCGACGGCGCCATCACTGGGCTGTGACTTTTCAGCGTCTGCACCCTCCTTCCGTGATTCAACCTTGGATCCATCTGCGAGAAGTTGCTTCTGCGTTGATTTCTCGTCGATCACTTCTTTCGAGTCCTGGGTCGTGCTGGTGTCCGCGGTGCCGACATTCTGTGGGTTCCGGGGCTGCTGTGCTCGCGTAGGTTGGGTCTTGGTGGCGGGTTTCGCGGGCTGAGCTGCGTCTTGCTGTCCAGTTTCTTGAACAGTGTCGGAAGAGCCACAACAGTTCAGAAATGCCAACAATCCGCCCTTCTTCTTCGGCCTCTCTTGCTCAGCTGAGGGCGCTTGTGGCGCCTTTTCGCTTTCCTGATCTTTCCGCTTGCTGCCCTTCTTTATGCTCCGTCTTGAACCTCGACCTATGCTCTCCGACCGCTCTTGTGGACTCGATGATTGCTGGGCAGATGTTGGCTGCTCGGGAATTGGCAAAGCTGTCGCGTCCGATGGGTTGGGCTGACCGCTAGATGCAGCATTGGGCACACTGTTCCAGTCCTGAGTCAGCTGCACTTCACGCGACGATGTCCTAGGTGGCGGTACGAACGCCTGAGAGGGTGTGGAAGAGCCTGTAAACATGTATCAGCATTGGGTCCTGCCCGTCAATCGCGCGCCTTCCAATTCCACCGCCCTCCCCATGCCACGTGCAGACATGTGCAGGGCACGCTGTTTCCATCGCCGCATGACAACGTACCTTGTTCGGTCCCTCCAGCGGCGGGCTGGACGCCCTGTTGGCTCATGGGGGGTGTTCAAAGCTCCGGCGGAGCATGTACCTCGATCGCTGACGGCGTCGCGGTGGAGACGGAGCGGAGGTGCGTGTGGTGCTGCGCGGCGGTGTGCGCGGACGGTGAGGTCTAGCGACGGTGTAGTGGAGAGTGCGACAGCGATCGGGTGGTGAGCAGATGCCGGGGATGCAGCGCGATGGAGCGAGGTGAGGTCTGTATCGAAGGCAGGCTGGGCAGGGTGCTTCCGGTTCGCGAAGCGGCTGTGCAAAAGGTGTGGCAGTCGCGCCTGCTGTGAGAGGCAGCTGTGGCGAAGGCTAATGGGGGTTGCGTGGTCGAGCAGCACCCGCTGGGCGTCGGAGCAGGTTTCGCGCAGGTCGCAGTCGCAGACAGACAGACAGACAGACAGACTCAATCGCCGGCCGCAGATGAGGTCGAGGAGCAGGCAAGCAAGCAGCAGCACGCCTCCACAGCAGCAGCGCAGCAGCGGCGGACCAGCCCAGGTGCAGCAGAGGTGGCTTGAGCGCTTCTTGCTCTCATCTCCGTACCCGCCAGAGCGCCCACCCCCGTCGCCCAATCGCAGCGCGCCTGCCGTTTCTGTCGCCGCCGCCCGCCCTTGCCTGTACAACAACCACGTTGTTCTTCACCACATGGACGGCTGCCAGCATCGCTGCTCCGCGCTGCTCTTTCCCACTCTCTGCCCGCGTCCAGCATCCATGCGTGCGCTGCCCGCTTTCCTCCCCTTCCCACATGTGCTCCGGCTGCCGCTGGGACTCGCCACGCGCGATCCACCCGCAGCTTGTAATCAAGGTTTCAACGGAAGCCATCGTTGCGCCTTGCTCGGAAAGGTTAGATCTGCCGGCCCAGCCTAATCCCATTGGCAGCCAGGTGGACCTCTCTCCGATTATGCATTTCATCTTCCTTCATCAGATATCCATCAGCACGCATTCTCGCTCACCTTGATTACACCATCATTTGGGAATCATGAGTGCGTCTGCAGCTTCTAGGGGATTGTACAGGCCAGACATTCCACATCTGACTGCCATTGGCCCCGATGCCGATTTGAAGCTTGGAAGCTGCATGAAGCTACGGTATGCCGGCATCGCTCCTCGTGGGACGTCAGGTCAATGCTAGATATCACAACCTTCTTGACTCATTGACACGAGCACCTCTTGTATAACGAACTGGTGCGTTGGTACAGATAGCACGAGCAGTGTACCCATCCACAGACATGGCTCGTCCTGAATACACACGTCCGCGAATGCACATGAATCAGGTGTCACCGAGTGAATGATCTTGATGCACGACAGATGCTAACATATGCACCTCTCGCCCATTGTGGACTGTCAATCCTACAATGCCTTCTTCTGCGTCCTATGAACCCTTCCAGGAATCGGGGAGATATTTGGGCATCTTCTTGCGCTTGCTGAGCTCTTGATGGATGTAAGGACACCACAAAGGCTGAACAGGCAAGCTCGAGTGGAAGAAATAGCAAGAAGGTAGCAGTCTCAATAGGTCGCCTCTATCGTCTTCGAACAGTTGGAAAATCACCTCAGAGGAAGGCGGAGTGTGAAGGGAGGAGGCCAAATGGGTGGCTGTCTTCACCTGGATGGAAATGAGAAAACAATGAGACTGCATCACTGCCCACGATAGCACCCTCATCTCTCTGATCAAGTTCACAGAAACGTCTTGACTGCTTTTGATGGAGCATTAGACAGCATGCTTCAAGAACATGATCCACGAAACGTCCTTAGGCTGCCACGAATGCTTCGCCAGCCAGCTACTACATTGGACATAATCAGACATACACCATAACTAGAAGGCGAAGCCACCAGCAATTTTTGAAGAGTTTGGCTGCACCATTCCATTCGTCCCTGCCTCATGTAAAGTGCTTGACGAACTCTATACTTAGTTCGACATCCTCACCCTACCCTCCACAACTCACAATCTTCCCTTCCCACCACTCTCCCTCCACACCCTCTCAACAGCAGCCCGTCCCGCCCTCCTCCCAAAAACACCCCCAGCCGTCAATCCACTCCCACCCGGATAATTCCCATAAAACAGCCCACCCACCATCTCCCCAGCACAATACAACCCCTCAATCTCCGACCCATCCTCCCTCACCACCGCCGCATTCTCCGGATTGATCTTCACACCTCCAAACGTAAACGTAATCCCCGACGTGACCTTCACCGCCAGGAACGGCGGCTCCCGAATCGGCAACGCCCAATTCGACTTCGCCAGTTCAAGTTTCTTAGTGTTAGACTGCGTCGAAAGCCCATCCCTTACCGCCGGATTCAGCTTCACACCCGGGTTCTCCCTCCCAAACGCCGCAACAGCCGCATTATACTCCCCAATCGTCCTCACGAACCCCTCCCTATCCCTCAACCCCTCCCCCTCCAACTTCCCCGCCAACTCCTCCAAACTCCCCGCCCACGTCTTCCTCACAATCTCATCCCGATACTCCTCCTTCCGCAACCACCCCTGCCCCTCCCGATCCCACACCTGCCACGCCACACCACCAGGCTGCTCCAGAATCGCGCGCCCAAACTTCGCATACGTATAATTCCTCAAATCAACCCCTTCATCCACGAACCTCCTCCCCTCGGAGTTCAGCATCAAGCCTAAAGGATACCCAGACTTGGTGAACTCATTCGTCTTCTCCCGATCACCCCCTTCCCTCGGCGAATCCGCATCCCAAGCGACAGAATGACACCCCGTCGGACTGAAATCGCCCACGCGCTGCGCGCCCAGACGAATCGCTTCGAGGAGCATATCCCCCGTATTATACGGCGTGCCCCTCGTATGCGCCAACTCCCACCCCTTCCCCATCCACTCGCCCCTAAGCTTCGGACTCGCCTCAAACCCCCCAGCACAGAGAACCACAGCCTTCGCCTTCAACTGCACAACCGCCCCATCCTTCCCCACAATCTCCACTCCTCCCACCCGCCCCTCCCCATCAACAAGCACCCTCCTCGCCCCCGTCTCATACCACACCGAACACCCCACCTTCTCCACGGCTTTCAAAAGAGCCCTGATAAGCCCCTTTCCCCCCTCCTCCACAGTCAAACACAACCCGCCCCAGAACTTCCACCTTCCTTCAACTTCATACGCCTGCCGTCGGAAACTCAACCACCACTCCACCCCACCCACCTCCTTCAACCACCGCACCGTGTCCAGACTCTCCCTGACCAAAAATGCTCCAAGAGTAGGATCACTCCGTCTCCCCGTAACGCGCTCCAAATCCCCCAGAAACTCCGCCTCGGAATACGCGGGGAGGTCGATCTTGTTTTTCATCTCCTCATCGACATTCGACACGAGCGGGAGGAGGTCCGCCAGGCCATTATGGGCGGTCCGGTAGGCTGCTGCGGTGAAGTATCCGTTGCCGCCCGCCCAGCTGGAGGGGGCTTTGTCGATGAGGAGGATCTTGGGGGATGGGCTGGCAGAAGAAGTGGATGTCGCGGCAGAGAGGGCTGTGGAGAGCGCCGCGGCGCCGGTGCCGACGATGATGATATCCCAGGTTTGATCTGAGGCCATGACGATGGAAGCGTGGCTTCAGTCCTGTTTTCTTTTCTCAATATGTAGCTTCCAGGTCTTGATGTGAGATATTGTTCTTAAAAAGTGGCGAGAACTTTTGGGTATAGAATTCAGGAAGCTGGAGGAGGTAGGTGTATGTAGATGAAGAGAAAAGGATCGCGATACTTCTCATATCAACTGGTCATTATTATTATTTGGGAGGAGGAGCGTGAACCCACTAATTTGATGCCGTATACCCGATCTTCTCTCCCCCCGAATTCCTAACATTTATCCATGGATGGATTGGACGGGCGCTCACCCTCCACGGCATTCATCCATTTCAGCCGACATCGGCAGACCCGAAGGACGGGAGGAGGTGAAGTCAAGTCCACTCCACTCCCACCAGAACCTGGGGAAGAACAAGAATGGACCGAACGCCGAAGTTCTCGCGCAACTAAACGAAAACAAACTCCACTTTCATTCTCAGCACAGACGAGAGCGGAAAAAAGATAGCGTCGATGCAAACACGTCTCAAGTGCGTGGGCCAGCAGGGGCTATATTCCAACCTCCCCCATCCTCGTCCCTGGCAGACCACCGCAATGAGAGTCGATGAGGAAGAAGATAAAGCGGACGATGAGATAGTAGTTGATGATGAGACGACAGTACTCCATTCCCCATACTTCATGCAGCCAGCCAGCAAGCAAGCAAATGAACAGCCCCAACTTCCCACAGAATCGTGCACAGCAGATTCGGCAAGAAGAGCCCACTCCCTCAACAAAGTCCATCCCCATCCCATCCCATCAAAAACACCCCATCCCCATTCCCCTTCCCAAGCCCTAATCCCTATCCCCAGGCCCCAGACGTATGCACAGAAAAGTCCATCCACAACCCATCTCATCAAAGTCTTGCCAACACTTGGTATAGACTAGACGTGGGTGGAGAGTGAAGAAGTAGCAGCCCAAACAAACAACTTTTTCTGAAAAATGCAAAAATCAAAGCCAAACCCAAGTTTGTCCCAAAAAGAGGTCGATCTTGCCTGGGACTTTTCGGCGCACTGCCTTGTAGTCCACCGACAAAATGAAGAAAAAACGCAGGAATTACAAAAAGTCTCTCTCTCTCTCATCTATGCCGGAACGCCATGCCGTTTGTCAAAGCAAAAATTCCCATGTTGGAGCTGCTAGAAGTGCACCAAAAGAGTACAACACACATCTCGCTCGGTCAAACAAACCCCGCCCCTTGTTCGTCGCATCGTCGCAATGGTGATACATGTGATGATATGTATGCTGACTGCGGTGCAGACTTTGGGGGGAGGCGTCATTGACGGGAGCGAGCGAAAACATTCTTCTTCTTCGCTTAATCGTATATCGTAAAGTTCGTGATCGTAGCAACATCGCTGCGTGCTTCGTTTCGATGGTCGAGGTCGAGTGGAGGCGAAAGGCAGGAGGTCGTGACGATCAATGCCACGGCTTTTCAGCCATGGATTGCTGTAGGTGTAGGTGTGTCGGAAAGATATCCATCTCGATGGCTGTGGTAAGGATATCCAAAGCTGACGGGAGAGGCCGACCGAGCGCCCAATCCCTGACCTGTCATTGGGACAGGAGACTGAGAGCGCGACTTGAATGGCTCCAATGCCGGCGAGTGTGACATTCTCTCATTCGCGCCATCGAACTTGTCCTCGGGCGAGTTAGACCCGGATGAAGATGCCGATGTCGACGTGGATGGTATGTCATCTGCGCCGTCCGTTGTAGGAGGCTTTTCAGTGGCAGGAGCAGACCTGGGAGCGTTCAAAGGTGAGGTGACTCCCTTTCCAGATCCAGGAGTAAACTGAGAACATCGGTCAGCTTCGTGATGTCCTTAGACCTTGGTGGCGCTGGGGCTGGTGCGGGCGGAACCTACGTAACAGAATTTCTGCACAAGATCCTTGTATTGCTCAGACCCCATGGCGGGTCTGTCAGTGGTGATGGCATCCGGTCGCTCTGTCTTGGCGTCGACCTTGGCTGGTTCCGTGCGGTCGACAGGACCAAAGTAACTACCATTGGCCTGAGGTTTGGCGGCGATGGCGGCGTTCATAAGGCCACTCTGACGGCCAAGCTTATCCTGTGCGGTAGAAAGAGCCGCTGACAACGAGTTACCAAAGTCGTAACGGCTACCCAGACCATTGGTTGGAGCCGTTGGTGGGCCAGTTGCGAACATCGCTGGTCGCTTGGATTTGGTCTTGAGCTTGATGGAAGACTGAGGGTCACCCAAGAACTTGTCTGGCGAACCGAAGTGGTATGCAGCAGTAGTGTCGAGGCGTGACACAAAGTCATCGTCAACCGACTCGGGCCGGCCACGTGGACCAGTGTGCTTGCTGCGTGGGATGGCGTTGAGGGGACGTTGACCAAGTGGACTGCTCTGAATAGGCTTGTTGGTCCTCACTTTCTGCTCTGTCCTCTTGAAGTCGATTTGATAGTTTCTATCGTTGTTGTTGTCCCAGTACTCGGTGCCGCCGACGTTGTAGCGAATGCACAGCAACATGGTCTTGCTGTCGATGTTCGCCTGATCGGTGAGCTTGATGTGGAAGATGAAACGGTCGCAACCATCTTTTGGTGGGCTGCGGGGGTCGTTGTTGTACTCTGCCATGACTTCAGAAGTCGTCTTCCAGTAATCGAGAGTAAAGCGAACCACAACCAGTTTCTGGAAGGAGATGTTCCGAACCGCACAGACACCGACGAGGGTCGATTTGTCAGAAGACAAGAAGATACGTTCAACCCGCACAGGTTTCGCCTTTCGCTCGAAGGTGTCTTCAGGGAAATTGCCCACTCTGATATCCAATTCCGACTTCTTGGTCTCCTCGAAAGGAAACTCGGACTCGCTATCGTATGTTTCGACGGGTGAAGAACCGGCGCTGACAGCGATTGGCTTATCGACTTGCAGGAAGTGTCTGGTTTGGTTGTCGCTGTCGTTGAAGTGCACGGACTTGGAGTACGTCGGGGTGCCAGGCATGCTCGAATAACGCCGCCTGGATGACGGCCTCAATGCCGGCTTAACCAACTCGCCGGACTTCTTCCGTACCAGGGCAGGCTTGTTCATCGGGTTCTCATCTTCATCGCTGTCGTCCGACGTCTGCGTTGGCGAATCTGCAAAAGCCGCCTTCATGATGATCTTGGTCTCGGTCGACGATCTCGAGTGTGCAATCTTACGGGCTTCTTTCGTCAAGGCCGTCGGCGACGAAACCTGCGATACAGGCTCTGATGCCGTGCCTTGTTGGGCCAACTCGGTGCCAACCTTGTCAGGTGATCCTTCCCTCTGTTGAGGCAGGGCTCTGACTGCCTGCTGCAGCTGATCCCAGTTCTTTTCCAGTTCTCGACCACGCTCAGCGTTCGTCTCATCGCCATCTGAATTCTCCGAGGAATCGGGCGGCGAGATGACGGCACCAGTAGGGATTCGCAGTTGATTGACGGGCGGGGGTGACTGCCGCAGACTGGCAAAGTCATGTGCATCGACATTCGAATCGGCCGCATCGGTCGGGGTTGGGGGTGCGGCATCTGATTTGGTTATGGACGGCGACCGCCGATGCTTGTGCAGGTACGACGCCGACGAGTGTGAGCGCGGTGGCTGCGGCCTCGAGGAGACGGGTGACCGCGGGATGTCATCCTGATGATATGAGGAACTCCGGCTGATGACGGGGCTGTTCGACTTGGACGAGGCAGGCGACTGCTGTGACGGCGGGGTATATGGCATGTCGTCTGCCTCGCGGAATGAGGATCTGTAGGACGAGGAGGGCGAGAGCGGATCAGGCCGTCGCGGGCATTAAAGGGTGTCGTTGCAGTATTAACAAGACTGCATGTGCGGGCGGCATATGTCAGCGCGGGTTTCTTTGTCTGGACGATGAGATTCGATCAATGCCGCGATGGGCGATGGCGGCGGAATGCGGCAGGCAGCGGTGGTGTGATATGGGGGGATTGACTCACAGAAGGATACGACAAACAGCGTGCACAGTGCGATTGTGACGCTGCTGGCGGCGGTCCAAGAATTCGACAACAACAACAAGCGGCGTGAATAGGTAAGTAAGTTTTGGACGGGGCCGTCGACAGGTGCGTGCAGCTAGTCAAAGCCGCAACGACGCAACAACAACGGCGGGCGGCGGCGGCGGCGGAAGCGAAGAGGAGGAGGATGATGCAGAAGGTGCAGAGTGGCCTGACAGCGAGCAGACCAGACGCACACTTCTTGTTCGTCGTCGGCGACGTCGACTGCTGTGGAAAGCAGGATGTAGGTGAAGCGACCAAGGCCAGGCGCAGTGAGCGGCGCTTGCCAGGTAGTAGTAGTGCAGTGCAGTATTTCTCAACCTGTGCCCGGCAGCTCCTGCGGTGGGGTGGCGGCGATCTGTGTGCGTGCGAGCGTGTTGAGAATAATCCCGACCCTCCCGTCCAACAGCACACCACGACAACAATCCCAGGCAGGTGACAAAGGACTCGAGCCCCCAGCACGGTGAGGAGGGCGGCGGACTGGGGTATATCAAGTACGTATGTACAACACCAGACGTTCTAGAAGAGACGGACGTTGGGAGGGAGAGGGCAGACGATTGATGAGGGGCGGGCGGTCGAAACGAAGGACGGATGGCCTTGCTGCAGGCTCACCACGCTCTCTTGCTCAGCGTCGCTCTCAGCGTGCCTCAGCGTCCTCAGCGCGTGCTGCTGGTGTGTCGGATAGGCAGGCCCAGCATTTGCATTTGCATGGATGCAGTAGTCTGTCTGAGCCAAAGTGTTGGGCACGCCAAGCGGCCGCGAGATAGCGTTGCGCCTGGTGAGATACTTCGCAGGTACAAACCACTCCCCAGATGCCGCGCCACACCCAACGACTCCAACCGCACAAGATCGTCGCCGCGACAGCGCTGTCCTCGTCGCACCCGCCACACTCATATCAGCATCCCAACTCACTCCATCTCGTCGTTGTGAGACCGTCCGAGACTGTCTCTCGCAGTGACCTCACCCCAATCCACTTCTCCCACGGACCCGGCCAAGCATCACTTCCACCACCTCCCGGACACTGTGGACTGCGGCGCGTCACTGATACATGCAGATTTACTCGTCTCCCGCCATTCCTCTTCCCGGCAAGCGCGGCGTGATCGCAGAGGACAAGCTCTCGCATCCATCCCAGGCTGACTGCGGCTGCCAAACACCAAGAGCCCGTAGAAAGATATCTAAGCTGACACCGCCGCCCGCCGCGTACGGCATGATATGGGATGCTCCATCCTCCGTATTCCCTCAATTCCATCAACGCACGCGAGAAAGCCACAGCGACACCCGGGTTCGGCAACTGTTTCCTCATCGTGCCACCATGTCGTGACAGCAAGCGAGGAAACGCTTGGTCGAAGCCTCGCGCTGTCCCGTCTGATTCGCTGCACCGTTCGCCGCGCGGCAGCTCTGCCAAAGAGAAAATCTCTGTACATGCACCTCATCCCACTCCTCATTCGCGCTCAGCAACTCCTCGTAATAAGAGTAAGCTGCGCAGCGGTCCACCGCGGAGAGAGCAGCTCCCCATGGGCGCACATTGGGTCAAAGCCCGCCCCCATGTCGTCGACTTGTGCTTGTCGCTGTGCGAGGTATGGAGATTGGTGCTGCTGTGCTTGCGTTATCCTCACGCCATACGCTCTCCAAACCCAGGCCTCTCCGCGGAAGACTGCTCCAAGCAGAGCCAAGGGATTCCTGCTGCTGGCTCCATCAGCCGACGTACCCTATCGAACTGCTGAAGCTGCACCATGCTGCGTCCGTCTCTATCCTACTGGAGCTGCAGCGAATGTCCATCGTCCATCCTGCTCCAGGCAAGACGTCGGCTTTCGTGCCGGCTCGGGCAGCTTCGTGTTACCCGACTCGTTGAATCGCCGCTATTCCATGGAGAGGGCCTAAGTACATCGTCGATCATGGTTCGTTTGGGCAGACCAAGTTCCGTTTTTGATGAGTCGACTAGACCGGGATGCCTGTCTCACAAGCGCGTGCTCTTCCAACAAGATGCCCGCTTACCTAAATTCTGGGTGCTGCTGAGGCCGTGCGCGAATCTATCTCGGAATCAGATCCGATGGAGGACTCTTGGTCAAATTTGCACCCACCTCAACAACCGCGCCAGAGCGAAAAGCATCCACTTTCACGACGGTCTCCGAAAAGCGATGACCGCATGTGTGCGCAATAGTGCGAAGCGTGAGGCTTGCTGTCGCCGGCATGCAGCTTCAGTCATGAGATGTGGTCGGCGAGCTGTCGTTTGCTCCAAGCCATTCGTTTTCACTTCCCGCCAGACGTTCCCCGCGGACACGATCACCATCAAGCCATGAAACGTGGCACTCAAGTTCGGCCAGCGCCTCCGCAGCGGTCTCACGCCCGCCACCATTCAAAGTGCAGCATACCACGACCCCGACACGTCGCGACTCGCCACACCGTGCAAATTCCCAAACACGGCAGCTCGTTCAGGATGGGCGCGCAAGCCGCGCGCTCACCGCTCTCTTCTGGCAAACTTTAAATCTTGCCCCTCCAGGCTTCTCCAGGGCACAATGAATGCATCCACGCTTCACAAACGCGGGGAAGACGTGACAGGAGAGAGGGTTGGAATAGTCTTCCAGGCATGTCTCCAATCATACGCCTCGCATTGGATGACCACAGCGGTCCATCCACCGTCGTGTCAAGACAGATGCGGTTCCAGACCCTCGACCGTTGTCAACCATGAATACCAACAACGTGACTGACTGAAACAGCAGGTGAGTCCCTCCAGCTGTCTCACCAGGCAAGTTTCGGTGAGCGAGTTTGGTTGCGTTAAAACCGTCTGACTGCGAACCATCGTCACGTAACCGCGACAGTCTGAAGATACCAAAAGAAGAACGACGATCTACAAAAATCTCTTCGGCACCTCTCCTGACGGCGTCAAAGGAGCAAGACCTATTCTCGACGCGTCAGAAGAAGGGTAAAGCTTACCTTCCTATTCTCATCTCACCAACACACAAGTGTACCACAGAACAGACAGGAGTTGCACCGCCACAAGCGTCTCAGCGTCTCACGTCTTATCAAAGGTCTGGGAGCTACCGTTCCAAGTACCTCCGAAGTACCCAACGAGGATCCCTCTTCGCTCTCTCGACGTCTCGACCCTCAATGGCACCGCAGTTGACCCACAACGTCTACATAAGTCTGCCATGGGGTGCATTCGTTTGATTGGAGAGGGTCTTTCAACCAAGATACAATCTCCTACCAACCTCCACGTCGACTTGCGGTGGGTATGGGGATCTCCAGATGGCGATATCAAGACTTGCATACGGCGTCTATTCGGCGGCGCTCCTCAACACGATAGCATGCCAGTCTCAACAGGTTTTTACGTTTGGAAATGCGGAGAACCCAGCTTCTGTTACAAGCAGACCCTGTCTGGAGAAGGTCATATCGCAGGGGACTTTCACATGCCACTGCGATATGACATCTGGGGCGTCGCTTTTATTACTTGACATCAATCCTTTACTGATGTGAGCAGGGTGCGTGAGTGAGCACTATCAGATCATCAAACGTGCTACAGCAGCATGCACTCCGCAAATGTGATCAACATGGCGAGAACTGCTCGCAGTACCAGACACATCGCTCATCAAACACGTCCCTGTCATGAAACGTGCGGCAAGCGGCTGCGTCTTCACAGACTCTTGGTGTTCGTATCTTTTCAACCATTCGCACTTCAAATCCCCCCTCCCCCACGTCCACTTCCCTACAATCTCCTCATCAATATTCGACATGGCAAGACGGCTCCACGGGCCCTCAATATCCCCGCCCTACCTCTTCGGCCCGACTGCGAGATACCGTCAAGGTTGAGCGTGGTGGCAGCGGATAGCTCGGACACCAAGCAAGCGCCCGTATAACTTCAGACCCTACTTATAATAATACATTTCGAGAGGACAGCAGCAGGTTGATGAGTTAGAGGATCCTCGCTGACGAGAACAGATCTTCCTGCGGCAAGTCACGGCCATAATCGACCTGCATTCCATCAGTCAACAGTACAGAGGAATGCCCGTTGAGGTGACAAACCAACAAGACAGAGTGACAGCTGCCTACCTCTTCTGCATCTGCATCTGCACCCCAGACCGCCCGCATGCCTGTCTAGAGCGCCTACACGTAGGCCTTCGCAGCTTGCAATTTTGGTTGGGGAAAGCATACGGAGCTCTCACTGGCTTTGCTAAGACCAGCCAGGCTGCTTGCGCCATGGGGAGAGAACGAGACGTACAGATGTATCATTGTACCAGCAGCATGCCGTTGTCGGACCCTGATGATGAGAGGGTTCGTTGGTCTCGACCTAAAAATCTCCTGCTGTTGACCAGAAATGCGCAATGTTCACTGCAGTGCAGTTCATTGCCTCCTGTCGTTGCATCTCACTCGGTCTCCGATCTCCGAACGGCCAATCCGGGGGATTTTGACCACATTCCCAATTTCCGTTGAGGAGGAGGAGAAAGACAACGTCGCGTCGCAGATGCCCACCTCACGTACATTAGCAACAGGAGTGGGGTTTGCTCAAAGCCAAGTCTCCATGGTTGCTTGCAGACAGACAGACGTGGCTGGCCGATTTCCCACGCCCTGATTCGACGGTGCTTTGATGCGTGTGGTACGCCGAATCCCTGTGGCGTTGCGGCTGCGGCTTATGGCTTGCATGGTGCATATTGGAATCCTACTTCGCGGCGAGAGAGAGGATGTGGGAGAGAGCTTCTAGATGGCGACATTCTGTGGATGAGAGAGACGGTGTGAGCGTGTTTAAACTTAATGAGGAGATGGTTCACGGGTGTTGCACGAGAGAGATAGGTACGGAGATACAGGATGGGCGACTACAGTACTGATGGATGCAGGGTGCACATCGTCCTCATTATTCGAAGAGTACAAACGCGAGCAAGCAAGCAAGCTCCCGTCTGTTGGTTACATATCTCCAGAGTCCGTTTTCAGCAACGAACGACCTTGCCGTCTTGCCGTTCCCGCCACTTACTCTTTACTAGAACACAGGCCATGTAATCTACGCAGTGGTGAGAGATCTACTAGCACCACTCGTGTCTTTTCCACGACGAGGAGATCGCCTCTCTCCAATCTATATTTCCCGGCGCAGGGACTTTTCTTCGTTCTTGTGAGGAATGCAGGGAAACAGCTAATAACGATTCGAGACGCTCCTCGACTTACCGCGCTCGTGCATAAGGTGTAGAGATCGTATAGGGTACATATCTTTCTTTATGGCGTGGTTGAGACGAGTTTGTCATTGTTCAACCACGATGATGATGTTGATGACAGAGGTGGATGCAATTTGCGCGGGGTGCATTTTGTGGATGTGGTGGGCCGTGGAGATGCTGGAGTCGTTGTGGAGGACTTCACTCTATTCCAAGAGTGCATTCTTTCTCTGTTGTGCAAGCGAAGCAGCCGCACACTATTGCGATGATCCATTCTGCGGCATGTTGAGAGAGGTCTAGAAGTGTCGCTCGGTTGGTTCGGCTGGCTGAGGTGCAGCTTTCCAACCCCTCATTTTCAGGTTTTTGGTGAGGTGAGGTTGCGCGAGTGTTGATGCCTTAGGCATGAAAATTCCCTTCTCCGAGCACGTGAGAGGCTCAGCGGGAAGACGGGAGTTTATGCTGACGACCTTCGAGGTCTGTGCTTGTGATGTCAAGGATTGGACTTTCTTGTGATGATGGACTGGACTTTTGATGCTTCGATTTGTTGCAATTGTACATATTACGAACTCGATTAATTTCACGGCTATCACAGGAAGCTCCGTAATAACTGCACCGCGACTCAACGACACACCAATACTTCGATACCTTTGTACACAACCAAGACACGACTGGAACTCCCAGCAACAATGACCTCAATCCGCATGCTCGCCCGGACAACATCACGATTCCCAACCCTCCCAACACGAAAGACAGCACACCACAACCTCCTCCCATCGAGATCAACACCCCTCCTCCAACCCCACCGCCTTTCCTCCACCTCCTCCACAACCCCCACCCCACCCCCCTACCTCGACGACCGCGAACGCACCATCTTCACCAAACTCCTCACCGAACTCCACCCCACCTCCCTCGAAGTCCAAGACGTCTCCGGCGGGTGCGGCAGCATGTACGCGGTGGAGATCGCGTCGGACAAGTTCAAGGGGTTGACGCTGCTGAAGCAGCATCGGTTGGTCAAGGATGCTTTGGGCGAGGATGTCAAGCAGTGGCATGGGTTTCAGTTGAGGACGAAGGTGCCGGAGTGAAGTGATTGATGAGGAGCAGGGGGAGGATGGTGGATTTTGGTGGGGGGGAGATGGGAGGAGCGAGGGTGGATTCTACAATGAGGGGAGGGAAGGTTATGAGTCGTGCTTGGGCTTGTGGCCTCGTAATGCATGAAGACTTGGGCGAGACGACGTCAGAAAGAGACGTTGCTCTCTTCTCGCTGAGGAAGTGCTTCATCAGCGATGTCATCACACAGCGAACAACCACTCCTCCTTGACAGGATCACTGGTTGAAATGCGGCCCTGCATGACTCAGAAAAGTTGAGAAGCATTGCTCGAGATGGGCAAGGAGCTGAATAATGTACCCTTCCAGATTGAAGGGTTGAGAAGTTGTAAGATACGGTCAGTCGGAAGCTCAATGCCGCGGTATGCGGACGGGCACATGTCATTACTAGCGTGTCAACCTATACAACCATGCGCAAGACTGGCGCTCTCTCTGCTCTGCTCAGAACATCCTGCTTCACATCATCGAGTCCGCTCACCGCACCTCGATCTTGTGAATCTCCGTCTTGGCCTTCTCCCATTCATCCAAGCTGCGCCGCGACCACTCGATATGAGCCTTCGCGAAGTTGAGCTATAGTCACGTTAGTCAGGTGCCCTCGCTTTCAAGTTCATTTGTGCACTCACCATGTACATCCTCAGATCATCCTCCTTCTGTCCTTGGAAACGTCTCAGGTCCTGTAGAACACCCTGACTTGCATCCTGGACGTCTGACTGCGCTACCTCCAATGCCTGCTCGAGATGCACCAAGCTCTCCTTGGTCTTGCCGAGCTGATCTCTCCGAGCCCTCTCAGGATCTTGATCGGTCACACCTTGTATAGCATGCGTCAGACGCCCAAAGAGCTTGTTGGCCACGCCGCTTGGTCCTCTCCTGTGGTTGCCGTTGGGAGGTGACGTGGGTGGAGAGGAGTAGGAATCGTCCTGTTGAGGACCACCCTGCTGCGCGCTTGGTGCCTGGGTAGCATTCGGTGGAAAGTCGCTGTCCACAGAAGCGTTGTCACCGTCGCTAGATCCTGGTCGGTTGCGATTGCTACCACTGCTGACGCTTCGCTTGGGTGCGTATTGCGAGCTCTGGATGCCAGACGAGGTCATGTACTGTTCGATTCTCTTCGCCTCCATCTCACTCCTCTCCAGCTGTTCCAGTGTAGTCTTCTTCTTCTCGAGTTCGTCGCGAGTCATCTCCTCCTGCACTCGCTTCAACACACGATACTTCAGCACACTGCGCACGACCGTCGCAAATTGGGCACTCTCTCGCATTGGCTCCGCGAATCCAGCACTGAGAGACGACGAGAGATCGCGCGATTGGATGTAGGTGAAGTCGCAAGCTTGGCCGGCCTTCTCGATCGCATGCGCCACGCTTTGCGACTGCTCTGAAAGAGAGAACGCATTGTACCGTGCGCCAAGGTCCATCAAATCATCACCCAAGCTGTACATGTGCCGCAACAATCGAGCATTGACTTTCTCCATCGATCCAGTCAGAAGCGTTTCGAGTTCTTTGGTGCTGTTTTCGAAGGAGGAAAAGTAGGGGTCGAGGTCGGATTCGCTGAGCTGCTGGGTTAGAGGTGGAAATCGCGCATATTGGACCTGAGGTGTCGAGTGCGATGCGGTTGATGCCAGGGTGCTGGATGGTGGAGGAGACGTTGGAGTGCCAGACGCAGAGGAGCCAGACGCAGATCGCAGCTTCGCGTTCTGAGATGGGATCGGCAAGTAAGAGTGAGCCTGAGTGGGATTCGCTGGGTCGAGTGGAGGTGCCTTGAGGTTGTTCTTGGGAACGCTGGCCGCCGGATGCGAGTGAAGTACTTCACTCCAGCTGACGTTGGGATCCAAGAACCTCCACCACACGCCGTCTTCTCGAACTTCCTTCATGCGCCGACATCGATTGAGGAAAGTCGCGAGCATACGTTGTCGCAGCTCTATAATGCCTGCATCCTCCTTGGCCTTGGTGGGCTTCGCGGCATAGTCTGCAATGCTGTGCTTCTCGGGGATGGGTGGGACCACGAGAGTAGGATGTAGATTGACCAGAGTTTCCCGCAGCGACGCGAACTCTTTGTATCGTCGCCTCACCTGGATCTCTCCGGTCTGGATGGTATAAGTTATGTAGCTTCCACCGCCTTCTGTGTTCTTGCCCGCATGCGTAATCTGGATCTCTAAGTCGGGATGCTCGTAAAGGATCTGTTCGATGCGACTATCATAGCCTCCCTCCTTTGGCTGGACTTTGGGTCCCTTGGGTTGCTCATCGTCGAGCTCTTCGTCAGAGAGATCGCTGGGTCGCGAGATGAAGTGCGGCGTGTGTTCTGGGGACGAGTGGCCGGACGGTGGGGTTGAAGGTCGATTGAAGCCTAGTCAACCACAATGTAAGTTCACAGTATGATACAGTGTATGGTGAGGACTACTCACGTTCAGTCGGCGACGCGATGTCCGAAGTCTCGGAGTCGCGGCGGTGGAAGGAGCCATATGGGTTGTTGTCCTCGTCGTCCCACATGGCTTCCGGCGGCCTAGGGGAGAGAAGCGGTCTCAGAGACGAGGCTGTTTCGCAATCAGTGTGAGAGGTGGAGTCAGTAGAGCAGGCTGAGAAGGGCCCCAGGTATATGCAGCCTTGAAGTGGTCGTAGTAATTCGCCTGCCTGCCTGATGCTCTGCCGCTGCTGCTGCTGTTGCTCGAGCTCCGTTGGCCTGGACGCTGCAACCGCGGTTCCTTCCGCCCAATGACGCAGCGCCAGTGAAACCGCACTCCCTGTCCGTCCATCCAACATTCACGTCTCTTTCTTACCTTCATCAGACCACGCCTGGCGCCAATTGTCCTCCATCGTGTCCATGGTCGCTGTGTAGCGTTGTTTTCGGGGCGATTGCAAATTGACGGTAGGTATGTGTGACGGCAAACGGAGCGACGCCTTCAACTCGCAATGTTGAGCGAGCTTCTGTACTTCAAAGCAGCAAGTCGTTGAAGAGCGTTCGAGCAGACGACTGATGTTGTTTTCAAGTGACGGCGTTGGAGCGTTTGCAATTCACTGGGTGGCGAAAATCACATGCAACGCCGTTTGCTGCCTTCAAGAGTGCGGCCTTGGCGCGATCTGCTTCTCTTCACTTTCTCTCGCCAACTGGGCGTCCTTCACTGTCAGCAAAACTTTTTCATATCGCCTTCAACAGCTCGAAATAGCCCGTACAAAAGACACAACAGCCAGCGCGTTGCTGCCATGGCAACCGACTCGAAGGACTTCGAGAAGAAGATGACAGCTACAACAACAGATCCAGACGAAGCAACGACTAGCAGCACGAGCAGTGCAGACGAGGAGGCATCGAAGAAGTCTGACGACAGCGACGACGGTGGGCATATCCTCGCTAAGTCACGTCCGACTCCGTTCATCGCTCGGTTCTACGGGGAAGAGCATGCTGCCGACACTGAAGGCCGCACGCTTGACGACATCTGCGCATTCGACGACGACCAGCTCGAATATCATCATGACTTCATTCAAGTCCTCTTTCCTGTTAGTACTGTGCTTCTCGATTCAGACTTCCCCGCTGACTGCAAGACAGCTGCCAGAGCGTTCTGGGGTGAACCGTGACGCACCCCTAATCGACAAGAACACTCGAGACGCTTTCCTCGAGCATGAGCACCTTCGCAAGAACCTGTTCAAATCTTTCAGCCGTATGGCTCGCTTCTACGCCTTCGATGTCGATGGTGACGAGGCCGAGTACGTTGTCCTATCGAGCATCGAGCGCTAAACTGTGTGATCATGCTAATAAATTTAAGGCTGACTCTCTCTGCCGCCACGAACTTCAAGCAGCACGCGCGCAACACTTGGTTGACGTCGGTGGATCACAACCACTTACGCATCACCCGCATCATCAGGTTTGCTCTCCATCAAACTCTCAAGCTTAAACTTGGCTAATTTCTCCCAAGGTGCCTTCGCATTCTAGGCCTTGACCAAGTTGCCCAAACGTTCTACCAAGCTTTGGTCGATAACGCCCGAGGTGTCAGCCCCAGGAGCCTGATGTACTGGAAGAGAGCTGCAAAGCGCCCCCTGGAACTCCCGCCGGACCAGCCAGATGGCAGCAGAGCTGTCGTTGAATGGCTGAAGAGCTGAAGATATGTGATGGCGCAATTGTACGTTTAGGCCGCCAGGTTCGGCGGATCTAGCAAGCTGCCGACTGTTGAAGTCTTACCTGGAAGCGCCGCGCCGGAGACGGATGTGCTCATCTACGCGGATGCGTTCGGACAGGGCCTGAAATAGGTATGCCAATCTACAGCAAGCATAACTTCAGACATGCGTCTACAGACGCTCGTCTGAAAACTTGTGAACGTGCATAGCATGGACTAGATCAAGCAAACCTTCACGGATACAGTCACTTTTCATCCGGTTGACAACCTTACATGGGTCTGCTGGGTACAGTCTTTACTTAACCCGGTCACAACCCATCTTTGATAGGTAGCAGCAAGGAAGGCGGCAGTACAGCGACTCTACGACCCCGGAACGTCATCGTCATTCATTAGTAGAACGGAAACGGCTCGCACACTGTGGCACTCCTTTTGTACGATAGCTGACAAAAAGTAGCAACGACTCTAAATGGTATATCCTAGCCATGGCAATGTCGCGTATATCGACCAACGGCATGCATTGCATTGGTGGAGAGTTAAAAGTAATACACAGTCTCTACTCCAAGTCCCCAGCATTGACGACCAACCTTTCGACATATCACGAGCCGCAAGCGGCCATTGACGTACAAGCACGACCATGCTCAATTACTACTTTCGTGAGACCTTTGCAGGCAGATTGATCAATGTACTTTCTGGAGACCGATTGTTGAGACTACCACAGCCTCAGATACCGCACTACGGATCGAACGACATAGCTCGCACAGAGGATGTCACCAACACAAGTCCTGCTGGCGAGGAGTCCGATATCAAGGCTAGCGGCACAAGTAGTCAAGAGTGGATCGAGAAGACAAGTCGAAACGAAGACGTCCCAATCGCAGAGCTCGCCAAAAGGCTCAGCAACCACGACCAGTCGATCGAGGATGGTGATCCTACGCCAACTCCAGAGAAGGAGGCAACACCTCAAGACGGCCACAATAGGTACATTGTTGGGTGGAATGGTGATGATGATCCTGAGAACCCGCGAAACTGGCCTATGTGGTTGAAGGTCTGGTCGACGTGCATGATCAGTCTGCTAACGTTTTCGATTTATGTATTAGCATCTTCTCCTTGGAATGTTTAGACATTGTCACTGACGCCCTACAGATCGGTTCTGCAATATACACCACCGGCATTGAAGACATCAACGAGCAATTCCACGTGTCTCGAGTCGTCTCAACATTAGGACTTTCCCTTTTCGTGCTCGGATACGGCCTTGTAAGAACACCCATCCTCCACCTTCTCCCCATCGACACTAACACTACTCTCACCTCAGGGCCCCATGATCCTCGCACCTCTCTCAGAAATGCCCCCCATCGGCCGCATGCCCGTGTACATCATCACACACCTCCTCTTCATCGCTCTCCAGTTCCCCATCATCTACGCCCCGAACATCGGCACCATCCTCGCCTTCCGCTTCATAACCGGTTTCATCGGCTCCCCTGTCCTGGCCACAGGAGCCGCCTCGCTAGCCGACATATTCACGCCCAAGAAACTTCCCTACGCCGTGGGGATTTGGGGCAATTTTGCGATATGCGGGCCTGTGCTTGGACCCTTGGTGTCTGGGTTTGCGGTTATGGCAAAGGGGTGGAAGTGGTCGATTTGGATCCTCATTTGGCTCAACGGATTTTGTGCCGTGTTCATGGTCCTCGCCATGCCGGAGACCAGCGCGGATAATGTTCTCTACCGTCGTGCCCAAAGGTTGAAGAACTTGACCGGAGACGACAAATACAAGTCCGAGGGGGAGATCGCTATGGCCAACTTCTCGGTCAAAGATGTGGCCATGGCGTTGCTGGTGAAGCCCTTCTGGCTGTGTTTCGTCAGCGAGCCTATCCTACTGGTGCAAAACGTCTATCTGGGACTGGTCTACGCTCTGCTGTATTGCTGGTTCGATGCGTTCCCGTTGGTGTTCATGGGCATGTATGGGTTTAATCTTGGTACATTCATTCATATATCTTCCTGCAATCACACTTTGCTAATGATGATGCTTGATCCACAGGTCAAATGGGCCTCTCCTACATCGGGATCCTGGCCGGCGCATTCGTCTGCACGCCCCCTTATTTCTACTGGATCCGAAAAGCCATCGAACCGCAAAGCAAACCAGATGGCTCGATCGAACCTGAGAAGCGTCTGCCAGCGGCTATAGTCGGCTCGCTTTTCATTCCCATCTGTCTCTTTTGGTGAGAGCTCGAACATCCTCTGTGTGTATGACAAGCGCCCCATCTCTAATGGATCTGACATGTAGGTTCGGCTGGTCCGCCCGCCCAGACGTGCACTGGACCATGCCCATCATTGGTTCCAGCTTCTTCGTCATGGGCGCGGCGCCCTTGTTCAACTCCCTAATCAGCTATCAAGCCGATGCATATCCCAAGGTCGTGGGGTCTGTCCTGGCGGGGAACGATCTCATGCGGTCGTCCATGGGGGCGGCGTTTCCGTTGTTTGCTACACAGGTGTGTCATGATGTTCCCCGACCGATATCTTCTTGATCGAAAAGACATGGCTGTATGGCTGACGCACTGATCCTTCGTTAGATGTACAACGCTCTCGGCGTCGATTGGGGTTGCTCTATGCTGGGCTTCATCTCTATCGCTTTCATCCCCATGCCGGTTCTCCTGTTGTACTACGGCAAGAGGCTTCGTATGGCTAGCAAGTACGCCCGGCATGATATCTGATCCAACGGCAATGGCTGTCTCGACTGTCACTGCAATCGATGATTACCATGTTTCTCACAAGAAGCGGATCTGTCGGAGCGTGCTTCGACGCACATGTGAAGAAGGCAACTCGAATAGCTCTTGCTGCCGGCCAGGACTTCCCAATCATTATGGAGCCAGCTGAAGCATCGGGAGAGTATAGGTTTGCTGGCGGACCTTAGTCCACAGCCTGATCAATGGGCACGCTTGGCCTACAGATCTTTCGGCATTGGCCTAGACCATACTTATCTAAGAGAGGCCCTCTACAACAAAAAGTGCCTAAACCGCCCCGTCGTTCCTCGCCACGAATTCAAAAACCGCGGACATCTCCCTAACCCCGTGTCCCTCCTCCGGATACGTTAACCACACAGACGGCACAACCTTCTCCACAAGCGTCTGATGGAACTCTTACCCTGGCGTGGGTAACGTACGCTTCTCAATTTCGCCAAGAATATTCAACATCGGAGTCCGCGCCTTCTCTATATTGTGAATCAGCGACCTCGTAAGGAAGTCCCCCTTGGGATAGCCTGGGATGTCCCCTTTAGGGAACTAATCACAGTATTTGTAAGAAACTAGCTTCCAACGTTCTGCTTGGCGATGATCTATAAGACAACCGCTATGGCTCCTCTTCTTCGACTTGCATTCTGGCTTTGTCTTCTACTTTCACGTCAACTTGGGGATGAGGAATTTGTGCGAAGGCTAACATCGATTGGAGGATTAACCACCATGGTTGAGTACAACCGCCGGACGAGTTCGTGGGATGCCCAGCGATCGAGACGGATTTTCCAAGTGGCACAGTACAACTGGATCCTGATCCCCCTGCTCTTGGCGATTGCTTATCCTATAACATATCGATTGCTCGACAATCCCGAGACCTCGTACTTCCATATACCTGTCGATGACTCTACATCCTGGAATTGGGGCGCATTTATATGGCTTGTCATGGTCCTCCCAAGCAAACCTTTCCATCACTTCTCCATGCTCGCTGCCTGCTGGCCATGCAACCCCTTTCGGCTGACCGAGACCCCGACCATACGAAATTTTAGTAGACTGCTCATATGTCTAGTAACTCGGGGCGACCAGGAAGACGTTGTGCGACGGTCCGTGCTGGCAATGCAAGACATGATTTCAACCTTTGGGCCTAAAGTGTCACTGCACATCTTGACCGAAGAGGCAAACTCCTATAAATTCCGGCGGACTTTCGATGAACATGTCCCTGTTCATGGCGTTCCCGCATCCCACAAATGTCGCCTGGCCAAGTACAAAGCGAGAAGTCTGGAGTGGTTCCGGATCCACATGAGATTGCAAGATGACGACTGGGTGTTGCACATTGACGAAGAGACCGTGATCGATGAATATTGCATCGAAAAATGCTTCGATTTTATCACGAAGCAGAATAGCAACGAGATAGGAACGGTAGGCAAGGTGTCCCTAACGTTCGAGATTCAAGCTGATCTGGTAAGGGCGTTATCCACTACAACCTCGAAGGCTTCTGGAATTGTATCCTCCCCACTATAGGCGACCTCAGCCGTGTCCAAGACGACTGGGGCCGCTGCCAGTGGTCCGCGAATTACCGCCAGCGTGCATCCCTGGGCATCCATGGCGCATTCTTTCTCTGCAGTGGAAAAGTAGAAAACGCAGTGACATGGGAAACGGCACACCTCACCGAGGACTACTGGTTCCTTCTCCGTGCTATGAAACAGAACTTCCGCATTGGGTGGATCCCAGCAATTGCTAGAGAGGTCTCTCCACGCTCTGTTGGTGACTATGTCCGACAGCGCCGTCGATGGTACACCGGGATCAGAACTCTCGGCCAGCTTGAGGGAAAATGGGTCCTATTCTGCTGGCTTTGGGGGTTCGTGGACCTTGCATACTTGCTTTGGAGGTTTGCGGCCGGATCTTCGCCAGAGCCAGTCCCGCGGTGGCTGTTGTGCGTCATCGTGTTTGAGCTGTCCTGCTTTAGATTGTTCACGGCGTTGATCGTCTTCGTTCAGGACTGGGATGCAGCTGTTTCTTGGTCGAGTATGATGTACTCTCAGGTAATGGCACAGCTCCTGAGACCCTATGTGGACCTGCTTGACAGTTATGCGGTGGTTCTTTCATTGTTGGTGCCTGAGAAGGGGTTTTATATTGTTCAGAAAAAGTGAGGAGTGCAGGTACAACAACAACAACAGCATACTCTTTCGTCTCGAGACGCTTCGACGAGTACAACTCGATCGAGCCTGAGTCGTCCCTCCAGCACTGACTTCGATCACTTAGTTAGTAAGTTCACCAGAAGCTAATAGCTCGTTGAAGCTCTAATAGACTTCCGACAAATATTAACAAGGGGTAGATTTTAGCTCTTTTTGACCTCTTCAAGTCCCCTTTCATACTTCCATCAGGTCTGTGACCATTCTACTTCATACGCGAATTTCACAATGACGCTTATATCGATCTGCTGTGCTGCTCTCACACTTCCCGAGGTCATAGACCAATTTCTTACAGCCAACAAAAGTTTCTCCAGCTCGAAGCAAGTACTTCGGTCCCGGAAGATGCATTTTGCCCTGCAGCAACATCATGCACATAACTTCAATGACAATCCTTCTCCTTCCGTTAATCACTGCGAGGAGACCTCGGTATCCCGCGATGTGCAGCAGCGCCGTGCCGCAACAACGAACGCACAACGATCGTCACAAACGAGGCGACACGTTGCTCCGCGCGCTCGAACCAATAACATACCCGCCAAACATCGACACAACAACGGAGCGGCGATGCCAACGCTCAAAGGATCAGACATCTCGGGGAAGGCGTTGCCAGGCGGCAGGGGCTGCTCGGGTGATGCGATGTTATTAGCCGCGCGAGTCAAGATCGGCGTGCACGAGCTGCATCCAGATGCTGCGAGTCACGACGAAAGTAGGCAAAGATCTTGATAGAGTTCTGTGTGCGAAAAGCACGTACTTGCCTTCCTTCTTTCCTTCTCGGTGCTGTGCCGCGAGGATGTGTTGCCAG